CCTCCTCCTCCTCCTCCTCCTCCCTCCTCCTCCTCCTCCTCCTCCTCCTCCTCCCTCCTCCTCCTCCTCCTCCTCCTCCTCCTCCCTCCTCCTCCTCCTCCTCCTCCTCCTCCTCCTCCTCCTCCTCCTTCTCCTCCTTCCTCCTCCTCCTCCTCCTCTTCCTACCCTGAGTCGTGCGCCCACTTGCATGTGGAGATCCTGTCTCATGTTGTCGAGACCTCCAGCCTGATGGAGCATCAGCAAAAGAAGCAAGTATGAGAGCGAGAGGAGCAACAGCAAGAGCAAGAGAAGCAAGGGCAAGTGCACGAGTAAGAACAAGAGCGAGCGAACACTGCTCTACTCACCCATAGAAACGCCTTGATTGCATCATCATTGTGTTGAATCAGCGCTGAGATGGCAGAGATAGCCTTCACCCGCTCAGTCTCCCTGAGTCTCCAGCTCAACTCTCCCTCTCCCTCTCCTCCCCTCCCTCACCCCACAGCGTCGTCTTCCCCCCCAACCCTCCCCGAGTGCAGGTCCAGCAGCAGCTTCAGAGCGTCCCTCTCGAACGCCCAGGCCTGACATCTGCGTCCTCGTCATCCTCCCTGCCTTCTCCTCCCTCACGTCGCTCACGGCGGGTTGTCCTTCACGCAGAGGGCCACCAGCTCCGCCGCAAGGCTGCGGATGCTCCCGTGCTTCGAGCTCCCTAGGAGGTCGATCTAGAGCGAGCCAGTCACGACAGGATGAGGGGCAGGGCGAGGTACCGTAGGAAACAAACCGTTGGCGAACGAGTGCAAGGCTACAGCATAGTCGATCTTGTCGCATCTGTCCACCAGCTCCTCTAGCGCCTTAGCAGAGCCGTCAGCCGCCCCCCCTCTCCCCCTCTAGGTTTCTTACAGTCTCCTTCGCCCTCACTTGCTCGATCGTGTCCTCAGGGTCTGACAGTGCGGCAACGAGCTCTTTCATGGTCTGCTCCGCTCGTTAGCTCGTAAGGCTCCACCCGTCTTCAGCGTCAGACCTTGGACTCGTCCTCCACCATCGAAGACATCACCTACGGGAGAGCTTAGCGATAAGGCCTCGTAGCCGTTGACGGACACCTTGTCGAGAAACTCCCGTTTCTGTGCGAGGTGGGGGGGAGGGTGGGCAGCAACGTCAGAGCAGGAGAGCAGCAGGCGAGACCGGTCGTACCTCTTTGTCCATCTCCGAGACCTCGGTAGATGATATCCCGTCCGTCTGACGACAAGAGTAAGGAGGACAATGTGGAGCAGAAAAGTGATTGCCTGCGATAGAGACCATTTCAAGATGGCCTGAGGCGAGCAAAACAATATCAGAGATGGGTCGGGAGCGTCGTCCAAGGTAAAATACCTTGTACATTGGATTATCCGCCATGTTTCTTCGCTCTTGCAGAAATGTTTTCTTAGTTTTCCTGATTGAGATTTGAAAGGTCATGACAGGATCTGAGAACTCATTGTTCTCTTCAGGGTTCATTTCCTTCCCCCTTTCCTTCCCCCCAACTCATCCTCCTCTCTCATCCTCGCATCTTCTCTCTCCCTCTCTCCTTCGCAACTTTCCTCGTCGTCTTATACCCTTCCTCTCCTCTCTCCCCTCTCCTCCTCCTTCTCCTCCTCCTATCTCCGGCTCCCCTGCGCTCTCCCTCCGATCTCGACGCCATCGTGAACTTCTAGAAACTGTGCTCAAAGCCCTCTTCCCCGCTCATTCCCCTTCACTTGATTCATACTGGGGCGGGCCAGGATAGCATGTTGCGGGCCTCATCCCCAGTTCGCGTTGTCGATGACCTTCATCTTGGGTGCTTACATAAAACACTACCCGTGGTTTTCACTAATGATCACCCCTCTTTTTCAACAAATCATTGTGTACCCCACCCTCAAAAACAAGACCTCAGGCACCCTGACCGACCTGGCAAGTAAAATGTTGCAGTGCGTTTTACAGTGAGAGCATGCAGAAGAGCGAAGAGGAAGTGGGTGGGAGGAGGGAGAGGAGGAGAGGAGCTGGTGGCAGGGGGAGGGAAGAGGAAGGGGGGGGGGGGGGGGGGGCGAGAGCAAGTCAGCGAGGGCAGAGAGCGCAGAGAGCGCAGAGAGCGCAGAGAGCGCAGTGCAGGGGAGAGCATGGAAATGAGGGTAGGGAGTGGAAAAGTATTAGACAAGAGGTCAAGTAAGTGCTTTTGGGAGCAAACTCTAGAGGAGACTGAAAGGATTAGATCATTCCTGTGCTTTTGTGACCCTTGTTCTGATTATTATCATTTTGTTTGAGATGTGTAGCAGAAAGCGTGGGAAGATGAAGGTTTCATAGATAATCGTCGCTGCTGTCATCGACCAACCTTCCACCATGCTACGGTCGATAGCGCTCGCCATGCTCTGTTTGCGATCATGCGACTGCTTTGTGGTCCACCCTCCATGGAGGTGAATCCTCTCTCGCTCAGCAAAGAACCTGAGATCGGCTGCAGTCGCGTGACGATGGGACGACCGACGAGCCATCGTAGACCAGGCTTATGCATGAACAATAGAGCGACGGAGTTTGCCTCCTCTAGGCTTCGAACTTTGTTCAACCAGCTCGAAGAGGTGGAGCATCATGAGGGCGATGGCGCGGCTCTTGTTCTAACCCCCCACCTGCAGGATGGTAAGAGTGCGGTGAGTCTGCCCGAGTTTGAGAAGCTGCGCGTACAGAGGTGCCCTGCTGATGCGGGTCGACCTCCTCCTCACTTGGTCGGCAGCATGGTGAAAAGATGTGTCGATCAGAGCGACGCGGGACAGGACATCCCTCCCCTCTCCTTGTCTGCCTTGCAAGAGAACAGCTGCTGGGCGCTCGCTGGGCGGTGGAAGATGATTTTCGCTCCCTTGGAGCAGATGAAGTTCTGGAACTTCTATCCGAGCTTTCAGTTGTTTCTAGGTGATGCTGCTAAGGGTTTGTTTGTGTGTGTGTGTGTGGGAGGGGTGGGGGGGGGAAGGCGGGAGGGGGGGATGGCCCTGACTTTATCGACGTGCCCGGGCCTGCAGATGTCGACTTGAAGAACTCAAACATCGATTTCAACTTGGAATTCGGCCCCGGTCTTCTCCTGCAGGGACTCAAGTGCAGCGCTCGGTATGCGACGCCATGTTCCTGGAGGTTCTGCTCACCCCCACTGAAGGTCTCAGCGGGGTGACAAACGGTTCCTCCTCTCCTACGCGTTCTGGAGGATCGCCATCTGCTTCGCTGGGGTTTGGTTGAGGTTCCCAGTCCCAAACATGTTGGCAAAGGAGGGGAAGTTGCTGGCCTCGTACTTCGATGGAGACCTCTGGATGGAGGACAATGGCAAGGGTGACTTCTACGTCTTCCGGTACATTGGGCCTGTACCGGAAGCAGAGGAGCGAACGGTAGACACCTTGCAGGTAGCGGCGGAAGAAGTGAAGGGATGAAGCTGACAGGTGGTGACAGGAGCGGGAGACACGATGGGGGTCGTTGATGGGACGAGCAAGGAGAGCATGGCAGGTCAGCTGGAGATGCTTGTTCTCCTCTCTGTCGTCGCTCTCAACCTCGTCCTCGTCACTCCTTTGCTGGTAAGTGCTCAGAACGTTTCTCTTTGCAGACTGACAATCCGGTTGAACCAACCAGCTCGTTGCTTCGGTTGCCTACCTCCTCTTGAACGTCCTCAGCATGTTCAGTCAACAGGTCACGCCCCACGTTTCAGTCTCATTACGCTCATGTCTCGTTCAGGACCGCCAGTCTAACAAGGAGTCTCGTTGGCGGGTAGTATGACCACAGCTCGAGCGCCTGGTATGACCCCTGCTTCGATATCCAAAACCAGGAGACCGGTCATAAGGTAGCTATGTCGATTGAGAAAGAGAATTTAAAAGAAGAAATTGATGAAATCTGTGGTCCCCACCCTCGTGAAATTACAAAACTGCCATTTACATGATGATGCACTTCTTCTTCTTGGTGTCTTGTAGTTGCTGCTGTAGCTCTTCCAGTTTGTCGACCAGCTCCGAAGCCGAGGGCCTCTAACGGCAGGATGTGAGCGAGAGGTTGCGATACGTCAGACAAACTCACGAGGTTCGGCTCCTTGTGCCAGCTCTGCTCGATCAAGGAAGCAAACTCATTCCCAGCCACTTGGATGATCTGAACTAACGGTAAGAGGACGAGCGGGTCTGCGGCGAGACTTACCGGCTCGAGATTTGGGCGGAGGTCATTCTTTGATGCCTTTTCTGCCACCACCTGTGCCATGTACGGTCAGTCATAGCGACAGAGCAAGAGCAACCCAGGTCTTACTTGTGCCGGGACTTTGTCGAATGGTCTCTCACCAAGAGTGATGTACCTGGACACACCATTCATCAGCAAAGGACTGAAAAGAAACTCGTGTAGGCTAGTTACCACATAATGAAGCCGCAGGAATAGATGTCGACTTTCTCGTCATACTAGCATTCAAATTTCAGAGGGAAGTTTGCGACATTTTCTGTGTTGTTCACCTGTGGATTGTCAAGAAAGACTTCGGGTGCCATGTAACGCATTGATCCCGTCTTCCCCGTCATCCTGTACCTGCAGTTGGAAGTCAATATCCTGATGTTGAAGAGCTTTTTTCCTCACGTTCCAGCAACTTTCTGCAAATCTTTTAACTTGCTCAGACCAAAATCCCCAACTTTTAGGTGGCAGTCCTAGATGCATGACGTGAGATACATCGGTTCGATTCAAACTTTCCAACCTCGTTCAGAAGCAAGTTTGCAGGTTTCAAATCCCGGTGAATTACAACCTAGTTCCTTTGAGTCAGAACTTGATCCGAGCACTTGATCCCAGGTCCTCACAGGATTGCAATTGTGCAGGAAGCACAAAGCTCTTGCAAGCTCCATCGACCATCTCAGCACCTGCGCCATGTCACTTGCAAGCACCTGGCATCGCCTAGTAGACAGACCTGTTTTGGAGGGGGCTGCCATGGCTTTCCACCACGCTCCTTCCTCTTGCTGGCTAAATAGTCTGAAAACAACCTGATCAATACCCCACCAGAACTTCTTCGATTTTCACCTTCTAGATTTCCTCCCGACAAGTACTCATTGAGAATTATAAGTGGTTCCTGAGAAGTTGCAGTCAAGCATATCCTGCGAAAACCACTGCTCCTGGTCACTTGTTGAATCTTACCTTGATAGTACAGGCTCCTAAGAACATGACCAAATTGGGATGCCTTAATCGAGACAAAACCTGATGATAGATGTGAGAAACATCTCTAAAAACGCAGCAGACTCGTACAGAAATCTCGTTGATCAGGTCTGCTCTTGCGACCGCTCCATCCATGGTTGATCCGTGATCACTCTCAGTCTAGACGATCGTTACTCTTCCTCTCGAGTGAGCAACTATCATTTTCGACACCTTCAACATCTTTGCGACAACGTCCAATCCACGCCAGTGCGCCTATCAGCGCAAGTCACAGATTCTATCACGAACCAACTGGTTGAGGAATTACATAATAAATAACTCCACCGTCTCCTTCCCCTAGCTTTGCATTGAGCTGAATTTCCTGCCCATGAATGAGTACTGCACTGAGACATTGTACATAGATCGATTCTAACCGAACGAGGCAGCTCCCACTGTTCGGCTCTTGACCGCACATGTATGGGTTGTTGGCTGTAATGATTCAAGATCTCGGCCGATGTTGACTTTTTCATTCCTGGACCAACCTGCATTGGCCCCGTCAGAATGTCCGACAAGACTCTCTCACGCCAAGACAGCATGCATGTACCGGATCACTCATGTTCTTCAAGTGAGCACTTGCAAGCTGCTTCATCTCTTCATCCTGGCCCTTCAGTCAGAAACCTGACACTTCCTTCGCCTTGAATAACCTCATCAAGAGAGAGATGGCTATCATCCTTCTTTCTAGAGGGCTCGCTATCAGTCGTGTCTTCTCCCTCTGTCTTAACGTTCGATCGTTGACTTTCACTCATCTGCCGACAACATGCTCAATAAAGTTCAAAGGTCCCGAGATACTTGTACCGTCTTGATGGAGATATCTAAAGACAACTTTGATGATTTTGCTGAGAGACAGATGTCATGACGATATATGAAAGGATGTCGCAAACATACATGAAGAGGTCGGAGAACAGTTCTTGCTTCCCACTGTTACAATCGAGATGGGCTCCGTGTCAGCACCCATAGCAGTGCATCAATCGGGCGGCAACTCTGTCCTTGAAATGCTTGTCTATTACCAAATGGGATCAGGACAAGACAAAGGGAGCTCTCAAAAGGATATCGCAAATAGCTTCTAAAGTGGGCTGTTAAGCCCCAATCGCCACACACTTATCGAAATATGCGAAAGGCTCCATAGCGAAGTGCGACAACTATGACCCAAACACAGCAAGCAGCACGAGGAGATGAAAATGATAATTTCGACCATGTTCACAAGATCAATGATTCCCCTGAGCCCACACTATCAATGCTCAGCTCAAATTCAGCATTCAGGCCCGCAAGGCAATGAGGGTCAGATCATAACAAAAGGAAAAACAGGGTTTTGTGTCCGTTCACCATGGCATGTCAGCATAAGACGGAGGAGAACGCAGATGTGGATAAGTAACGGAACGTGAAGTGTGGGGGTCAGAGGAGGAGGTGCGAAGAAAGAAAGCGGTTGTGCTAACTCCGCCGCCGCCATCATGCCCGACAGGGTCTCGAGCGGGGGGTTAAAGGAACAGGATGGCACCACCCCTGTAGTTCCCAGAAGACATGTTAAAAGGGTGGGTAGTTTTATATGGAAGGGTGTGCTCGGAGGTTGGGTAGGGTTGATAAGAGACTGGAAACTTCGATGGGGTAGGGTACCAAAATGCCAGGATGCAGCCGCATATCTCCGAGATTTTAGCATATACAGTTGGGTGGGGTTATGATAGTAGGGGGTAGGGGGTGTATCGTAAGGGATCAGAAGGGCTATTGGAGGGGTGGTCAGGGAAGGGAGGTGATAGCTGGGCGCATTTGACGGCTAGGGGTAAGGGGTGGGGTATGGGAAGCAAGAGGGTGATGAATGGGGTCCCAATTCATGGGTTAAACTAGGGGTGAGGAGGGGGTGGGGTGGTTGGATGGGGGCTCTATTTGCACTTTTTTGTGTATGGGCGGAGGTATTTTAAAAAGAGGGGCTGCTAAATTATTTTTAAAATCAATATGCTACGGAGACCATAAAACTTGATTTAAGTTTGAACGATCAAGTTATGTTCTCGTACATTTGATGTAAAAGGGGTACAATTGGAGGTTCTTCCCAAAACTGATCAAAATAGATATATATAGTGTACTGCAAGAGGAATATGGTATTTATTTTGTATTGAGAATACCTGTCCTATTAATATATTATGAAATACAAGTATGTATAATGAAGTTGCGTGATCTTTAAAGTTGTTTTTATATCAGGCAAACTGGGATCTGGAAAGATATTTTTTCGAGCTGCTATCTGACCAAACCAGATTGATAGGAGATCTTTTGAGACTGGAAATATCCCGAGATAAATGGTTGCATCGATAAGTACATCCTTTAGGTAGTACGTACTCGAAAAAGTATATTTTCGACCGGGTCTGACCTTTGTCCGGGTACTTTCTGGGGGGTAACCCGGAGGCCAATTAAAACAAAACTATGATTAAAAGTCTTTTTTAAAAAAGAATTGAGACTTTACAACCGGGGCCGATCATGGCAAGTTTTCAAACTTCATGCCAAACTTTGGCAAGCAAAGTTCGAGTTCGGCGACCCGGGCCGCCGCGACTGCCCGGGCCGGCAGGCGAACCACCCGGTGACTGATCACTCTCGCCCAGCCGCCCGGCGATGTCACTCAGTGACCCGAACACTGATATGATTCAACCGTCGGACCGGCGTCGGTCTCAGTGCGGCCGGGCCCCGGGGTGGTCCGGTCCCCGACCGCGGCAGGCCCCACGGTAGTATTTGGCCCGGCTGTTCAACGGTTGGCAGCGACCTCAGACGGTCCCGGTCTGTTGCCGGCCGGCGGCTGCCGCCGCTGGCCGCCGCGAGCAGTCGCTGCAGCCGCACGGTAGTCGATCCTAAGTTGACTCAGATTTCAGGCTTCAATGCTGACTGGTGAGCCTGGCAAGTTGGGATCAAGTGGACTGGCGGTACTACGGTAACCCATCAGTGCGGCACCGCCCGGCCGCCGCGGCCTGTCAGCTGAGATCGCTGGGAGGCTACGAGCGACCGTGTGGCTGCTGCGGCAGAACTTCAGACACGTCAGGAGGGCGGCCGGAGAGCTCGACCTTCTTCCTGCCGGCATGATGGTCCTCCGCTTGCTGGATCTCTTCAATGTCTTGACTTGAACTTCGATCTGGTGACTTGAGCGATGCTGCCTCCTTCCACAGCCTGACGAGCCGGTCGGAGGAGCTCGCTGGGACTGCCCGAGGCCTCGAGCAGAACTCTTGGAAGGCCTTCTTGCTGTGGAGCTGAGCACGCGGAGAGGAGAGAAGTCAGGAGAAAGATTGCGGATAGAGCAAGCAACATCTGTCATGGGATAGTAGACAACAGGAAGGAAGGACTAGGATGGAGATGGGGCGATCAGAGTGATGGCGCTCTCTGTCTTACCAACGGGAGGTCAGTGAGCGGCTCCTCGGAGGTTCGACGTTGAGATCTTGGAGGGAGCAGGTGAGGGCTGAAGGATGTCAGCACGCGGGAAGGGGTAGGAGGAGGCAAGCTGATCACCCCGTCCTTGGAGGGCTTCTATCCTCAAACACGAGATCCGCCCTGCAAGGCCGTGCCAAGTCAGAGGGGCAGGGGGAGCAAGGAAGCTTTCACGTCTCTGAATGGTTATCTTGAGGGCCGGGGTATTTAATCTTCATCGCTCCTCCGTTGAGCGGGATCACCAGCTCGTCTTCTGAGCTCCAACAGTCACTGCATCCTCTCCTCCCCCCTCCACTCCTCCTCTCCACTCCATCTTTCCTCTCCCTCTCTCGAACTCACCAGACTTGCTTCGCCGTGGGGCGAGGGAGCTCGAAGGGGGTTGGCCGTGCGACTGGAAAGCATCAGGAGGAAGGGAGGAGGGAGGAGGACTCACTTCATGGCTTCTCCTGTGAGTGTCTGGAGTTCGCGGGCTGTGCTTGATGGCCTCGGAGTTTCTCTTGGGTACGTGCAGATCCGGCAGCTGGGAAACACCGAGCAGTGAGTGAGAGGACAGAGGAGGAGGAGGGGAGATTGCCAGGAGGTGGAGGCTGCTCTCGATGGAGGCCATGGAATTTGACAGGCTTGCAAGCATGCGGCCTTGCTGGAGGGTGACTTTGCGCAGCTCGCCGACCTGAGAATGCAAGAGTCGGAGGAGTTAGGAGGAGAAAGAGAAGGAGCATGAGGGAGAAACCTGGTCCGATAGTGTTGAAAGTGCAGCAAGGTAGTCACGATGGTTCAGCTCGGATTTGTCTTGCATGGCCCCACTGTCATTCGCTCCTCTGCCTCCTCTGCCTCCCTCTCCTGCTCCTGTCAGAGCAGAAGTTGTAACATCCTCCGGATCGTTCGTTTCCGAATCCTGACTCCCCCTCCGCTTCCCTGCCTGGGAAACCTTCTCCTTTAGACTCGTTCCTTTCTGCTGCTGGTATGCGAGCATGAGCGCGTTGGCGATGTTCGAGGAGTTCCTCTCCATGCTCCCGCGTCTCTTCGCAGTATCTGGTTGCTCCGTGCTCTCTCCAACCTCATGATATCCCACTTGATTCTTGAAGCGCCTCAGCTTCTGCTGCGCCTCCATCAGCTGGCAGAAGAGGTTCTCCATCCTCTCGCGGTCTTCGTCCTCCAGGTCCAGCAGCCGGCGCATCGACATCTCGTTGTCCGGATTGAACCACAGCATCCGCGTGCGTCCCCTCCACCACAGCTGAATCATCTTGGCAGCCACGATGATGACTTGGCTCTGCTTCTTGTCCCCGTCCAGCGTGCGCATGAGCTTCGTCTCCTGCGGGTTGAGCGTCATACTCCTAGAGAAGGTGGCGGTCATGATCGAGATCAGAATGGGCCCCGCGGTCATACACAGCATCCCCCCGAATCTCCCAAAGTGAGTGTGGGGAACAACATCTCCGTATCCCGTTGTGGTGCTGCAGTGAAACGTTCACCAGGAGCAGAATCAAGGAGCAGGATCAAGGAGCAGGATCAAGGAGCAGGATCAAGGAGCAGGAGCAGGGACAGCAGCAGCAGCAGTAGCATTGAATCACCTTGTTACCATGACAAGCCAGAGCTGATCCCAGACGTAGACGCTGAAAAGGTTCCCGGGAGTGTTCTCGGAGATCCTGATGATCCATGTTGCAGCGAAGATGAGAACGGCCCAGCAGGTGCCGATGAGGTACATAGGTTGACGAGTGAGAGCGATCTTGATCGCCAGGACAGGCTGCGACAAGCTGGGGTCGTTCATCTGCTTGATAGCGTTTTCGTTGCGGATGATAAGCGAGGAGTCGAGGCTGAGGTACTTGGTGAGCAGCTTGAGCTTGATCAGCATGAAGATGTGGTACACGCTGCGAGGGAAGAGATGAGCCGGGAGGAGGGAGCGACACGATGAGCAGCATCGAACCGGATCAGCATGGCAGCGGAGGTCAGCGATTCTACACGGTAGACAGGCTGTATTCCCAGCTGCTCAATCGTCCACATCCTGGAGTACCCTGAGTGAATGTCAGACTGCCGGGTCCCGAGCAGGGGATGCCGGAGGGGAAAACCTGGAAGGGGGTGAATCATGTTGAGAGGAAACAACAAGGTCCATGTGAGCAGGTTCGATCTCACGATTCGCTGCAGTACATCAGGAGACGAGACGGCAGGCGGGTGTCACGGGAGACCTTGAGCCGCTGGAAGCACGTCTGCCTCACGCTTCGGCTGTCGGCCAGCAGCCGGTGATCTCTGTCGATCAACCTCTGCTGGGCGTCCTCGCTCTCCAGCGCCAGCTCCATCTGCTGCCTGCATGGACCCTTAGCTGCCGTGCTGCACTGTTCGTCTCCATCACCACATGAAGAAGAGCATGATGATGGTGCTGATTGTGATCCCGGCCTTGAGCAGGTTGACAAAGGGTCCCTCGCACCTACAGCATGTCAGTCTTGTTCTAGGAGAGATCCTCAGGACCTCTCTTCCATGGGCCTTCGCATACAAGTCTCCCTTACGATGACCGATGTGAAGAGTCCTACCAGCTAAGGGAAGCGTTACACAACTATCAGGCGAGCAGGAGGGTGTATGCTCGACAGACCGCAAGGACGGTGATATATCGTTGTTTGACATACATGCCTAACATGAGCGTGAGAGCACCTTCACAAGCTCGTGCGCCCTCACGAGAGTCGACTTCTCGGATCCACTCGAGGTCTTCAGCATCGTGTTGTATCTAACGCTTCGGGTGAGCCTCTCGTCCCTCATGCTGCCCCGCCCTTCGCCTCCTCTTGCTGTCTGCTCACCTTCAGGTTTTCATCCATCTTGCGCATAATCCTGCGAAGCTGATCACAGACGATCAAGACGCGACATGAAGTGTACTCAACCTGCTCTCGCGGACTCCGCTGTTTGATGTCATGAATGACATCTTTTCGGTGTTCTAGATGTGTGATATGCTATCATCCGCATCATTTCAGCGCAGAGCAGCATATTAGCAGCATAGGATGACGATAGCTCACAAGTCAAGGGTAGGAGAATTCGTCGCCTAGTAGTCTGTTGCGCTCCAAACTCTCAGGCGGTCGGAGAGGCGGAAATCAAAGAGACGACGGCAGGAACAAGCTCTCTTGGAGGTGCAATCAATCAATCTGTATCATCACCACAAGTCAGAAGACCTCTCAGCGTCAGCACAGCTATCAGATGCGAGGTTTATTTTGTCCAGAGCAAACATGTCGTACCAGTACCATTGTTGACTTCACCTTCCCTTCTCCCTCCTCTGCTCTCCTCTCCAGTCCTGGCCTCGCCTCTCAACTTGTCGCCATCTTCTTCTTGCTATCTACTCCCTCCCCCGTCTCCCCCTCTCCCTCCTCTCCCTCGTCTCCTCCTTCCGCCTCCCTTGCCCAACCTGCATCGTCGGGGCGCGGACGGACCCTCCGGTCACGCGATTGACAACCACACATTCCCCCCCTTGCCTCTACCCCACCCCACTCTTTCCCACACGAGTACCCCACTTCCCCCATTCTTTGACTAGCTAGGCGTACCATGTGGGGGCAGGAGGGTGACTTCTTGACATTGTTCGCCATGTGAAAGAAGGGGATGATAAAGTCCAGAGCAGGAGGAGGGAGGGAGGAAGAGTAGGAGGATTGAGGACGGAGGGAGGAGAACGGAGAAAGGAGGAGGTTGGACAGAATGGGAGTAAGAGCGGACAGTGGTGGAGAGAAGTCAGAGAAATGATAGTTCTTTACCTCATTGAATTCATTAAAATCTGAGCTAACGCATTTCATTCCTGGTGATGTTTTCCAACGATCGGACCATACTCACAGGCTCACGGGACCAGCAGGCAGGATCGTACCTCTTGGCTCGACTGAGCTTCAAACTTGTGTTCGGTTCGACCAGTCACTCGAAGGGAAGCTTCCACAGGGAGAACCCTTGCTCGAACTCTACCAGCGCCGGGGGCAGGAGAAATGGCTGGAGATAGAGGTTGACAGGCCTCCAGCCTCCTCCAGGTAGCGAGAAGGAAGTGATGGTTTCGTCGTTGTTGACCTTGACAGTCGAGTCGTGCGTGACTAGCAGGTATCTTTGCTTCGTGCTGCTCGAAAGTTTTCAGTCAGAGTATGATGACGCTCCAGTATTGACAGAGCAGACGAACCTGTAGTGCGGGTTTCCTTGGAGCGAAAGCGAGAGATTCTGAGAGGACAGCATCAGACCGCGGGTTGGTGAAGGCGCAAGCGTAAGAGGAGGACCTGAATGTTGTCAAGAACCTTCTTGATGTCATTGATAGTTAGGTGGATTAGGACTTCTTTCACAAAGATTAGCTCGCATCCCGCCCGCACCTGCCCCTCCTCCTGGTATTCACACATGGCAGGCTCTAGCCCTTGCACCGCGTCCTCCTGCCCGAAACGCACAGACCGGGGAAGGAAGGAGCACGCGCCGCCCGGGCTGCTCCCACCGCCCGCGCACTCTCTCGTCCTCTGCTGCACATGGCGGATGTTGGAGGCGATGATGTCGTGCACGATGTCCACACCCACGTATCTCACTCCTGTCAAGTTCGTCCTGCTCATCCAAAACCAGTCCCCGCATCCTATATCCAGCAGGGAGCTGAGGCCAAGGTCGGTCATCACCTACAGCAGCGATGAGGAGGACGAGGTCTGTGGGCTAAGCCCCACCTCGTGGAGAAGCTCTTGAACGCCCGCTGTCATGTCGGCGTTCGAGCCTGGGCCGGAAGCACTCTCCGATTCGGGGGACCTGCACGTCGACCAAGTGAGGAGGAAGGAGGAGGGGGCAGCGATGGGGGAAGAAGGAAACACACCAGAACTTCCTCTGAAAGATCGACTCGAATCGCAGCCTCCTCACTAAGGGCTCGTCCTCCCTTGTCAGGATCTGCCTTGGGGGATCGAAGAAAAAGTCCGGCAGGACGAGGCTCTGGAGGAGGTACCGCCTCGCGGATCTCTGCAGCGAGAATGAGCGAAGGAGGAAGAGGAGAGGTAGCAGTTCCTGACCCTGCTCTTGTCGGACATCGACTTGTTCCCTTCCTCCTCGTGCAGCATCGCAGTCATGAGATGCTCTAGCGATCGAGAGTACCGGGCTGCGGCAACGTCCTTGCAAGGGCGGAAGGCGCCGCGCCCCCTGACGTGCTCCTGCATGTGAGGGTACGAGCACCCCGAGATCCTCTCGTACAGTCTCGCTGCGAGCTGGTAGAACCTGGCGGCCGAGCGGTAGTCCTTCTTCGCCTGATGCATCCTGGCCATGTTGAGCAAGACCTTGTTTGCATTGATGATACAAGATAAATGCAGGAAGCACTCCTGGTCCAGCCCCTCGATTGCGAACTGATAGCACTCATACGCATCTTCGAGCCTCCCCCGGGTCTCCCAGACAACTCCCAGGTTGTTCTGAGCCATCATGTCCAGGTTCCAGGACTCTACAGCGTCCTCGAGCAGCTCCTGCGCTTCTTGCAAGTTCTCGTCCCCTCCCAATCGCATCAGCGACACGGCAAGGTAGTTGTTGGGGGAGGAGAACTGCGGATACTGCGCCTTGCCCCACCTGATGAGTTTGATGGCGTCATGCCTGCGGTCGGGGACGGCGATGAGCTCTCCGAGGTCAGAGAGGAGCTCGACGTACTCCGGGAATGCAGGGTCGCTCGTGAGTTCATGGTCCGGGTGCTGCCATACCTGCTCGATGACAGCATGCCTTGTCAGGGGGACGGGAGGGAACCTGGTCAGGTCCACTTGATCCTCGCCTGCATCTCCGAGGGAGAGGGGGGAGGAAAGCACCGCTAGCAGGATGGCAAGCAAACAGCTCGATGTGCACTTCTGAAGGGAAGGGGGGGGCTGGCTGGCCTTGGTCTCCTCTACCTTCGTCGTCATGACCATGGAGGTGCCGTGGTGAACCTGGCGTGTTCCTCGGCCCTCCCCTTGTGCAGCTCCCATGTTCCATCCTTCACCGCTCCCTCCCCCATCCCTTCCTCGTCAGGCCCCTTGTCTCCACTCACTGGCCATCTCCTCCCTCTCCTCCAGCGTCTTCTCCCTCTCCCCCCTCCCCTTCCTCCTCCTCCCTGGACGGGGGACAAAATCTCGCTTTACTACTAAACTCTACCCCATCCACCCCCAGACCCACCCCCAACAACACCTTGATATGCTGCCAACAAGACCATGAGCGGGTGCTGCATCAAGGCGCAGGTACAAGGTGTTCATTTGTTTACATGCATCAAGACTTCAAACAGTTCTCTCTCGGGTCCCACCATGACATTCCTCACGAACTTTGCGTCGAGATGTGCTGCATCTTTGTGAGATTTTCAGCCTACACGAGGCCATGGCGCACCTGCGCTATCCGAGAATGCCTGCATGCCTTGCCGAGCTCCCACAGCTGGACCTGCAAAACATATCATGGTGGAAGTCAAGAGCTTTCCTGACCTGCAGGCTGGCCCAGTGGTAGAGCAGCCCGGTTACCTCCCCTGCTCTCTCCGCCGCTTGCTTGCTGATGCCTCCAAGGATCTGCAGGTCGCTGAGCAGAAGAGGAGGGAGGACGGCGAGGACCTGGGAGGGAGCAGAGAGCTCGTCGCCCGCAGCCAGGGGGTCGAAGCTTCGCATCTGGGCGATCAGCTCGCCTGAGCGGCGACGAGGAGAGTCAGGGAGGAGAGGTCATGGGTAGAGGACGCACCCTTCTTGTTGAGGCCGAGGTCGATGTACTTCTTCAGCACGTTCCAGTCGCACATCCTGCAGACACGATGAGCCGACAAGCGCGTCCTCCCTGCTCGCGTGCCTGTTCTGGTTGACGTACTGGTTCCCGAGGATGGAGAGGATGACCTGAGCACACAGCCGTGTCAGGACGTGGCCATGAAGTCAAGAGTCCCCCTACTTCCCAGAGCTGGCAGAGAACTTGAGGAGGGTTCGTGTACCCCCTGTTGTCAGGTTTGAGTTTGGTGGAGCATAAGGAAGGGCCTCAACCTCATCTCGACGATCTCCGCGCGATAACATCTCAACCTCTCTTCCATCAGCCCCTTCCACACCTTGTGCAACATGATGAGAAGCAGCTGGCAGGACTGACGATCCGTCCTCACCCTTCCGAAGACTATCAAGTCCCGCATGTCGATCTGACGGCTGCCTCCCTCGGGCGTGCTCAACGTCGGCGTTCTTGACAGCAGCACGCTCCAGAGAGACAGCGGGTCTTCCCGCAGCTCGTCTCGCGTTCGTAGCTTCTGCACGATGGAGTGCAGAGAGCTGGTGCTGCTACGGCGACACGAGTCAGGGGCCACCATCTCCCTCTCAAGGGCTGACCTTGACTTGGCAAGCTCCTGGTCGAGTTGAGCGAGCAGGTCGGGAGGAGGGTAGATGTGGCTGTCAGAGATCTGAACTGCCCCGGAGGCCTCCAGCAGCTGACTCTGGCTCTTGGTGTCCTCGTATGCGTGAAGCTTGTTGGCAGACTCGTCGAACTTGAGGATCTTCTTGATCCTGTTGGAGTTCGAGTTGGACGTCGTGGAAGTTCCTGTCCACTCGGAGAAGTACATCACGTCTGACGCCTCTGACCTTGCCGTCACAGACAAGTTCGAGCTTGCAGGAGTATCTGCAATTTGCTCTTTCCTCGTCGCGCTGTGGAGGGGTCGGCGAGTCCTAGTGTCAGGCTTGACCTCGTTTGACAACTGGTCGGCAGAATCTTCTTTCCACCCGCAAGATGGGCAGACAAAAAATCCGCCAGCTCCGTCTTTCTGCGTTCTTTCATGATTGGGTTTCTTGACTGAGCTTCGCAGCACGTAGGCTGCCTCTTGCAGCTGCTTCCGCAGCTCTTCCTCTCTTGCCAAACTTTGCTTCAAACACACGCTAACCAAGGGAGGCAGGGCAGACTGTTCACCTCTTCTCGAAGCTGCTTCTTTCATCCACCAGCATCTGGTTTGCAGCCGCCAACTTCCTTTCGGTCTGCGGTCCGATCACTTCGTCTAAGGGCGTGTCTGCGTCGGCTCTTACCGAGTCCAACTTTTCCAACAAAATCTTGACCGCCTCTGGAGAAAGAACCTTCCCTCCCGGTGTCGGCTTGTTTGAGATTTCCGTCACTGACTTCAACCTGGCGGGACTGCACCAGTCAAAGGCTCTTGATAACATGCACACAGCACAAGCATCTTGTACTTCGGTTTCCCATCAGGGCCCGTCCGTTCCTGCCGGTGCTCTTAGTTCCCCAAGAGTTCCCGCAGAGGAGCAGTATGGGCTACCTCCTCGATCCGGAACGACGCTCTGATGGCCACGTCAGGGATGCTACCTCCCATCCTGATGTTTCTGCGGCGGAAGGATCACTCGAACATGCTACAGCTGGCGGGTTACTCACCTTCCAAGGCCAAAGCTGATCTCATCTCCATGCTCTAGCTCAACTTGATGAACCTTGCGGCCGTTAACGTACGTCCCATGCTGAGCATCGGTCATGTGTGATAAGACAACAAGGATCATGTGTGATAAGACAACAAGGATCATGTGTGATAAGACAACAAGGATCATGTTCGATAAGACAACAAGGATCATGTTCGATAAGACAACAAGGATCATGTTCGATAAGACAACAAGGATCATGTTCGATAAGACAACGAGGATGGTACCTCGGTGTCATTGCACCTCACTTGCCATGTTTCGCCAACTGGTACAAGACTGGCGTGACGCCTAGAGCTTTGAGTCACATGCGAAGTTCAGCTCGAAGGCACCTCTCAATGAAATCATGATTCAAATGAATGTCGCAGAGTTCCTTGCTCGATCCAATCCACCATGTCCGCTGTGAAGAAAGGCTAAGTCTTCCAAACGTTTCGATCGTGGCTTTCAAAAATTCCAAAGAAGAAGGAACTTACATCTGTAGAAAGTGTGTATATTTTATACGCATTGTCCTGAAATGAAACAAATCAAGTTAAACCTTTCAGAATCGCTTTACACACACTTTCACTTCACATTTTTGCAACGATTTCTCCTCATCATAATCTGTCTCCTCTTTCTTCCTAGAGTTCTTTCTCTCCTCTCGGAGGCTTCCGAGTCATCGTAGGGCCCCGCCTCCTCCTCTCCCTCTGTCTTCACTTCCTCTTCTCTCCTCGACTCGTCGTGACCTCCTTACCTTGTCGTCCCTCTTGCCCGGCATCGTTCGCAACGTCCACGGCATTGCGCATGAAAGTTTGAAAGCTGGTGACTACCTTTACACATAAAAAAAAGAAACAAAAATCCCTTTTTTCAGCCTTCAGAGCAGAAAAATGTGTGGGGCCGCATCGTTGTTGTCAGGACGATGAGAGGAGGAGGGGAGGAGGAGAACTTGATCAGCAGGCAGCACGATGGCAGGGAGGAGGAGGCATAGTAAGCTGGTGATGAGACAACTTTGACCTCGGCAGGACCGTCTGTGAGTTGTATCTGTGGGGACTATGAAGCGATCTGTGCACGGTACCTGGCTGCCCTTGGGTTTGAGGAATCTTCTGCTGCTTGCAGCTGTCTGCTGCACAGATTCTTTCATTCTGAACTCGCCAAAACCATGCTACACCCGAAATCCTGGCAGATCGGCATGGACTTGTTCACTTGGAGGCAGAGAAAGGCCGATGCAGACTGCGCTCTACCATTTCATAAGGCAGGGAGCTCCAACGAGGACTACCTGTCTTTTGAAAACCAACCATGTGGATGAGAGCGGATATGGAGATGGTGTGCCTCTGCAGAAAAAGGTTGTACTCAAACTTGTGCTCTTGTGGAAATGGATGGCGCAGCGCATCAAACTCTTAGTTTTATCATTTCTGACCATTTTCCTTTCTCTCTCAATCCAACTGAACGCAGCGCAAGCGGCGTCAATCTGCATACCTGTTCCCACATTTAACGGCATTGGACATGTTTGCATCGAATCTGGCCCAAATAAGCCCGAAAAGCAGACCCCAGAGTATGTCAATCCCCAGCAAACCCCCGCCAACGGCGAAGGAAACATTCTGAGCCGAGCAGGGTTTCGGCCACAGACGATGTTCCAGGAATCCTGGGCAAGGATCCAAGCAAGTGCAAGATGGAAGTTGATAATGATGGAAGAGGCGGATGCTCTATATCAAAGTTCACAGCAGATGGATGAGAGGTGGGTACTAGAACGGCTCCGAGACCCGGCGTTGTTGATTTACGGAGAGAGTGACATTCCTAGGAGCCAAATCGTTGCTGGCATGATAGATCCTGTTGTCACTGGCTCTTTCGTCTTTTTCGGTATCTACTTGGTCAGACTTCAGATCTGGAGAGCGATCAGAGGGGTCTGCTTTCGGTACCAGAAAGCCAATTCCATCCTTGTGATCAAAGCACAGATCGTTGTTCAGGGGACGATGCAGTTCGACTGATCCAGACGTGCCAGACTATTGCTCGTAAGGCTGCTGAAGAAATTTTTCCAATCGATTTTGATGAGAATGGGGTTATAGAGAAGGAAAGTCTGCCCGAGAATCAAGTGTTGGCGGCAGCAGTCCGGTACTCCTCCATGGTTTTCTTAAACGCTACTCGGCAGGACGTCGTAGTCCATCGAGTCGTCGCCGACGAGTTCAAAGCGTCGGAGGTGGAGAAGGCGTTTGAGGCCTGGGAGAACACCTTAATGGAGGAGGAGTTCCGTGGCGTCCCAGTCGATGAGTACCCCCACAAGCCAGGGGAGTTCCAAGTGGGGTCATGGGATGAGAAGCCGAAACCTGCCATCACGGGAATCGCACTCGAGAAGCGCGCAGAAGCCATCGAACTTGTTGAAGATGGTGCGGGAGACTGGAAGGAGATCTTGTGGATGAACCCCCGACGGAAGGCTCCTGTGGAGTACGCCATGATACCTCCGTCGACGAGGAGCATCGAGGAGCAAGAATTCATCGAAGATCGTCGAGCAGCAAACCAAGATCGAGTTCACAAGATTCTCTTTAACAAGACAGGAGGATACCTGAAAAGACTGCAGGAAGTTCGCAAGAGGAGGGAGCTTCCCCTTGCCACAGCTGAGGAGTGGAAGGAGGCGAACAAGACAGGAGGGATGATGGATGATGATGATGATCGATTCATCGATATCAGGAAGGCGGATTTCAACAAGCTCTATACGGAGGAGTACGGTGATGACTGGAAGAAAGACTTTCCAGAAGATTTCAAGGCAGTCAAGGAGGAGAATTTGAGGCTCATCCAGGAGCTGAAGGAGTGGTATCACAAGGAGAGGGGAAGAAATTTCAACACTCCGGCCGACGTTCTCAAGCTGTCCGGTCTCCAACTTCAGAACGTATCGTCAGGGATAAACTTGGGGAAAGACTTTGACTGGAACGTGGTGAATTCAGCCGATGATATGGTGAAGATCTTGAGAGAAAATGCTGATGAAGAGACTGCAGGGGAGGCGATGACAAATGACTTGAAGAACTCAACGGTGCAAAGGAAACAAGACGCAGGCATGGCTCAAGACAGCAACAGAATTCCAGTAGAAGTAGAATGGGTGTTGGATGGGATCGATGAATCAATTCGCAAGGAGTTGGAAGAGTTGGAATGCACGTCAATGTTCGCAACTGAGCTCTACAGAATTATGCAGGAAGCCAAGAACGTTCTGATTGCCATGTCAAACCCTGAATCACTCTTAATCGATGGCTTGCAGTTCGCAGCTCCCGATGAGAAGGCTCCCTCCATTGGACAAATCATAAGCTCACTTTCAGAATCCGACAAGGTGTCGACAGGGAATTTCCCTTCAATGATTATGGAACCAGAGAGTCAAAACTTCACGTGGCAGACTTCAAACGATTCGTCTCTGCTCGCCCTCGCAAATGCGTCGAAGACGCTTGAGGAGTACGAAGCTGAAGTAGCAGCTCAGCAGTCATCTGAAAATTTCTCGCTCCCAGTGGACATGACTCTCAAAGATGTCGTCAGAGGTGAGATGCCCCATCGTGACATGTTGATGTGAAATTGGTCACGACAGATGTGGGCAACGAACTCATTCAGTCTTGCGTGCTCAACTTTCGGTGGAGGAGCAACGACCGAGAAAAGGTGAATTTCACTCTCCTTCACTCCACTTATCTTACATCGGTATGCTGCAGTCGGAAAAACTCGAAGAGGCCTTGAAGAGGACGGTGCAGTCAAAATCCTTCAGCAGGATTGTTTCCAAAGGCGTCTTAGGGAGAGATGAAGTTGTAGAGATGGGAGAAGAAGTGCCGCAGAACGACTCGAACAAGGAGGAACGACATCGCAGGGCAGACAGCTTAATCTCCTTGATCGGGGAGAGCGAAGAGCTAGAGAAGCAGCTGGATGATTACGTCATCTTCGACCTCAATGCTCTCGGGATAAACATCTCGCAAGGGGAGACTTCCAACCTGACCCTGTCGAACCAGACTTTACAGCAGGTCACGGCTTGCAAGCTGATGCTGCCCAGGTGGCAGTGGACTGTCCTGAAGAGAAACAAGGAGCTGCAGGAGCGAATCTCTCTCAGATTCTTTGATAAGTTGTGCGTGTACATGACTGACTTGCAAGACAACAACAAGGACCCGGCGGAAACTCTGAGCAACGACATGCAGGCGATGCTCGACGAGGTCATGGACAAGCTGGAAGAGTTTGTAGAGCCAGATCAGGACAGTGCGGAGCAGGTGCAGACTGAACTGGTCATAGAAGAAGCACAGAGCCTTCAGAGCTCGAAGGAGCAGGAGGAGAAAGAGAGAAAGTTCGCCATTGCGAACCGAGCGGCCTTCGGCTTCCCTGAGCCTCATTGCGTGGCGACACTGATGGTAGTCATCAACTTGACGGGTTGAGATGAAAGTGACGAGTCGCCCAGGTCAACCTCTGCCTCCCCAAATCTGACTCCGCGTAATCCCTTCCCCCCCCTGTCCCGTCTGTCTGACCTGCTACAGCAAAAAGCTCATCGCCTCCGCTCGGACTGCCATGGAGGCAGAGAGTCTGCCGGCGTTTGCCGCTCTCATGGAGAACTTGACGTACTCAGGATGCGTTCCGAAGAATCTCGTGGTAGATGGGGGAAAAGGGGAAGGGGAAGGGGGAGAGGAGAGAAGGGGAGGAGGGAGAGGAGAGGAGGGGAGGAGGGAGAGGAGGAGGGAGTGGGGTTTGGAAGAGAGACGAAGGACATTCTGACTGATGGATGGCAAGGGATTCGAGCTGCTCTGGACGACAGAAGCACAGCGAGGATTCGAGATCGAAGATGTGAGGGAGGAGGAGGGGCGCTGGGAGAGGGAGAGGACGAGGGAGGGGGTGGGAGAGGAGCTGGGGGAACAGCAGGAGGTGGGAAGGAGAACAATGGGGGAGATGGCATTGGACTAAAGTGCGGCAGATCCTGACGCGGAAGCGGCTGGAGAAGAATTATCCTGACCTCTGGATTGTATCCCTGCTTGCTTTATGTGCCGCCGCCCCTAACTCTCGGCGCTAGGCGAGGATGAGGGAGGCGAAGCAAAAGGAGCTGGAAGAGAAGCAGCGGCAGGCGGAGCAGAGGAAGGAGGAGGAGAGGAAGTACCAGAGCCGACTGGAGCTGGAGAAGATGCAGGCGCGGGACCTCTTGATGCCCCCGGAGTAAAGGACTGAGGCGTGCATGGTTGTACATTTACAGCTCCTCCTCCCTCTCACCGAGCCTCTAAGCAGTGATACTCCAACCCTGCAAGACCTTTCAGCCTCTCACCTCCCTTGCCACTCCATTTTCCTCAATCGCCCTCACTCTCCTTTTCATTCCCTTCCTCCCACTCCACCTCCCCCTCCCCCTCCTCCTCCTCCTCCTCCTCCTTCCCCTTCGCTCACAATCTCTTGCCAGCCCCTCACCTGATTGCACCGCGCGCATCAGTTCTTTCTCTGCCGTCTTGCTTCCTCCTCGCGCCTGCCCTCGTCATCAGAACTCTACGCAAGCACCAAGGTCCCACCATGGCCAGCAGCTTCCGCAAAACTTTCGGTGCCGTAGGAGCAGAAATGTGAACCATCTGTAGGCAGGCAGGTGTTCAGGTATGGATGGAGGAGTGGAGGAGAGGAGAGAGGGAGAGGAGGAGTAGAGGTGACGTAAGTACGAGACTCACTTGGGAAGCAAAGCTTGTGGCAGAAAGCTGAACACCATCGTCTTCAGAGCACATGCAGAGGAAGTGCCTGCACCACGATGAGAGAGGTTGAGTGGAGAAGAGAACGGGAGCGGAAGAAGCAGGAGAAGAGCAGGAGGATGAGAAGGGTTTAGAGGAGAGATCATACTTGTTGGCTATTCGAGTAGCCGATTCAGGGAGGATCCGCGCAAGGCGGAGGAGGAGGCGATAGACGAGAATGCGGATAGAAGAGCTTCGAGCTGTTGTCTGCAGTGAAATGAGTCATTGTCTACATTCCTCTCTCCTCCCCCATAATCGCCCTCAGCTGTCACTATGATCATCTCTATCTCCTCCTTCCTCGTTGAACCCCCACAGACACACAGTCCTCCTCCTCCTTCTCACTTCTCCTCCTCGACCTCCTTCTCACTCCTCCTTCTCGTCCTCCTTCTTTTTGTCCTCCTCCTCCTCCTCCTCCTTCTCACTTCTCCTCCTCGTCCTCCTTCTCACTTCTCACTTCTCCTCCTCCTCCTCCTCCTCCTCCTCCAACACCTCCCCCCTCCCTCCTCCTCCTCCTCAGTCCTCCCTGCACTCACCAGGTCCAGCAGAGGCCTCTCAAGGCAGGACAGCGTCTGCAAGTTTACTTCCTCAGTGATGAGAGCGTCTGCCTCCTCCAGCGCCTGGGCTGCGTCAGCGCTCGAAGGGTCAACGCGCCTCCTCCCACCTGCGTCAGACCGCGGTAGGCAGAGGACTCGTCCTCGCTCGCTCGCTCTCCTGTCCCAATCATGCGGATGCTCCTCCTCAGTCGAAGACGCGAGCTGCTGGAGTGTCAGCAGGAAGGAGAGGAGGAGGGGAAGAGCAAGGAGAGAGGAGGGAGGGAATCTCAAGGTAAAGGAGCTCCAGGCAAGGGAAGGAAACAGGAACGGAAAAGAGAGCAAGAAGAGAAAGAAGAGCAGGAGAGAAAAAGGGAGAGGGAAAGGAGGAGGAGAAATTGCTTTGACTCACGATATGTCTTCCACTTGACGGCTGGCACCGTGAAGTTCTTGCAGTCCCAATCCCTGCAAGGCCGTCAACGCCAGTACGCCACCACCACCACCACCACCACCACCACCTCCTCCTCCTCCTCCTCCTCCTCCTCCTCACACAGACCTTCACGAAGCTCGACGGGTTGAGCAACTCCAGGAGGGCTTGCAACTCGGGAACGTCTTGCAACAAGTCAGGAGGAAAGAGGACAGCAGCGAAGCAGCAGACGAAAGAGAGAAGGAGAGAAGGAGAGGGGCGAGAAGGATTGGAAGAAGTATCACCTGGGTACCAACCGCAGAGCTTCTCGAGGAGGGGAACATTCCTTGTTCAATTGTCAGACAACTGGCAGCACCGAAGGTGTCAAGTAATTTATTACTCTCTGACGTGTCCAGCTGAGGGTGAGCTGGACTTGACGACACTCAGGCAAAGTCCCTGGCGTGTCGTCAGCTCAGGGGCACCTAGAGGCAGCAACGCACCATGAACTTGCTCAGCAGCGGCTTCAGCAGCTCCTCCCTCCTGGCGGTGCTGGCGTAGAGGAAGAAGAATTCTTCGAGGACGAGAGAGAGCGCACTGGTGGATCCTGTCAGACCAGGCGAAGGCGAGAAAGTCCGGCCAGAAGAGAAGCAGGTAGAAGGGAGAGGAGATAAATGATCTGGACGAGCACGAAAAGACGAGGACGATAGCGAGGAGGAGGAGCAAAAGCTACAGACACAGCAGCAGCAGGATGGGGAGCAAGAGTGGCTCACGGGCTGTTGAGCGAAAAAGGCTTCGCAGCTTCTAGGATGGTGATGACGTGGGAAAAGAGCTGGGGTCCGTTCCTCTGCCATCAACCTTCACATACACCCCAGCTGAAAGGGCATGTTCCCACCTCGACGAAGTCCGCGAGTCGCAGCATCGCCTTGCCCGAGCAGAGGGAGCGGATGGAGAGCATGTGGTTCGCGATGAGCGCGGGATGGGCGCATGCGATCTGTCGGGCGACCACGATGGCTTCCTGGGCCTTGGACTTGTCTTGCAGGAAGATCAAGACGTTCTGCGGTCAAGGTCAGGTCAAGTGCTAGCCGTCCATGAGCAAAGAACAGGAGCGAGAGATCAGAGGGATGGAGGGGTTGGGATTAAAACCAAGAACAATGAGCCAAAGAAAGGGTGACTAGACAAGATCGTCACAGTCACAAACCTGCAACAGCCTGTCCAACTTGGCAGTTTGTCGGATCAGCGCAGTGCTCGAAGAAGTTTTCCTGCTATCCCCCTTGAGCTCCTGCATGATCTGCAAGAGCTCCTGCTGGGCAACGACTGGCAATCCCGCTGCTCTTGCAGACAGCTGGAGAGGAAGGGACATCCTGAGTCGCTCGTAGAGGTCTAGAGCTGCAAACTTCAGCTCCAAGGAAGCATCGACCCTGTCGACCTTCCCCCTTTCCATCCCTCTCTCATCCCCTTCACTTCCTGCCTCAGAGTCCCCGTGTGCCCCTGTCAAGATATCGAGCAGGCAATCTCGCACGGCACTCGCCGAGCAAGTCTCGTTGGCGACTCCCTCCAGCAGCAGCTGGATCCTCCCCATTCTGATGCTTCCCCGCTGCTCGTTTGCCAGACTCTCGCAGACGATGAGCAGAGCGAGCGTGACGCACTCCTCCGCCTTGAGCCTCCTCAGTCCAGTTCCGATGCCGCTGTTCTCCTTCCTTGTCTTGGTCTCCGAGACTTCTCCCCCTCCTCCCTCACCCCAGTCTCCTTCTCTCACCCTGCTGCTCCCCAGCATGCACGCAGACAGAACGTCGAGCGCCATGGCACAGTCGACTTGACCCTCGCACGTTGACTCTCCTGAGCCTTCAAATGTCATGGCGCTTTGCGGCTTGCGGAAGACAAGATGGTTGAGAAGGAATGAGGCACACGCCTGCAAGCCCGAGCCCCGGTCGTGCTGGAGAAGAGCAGAGCACAAGACAGCATGACGAGAAGAAGTTCCGTTGCCCACCGAGAAAGCAGAGGCGACGATCTCCCCCAGAGAGTCCGAGGAGCCTTTCACCATCGACAGCGCGTTCAGAGCATAGAGGAGGTCGCAGGAGGAACCGTAACGCCGACGATCCCGCGACTGGCGCAGCATGTCCAGAACCAACTCGCCCCAGACGCCACGTGACTTCACGTCTGTCTCGTCCAAGTCCATGTTGCTGCCCTGCAACGCCAGGCCCGACGACTTGGGGCCCTCGAGGGCTTCACGGAGTTTCTCATGAAAGTGCGCATCCTGGTTCGACCTGCGTGCATCACTCGTTCAACGGCTCCAGCAGCTTCAGATGTGATCAGGGGTACCTCTCCTCCTCGCCCAACGGCAGCAGCCCCTCCATAGTTGTTTCACACGTGCTCCCGTCGTCCTTCTTCACGCTCACCTTCCCGCTGGTGTTGATGGAGACGATCGTTCCCTTCACACGCTCCGAGCTGAGACAACGAAAACGCAAGTCACTTTTCGTGCAAATGACAGCTCGAGAAAATCGAAACAAGTTGAAAACAGACAAGTCAAGTCAAAGTCTCTCCTTCATCCTTCTCACAAGATCGTCCTGCGCGTCTCTCACCTTAACATGATCGTCTCCCCGACAAAGAAGGTCCTCGTCACCGAAGAAGTATCCCCTTGCAACCTCCAACTAGCAGGACAAGAACATCACGTGCAAGGTGCAGACAGAAGAAACAGCCAAGGAAAAGTCAGAGAACGAATCGATAGCGAGACAGACGTCATGATTCAAAGAGGTTCATGTCACTCACAAGAGAACGTTGTGATCCGGGCTCCCAAAGTCGACGGCAAGGTGGCCAGGGAGGAGGCAAAAGCTCTTGCGCACGGCAGAGATCTTCTGGGTCGCGTCTTCCTTTGGTTCAAACGTCAACGTCCAGACCGGCCCCCACGTGCTGCTCCTCTCCCTTAGCGATGCGACCCTGCAGGCCCACCAGAAGGGCACCGCTCTCAGCAGCCCTCCATCTGCTGAGCTCCACATGGGGAAGCAGATCTCTAGTTTCAAGTGATCCAGGTCGCCGCCCCCGACAGCTTGACGTAGAGAGTCGAGGCAGCTGGGAAATTCCTTCTTCGCCACGTCAAGGTCCAACTCCTGCGCCAGCTCCTTGTGAGCGGCAAAGTCGAGGAGGAGGTCGTCGACAGGTGGAGGGGCGAGGACTTTCGGGGGACCGTAAGAGAGCTCGAGACGCTCCGACAGCCACGATGACTCGCGCGGGAAGTCAGAGGACAACATCCTCACGATGCGAGCACCAGTGCCCAGCTGGATCTGAGACTTCAGGTCGACGTCGGCTGGGCTCTGCTCAAGCCGAGAGACAATGGTAGCCAGCACCTTGACGTTGAGGCCGAAGACGCTGAGCGACTCTACCATCTGCTGGGCCGTGCAGACTCCCAGCGCCGCATCGACGAGGCGTTGGAGCTGAGACTGAAGCATGATGAGGAGATCGTGATAGTCGAGCTCGAGGACAGAGAGCGCTGCGTGATCTGAGACCAGGATTGAGATCAACTTCTCCCGCTCCTCGTAGTTCTCCGTTCCTTCCATACAGAATTCATCCTCCAAGCAGATGGCATGGATGCCGGCACGAGCGAGATCCCTCGTCATCACATAGTCTCCGATCTTCACGAAACTCTCGTCCTCCATCTCGTCCTTGCGGTCTGCTTGAATCGCCTCGAGGAGTGTCTTGCGGAGGACGTGGGCGCCATCTTCGAGCTTAGACAAGTACGTCACCAGGACTCTTCTCTTCAGAACAAAGTTTGCAACTTCTTGCGCCAGGGAGACTGAGATGACATCTTGCATGGATCGCAGGCAGAGCAGATAATCCAAGAGCAGCTGAACATCGGTCTCTGTGAACAAGGCCCCGAGCAATCTGCTTCGCAGGTTTTCACGCAGGGCATCTGGGACGTCGAGGGCCAGAAGAGCCTTCAACCAGCTCTCCTGCTGTTGGTTCTGCTTGTCTTGATTCAGGATCTCGGGAGAAAGGACAGGAGAGGCCTGTGCTGTGTCAGCCTCCGACCTCAAGGGGGGAGTTGACGAGGGGGCAGCAAACTCTACAGGAGTCTTGGAGTTCGGCTCCGGCACCACGGACCCTTCAGCATCGTTTGTCACGGCTGAGGTGATCAGGTCAAGGGCCTTGACGGCAATTTTCCTCTTGCCCTCATCGATGCTCTCAAGGAAGTCAACGAAGAACGTTATTCCCATCCAGTCTTGCTCCCACGTCTGCCATGACAATCAGTCTTGAGGTCCAGCACTTCTGCCCGCCTCTGTCATACCTCAGCAGTGCTAGTCTTGATCGAGCGGGCCAGGCGAGTCACGAGTCGTTTGACTGAATTTGAGGGGTCAGCGAGCAGCGAGAGGACGGCAAGTGCGCTCCTACCTCCAAGATTCTGCTCCACGTGATTGTACAGGAGCTGGCAGATGGTGACTGCCGGCAGAGCTTCCACGGTGGAGGGATACACCTCCAGGATGTCGCCTGCAGACTGAGTCAGCACAGCTCTCCGAACGAGATCACTTCACCGAGCCACTGCACACAAGAGGAGTCGGAGCCATGCGCTTTGATCGTCTCGAGCAACATGTCGGGGTTCCGTGACTGCCGCAGGATGTTCCCCAGACCAACTTTCGTGTCCAACTGAACGAAGAAGGTCACGCAGCAAACAAACATCAAGAGATTTTCACCTTCTCAAGATCCGCCAGCTTCTCCTTCGGTGGAGAGCGTGCTGGCCCCGTGGGGTTGACAACGACAGAGATCTCTAGGAGCTGTTGAAACCTCTCCTTCTCCGGTAAATTCTGTGATGACCTCAGATGATGCCGACTGCAAAGAGCAGGGACAAAAACACTCACTGTGCTCTGAAGCTGCTGGCGAGCCAGATCGATGGCAGCCAACTCCTTGTTCCTGGCGATCAGGTCTTGTTGGAGGACTTCGTTGACTTCTTCTTCCTTCTGTGAGCTCGATGGATGCGAAGGAGACTTGATCTCGTCTGCATTCCCTTGGCCCGTGCGGATAGGTGGAAAGCAGAATCGACGCATCACCAGCATCTGAAGCATCACCCGAACAGTCGGGATGCTCGACCATGCCACCTGCCCGAGGGTCTCTGGATTGAGAGCAGCAAGGATGGTAATGATGACGTAAGCCTGGGGAGCAAGGAAAGTGAGTTGCAGCCATGGATCTCAAGTCGCCCGACCTGCCACAGCCGCTCGTAGGGAGCCAATCCTTTCAGGAATGGATACAAGTTCGCATACGTGCAGAGCTCCAGTATGACCTCCCAGATGCTGACGCCTGCCACACATGAATCGCAATCAGAGGGGCAGACAATCAAAACATCGCACGCTCACCCATCACAGAGATCTCAAGGTTATCCAAGTTATCTCCACCATCGTCGCTCGGCAGAGGGGATGATTTGCCAACGATGGAAAGTGCTCGTGAGATAATCTTCTCTAGGATATCCAACACCAGCCAAGGCTCCACCAAGAAGCCCGTTGGTCGACTCCTCCCCCACGACGCGATCTCAAGGAGTGATGTTTCCGTCACAGCCATGTCACTCTGCAGCCGGTTGATGCCAGCTTTCTCTTGCGTCTCAAGGACTAGAGTTTCTGAGCCGTATGACGTAGATTTGTCGCAGAAAAGCAACTTTGTCACCGCTGCCACGAACTTTTCCCCTTTCAAGTATCGCACAAGCACCCTTGACAACCACAAGATGGCCATCTCTTGAATCCTTACAACCTGATAGCGAAATTTTGACATCGACTTGTCTAATCTTTGCTCGCTGCTCGATAAATTTCCTCTATCCGCATGTACCGGCGCCTGCACGGCCTCCACCGTCTGCCCAGCAACGAAGATGCAGACGAAGCAGACTAGCTCCACCATCGCCCATGCCCACTTACTTCGCTCCTCCTCGGACGGCTCATGCTCCATCTCTTCGACAGGATCCATAATTGCCTTGCAGAGAGCAACAGCATCAAGCTCGGGGGTTCCTTGGAAACTCTGACAGCACTTGAGAACCTGTCGATTGAGAGTGAGAACACAAACAAAAGAAATCCAAAACGAGAAGGATGGGGGTAGGGCAGAGTGAAAGGGTCGGACCTTGCGAAGAAGAACAGGTAAAAGGTCGCAATTATCTGCATCCTTGGCCAGTAGCTTCAGCGTGAAAGCAAGCTCGACTTCTCTCGGAGTTCTTCCCATGATTGCATAACTCTCTGCGCGCAAGGCCTCCATGAAACTCACAGATGCTTCTGAAGCCGGCATGACTACCACAGGGATGTTCAGCTTTCCCGGCTGCCATGACTTGGGGTTTTGATTCTTAGGTGAAGAATTTACAATCAGAACCAATCCTGCTGCTCCTAGGCTGTGTAGCTTGTTGGCCAAGTCGTGGATTCGAGACACGTCACGGTTTTCAGCATCGGAGTTGTCGCCGAAGAGATCGGATTCCGACGCCACCACAACACGATCTTTAGATGCATCACCTTTCAATGTATCGGGGCTGTACGTCTTGAGCTTGCCCCGCACGACGTACTGAATGCTTCCAATGCCGAAGTCAAACACCGAATGTCTCTCCAGCCCACTGCCACTCTCAGGGCTTCGCTCGGTGGAGAACAGAGCGCAGCCAGCATTCTTGAAAAGAGTGCTTATTTGATGCATGTTCCTGAGCGCCTTGTTCGCCTGCAAATCTCCAGATCGCATCTCGGACTCCATGAGCTGGTACATGGCCACGTGTTGGAAGTGAATGTTGGTCTTGCAGATCGTCGCGATCGCCTCGTTGTGCATCTGGATGGCGTTCGCCTTGGGTTTCATTCGGAGCAGAGTGACCATGGTGTCCCTCTCCATCTCAGAGTCCTGCAAACAAGAGACGGCCAGCCGGGGGAGGATCTCCTTCACGTAACGGACGAGGTTGGGGTTGTTGATCCAGAAATCCAACTTCTGGACCACCATCTTCCTGATCGGCTCGTACACCACCAAGTGGGACAGCACGCGAAGAAAGTTCTGCAGACGCTTCTGATTTGCCTCACTGCTGGTCGAGGGGTCGATGCAGCGTTTCACCACCTCCAAGGAAATCCTTGCAATCTCCTGCTGCAGTGGTGCGCTCCTGAACCGTGGGCGGACCGGAGACTTTTCCGCTGGAGCGCCGGAGGAAGAAGAGAGCTCTAGGTTCTCCATGCCTTCTTCGTTGAAGTAAGATGCACTCGCCCCCGAGTTGGCAGAGGTTGGGCGGAGCGAGGGAGACTCCGAGGCCGCGATCTTTCTTCGTTTGCTGTCAGGCTCCTTCGATGACGATTGTGACTTGGTGTCTGACACGACCGACGTGGCATCAGACTGCCCCGGGAATGCAGTCAGGATGTTCGAAACGAGAACCGACGCCTGTGGGATATCCACCCACATCCGTTTCTCCGATGCGTCCTCGAGATACGCCTGAACCAGCGAGATGGGCCAAACCTCCAGCTCCTCGTGACCTGCCATCAAGAGCGAACATGTGAGCTGATGCTGCACGATGCCATCACGTGGTGCACTCAATCCAGAACTCCATCGCAGCACCTCCAACAAAGAATCAACCACCCTCTTGTAGCCAAAGATTTTTGGACATTTCTTGGAGATCTCTTGCAAGCCCGGTACAGTATCCCCGGCAGCAGAGATGGATTGAGTCACTCTTGGATTCTTCAGCAGGATGATTCTTGGTTCCAAGATCGAGCTGACAGCTTCTTGATTGTCCTTGTCTTTGAGTACTGTGTTCACCCACTCGGGTATCTTCGTGGACATACTTGAAACAAATATGAACAAAGATCGTAAAAACTTTGGCTGAGTCAGTCAAACGCCTTGTCAATCCTGTAGTTAACCCTGACTTTCTCCTATTTCTCCTCTGCTGGCAGCATAACCAAGGTTCTTCAGCGAGTTACCCAGTGGCTGTCACTGGCCTCCCTGGCAGGAAGAGCAGCTTTGATCCACTTTACCGCTTGTTTGTCCCACCTGTCCTCTTTCTCTCAGCACATCTTGTCGTTCCCTTCCTCCTTCTCTCCCTGCTGCTCCATTGCTTCCTCCTCCCCCCTCCTCTTCTCCACCCCATGCCTGTGCATCGCAGAAGCAGAAATCCCCCTGAGCCTTGACGACACCCAAAAGTTCGTGATTCCCTATGAAAAGTTCCTTGAAACGCGGAGTCACCCGGCGGGGCCCTGTGACCGGCCCGCACTGCAGTGGCCTGACACGTCCGACCGCCGAAGTTAGATCATGAGTCGTGCCGCGCCCCATGATTTGAGTAAAAGGTAAGTGACTGCCGGACCGGACCGTCGGACCGTCCGGTCACCGCCGCGGCCCGCCGGTGACTCAGTGACTTGACCGACTTAAAAGTTGACTCTCAGTGACTGGTCAGGTGGAGACCAGTGACGATGGGTGACCACGGGCGAAAAGCCATGTCTCGCAATGCCCAAAAAGAGGGCAGGGGGGATGGGGAAGAAGGGGAAGGCTCATAGAGAAAGAAGAGACGAGGTATGACATGCTGTCTTTCATTGAGTTGAAATCCGTGTGCTGCTCGTCCTTGTTGCCACAAACTCCATGTTGAGTTTCCCTGCAGGATCCTCAGGTGAAGATTGGTGGGCACTATTGTGAGAGAGCACTGCGGTGATTGAAGGGAGCCCGTCTTCTCTTCGTGCATAGCGTCGAAAGTTTCGCAGCATGTCTGAGCGGAGAACAGAATTCGAAGCCCTACATGGTGATACGGGCAACATAGGGGCCCCGACTGTCGAGGATCAGATCAATGCAATCGGCATGGGGAGGTAGCTCGATGGTCTTGGGTTTGCGTCATTATACTGATATGTTGATGATGACCAGGTTCCAGTACTTCCTCTTGTTCATATTCGCGCTCATGGTGATTACTGATGGGATGGAGATGGTGGTTATCAGGTACAGACAGCGACGTTGCCGGTGGCATACCTGACCACTTGACTGTGCAGTTTGCTGTATTCAGCGCTGCATACGGAGTGGGGGTTGAGTGAGCTGGAGGAAGGACTCCTTGCCAGCGTCATTTTCACTGGTGAGTGACAAGAGGAACGTTTGATGCGCTGATGCTTGTCAAGGCTTTTTATTTGGGAACCTCGTCGGTGGTTACCTTGGGGATGTATGGGGTAGGAGGAACACGCTTGTGCTCTCCGGGGTCCTCTTCTTGATAGCAGCTACGCTCTCTGCCTTCTCTCCCGACCTCATCACTCTCTGCATCCTGCGCATGTTCGTTGGCTTCGCGGTTGGCTGCAAGCTGCCGGTGTCCATGACGATCCTCGTGGAGCTGACGCCCTCCAAGAGCCGAGGGTTTTACGGCATGGCGCTGTCTGGCTTCGCCTTCTCGGCAGGAGAGATGTTCGTGTGCTTGGCTGGGATCATCATCCACACGCTCGACACCTCCCCTGACTGGCAAGCTCTGCCTGAGTTCCCCGTGACCTCTGACCGCAACCTGCTGCAGGTGGAGAACCTTGCTGATCGCCTGCGTGCTGCCGGACATCATTGCAGTTCCGCTAGTATGGTTTTACATGCCAGAGAGCCCGCACTTCCTCTTGACTCAGGTGCGTGTCCAGCTCGGGAGGTTCGCGGGTCTTAAGAGGTTCTCCTGCAGGGCCGCGAGGATGAGCTGGACGCGCTGCTCGAGGAGGTGGCGGTCGTCAACACGGGAAGTCGGAGTGCTCTCTTGCAGGTTGACTGCCGAGAGGCTCTGCGAGTCACCTCTGATTGACCGTTGAAACTCTCAGGACGGTCGTGTCAGGCACGTCCACCACGAGGAGGCGCCTCGAGATTCCTGGCTTGTCCTGGATGTGATGGAGGAGGGAGCGCGGACGCTGTGGTCTGACGCGTGCTGTACAGCTTTTCTCGAGTAAGCTAAGGTCCATCACGACCTTCATGATGATCATGTATGCTTCACTTCTTCATGCTTGTGACCTGCACATGACAAGTACTCTAGATGGTTTGTGTGCTGCTTCACTTACTACGGGCACGTGTTCATCTACCCCATCGCCTTGGAGCAGCGATATCACATGCAGCTCGAGAACGCCTTCTTTGCTGTCTTCCTCTCGAGCCTCGCAGAGATTCCGGGAGTCATTCTGGGGATCATGATCGTGGACATGGAGGGGGTGGGCAGGCGGCGATCGATCCTCGTCTTCTTCATCGCCGCGAGCCTCATGGCGTTGGTGGTCCCCTACTTCACGGAGTCGACGGACTTCCTGATCGGCAATATGGTGCTCAAGAGTCTCATCAACACCCCGTTCTGCATCCTCTACGTGTTCGCGGCCGAGCTCTTCCCCACCACTCACCGGGCATCCGGCATCGCCTTCTGCAGTGCCAGCTCGAGGGTCGCCGGGGCTCTCTCGCCGCTGGTCACGGCCTGGGCCCTGACGCAGTCGGTGGACATCACGTACGACATCTTCGCGCTGGCCATGGCGCTGGGAGCCTTAGCCTCCATCTCGTACGAATACGAGACGAGCCAGGCGCAGCTCCCCGAGTACATGGACGACGCGTTTGACAATACCCACAAGTCGAAGAAGGCGGAGGAGAGGCCTCTCCTCTCCAACCGGGCCTGACCCAGCTGAGTCCCAGCTCGTCGATCCGTTTCCGCTTCTTTACAACAAGTGAATGAAATGTACAGCTTGACAACCTACTTGATGTTGACAGGGGGCGGCCCCTCCCTTAGATCCACAGGGCCACGACTGAGTCTCTTGACAGGGTCACGTCAAAGATGTTCCACTGCCTCTTCAGCCTCACCCGCACGAGACTGCCGTGCTCGCCCAAGAGCCTCTGCTCGACCTCTCCTGGGCTGTGGAGCTCGGAGGATCCGTTGATGCCTACCAGCTGGTCCCCTTCCTCGATCGCCCCGCACTTCTCAGCTGCGCTGCCAGCTCGGATGCGCTGGACCGTGAGGCAGTTCCGGGCCTGGTCGAAGCCGACGATCAGCCCGACGTCCCCGAGCCTCCTGTGACACCCCTGAAAGTCTCCCTCCTCCTCTTCCTCCTCACCATCATCATCATCCTCGTTCGAGCTGGCGTCCAGCATCCTCTTGCGGCGATTGAAGGGCTGAGAGACAGGGGAGGCGAGGAAGGGAGGAGAGTCAAACCTGCTCGGCTCGTCCAAGCAGATCGACGACAGCTTGCCATGAGAGAACCTCGCTGGGGTCACATGACCATTCTCCACCTGCTCCTCGTTGGAGTGGCTGTGAGAGCGAGCCGTGTGCCAAAGAGTCGGGTGCTTCTCCTCCTCCTCCTCATCCTCATCTTCTTCCTCCTCTTCCCGTCGCTCGTTGCGGTCACAAGACCTCCTGCGCTCTCGTCTAAGTTTGAAGACCTTGTTCTTGGCCTTGCAGCAGGAGCTCAACATCTTGGCTCTGAGAAAGCTGTGAGTGGAGGGCGGGGACGGGGGCGATCGACGCGGCCGCTGATCTTGTCCTGCACTTCTCATCGAGCCGTGAGGAGGATTGACCTGCAAGAGGAGCTGCGATAAGAGAGACTCGGTGCGAGCCAACGAGCTCTCGAGCACGTCGAGGCTCTGCTGGACGAGAATGTTGTTGGAGTCATTGGCTCGGATTGAGTCCAGCAGACGGGCGAGCTGCTGCGTCACTTCCAGCTCCTGCATCTCGCAGATCAACTTCTTGTCGACCGTGGAGCTGCAGTAAGGACAAGGCTCAGGGAACGAGGGCCTCCTCGCCGGCGAGTTGACGCTCTCAAGTTTGTGGCATCCAGCCACCCGCACGAGCCCATCGGCTTGCGTGAGCTTCGTGAATGTGTTGGAGCCGCTCTGATCGGTCGCTCGCGCCTGCAGCCCGCGACTCGCGATCGGAAGGATGGGGAACGTGCGCCAGGAGACGTTCGCCTTGGGAGCCTGGTATGTCGGCTGCAACTAAAGGGCAAGAAGTCGTTTCAGCTGAGAAAGGGAAGACGGGGGCAAGAGCAGCAGCAGCAGCAGCAAGGAGGAAGAGGGAGAGGAGGAGGTGGAGGAGGTGGAGGAGGAGGTGGAGCAGCAGCAGCAGCAGCCAGCAGCAGCAGCCAGCAGCAGCAGCAGCAAGGACCAGCAGCCAGCAGCAGCAGCAGCAGCAGCAGCAGCAGCAGCAGCACGACTTGGCTTACATCGTCTAGGCTTTTCCACAACCCATGAGGAGGCGAGCAGTGCGAGGCCCTCAAGCGCTGCCGCTGCAGATCCTCACAGTGTGATCGGAGCCAGTCGAAGAACTTGAGGAGAGACCCCGGGCCCGCCTCCCACAACGACGCCACGTTGACCTCAGTCTTGACACCTTGCAGGGTCGTCACTCCCCTCAACTCAACCCGCTCTCAGTCCACATCACCCAGGCTGTTGAGGAAGAAGTGCAGGACGTGGAAGTTCCTTTCTCGCTGGTAGTCGTGAGTGGCGACTTGATAGATCCTCCTCATGGGGAAGGTCCCATCGTAAGCGTTGTCCACGATCTTACACAGTATGTGTCCATCCCTCAGCTCCTCCAAAGTATACCGCCTGCCCACCACTGAGTGCACCCTGCGACTCGGAGTGAGTGAGAGGGCACAACGAAGGGAGGGAAAGGGAAGATCGTCAGTACCACTCCAAGAGATCCTCTTCATTGACTTCACTCTTGTTGCCATGCAGCTGCTTCGATGGCAGCCCTCCTGAGTCTGCTCCGTTTGGTTCAACGTCTTTCCACATCGGAGATGCTGTGACAGGTAACGGGAAGGACGATGACGAAAACTTCTTTGAGCGCAGCTCGACGTCCTCCACGCCATCGGCTCGCTCCTCTGCCTGGCAGCTTTGAGAGATATCGGCCACCGTTTCTCTGCCATCCTCGGACGGGGTTTTGACTGACCAACCTGAGTCCTCCAGGTGCGAGTATGATCGTTCAACATCGTCGAGTGGAAGTATGGAGTCATCGTGATTGAGTTGTAGCTTTGCAAGCTCATCGTCCCCCAGAGGAGTGCTGGAGCAAGAGGCATTACCTTGCTCCTTGCCCTGCTGCTCCTCCTCCTCCCTCTCCTGTACATTAGGACTGGTGGGAGAATGCGGCAGAAGCAACCCGGCCGAGTGAGCACGAGCGGCTTCATCCTCTCGCAGGTCGATTGATCTCGTCAGTTCGTTTCTGCAACCCGAGTGTTCTGCCCCAACATCATCATCACCCTCGGACCTTGCTCGGAGCTGATCTTCACTTGTCGCCTGAGGCCGGGAAACGTGTTGGTTCACGTACAGGATCGTTTCAACCTGTTGCTTCTTCACAGCAACGAGGGCTTCTTGATCACACAGAGTATCATCTCCAGAAAGTTCAGTTGCATGCTCGTGCTTGCACTCGACAGATAGAGCGGCAACGCTTGCTCTGCTGCTCTCTTGTTTGGAATTGCCGCTGGATGGATCAACCTGGCCTCGCTGGCTACGTTGCCGAGTTCCATCACGACTTGCCTGTATGATGCTGGAGCCGACACTCCTGTTCGTCTCGTCCCTCGAAGTCAGTACGCCACTGCTGCTGGGCCGTCGCTGAGAGGGGGGAGCACTGGTGGGTTTCGAAGGAGTGTTTCCATGAGCCCCGTTGCCATTCGGATCCGATCCGGCAGGTTGTCGAGTCCCTTCCCTTGCCTTGGGGTTCCCATTGAGGTCGATGCTCGAGCTGACTGGCGAGCGAGGGCCTGCCATCGGTCTTGACCCCCACGTTGACTGGGGTCGAACGTCAACTGCTCTCTTGCTTGATCGCGAGGTCGGGCTGCTCCTGCTGTTGACGTCGAACCCGCGCTGGTGGGCTGGCAGCGTCTTGGCTTCTTTCTCTTCCTCCTGAGCCTTCTTCCACTTGCACTCGCAGATCATGCGGTAGCATGCTGAGCATCTCCCAAGCATCCTCCTGAGCCGGCAGGTCAAACGCTGCTGCCGCTATCGTTTCAGATCGTGACTCACAACTGACTCGGGCATGCTGGACCCCCCCTCGGGTATGCGAAGTACCCCCTTCTTCGACAGTGTTTATAACCCCCTCCGCGAAGCTTGCGAAGACAGCAACGACAATATACTTTTCTGCATAATAATCTCGAGTGGGGCAGCGAAACGTAAAGTCGTTTTCTTAGGAGGGTGGGGTAGTCATTAGGTCCCGTCCCTTCATCTTCCGACGATAATGAAATATAGGGGTGGTATGGATAAAAATTGTGATCTAAAAGGGGGTGGGTCGTCAAAGGTCCGTTGCGTTGATCCCATAGAGGCAGTGGGGGACGACAGTAGAGGAAGAAGCGAGGAGAGCAAGAGCAAGTGCAAGTGCAAGATCAAGAGCAAGAGCAAGAGCAAGAGGAGCGGGAGGAGAAGAAGGAGAGGACGTAGAGAATCGGGGGAATTAGAACAGGACGTGAAAGGAACGATCTCCAATTCATATCAGTATCAGCTCATTGATGATGTATATTCAGCAAGATGGAACTGATTGACAACTGATTGCGGACAATCGAAGCATCGTGCACGGTCAGAGCTACAACAAGAAAGTCATCTGGTGCCATTCTTGAACATCAGGTTGTGAGGAAGCTCGTTTCTTCAAACCACATACCCTACTGAGGTAAGATGGTGCTGACGTACACCATGGTGATCAACCGACTGGATGAGATTAAAGAGAGGGAGAAGAACGTAAGAAACTTTTACAAGCCACTTTCAACTCAGTCCAAGAAGAAATCTTGGTCGAACAGGCATCGCTATGCGGACGTGTTGGAGCCCGGCGATGTTGTGAAGACGATAGACAAAGGAACCGGCGAATGGCGCGAGGCAATGCTGGGGAACAACATGGAGAACAACATGGAGAACAACGTGCAGGAGCAGTCGCACGATGTGCGAGCTTCCACTGCCGGCACTGAGCGCCTGCAGACAGTGAACAGAAACGTTGCTGAGCGGGAGAGTCTGCTCTCTGCTGGCAGGCTGGTGGGGCCGAGCAGGCAGTCGCAGGAGATGGTGTCGTACACGGCAGGGAAGGAGCGGCAGCTGCGAGAAGCGATCGACTCGGAGTTTCAGCAGCGCAGAGAGAAGCTCAAGCAGAGGCTCTACCGTGAGGCAGGCTTGCTGAAAGTGGAGGACGAGGCGGGGGACATGGAGCCGCTCTTCAAGAGCACGCGGGCTGATGACGCGAGCGCGAGACGAACGCCCCTCAGCTCCACGGGATCAGCAAACCCGAGGGAGATAGAGGTGCACGCTGCTGGAGGGATGCGGTGGACGGGAGGGCCGGTCTTCGATCACTTCCCATCAAGACATGGCCGAAGTGCCGATGGTGACTACGACGTGGAGAGCTTGGAGGTTGAGGAGGAGGAGCTAGAGTCGGACGAAGACAACGTGGCTGAGTTGAAGGACTTTATGCACAAACCCCAGCGCAGAATGTCAACAACACAGCCGCACCGGAACTCCCTGCACGACCTCGAGAACCAAGAAGTGAACGTCAACTTGGAGCAGACAGCCCGGTTCAATGTCGCTGACAGCCTGCAGAATCCAGAGAATGCGGAGTTCTACTTCCTGCAGATGAGACTGCCGGATGGCGACGAGATAGACATCAGAGGAACTTTCATCGTCGAGATCGTGGGTTCTTCCCTGAGCTCGAAGCCCGAGTACGAGTTTCCTTTCGCGCTGGAGTGCAACGAGGGCCGGAAGATTCTCTTCCCCAGGTCCGTGGCGGGAGAAATTCGTTTCACGACCGTCCTGAGCCCATGTGATGTGCTACCGTGGATCACTGCTCCGAGACAGCTCCTCGGCCACTCCCTCGACGTCTCTGTGTATCGCGACCTTGGTAGCAGCAGGAAGGGAAGCCTGCTGATGCGAAGGACCGTGAACTACCGACCTTCCTCATCGCTGCATGGAGGAGACGCACAAGGTGAAGTTCCTCGGTCTGCCCCGGCGCATCATGTTAGCAAGCAGCTCCATCTGGGGCCGACGGAGCCCCACAACGCTGAGCAAGAGAGACCATCGACTGTTGCCACGTCACCGTCACAGGGGACGTTGGAGACGGGAAGCCCGTCGAAGAATCGTCAGCTGAGCGAGCTATCGAGGGAGAAGCTCTCGAGCAACGTCTCCCCAGCCACTCAGAAGCGGATGGAGCTGGCGTCCATCAGGCAGCAAATGAGGGCATCACTACAGCAGACGCAATCTACGTTGCTCGCCTCGATCAAGGGGTGAGTCGTTGCTCTCGCCCCCCTTGCTCTTGTCCTAACTTGCATCGCAGCAACGGTTCTGGCAAGGGCAGTTGGACGAGCAAGGCTCAGGAGGAGGAGGCACCGAATAAGTTGGAGGATGCGGATACCATCCCGATGGTCATCTCGAGGCCAGGTGGAAAGTCTCCGAGCCGCCCAAACTCCCGGCAGGTCGGCAGCAGGAGCGGCAGCAGCAACTTGCATCTGTGAGACTGAGGATCTATTAAACGAGCTCTTATAAGATAAACGGCAAGGCATAACCCCTTAGGCAGCAGGTTTCAATCAATTAGCTGTATGGTAGAATGAATCATATCAAGGCGTCCTTGTCTTCGCCAAGGATTCCGCGGCTTTCAATACGTTGGCAGCGTTGCATTAGAGCGCTTTCAACTCTTCAATTTCATCCCTGTCAGTGTTTCAGTTGGAAACTTATCACTCCAAACAAGCTGACCAGCTCGTTCACTTCGCTGTTGCTTGCTCCAGCAGAGCAGATGTGAAACTCAGTTGAGGATTTCCAGTCCCCCCAGATTTTTTCATGATCTGAAAGAGTCCCGTACCAGTTTTGTCGAAAGGTTCTAACACAGGAAGTCGTTCGTCCTTGCACTGAGCGTGCAGCGGATCTTTGCTTTCTGCAACGAGAATGACTTTGTTACCCCGTGACCTCAACAACTTCAATAGATGCTTCGGCCTCTTGTTGACATTGGCGAGCGCATAACGCATGTTCAGCTCCTGTTCGTACCGCTCTTCGAGTCCCAGCAACCAAAATGACGACTTGTCGAGGATAGTCTCTATGTGCTTCAGCGCTGTTTTTGCTTTGTTTCGATTTGAATCCCTGCTATTATTTGAAATCGAGCGAAGAGCTTTTCGAACAGAACGTGGAACGCATGGAGAAACTTGTTGCCCGTGATATTTCTCCAGGTGATCAAAAAGCTTCTGATGAAGAGACAGATTCATGGCCAAGGAGGTACCAATCATCAAAACCAGCTTGTCCTGGTCAGAAGGCTGTAAGACATGTCTCAAACCTCTTTCAGGCTCGAGCGCTGCATCTTCCAGCTTGACTACGGAACGAAACACAAACTGACTGTTGGAATCATCAGCATCGTCTACGCCAATCACTGCAAGCTGATAGGCGGATTGATGTGCTTCCGTTGAACGCAAGCAAAAGGGAGAATCTCCCGGACACCACACGAGAACGTTGACTTGGATGTGGAGAACGCAATCAAAGATCACACGCAGGCACAGCATGTCGCCGGTCCTGGATAAGTTAGCCTGCAGCTCGACATACTCTTTCCAACAGTTGTGCCAATCGCTGAATGACGACGGGATGACATCCCTGTATCGATCTATGAAACGAGCTCTGAGTTCATGTGTTGCATTCTGCTCTGAAATGGTCAGACATACTGCCTGACGAAGCTGGTAGGCATGAGCTTCGACGATCTTCTTCTTGGACCCTCCCCAGAGCTGATGAGCGACGGACAGGAAAAGACTTTGCTTGTTTTCATCTTCGTCTCCATCACCATCATCTGGCCACAATTTGTATGCACGATCGCTCAATGATTGCTTCATTTGCGTTACCTCAAGAGGATCGACCGAGAAGAAAAGTGATGAAGAAAACTGATCGATGTTGAGAACAGCATCGTGAGCAGGTCTCAAAGGGATATTGACAATCGGCCCCTCACGATCATCAAAGTGCATATCAAGCACCCGAAGAACTCGATCTCTTGCAATCTGCTCCAGCGTTTCATGCTTCAGCTTCTCTTTGATCTGTTGAATGTCGTCTGAAGGAAAGATTTCTTTTAAGCTCTTTCGATAGTTGCTCAGCTGCGAGGTCGTTGATCCTGAAATACCCACCTTTTTGATCATTTCCGGCTCACAGTTTTCCTCAAGCCATTGAGGAAATGCAAACAGTGCATATTGAAGCGATTGATTCTGTTTTGGAGTGGGTTTCTTGTGTTTGGGAATTCCAAAAGCGACCCAATGCTTTTTCAATTGCTCCTTCTGGTAGGTGATTTGTTTGATCACCTTAGCCTGCAATTCAGAGGCAAAATATTGAAAAAATTTGTCGATATATTCTTCAAAATCATTGATAGCCTGACCAGGTGTCCTCGGAGGTAACAACTTCTGATTCCGACTTCGAGCGTCTTTTGCATTGTCCTGAAACCACTCCTTCATCATCTTTTTCAAACTTGATTCTTGAGCTTTCCAAGATATTGTCCCGTCAAGTACAAGCTGATTGATGTGTAAGGATTTTCGCCCGAAGCAGAAAAACCTCTTTGACCTATCATTCAAATTAAATGAGACCAACTTGCAGTATTCATTCAACATGTCTTTGAATAAAGAATCATTGCTGAACTGCTCGTAACATATTGTAATGAATGAACGGATCTCCTTCACGACTTTTCCATTCAATTCCAATAGAGCCTCATCAACATTACGTATCATGGGATCGAATTCAATACTCTTCTTGCGCAGAGGCCCTAGTACAAGCTTTTGCATTCTCCTTTGTAGAGTTCGGTCCCGGAAAGCAGAATCTATATTCATTATTTCGATAGTCTGGCTCAGCTTTTGTGAAGGGTAATCTCTCCATTGTTCTTTCGATCTTCTAGAGCATCTGTCCAGAAAATTCTTGTTGGTGATCAAAAACCTTTCCACAAGTTTCTCAATTCTTTTTGTCAGGTCCTGAATACAATCTGATACAAAGTTCAGGAATTTGTCCATTTGTACTGTATTTTGCGTTCTTATCATAGACAAGAAACCCCTGGTTCGTTTCTTGAAGTCATCAATAGGAAATGTTTCCCACTTGCCTCTGACTTGATTCATGAAACATCTTTCCAATTCCTCCAATGCGTCTGAAATGATCTTTTTGCCTTGTCTCAAAGATGCAGAATTGGCACAGTTCAAGATTCCAAAGAGTTCACCACATTCGGTGAACTGAACCAGTCTATCCAATTCTGCCTTTTTTTCCAAACGAAAAGATGCATTCAATTCCATCGAAGCGAATAAAGTTGGGGAAATATTCAGAATAGTGAAGCACTCTTCGTTTATATCAGATTCTGGCCCTGACCTGTCGAGTTTCCTGAAAGCTTCAAGTATATGCTCCCTGCTTCTTGTCCTCATATTTTCTTTGTTTTTATCCTCGACATGAAAGTCTCCTTCAAGCGTTCTCTCAAGATCATTCCTGTTTTGTTGCCTTTCGTTGTAGTGTAGAACGATGAGATGATATTCATGGGGATATTTGAAACAGTTCGAGAAGAAATTTGAGTTCTTCACCTCAGTCCAGATTTCCTTGCTGCTGTCGAGTGCCCTGTTGGATACCACGATCACAATCTCATGCTCGTTGATGGCTTTCTGCATTTCATTGGATCGGACGGCATTGGTGTCCCCTGACCCTGTGAATGACATCAAGTCAGGCAGGACATCTGGAGTATTCAAGTACCTGGACAATCAGAGATCATCCCCCCACCCTTCACGAGTGATGACGGGACACCAACACGCAAGCTCTTTACCATGCAAATCGTTTCTCTGTATTCCTCCATTACAACTTGATTTAGCTGATCGCGAATAAATTCTCGCTCAGCATGCAAGTCAACCCCTCTACCTGTGTAGATTTGAATTTTTCCAGCTCTCGAACTGACAATCTTTTTGAGCTGAAGAGCATTCTGGTCTTTAATGTCTTTGAACCTTGCGTCGCCTTCTTCAAATTGCTGACTTTCACTCACTAATTGTTTGAAGTATTCGTGCTTCCATCGATAATCGGGACCATTCAAATCCTTGCGATCTCGTTCTCCATCCAGAACTTGTTGGTTTGCTAGGACCCATTGGAAAGCCTTCTCTCGTAGCTTCTCTTCCTTTTCGAAAGTAATCACCAGACAGAACACTGGGCTGTAGACCACTGAAATCAAGCAAGGCGTGGTGGCTGTTCCTCTCTCCTTACTCGGCAAGATATACTCACAGCATGAGGCGTTCCAACTCGGGTTTACACAGTATTCAGCAAGGGCCTTGAACATCTCTGATCCGGCTTTATGCCTCGATGGAGTTGACTCAGGAATGATGACAGGAGGAAGAAAGCTATATCCATCTTGCATCAAAGGATCTAATGTGCCCTTTGCTGTCTTGACTGGTTTTTTTCCTTCGTTGACCTTCCGATATGTACTTGGAAGCTCCGTCGTTAGGAGCAACAAAATGTTGATAATCCAGCTCTTTCCCACTCCATTTGGTCCGACAAACAATATCTTCCGCTCATTGACCCAGCGTTGTATGCTGGAACAATCACTTTTGACGTGAGCGAGTGATGGGTCGCTGTCATCATCTAGCTCAGAAGAAATCTTGTGGAGGAGCCCACGGAATCTGCTCAAAATCCCAATTCCCGTCACATGCTCGTTCACATCTGTTTCCTCGTCACTTTCGGTCTCATCACCATCGTCGTTGGCTTCTTCCGAGGCTGAAAGTCTGGGAGTCTTCGATCTACGGTTGTCCCTCGAGTCGTCACGGTCCTCGGTCAGTCGTTTCGTCCTCGCCATCGTCCAACGTGAAGCACGTCTTGCCTAGAGCTCCTACCTTAATCGTACTGCAACGATATGATTTCAGCAGGTGACTACCTGTTTTCCAGCTCACATTTGAAACCTTCCTCCTATATTTCATTTTCTTTCCTCTCACGGTCGAGTGTTCAACTGACATTAGGTAGTGAGTTCAACGGTTTCTTACCTACCATGACTAGCCCCGGACTCCGGACCCGGGCCAGTAAAGTGACTCGGATGATCAAGCCTTTTACTCACTGGAAGTTAAGTTAAATTAAAAGGACATATCATTCCTTCGGCGGCGGCCACCACGACCGTCGGACTACATCATGGGCATGGCGCGGGGGAATGGTCCTGCGGCGGAGTTAAGTGAATGTATCAGTTAAGTTTGGAGGACAGCAGTAGGCAGGATGCGGAGGGTTGGTCCTCGCTGTCTTTTCTCTTCTCGCCGTACGGTCAGTGCGGCAGTGTTAGGGTCAAGCCTCCTCTCCTCTCCTTATTGCCCTCGTACTGATTTTAACTTAAACTTTGAGTAAAGCGAGCCTGTAGACTCTTCAGACCGGGCCGGGCCCTGGCCGCCGGGCCGGCCGGCACTGCACTGCATCAGTGATACTGAGAACTCGAATGATGATTCACCCCCCCCTCCCCCAACTTATATTTCATACCAGGGGTCCATTGACTACTTTCCACACAGAGGACTACCCGTCCTTGTATGTTATTAGAAGCACCCCACCCCCTGTGTATCTCTGTGGTGACACAATCATGGGCCTCGCCGAAGATTTCGAAGCAGCTGCAGCACTGGCGGCGTCGGGCAGCAACGATGGGCTGAAGAAGATCTCTCAGGACCAGCAGCTGCTCCTCTATGGGTGGTTCAAGCAGGTAGAAACACACCTTCCTCGTCCTCTTGCGAATGTTCAACGCTGCAGTAGCTGGTCGCAACGTAACCTGATTGTATTTGTTCAGGTGAAGGAAGGGGATTGCAACACCGCCAAGCCAGGAATGCTGGACTTTTCTGGCAAAGCCAAGTGGGAGGCATGGAACAAGAACAAAGGTGAGATTATCTGGAAGTCTCGCATGCTCCACAATAACGTTTTTTCTCAGGCATGTCCAAGGACGAGGCAATGCAGAAGTACGTCGAGGCTGTTAACCAGTGGAAGTCTTAAATGATTCCTCGCCGAATCTTGGGATAGTTTTTCTGTTTCGAGCTATGAATGAATGCGGAGACGCTCCTCCACATCTAAAGGACTTGAGCTATTTCGTCATGTTTTACTTTTTTCTGCTTCGACTACGAAGTTAAACCTTTTGGTTTGAGATTGATGATCTTTTCATCTCGAGGTTATGGGGAACAAGATCATTCTGAACATATCACGACAGACTGATGCATTCTTATTCTGCAACAACTCGCGATATCTCTAATCGACCATGTTAGTGAAAGGGCAATAACATAATTGGACGCCGCGTTCTTACCTTGTGCGGCATTATTGTTTCAATAGGATTCCTTGTATTCATCGACGAGTCTAAGAGATTGTCAGCTGATCTTGAGATACTTCGGAATCACCTCAGTAACTCGGCCATGCTGAGGGGCTCCGGGTCATCGGGATGCACCCTGTCAAGAGGCATCAGAGGGTTGCGAGCTCGAGTTGGGGTCGATGGGTACTTGATCGGCTGCTTCCTGTCGCGCTTCCTCGAGAGCATGATTCTCTGTGCGAGTTTGCTCGTATCCATCGTTGTTATCAGGCTGCTTATTCGGGTGAACGAGTCCTGTGATTGCAATGTCGGCTCCCTGGATTAAATTCTTCATCAGTATCGAGGACTTGGTCCTGGTATCATACTCACCATTGGCTATGCTGAGATTGTAGCATGGCTGAGCTTGAAAGGCTCTCCATGGAGTTGACAGACTGTTTGTACATCGATGACAGCCTTGGCTCACAGCTTGCTGGACGCTCAACAAGCATCTGAGGAACACGAGTAGAAGATTTGCTGTTGACTTGCATCAGGCGAAGAACTCAAGGAGCTGGTCAGTTACCCCGCGGGCAAGACTTTGAAAGAAGTATCTGTGGAGGACTTCCATGAAGCTTTCTTTGTCGCATCGGCGAAACCCAATGAAGTTGTCGGGCGCACAGTGCTTCTCTTCCAAAGCAGCCCCTTCGCCCCTGGCGATGTGTCAGGTAGACAGTAAGGGTGTAAGTTTCCTTTACCTTGATTATCTTGGACAGTCTCCTTCATCACTGGCACTTTCCCACTGTCTTGAAGTCTCAAGAGGAAGACTTACGCATTCAACAATCATCACCTCCCATAGCCGAGCTGACCGAACGATCCTCTACCCCACGAAAACACCTTCATATCTCCTTTGGGCCCCGATCCTGGCATTGTCGCTACCACTACCGAGTGATTCTCGCTGCATGCCGCCGCCAAGACAATCATCCCTTTCATCTTTTTCACCTCCTGTGGAAGGTGAAGAAACAAATCCAACATCAGTTCAACAGGAAGTCATTAGGAAATATGCACCTGCGGTATTGGACGAAAAGATGTATCCCGTGGATCCAAACCAAGCTGACCATGTTCACCGCGCCCCCACTGTACAACGAGTCATCTACTCGCGAGATCAATGTCAAGGTTCAAAACTTACGGCAAACAGCGTGTCTTTCTTCTCTGTGATTGCCAGGACATGATGACTCCTGTCGTTCAAGAGGTCGTCAGACGCAAGTATGTCGCACTAACAAGCATATCACCCGCAGGAAATCGAAGAGAGGGAGATTGCGTCATGCTCTTCACTGGCAGCGAAGAAGGAAATAATCTTCGGCCTACAACAAACGAACTTCACCTTGAGGCCAATGATCTCTTGCTCCAGCACTTACGATATCACATCTGAAGGAAACCGATTGCTCTTTGAATAATGCATATCCACCCCATGCCCCAGTTGGCCGAAACAGTTTCTACCCCACGAATACACAGCTCCTGAGTATGTCATAGCCATGATGAAGTCTGCACCAGAAACAATGAGTGAGGCTTGCGTCTTTGGGTCGAGAGGAGACAAGAGAGTTGGGATGTCCTTGCTCTCCATGTCCCCATGTCCCAACTGTCCAAAATCTCCTCGTCCCCAAGTGTAAATGTCTCCGAAAGATGTCATCACACACGAATGGTTCTCCCCTGCTACGATCTGCTTGATGTCCAGCCCGCTCATAACTCTAACAGACTTTGGCTGTAGACAATGTTTCTTGCGGAATCCATGTCCCAGCTGTCCGTAGCTGTTGTTGCCCCAAGTGTACACATCCCTTGATGTAGTCAACACGACGATATGGGCTGCACCGCATGCCATCAAGTGGACATGGCGGTGGTTCATGGATGGCAGCATGCGAGGTATTGCAGAGGAGGTTCTATCGCCTTGACCTAGCTGCCCGTACCTGTTGCAACCCCATGTGTACAGCTGTCCTCCCTCCATCAAGGCTGCACTGAACGCAACTCCACAAGCGACCTCTTTCACCCGTTGACTTGCGAGCTCATCGATGATGGAAGGAGTGCTCGAGTGGCTGAAGCTTGCATGACCCAGCTGCCCGGATTCCCCCCTGCCCCAACTTCGTATCTTCCCACTTGCATCGAGAGCTAGAACATGGTCGCTCCCGCAGGTTATAAGTTTGATACTCAACCCCGCCAGAGATACAACCTCTTGCGGACGCTGACTGTTGTACGTGGAGAACCTTCCGTGTATCCTCGTTGCTCCAGCCGTCAGATGGAGTTTCGACTTGGCGATCTCCGTCCTTGCTCGTTGAAAGATATTCATAGATAATGCCTCCTTCAGGTCTTGCTTGCTCCGTCCTGATGGCCCAGGAGGAACAGGCGGGGCGCTCGTAGAACCTTTTCTCTGCTCTGATCTTGCAACATCATTCCCAGATTCTGGCGGTTTGTCGAGTTTGCTTCTTTCCTCCTCTGGCTTGTCCTGAGCCTCGTTGCCCCTTTTGGATTCCTCCATCTTCCCTCACTGGGATCACGCAGACTCCTTGTCCTCCCCTGCCCCTCCTGCTACAGACCTGCTGCAAGAAACTCTCTCCTCCTCGTGGCAGTCACCGCCTGACTCCTCTCCTCATCGCCATGGTTGCCGCTTGCCCTCGCTCCCTCGCTCCTCAGCGCTCCTCCCAAACCATTTCCGAAGACCAGCCGTTGTCCGTTATGCCCGTAACTGGATTTGGCGGGATTGAATCGAATCAGTCCGTGCTGTTGGTGGATTTGCGAAAACATCATCTGGAACAAAGGGAGGGGAAACCAGTTCACTGACAGAGCTGTTGTGAGGGACGAGCAGGAGCAGACTTGCACTCGCCATGTGCTGAGACGGGTGGATCAAGCTTAGTTCGCGGGCTGAACGAAGTCTTGCTCGCTGCGAACATGTTTCGGAGGAGGGAGGAAAGATTGTTGACGGCAAAGTCAGCTGCAAAAGGTTTGAAACTCCATAGTCACATGGAATCTCACGATTGTTGTAGGAGCACTCTTCTTCTGGGTCTTCTTTCGAGGTCAAAGAAACACTCCTGCTCTTTCGAAAGTACTGATGGTTGCAAAGTGGGAGTGATGTACGTGATCGTTCGATGGGATGGGGACTTGAAGAACGCGCTCAGGGCAGACGGTGATGATCGACGATTCGCTACTTGTAGTGATACAGCACCTCAGTTGAGTCAGTCCTATATTGCATGACATATTTCGCCTTTTTCGCGGTCAGCACGATCTTGTACTTTGCTGTTTCACGAGCAGATCCTGTACGTACACATGCTTCCGATACCTACAGTGACTTGAAGTGCAGGGATATGTCCCAACAGTGGAGGAGAGCCGCTTGCTAGATGGTCCATCCCGTTGGGGGCAGATGAGAATCCTTGACATGGTGCAGACGTGGAGGTGGTAAGGCCGAGGAAGGGGAACGCGCCCATCGAGCTCATGGAGGTCTTTCATGCATCTGCCTCGTTCGACATGTTGAGCGACTTGCAGGTGCGAAGCTCGACCGTCAAGGCGAATGTAGTGAATGCACATCCTCTCGGCGCTGCTGCTCCTTGAGACGTTTTGAGCAGCCGGTTCACGGACAAGCTTACGGCGAGGATGAGATCGAAGAAGGAGGGCCAGAAATGGTTCAGTGCGCTCAGCCTGCACTCTGCGTTGTGAATGACATTCATGCAAGCAGGAATCAGTATCTGCCTCTAGACAGGCGCCGACCATCGGTGAAAATTGTACTGCGATGTGTTGCCTGCTGAAGAGAAATTTCAGAATCTCTGAATGAGATTGAGATAGTAGAAGAAGAACCAAAACGTAATCCTTCTCCAGCTATCTGGTTACTTGTTTCATGATCTCCTGCTCAATTCTAGATGGTGCCCTGCAAGAAGAAGCAACAAATCGGGTTTGCAAGTATGAGCGACCCAGGGAGAATGAAGATCACTCAAGGATATGCAGGGTCTGTAAGAGGGATCAACCTCTTCGAACAAAGCATTGCTACGATTGTGGCAAGTGAGTTGTACCTCCTTCTATCAAGTCTGTCGATTTACTAGGAGGACAGATGCGTTTACACGTTTGATCACCATTGCTTCTGGATTGGTGATCACTTCGGACTTGTACATCACACGATGCAAGCGTTGACTTGGTGGGACAGGAAATTGTGTTGGAGAGTACAATCATCGGCTGTTCTGGTGGTGAGCATAACGTTTTGATGGCGTACTGGCAAGGCCAACGAGTATGTTCAGGTATCTCTTCTTCGAGTTCATCACAGTCTGCTGGACCTGCTCTCTGTCTGCCTCCACCTTCAGAGCGACGTCTGGGCTCAACGTGAGGCTGCCGCTGGACTTCATCGAGTGGGTTGAATCTCTTTGCAGTGGGCGAGCGATTGGGTTTACTACAACCTGCCATCGTTTCGTAAGTTTGGAGGGTATTGAGGAGGACTGGAAGAGAAGGGAAGAAGGGGAGAGGAGGAGAGGGGGAGAGGCAGGCTGGCCGGGTGACTGTTGGACTAGTTGCAATGCTTGTGTGCATCGGGTTCACCATCCTGCTCGGAGCTCTTCTCTTCTTCCATTCCTACCTGGTCGTCACCGGACAAGTAAGCTGAGGAGCGCGCGCTGCTGCCGTGACTCGCACGTGCAGACGACGTGGGAAGCAAGCAGCATTGGGAACGTGACGTACCTCAAGGGGCTGCCGGTGAGAGAATGCGAGAAGAGGAGAGGGGAGGAGGAGGGAGGAGGAGGAGGGGGGAGGGATGTGTGTGTGGGCGCGAGGGCTACAGAGGATGATGGCAGGAGGGAAAGCTGACTGTTTCATCTCAGGTCGGAATCTATCCGTTCTCTGAGGGGTATGTAGAGGAGGAGGGAGAGGAGACGATCTTGTTAGCGTGCAAGCAGGTGGATCCACAACGTCAGGAGATTCTGCTTCCGGAGCTCTCGAGATCCCCCGACAAGGTGGCCACAGGTTCACAGAGCTCAGTCCTGTTTATTGCTTCTCTGACCTCCCTGCTCCAGCCCGAGCCACCATGGCAGGAGGGGCAGCGGTTTTGGTGGCTAGAAAACGAGTACTGGAGTTGCTTCTGAGCAGAGGGTCTGTGAAGAGCCTCTCCTACATTAAAGATGCCTCGATCGTCTGCAGGAGGAACGTGAGCAAGGAGGGAGAATGGCGAAGGCAGGCAGACCTGCATGAGCGCCATGGAAGACTTGTCGAGCATCGGCATGGAGACTCCAGCTCCTCCTGGTCCACCTTGTCAGTTTCGCCTGAGGCCAGCAGCAGCGAGCTACCAGCATGCATGTAGTTCTTCAAGCGCTCAGCCAGAGCTCTGGCGCGCAACAAAACTCCTCGGTTGCCCGTGAGATCATCGTGCAAACAAGTTTCCAGCACAGAGACGCATGCTGGGCCATCCGTCAGTTCCTTCCTCTCCTCCTCACTCCACCTACCGAGCCAGATCACCCGCAGGCATTGCATGAACCCCTTGTCGCTCAGACTCTCGCGCAGTGCAGCAAGCGTCTGTCAACAAGTTTCACCTCCCCTTGTCCTCGCTCTCAGTTTCTCACCGCTTCAAGAGCGTCTTCTATGGCTGCCACAGCCGGAGGCAACGGAGGCTGAGCAGAGTGGCGTTAGGAAGGAGTCGAACTTGGTGGTAATGGTGGTGGTGGTGTGTAGTGTAGGTAGGACAGGGGGAAGGGATGGCGGCAAGGGCGGCAGGTTTCCGCAAACAAAGCAGAAGAGGGGGAAGGTGCAAGGGCAGGGCGAGAAGGGACCTCCGGTAGCTTCAGGTCCAGCGGCTGAACGTCGAAATGATCTCCTTCAGCCCCACTGGGGGGACAGGAATAAGAGGAAAGGAGGGAGGCAAGCCAAGTACAAACCATCGGTAGCTGTCTTCGTGCCCATTCTCCCACAGCACCTTGCACCAACCGTTGGGCTTCATGAGAGTTACCAGGCCGACGGGAGGAGTTTCACTTCCCTCCTCCCACCCATCCTGCCTGCCCCATTTCCAGTCGGGGCCACGGACAACCTGCGACACGTCGTCACTAACCGCATTGCCAGACAGCTTGCCTCACCTTCTGCCCCTCGAAGAAGTTCACCGACATGCAAGCTTCACGCGCAGACGCGCCTCCGTCGTCGCTCGATCCTGCTTCCTCCGTGAGGGCAGCAGCGATCGTAGTAGCGAGCCACTGCAGGAGAGGACGCAGTTCGACCTCCACCGAGTCTTCGACGCCTACACGAACTCTGTTGTACATGTCGAGGACGCGCGGGGAGAGTGTCCAGTCGTCGGACTTGGCGTGCTCTTGGAACGGGTCGTCCATGTCTATGGGGATCTGATGGCAGCCTTCCCCACCAAGGAAGCCTGGATCTTGTTCGAGGATGGCGATGAGGTTGTCGAGCTGACCCTTGACCTCCATCGCGTTGCTGATGCGAGGACAAGCTTGCTGAGACACGAGGGGCTGACCGTCGAAGAAGTCGTGACTGGTCAGCTTCTTCTTGGGCTGCTGCTTGCTTGCCTTCGATTCTGGCTTGGGTGTCTCCGTCCCGGACGGCGTCGATCCGTTGGACTTGACTCCTACCTTACCGAACGTCGCCAAGCTCGCCGTCTTCTTTGTGATGCTGATCGAGGCTTGCAGCGACTTCTTGCCTAGTGCGCCGAGGTTCTTCTTCCAAGCGCTGACACTCGCCAGCTCGTCTGCGAGATGCTCCATCTTCTCCAGGTACTCCTCCCCCCTCTCCTCCCAGGTCTTCTCTTCTTGAGTAACTTGCTCCTCGTCTCCTTTAGAGGAACCATGCTCCGATCCTCCCGCACTCTGACTGGAGAAACGATTGACGGGGCTGCTGACGAGGGTCTGAACGCCATGCATGAACTTGAGGTCTCCTACCTTCTGGAAGGACATCAGACCCAACATGCTTCCGAGCCCATGAGAGGTCTTGGTGTTCAGTTTCTTGGCCTGGGCTGCTGCTGCATGCTCCTTCTCTGCCTCATGGTTCATCATCTCCACATAGCGCAGGCAGACGTCGCCGAGCAGCTCCAAGAAGGCTTCTCTGACTGCAGGCAAGGCTCCCATCCTCACTGTCACAAAGGTTCGGCATGCATTCTCAGCCGAGGAGAAAACATCGATGAGGGAGGAAGTGTATCCGTTCCCGCTCTCGAGGGCTACAGGAACCCACTGATCTAGCGCCATCGACTTGTCCATCCACTTGAACATGTTCTCCCGCGTCTTCTCCACCCATGCTGACAGCACCGGCCCTGTAGCAGTGGCGAGACCATCGCACCTGATGGACGGCTGAAGCTCCACCAAGATCCTCCTCAGCGAGTTGATGCGAAGATGCAGCTTGAGGAGAGTCGCTTCCACGCTCCCCTCCTCGAACGCATCGTGCGAAGGTCCCCGCACGTGATAGGCTGCAATGGCTGACAAAACATCGACAGTGACGAGGTCTATCAGGGTCTCAAAGGCCTTCAGCTCCGAATCCCAAGACACCACAGGCGCAAAGTTCTCATGCAATTTGACAATCATCTGCTCGCACCTCTTGCAAATCTTCTTCAGGTGCTTCACTTCCATCTCGCCTTCTGGTATCAGTTCTCCCGGGGGAGCTTTGTGAAGAGCTGCTCTCAATGATCGACCATAGAAGTCGTTAACAAAGTGTTTCATCCCCTCCGACACAACTTGATCAGTCGAAAGGTGCGACGAGCTGCATTGTATCAACATGTTTGATTCTAACAACCCATCAATCTTCCCAGAAAAGTTCTGGAATTCTTGATTGATTGCCTCATCAATCTCTATGAACAACCTCAGCTCAATCGGCTCCTGGTACTCGTCCTCTCCATCTTCACAAGCGTACTGATAGGGGAAGCGGAGAAGGTTGTTTCGAATCTGCCCTTGGATATAGTGAAGCGCAAACAACAAGCCGTCTTCTACCGGCTTGATTGTACCAACTCTAGCAGCAGCTCCACTTTTGATGCACTCCAGCAACGCAGCGAGCCTGCCTTCTCGGATCTCTAGTTCTGCCGATTTCTCTAGTCCTGGAGGAGTGGTCAAGTTCAATCCAGGAGAAAGTCGAAGCAGGTGGTGCCAACTCTCCCCGATTCCACATTTCATTCTCATCTCCTTCAACAACCAGTCGACACCAGGTGGGGGCATCATGCTCAAGCCTGGGTTGAGAGCTCGGTAGAAGTCAGTGTACACCTTGTGCAGTTCATCGACAGGATCTAACAGAGGTTGCTCCTCGGTTCCATCGATCGGTTTTGTCACGAGTTGAATCTTCAGCTTCACTTCCCTTCCTCCAGGGCAAGGGTGTCCCTTCTCATCATACGATCCATCCTCAAATTGAAACCAGCCTTCGATTGGCTTGTTCAGTTCAGCAGCTTGATGCAACTCCTCCCAGCAAAACATCACACTCCCCAGTACTTCATCGGCAGAAGCCTTGATAGACACAACGTACTTCTTCTTCCTCCATAACTGAATGCAGACTGCTCCTTTCTCATGAGGCCGCACTTGCCAAGTCACACCATCGTTGATAGACACCACAGGCTCTTCCGGGATGATGTCTCCCACCATCTCTGACTTGTGCTGGTAGGTGGCAAATGAAATAACACTCCAGATCTGAGAGCGGGTTGCGACCATGGCTTTAGCAAAGTTCGAGGGGGCTGACACCATCGCCCCAGTCGCTCGCACAACTGACGACACGGGGGCTTCCGCAAAGGCCCGTCCAAACTGAGTCGTCAAGCTGATGGGCTTCTTGAGCATTGATGCCATGGAACTGCTCTTCTCAGCAAGTTCTTGATTCATACTCTCAGAGGCGCGTACTTCCATGACATCTACAATCAATTCTGTCTTGTTGTACTTCACAAGCACCTTAGAAGGACCACGTGAGTCCGACATGGTGACTCTTCCAAGTCAGAACTCACCTGTTTCTGACGTTCAACAGCTGACAACTCAAAAATCTTCCAAGACTCATAGTCTTCTGGAGAAGCAAACTGCTCTCGATCATAGAAAGGATGTTGATTCACCAATGTTAGCCTTTCATTCAAACCTGTAAACACTTAAACATTTCTCTCACAGAAAGAAGTACGTACCGGCCATCAAAGCTCCTTTCCCATCGAAGCTATCAAGGAACTCCATCGCAGCATGATGATGGGACTCAGTCACTCTGACTCTATCATCACACTTGCCACACCATTCACGTAGCAGATTGTAATCGTCCTGTGTCCACATGCTCATCTCTTCCTGGCTTGCAGGAGTGTGCGGGAACAAGATGCAGGATATTGCGCGAGTGTACATCACATGCAGCCCATGTTGTGACGCCAGGACATTCACATCCGACACTCGTGCCTCCTTTGCCCGAATAGCTTCTGCGCGTTTCGTGCAATCGTTCAAAGATTTTCGAATGTTGGCATCAACCTTAGAAACCATCTGCTCCAGGTCTTCTCGCTTCAAGTACAAGTGACTGTCATCAAAAGGAGCCCAGCAGCTGGAAATAGAGAGAGGAGGCAACTCCTCTAGTGGCTCCTCATCAACCTTTTCTTCACGGTCGAACGCCAACGCCGCTGCATCGGATACAAGATTGTTCGTGTATTGCGTTGTCTTCTTGGCAGCATCCATTGTGATACTTGCAGCATCCATAACGAAGGACGTCGTCAACGACGTAGTCTTGGATGTGATCGATGAAGCCGCATTGGTCATTCGGCTTACGCCGCCTTTCACAGCAGAAGACATCTTGTTTCAAAATGTGCTGGAAGGCAGTGCACTGCTTTCTTTAGTTCGGTCTCTTATTGGACATCGATCCCCATGCGCTTTGAACCTATTCGAACAGACCCCAACTCAACGTATTTTTTGACTGGAAGAATTACGAAAGATCTAATGGAGAAGACACACAACAGGAGAACATCATCGAACGATCGAGTGGACAACAAAAGAAATGCATCACATTCGAGAACACAAGATTGCATTATCATACCGAGTGTTTGTTCTTGAGCACGAACCATCCTATCGGTACCACAACCCCCGCAATCATGACAACCTTGAGCGCAAATTTAGTTCTACTATCCCCCACTTCCGATATTCTTACAGCTCCAACGAGGTACGACAAGGTCGTTGGGGGTTCCAGAGCGTTGTAGACAAGATACATACCTGTGTTTACGGGATGAGTGTCTATGAAAAACAGGATGAACCATGAGTTAAGTACTTGTTGACCGATGTCAAAACTTGTCAACTATGCTCAAATATCATCTAGGTTGTACTCCAGCTAGGGCAGTGCTATCAAGTTGCTCATGTTGCGATAAAAAGCCTGTGCGAGATTCTGATTTGCCTTCATCAGAAAGGAGATTGCGAACTAAAAGGCACAAAATACGTTCTCTTTGCAACTTTGCACTCAGCATGCAAATGAACGCCTGAATCTACTGAATCAGGATCAAAGAATTCTTGAAACGAGAGAACGAATCCTCATTCGCGGGACAGATACGAGGAAAAACACACATAGGAGTAGGGACAAGAAGAGAGAAGACAAGACTGCGGAGTGATCAGAAGAGCAAGAGGAAGCGAAGGGAGGAAGATAGAGGAGGAGGCTTGTCTGTACGTCGCCGAGCCTAGTAGTGCTCCCACGACATCCTGTAGGGAGCGGGGAATCTTGGTACCCCTTTACCCCTACCCCCTCTTGCTCCAATAGACCCCTGCATATCTATAAGAATTTCAGGGTGATGACCCCTACTGTTCGATGTGGTCATTGCAATCACCCCGAGAAGCAGAAAACTTCAGTACCCCTTATTTTCAGTCTTTCGCAGGTCTAAGTGAGGGGTTAGAATGTTCATGGAAAAGAATGGGTGGGTCTAAAGGTACCGGTTGAATAATCTAGTTTTGCACGGGAAACTGGAGGGTAGCATTTGACAAATGATGAATCCAGGGGGGTGAGGGTTGTTTAGCCCTACGCCCCGGATGTTCTAACTAAACCGTTTATGAACTCTGGTTTAGTTAATGGCCCGGCCGGCCGGGCCCCGGAAAGAGAGTCGTGACGGCGCTCGTCCTCACAAGGGAGGTACAGGACATGGTCGTACTGCAGTGCTGGTTGAAGGCAATGTACGGCAAGGTCAGAAGCTTCGTGGGCAGGTAGCCTCCATGGCGAAGATCCCGGAAAGTCGGTCGGCAACGACGAGTATAACGCTTGTCAGAAATAAGCGATGTGGGTGAGGAATGGAAAGGGACATTGAGCTGGCCAGTGAGATCTCCCACAACTCCGAGGACCTCTGAGAAAGGTGTTGGCTGTGATGGCATCGGACTGCAAAGTCACACAAGGTTGTCATTTGTACGCAACTCCGCATGTCAATCTGATCTTTTATCGACTCCAAACAATGTCACAGGTACGCTCTTAAGCCTGCTCAGTCTCAACTCCATGGAGGTGCACACTGGATTCCTGATCCAGACCAAGCCAACAGTTCACCAAGAAGCTAAGCTGATCGAGGTATGAATGGTATGCCAGCTCTTTGCTGTTTGACACGACTGTTGGACTTGGAACAGGAGTATAGGTTGTGTTATAATTTCAGTCCTAAAGGAATCCTTGGACCAATGATAGAAATTCTGACAAGAAAAGACGCTGAACTTGCAGGCTGGTTTTTTGTGGGAGCTGGAAGGCTACCAGAGTTCGCGGACAAAATCTCTGACGTGATGTTCAAGAATCTGAAATGGACAATGTATGAGTTCTATTCGGCAAAGTATTCCAATCTGAAGAAGTCAAATTTGGAGACTGAACTGCGACAGTGTGAATCTTGGAAAGGGCTAGTCATCTTACGTAGTCAAAACAAGAAGAATTTTGGAGAGTCGGAACATGCTCATTACCTCGATATAGAGATCTATGAATACGACTCTCCTTTCCAAGTCAAAAATTTCATCAAAGGGCTGGTGAGATTCCAGAAAGGCGATAACCCTGATGTCCCGATCACCCCTTCCACCGTGAAATCGCCGATAAAGAACAGCCAAATTGTGGTAGACCTGATCTCCGATGACGAAGAGATAGAAAAAGAAGGTCAACCACTAGCAACTGAGAAAGTGGCCTCAGAAAAAGAAGAAGTGAAAGAAGATTTGGTAGGAGAGGGTGCGTGCAATATCAATGACATTGTTTGGTTTCACTGATGTGCTTCTGCTAGATGAATCTCTCGTTGAATTGATTGATCGCCGCAAAGGGATCACTGTTTCTGCATCAAATACTGGTGTGAGGCCGATACTAAGCTCTGAAGCTCCTAATCATGCTTCTACAAATCTCGAAGGTACGATTGGATGTTGAAGCATAGATCAGTTTGCTCATTTTCGATATAGATGATGCGCCCAAAGCAACAAACAGACAGCAATCCGGTGCATCTCTTACAGGCAAACGTTCCAGAGAAGAAGGCAGCCAAGAATCAGATGATTGTTTCATTTCAAACGATTCCGCTTCCGTTGTTGGCGACGTACACACGGGTGAAACTGAGAAAGGTCTCGGTGGTCGAAAACGAAACAAACACGAAGACTCTGAGATAGAGGCGGGGAATGTGAATCCCACAGCAAGCATTGATGAGCAACAAAATCTAGCGTTAAACCTAGGAGAAAAGGAGGCAGTCGAGGGTGACTCGCATCCTGGCGCCTGCAAGATTGGATCTGAGGGCCAAAGCAATCAAGAAGATGAGGATGATGTCAGCCTTGAGAAAATTGTGGAAAAAGCAAGGAGCCTAGACCTGATTGCAGAGGATGAGGAGAGGAATGTGAATACTTTGGTAGAGGAAGTTTCGGAGCAGGCAAGCTGCAAGGCCGGAGAAGAGCCAGGAGATGCAGGCAATGCGCAAGGTGATCTGGATGCGATGAGGGTCGACATGAAGGAAGGAGAGAAGGAGGCGGGAGACGGGAACAGACAGGACAACACCTTGATCACTTCACATGAATTGAAGTCTGACAAGGTAGGAGATGATCAGGTGATGGAATGTGAGAAGGATGGAGTTTCTCAAGTCGAATCTAAACACGCCGTCAGCAACTCTCAAGTGGACAGTCCAAAACCAGCGAGTCAAGATTGTGTCGCACTTTCGCAGTCGTTGGCCACTTTTACCCGACATTGTCAAATTTACAAGCGGATCTGGAATGCCTTCTCTGGTCTTGCCATTGGTAAGGACATGCCAGCCATCTTGAACGCCAGACCGAACGATTTAATGAAAGCCTCAAAAAGCAAGATATTAGAAGTTGCTCACAGAACAGGGCTCTTCCAACAAGATAAAGCAGCTATCCTCATTTCAAGCTCTTCAATGTTTTCTATTATGCGTGTTGCTTTCAACGCTGATCAATGTCAAGCGCAAGGCTTGCTAGTTGGAAAGGAGAATGCTAATGGGAGAACAGAGGTTACTGGGGTAGTTCGTCTCGATCAAACTGATTGTACGACCTTGGATAGTGACGCCATGCGTGGGGCGCTTGCTGGTGGAATGCATGGAAGAGTTGTCGGTATCTTTCGATCCGGAGAGGACAACGATAAGAAGTTTCCTGGAGCACCTGATCTTGAACTCCAAAACAATGTGGAGAGTGCACATGCACTGCTTGGGTTGATCTGCACTGTTTCAAGGTCGAGGAAGGCTAAGAGCATGTGCGGAATATCAAAAATCACATTCGTGGGGTATCAAACATGCGGAGAAAGGAAGACTTGGAGTATCGTAGAGGAGCCTTTCTGCCCCGTCTCTTCTCGCAGTGTACATTCTCATTCTCACGAAGACATCAATGTGCACACTGACGCATTCGACTTGGCGAGCATTCAACAAGCTACACGAAATCTCAGGATCCAACAAGCATATCTGAAAGCGAAATTGAATATTCTAAGGCTCAAGTGCTCTCCAATCCTTTCACAGCCAAGGAATACTGTGCCCTTTGCAATGACCTTCAATCTTATCAAGGTATCTTGTGTAACTTGACTTGTAATCGTGAAATGTGTGTAGTTGACAGGCCCTAGAAATTCTTGTACGACTGTGCTGAAAGAGTGTGACGAGAAGACAAAGATCAACAACCAAGACCCAAACCAATGCCTGAGTGAAAGCTGCAACGACAACACTCTTGAGCTGATCTCAGTAGTGCCTGATGACAGTGCGGGGAAGGAAAAGCTCGATGCAGGTGAGGATAGCCTCAAGAACGAGGCGGTGGACTGTATCAGCGACGCTTCGAATCCGGACATAACTGCAACCTGAAGACTGGAGGCATGGAATTCTGGAATGAAGTGTATATGAACAAGCAACATCTGTCAAGGCTCGTTATGCTAGTTTGTCGTCGCCTGGTAGCATCACCGCGGATCCTTTCAGATCAACACTGGGGTAGTTATTTATTTTTACACTTTCATAGGAGAAATGAATATTGTTTGTCTCGATGGTGGTTGTGCTCATGAGGATCGATGATGTAGCAGGTAATTGAAACGTTCAGTGTTCCGACAACGATGATACTTGGCGAAGAAATCTGAAGAAATCTGATCGTCTTGCTTTACAACGATCCCAAAAGTGTAGCAGTATCCGAGATTGTAGCAAGATCCCGCATTCCCTGTATGTAAACGCATCAGTCGACCAAATATCCTTCTCCAGCTGTTATTCCAGTCACCTTTTTCTGCTGCCTTCTTCCACAGTGAAACGGCCGTCTTCCTATCCTTTTGGACTGTAACTGCATTGAAGAAGCACCAACCAAGGTTGCACATGGCCATCAGGTCGCCTTCAGCTGCTGCTGGTTTGAGCTCCTCTACTGTGAGAGGAAGGTGAGCGTACGTCATTCCCACCCGCAGCTCCACCATCTTCAGCCGAAAATCTGCCATGAAGCCCCAATCAGGGATACCTGTCTGTATCACCCCTACATTCGTCTTCTCAAAATGGGGTAGTCAATCACCCCCTACCTCCTACCCCTACCCAACTCCCCTCCCGGACTACCTGGCCGTTGCTAACTGACTCCTGCTGTCGTGCCGGTGGGATTCGCCGATATGCGCGGTAAGGAGAAGTCACAGGCAGTTGCTTCATTCTGATGATGACTTGTCATTGCAGCAAGCAAGTTCAAACTTGCAACCAAGAAATAAATGGTTATGATGAGATAAAGCTGAACAAACTGGGAGAAAATGATAATGAAGTTCATTCCAGCTCACAACAGGTCACACAATGATTGGCTACAGCTGGACATTGAGTTGCTTGCAGGACAAGGATCTTTTCTTTCCACAAGACCCTTCTGCCGAGTTGTTTCCCCCTCGGTCATTGGATCCCAAAGTAACGGCCTCAGTCAAAGTCCCATTGAAAGTGGAAATCGATAGGAGACGGAAGCTGTTTGCGAATCAAGACATTTCGTATGATGACTTATGAAATTCATTCTACTCATGCTGATCGTCTAGGAAAATACTGGAAAGCGAGGGTGTGACGAAAGAGCGGCTTAGTGATGCTGTCCATGATCAAGATTTTATAACTCTGAGGTGAAAGTACCTTGCACATTCGTAATTCCTTCATTGATGTCTTTATCGTAGCGTGTTTGACGACAAGGATCTTGAACCAAGAACGTGGGATGAATGGATAGAAATTGGTTCCGTGAATGGAAAGTTTAACTTCTTACCTGCTCGCGCATTTCATGCATCAGGAGGGTTTTGGAGACCGTGCAAAGTGATGGACAGGATAGCTGACAACGATACCTATAAGTTTCGCTGGGCTGATAATGATGAAATCGAAATTCTTCCTCGTTTACTGATAATGTTTCTTGCGGAAGATCCGTTTCTATTCGCCAGGCGAGTTGCAAGAGCTCTGAAAATACGGGATTTGAACATGAAAGAGCTTATGTACAACTTCTTTGTTGATAACATGCCAACTGAAGGCGTTTCGAATCTGTCACTGGAACAGCTGAATAGAGTTATGATGTTAGTTTCAAATTCAGGAAAGATTGACCGAAAGAGTCTGGATGCCATTGGACTGGTTGATGAAATGAATTTAGAGTATTCAAGAACTATGAATCGGATTACCTTGGACTCACAGTATGACATTGACAACAGCAACGAAATGATGCGAAATGTTTACGTACCACCCTTACGTTTCCATAGTAGTCGAGAATACGGTGTTTTGCAAGATATTCCTCCGCATGATTGGGCACAACAATATTGTCTTTTTAATTTCAACTCTTTTCTTACCAAGACAGAATTGATCAATTGCATTGTCAAAACCAAAACAGAGAATCAGAAGATTCTTTCGATGAGTTTGTTCGCGCCGCATCCAAACAAAACCACCAAACCAGATGAATTCGAGCACCTTGAGCTTCAAGCTATTTCTCAGACCTCCGCATATCTAAAGGACACCTGGTTGACTTCACTGAAGAACAGTCTCAGGAACGGATTGAAAGATGTTGGAAAAGGATGGTTCAACCTAAATGAAACCAAACGTGAGGTTTACGACATAAGCAAACTAAAGAAATTCATGACCATGATAAACTTTATGATGCAAGATACGCTAAGGTCAATGGCAGAGGACTCTCTGACTAGTTTTGCGGACTTCATCTGCAGTGCCGTTGCATATGACGTGGAGGTACACGACATCTCGACCGTCAGAAATCATCGCTTGGTTGACAGTCAATTGAAATGGCCGCTCTTCAAATTAGAATTGATTTTGAATCAAGACGGAACGGTGGACATCGGGAGCAATGGAGTTCCAACACCTTTCGAGCAAGTTGTTGAAATGCCTCTCTCCTTGTTTGACAAAGCCCTTTCGTCTATTTCAGATATCCCGCAAATCGAACCAATGGTTGTCGATCAAATATTTTGGAGCTCAAAACCAATTCTGGCCAGCATACATCCTACTGAAAGTCTTCCATCAACTTTGAGAGACAAGATGAAAAATGGTCTACAGGAATCGTTGAAACCTATGCAAGAGTACATGGGCAAGTTTGGTGAATTTCGGTCAATCTTGACAACGAATCCCGAAGAGTATGTGGCCGAATTCATGAAGGATGCATCTAGCAGTGACGTGCTCAAGAAGAAATTGACCAATCTTGTAGATTCTAAAGCGGACATTGAGAACCGAATCCCCTTATCTATGCAAATTGGAGCCTTCGAATTAAGTTTAGAGAGCTTGAGAGTTGCATTGCAAAATGACTATCAAAAAATGATAGATCTCTTTCTGCATCAGGTAGCTGCCCAAACAAGGGACTTGTGCGACGAACATATGAAGAAATGTGATCAGATTGTCAAGAAGTTGAAAAATCCTTCAAAAAGCATTGAGGAATTGACCGAATTGAAAGACTTTATTCATCATTTACCCGAATCCATAAATGCAATACATCAGGAGATAGCTCGAACAATGCAAAATTATGAGCTACTTGACGACTACAAGTATGAATACACCAGAGATGATACCAAGAGAAGGTGGAACACATTCGGAGTTCTCTCAAAAATCTCTCAAGCTATGGAGTTTGCCAACACGATGATCAAGTCGGATAAGGAGATCTTTGAGAACGAGATGCTTGAAGCACAAGAAGAATTTGCAAATGAGCTGAGCTCAATCTCTGCCCTTGTTTCGAATTTCTCGAAGCACTCAGATTTATCGAAAACGAAAGAGATTTCAGAGACGGTGATGTCAATCAACGAAAAATTGAAAAATGCGATGGCACAAGCCCAGCTTTTCAATTCTAGAGAAGCCCAGCTAGAAAGGGCCATCACCAACTACAATGAAATGCCATATGAGCTACAGAAAGTTCAGAAGGCCTTTGAGCCATATTCAAATTTTTGGTTGGCTGCAAGGGAGTGGGAAAGCAACTTTTCTACTTGGATGGACGGAAAATTCAATGAGATAGATCCAGAGCAAGTGGACAGGGTAACACAGAACTGCTTTAGAGTAATCCTGAAGAGCACCAAGTTTTTTGAAGGAAAACTTCCAGAACTTTTGGATGCTGCGAACAATTTGAAATCGCAGATCGATTCATTCAAAGAATTGATACCTCTGGTGCAGGCATTGAGGCAGCCTGGCATGAGAGATCGGCACTGGCAAAATCTTACCGAGCTCCTTGGTTTTGACCTAAAGCCTGATGATTCATTCACGCTGAGGATAGGTATCGAGCAGCAAAAGCTCAACGAAAGGATGGAAACCATAGTGAAGGTTTGTGACATTGCAGGCAAAGAATTTGCTATAGAAGAAGCATTGAATAAGATGGAGAGAGATTGGAAAGGAGTGGAGCTGCACGTAAAAGCATACAGAGACACTGGGACATTTGTTCTTGGTGGCTGGGACGAGATCTTTCAATTACTTGATGATCACATTGTTTTGACTCAAGGCATGACATTTTCTCCCTACAAGAAACCGTTCGAAGAACGCATCTCAAAATGGGAACATGCTTTGAAATTGTGTTCTGATATTCTAGAACAACTTCTTGCGTGCCAGCGAAATTGGATGTATTTGGAACCAATTTTTGCTTCAGATGATATTCAGAAGCAATTGCCCACTGAGTCAAAAAGATTTCAAACAGTAGACCGAAATTGGAGAAAATTCACTGCAGAAGCCAACAAGAATTCCGAGCCTTTGCAGTTATGCAATACAGAAAGAATATTGCACACCTTCGTGGATTGTAACAAACTTCTCGATATCGTGGCGAAAGGACTATCTGATTACTTGGAAACCAAACGTTCTGGATTTGCAAGGTTCTATTTCTTGTCAAACGATGAATTACTCGAGATTTTGAGTCAGACAAGGGATCCTTTGGCTGTTCAACCCCATCTCAGAAAATGTTTTGAAGCGATTGATCGTCTCGACTTCAAGGAAGAAAGCGGTAAGATGTTGTGGACTGCCATGAATTCGGCCGAGAAGGAAAAGGCTTCGTTTGACACTGCAGTGCCTGTGGCGGGAAATGTTGAGAACTGGTTATCGCAAGTGGAAAGAATGATGAAGCAGAGTGTGAAGTCCATTTGTAAGGCGTCTGCAGAAGATTACCTGACGAACACTGGCGGAAGGAAACAGTGGGTGCAGGAATGGCAAGGGCAGATGGTATTGGCTGGAAGCCAGCATTACTGGTCTATCGAGATGGAGGAAGCGATGCTGCAGGGCGGAAACGAGGGACTGCGTAAGTACTATCAAAAGATGCTTCTCCAGTTACAGGATTTGGTGGACATTGTTCGTTCGAACCCATCGTACTTGATAGCGCTGACCCTCGGAGCCTTGATGGTGATCGACGTACATGCTCGAGACGTTACTTTGAAGATGTGTGAGGATGGAGTCTCAAGCCCAAAAGAGTTTTCCTGGGTCAGCCAGCTCAGGTACTACTGGGAAGATCAAGAGGACTTGCCAGGTCTAGGTAGCCCAGGGTTCATCGTGAGGCAGATTCAAGCTAGTTTCCCATATGGAATGGAGTACCTCGGCAACACCCCCCGACTAGTCATCACCCCTCTGACTGATCGCTGCTATATCACCCTCACCGGTGCCATGGATCTACTTCTTGGAGGAGCTCCGCAGGGACCAGCAGGGACGGGAAAGACTGAAACCACTAAGGATCTTGCTAAAGCACTTGCTAAGCAGTGTGTCGTGTTCAATTGCAGTGATGGCCTTGACTATCTTGCAATGGGAAAATTCTTCAAGGGGCTTGCAAGCTCTGGAGCGTGGGCTTGCTTTGACGAGTTCAACAGGTGATTCGTTTACCGGCTTTAGCTGTGGTCGTTGACTCTCTCTTATCAGGATTAACGTAGAAGTGCTGTCGGTCATTGCCCAGCAAATCATCTCCATTCAGAAAGCTGTGAGAGCAAGGTTACCCAGATTTACTTTCGAGGGCTCAGAAATCAATCTAGATCCCGCCAACGCAGTCTTCATCACGGTAGATTGATCTGAACTTCTCCTTTCGTTGATGGCTGATTGCTGTGCAGATGAATCCTGGATATGCTGGCCGAGCTGAATTGCCTGATAATCTCAAGGCGTTGTTTAGGCCAGTGGCAATGATGGTTCCAGACTACGCGCTCATTGCAGAGATCAGTCTGTTTTCATTTGGATTTGGTGATCCAAGGCCTGCAAGCAAGAAGATGGTGGGCACCTTCCAGCTTTCATCTGAGCAGCTCTCCTCTCAGGATCATTATGACTTCGGTATGCGTGCAGTCAAGAGTGTCATCAATGCAGCTGGACTGCTCAAACGAGCTCAACCTGACGCCGACGAAGAGCTGCTGGTGATGAGAGCTCTTCTCGATGTCAATCGCCCCAAGTTTCTGAGGGACGACCTCATCTTGTTCCAAGGCATCATCAGCGATCTCTTTCCGGGGACCAAGGAGCCCACGAGAGAATACGGCAAGCTGATGGAAGCCATCCATGCCAGAAGCAAAGAAAACAACCTGCAGCCTGTCGAGGCCTTCACGAGCAAGTGCATTCAGCTGTATGAGACTACCACGGTCAGGCACGGCCTCATGCTCGTTGGTCCTGCAGGGGGCGGCAAGACGAAAGTCGACCTGATCCTGGCAGAGGCCCAGTCAATGTGTGCGGGAATAGACGGCTTTACTCACACCAAGAGGTTGATCATCAACCCCAAGTCGATCACCATGGGTCAGCTGTACGGAAGCTTCGACGAGAACACGCACGAGTGGACTGACGGCATCCTCTCTACCATCGTGAGGCAATGCACCAACGAGGAGACGGAAGACAAGAAGTGGATTGTTTGCGACGGCCCTGTGGATGCCATCTGGATTGAGAGCATGAACACTGTTCTGGATGATAACAAGAAGTTGTGTCTTGTCAGTGGTGAAATAATCAAATTGTCGCCAACCATCTGCATGCAGTTTGAAGTTGAGGATCTTGCTGTAGCTTCTCCGGCCACTGTCAGTAGATGCGGAATGATCTTTGTGGAGCCATCTGCGCTTGGAGTGACTGTCTTGTACGAATCCTGGTTGGAACGATTAGATGAAAAGTTCAAGCCGTTTGAGAAGGAGTTTCAACATCTCATGTCTACCTTTATTGAACCTGCCTTGCAATTTGTCCGTCGAAATATCACCGAAGTTGCTCAAACTGTGGACAATAACCTTGTAAACAGCTTGTTGAGGTTGATCGATTGTCAAATTGCAACATGTTTTGCACGGGTGGAAGAAGAAGAGGACGAAAGGAAGGTGGAGCCAGCTAAAATCGTTTCAGAGTCCTTCTTCTTCGCCCTCATCTGGTCCATTGGAGCCTCATGCGATTATGCTGGAAGATCCAAGTTTAACTCATGGCTGAAGGAAAGCGTTGCTTCAGCAAACCTCAATAGCAAAATGCCATCCCTCGAGGACGGTGTTACGACTTGTTATGATTTCTTGTTTTCCTTCAGAAGTTACGAATGGGTAACATGGTTAGAAACGACAGAGAAGTTTGTTTTGGACATGCAAACAAGCTTCGAGAACATTGCTGTGCCTACGGTTGATACCATTCGATCTTCTCATGTGCTTGATTTGCTCCTTCGAAACGATGTGAACGTGCTTTGCTGTGGTCAGACAGGCACAGGAAAATCAGTGGTTGTCAATGAAAAAGTTGGAAAGAAAATGCCGGAGAAGTATGTTCCGAAGTTCATGGCGTTCTCAGCATCTACCTCTGCCAATCAGACACAGGATGTTCTTGACGGCACCATGGACAAGCGGAGGAAGGGAATCTTCGGCCCGCCAGTAGGGAAGAAGCTCGTCCTTGTGATCGACGACCTCAACATGCCTGCCAAGGAAGTGTACGGGGCCCAACCGCCCATTGAATTGATTCGTCAATGGTTTGATCACCAAGGTTGGTACGACAGGAAAACGTTTGAGTTTCGAAACATCGTGGATGTTACTTTATGTGGAGTGATGGGTCCTCCCGGTGGCGGTAGAGTAGCCCTGACCAATAGGTTCATGCGGCACTTGAACTTCTTGGCATTCCCTGAGATGGGTTACGATTCATTGAGCTTGATCTTCTCAACCATCTTGTCAGGATGGTTTGCTCACAACTTTACGAATCACATGGAAACATTCGGAGACGTTGTTCCAAAGTTTGTGAAAGCTACTCATGCTGTCTATTCCTCCGTGTTGAAGGAGCTGCTGCCCACACCTGCTAAAGCACATTATGCGTTCAACTTGAGAGATTTGTCAAAGGTGTTCCAGGGAGTCCTCATGGGGGATGTTAAGTCATTAACTACACTTCAAGATGTTTGCAGAATCTGGATACACGAATGTATGCGAGTGTTTTCTGATCGACTCATCAACGACGAAGATAGAGAATGGTTTAGAAAACTGCTTTCTCTGCAGCTTCAAGAGAACTTTGAAATAGATTACACTGAGCTGATCGGCAGCAACAGGCTGATCTTCGGGGATTATATGAATCCTGGTACAGACAACAAGCGGTACCAGTGGATTGAGGATTTTGGAAAGCTGCAAAAGGTGATGGAAGAATATTTGGATGATTACAATGCAGAGACTACCAAGAAGATGAACTTAGTCATGTTCTTGGACGCAATTGAGCATGTTTCAAGGATCTGTCGAATCATTCGAACTCCTCTCGGCAATGCTTTGCTTCTTGGTGTTGGTGGAAGCGGAAGGCAAAGCTTGACACGGCTGGCTGCCTTCATTGCAGAATTCAAATGCATCTCTATCGAAATCACCAAAGGGTACGGAAAGAACGAATGGCGGGAAGATTTGAAGAAATGCCTGCTGGCTGCAGGTGTGGAGAACGAGCAGATAGTATTCTTATTCACGGACACGCAAATCATCAAAGAGTCCTTCATGGAAGACATTAATGGCATCTTAAACAGCGGCGACGTTGCCAACATGTACGGGAACGACACCCTAGAAGAAATCGGAGCAGCTATGCGTCCGGTTCTCCAGGCAAAGGGAATCGCCCCAACGAAAGCGTCTCTCTACGCAGAATACCTCACTAGGGTTCGCAGTAATCTGCACGTGGTCCTTGCTATGAGCCCCGTCGGCGATGCTTTCAGGACTCGGCTCAGGATGTATCCAGCCCTTGTGAATTGTTGCTCGCTCGATTGGTTTGCGGAGTGGCCTGATGAAGCTTTGGAGTCCGTTGCGCAACAAAAATTATCCGACATCGATTTTGAATCACAGCAAATTCGGCAAGGCGTGTATGATATGTGTACCAGAATCCACATGAGTGTAGAGAAGATGTCAGCCAAGTTTCTCTCGGAACTCGGTCGATACAATCATGTCACTCCGACGAGTTACCTCGAGTTGCTGATCACGTACAAAGAGCTCTATTCTCTCAAGAAGCAAGAAGTCCAACGGTCGAAGCAAAGGCTGGAGATCGGGCTGGACAAGCTGATCAGCACAGCAGAGATGGTATCTGTGATGCAGGTGGAGTTGAGCGAGCTACAGCCGATCTTAGAGAAGAAAGGACAGGAGGTGGAAGACCTCATGAAGGTCATTTCCAAAGACAAAGCCGACGCCGAGATCACCCAGGCGGCATGTGCCGAAGAAGAGAAGAAGGCGAACGAGAAGGCTGTAGCCACCAAGACGATTGCAGACGACGCGCAACGTGATCTAGACGAAGCTCTCCCTGCCTTGGATGCTGCTGTCGCTTCCTTGAAGAGTCTGAACAGGAATGACATTGTCGAGGTGAAGGCTTTATCAAACCCTCCAGCTGGAGTAAAGATGGTGAGAATAGTCAAGTGCTTGTCCTGTGCATGTTTGACTCTCATTCCAGGTGATGGAAGCTGTTTGCATCATGTTCGAGTACAAGCCTGAGAAGGTCAAGGATCCAAACGACCCAATGAAGAAGATTGATGATTATTGGGGCGTTGCAAAGAGCAAGGTCTTCCTGATTCAACACGTTTTGTGCTTCCTTGACAAACTTCATTTTAGGTTTTGGCTGACCCCACAAAGTTTCTCGACTCTTTGTTCAACTATGAGAAAGATAACATCAAAGACACGACGATCAAGAAGATCGAGCCTTTCGCCAACAACCCTGACTTCACTCCTGAAGCCGTAGCTAAGGTGTCGAAGGCTTGCACATCCATATGTCTTTGGGTCTTGGCGATGAACAAATACTATCATGTGGCCAAGATGGTCGAACCCAAGAAGAGGCAGCTTGCTGAAGCTCAGGCAGAGCTGGATGAAACCCTTGCAAAACTAGCTCTTGCGCAGAAAGAGTTGAAGGAAGTGCAGGACCGGGTAGCGGAGCTCGAGGCCAAGTTCAACGACGCGGTCAAGGAGAAGAGTGAGCTAGCACACAAGGTCGAGCTATGCGCGTTGAAGTTGGTCAGGGCGGACAAGCTCATCGGAGGTCTCGGGGGGGAAAGGAGCCGGTGGCAGGAGTCAGTGAAGCAGTTCGAGATAGACTTCAAGAACGTGGTCGGAGACGTGCTCTCAGCGGCTGGCGCGATAGGCTACTTGGGAGCCTTCACCGGGCAGTACCGTGATGAGCTTTATTCGATATGGCAAGAGAGCATGAAAGAGTTCTCGATACCTCATTCCAAGATCTGCGATTTGATCAGCGTCTTAGAAGACCCAGTCTTGGTCCGCCAATGGAGAATAGAGGGTTTGCCTGCAGACAGGCTCTCGACTGAGAACGGCATCATAGTGTCGAAAGCAAGGAGATGGCCTCTGATGATTGATCCTGAGACACAGGCAAACAAATGGATCAAGAACAGGCATCACTCCGATGGCCTAGCAGTCATCAAGTTGAACGATAAGGATTACTTGCGGACCCTCGAAGGAGCGATTCGGTTCGGGAAACCGGTGCTTCTCGAAAACTTACACGAAGATTTGGATGCGTCCCTAGAGCCGTTGTTGCTCAAGCAGGTCTACAAGGCTGGCGGTCAATTGACCATCAATCTTGGAGATTCAGCCATTCCTTACCATGAAGAGTTTCTCTTCTACATGACAACAAAATTGAGGAATCCATACTACACCCCTGAGACAGCTGTCAAGGTCACCCTGTTGAACTTCGCCATCACACAGGCTGGACTGATCCAGCAGCTGCTTGGAGTTGTTGTGCAAGAAGAGAGGCCCGATCTCGCTCAGATGAAGGACCAGTTGGTCATCAACAACGCGGCGATGGTCAAACAAATGACTGAAATCGAGAGCAACATTCTCAAACTGTTAGCTGAATCGACAGGAGACATTCTTGAAGATGAAACTCTGATCAACACGCTGTCTGAGTCAAAGAAGACGTCGACAGAAGTTGAAGAGAAGTTGAAGGAGGCCGAGAGCACAGAGAAAGAAATCGACGAAACGAGAGAGAAATACCAACCGGTCGCTTTTCGTTCAGCTATTCTGTACTTTGCAGTGGCGGACTTGTCAGCGATCGATCCCATGTACCAGTACTCGTTAAGCTGGTTTGTGAGTCTCTACAGAAGAGGCATCCAGAATGCCGCCAGCGATAGCAACCTCGACATCAGACTGCAGAACATCACTGACTACTTCACGTACTCCATCTACATCAATTGCTGCCGCAGTCTCTTCGAAAGGCACAAGCTTATGCTTTCGTTCTTGATTTACACCCGCATAGAAGATGGCGATGGCAACTTGGATCATTCTGAGTTCCGTTACTTGCTTGCTGGCCCGACTTCCGTGCAGACCAGCAATCCTAACCCTGCGCCTGAGTGGCTCCCTCAGAACGCGTGGATCGAAATCAGCAACCTGGCAAAGTATCCCAACTTCCACGGGCTGGACGAGAACTTTGCTCAGAACCTCGACAGCTTCAAGAGGATCTACGACTCTCTAGCTCCTCAAGATGAACCGATTCCTGAACCATGGCAGTGGAAATCTCTACAGAAATGTTTGTTGCTGCGGGCCCTGCGGCCTGACAAATGCATCCAAGGGATACAAAAAACCGTCAGCGAGCTTCTGGGAGAACAGTTCATTGAGACTCCTCCCTTCGACCTGGCAGCTGTCTACATGGACTCGTCAGCTACCACCCCCCTCATCTTCGTGCTCTCATCCGGTGCAGACCCCACCGCAACGTTCCTCAAGTTTGCAGAGGAGCAGGGGTTTGGCAAGAAGCTCGATGCCATTTCTCTGGGTCAAGGACAAGGTCCGATAGCGGCAAAGATGATCAACGAGGCGAAAGATCGAGGGTCCTGGGTCCTCTTGCAGAATTGTCATCTCGCCACTAGCTGGATGCCTACCATGGAGAGGATCATCGAGACCTTGGATCCTGACACGGTGCACAAAGACTTCCGGCTGTGGTTGACGAGCATGCCCTCCGCCAACTTCCCGGCGTCTGTACTGCAAGACGGAGCCAAGATGGTGATGGAACCGCCCAGCGGTCTGCGTACAAACGTGATTTCAACCTACTTGAAGTTCGAAGGGAATTATCTCAGTGAGTGCAGTAAGCTGACGGAGTGGAGGAAACTTCTGTTTGGAATCTGCTTTCTCCACGCGGTCTTACAAGACAGGCGCAAGTTCGGTCCTCTGGGGTGGAACATCCTGTATGAGTTTGCTGAAGGAGATTTAGATTGCTGCCGGCAACAGTTGCAGATGTTCCTGAATGAGTACGAGGAAATCCCATGGGCAGTGCTGCAGTTCCTGGAGGCAGAAATCAATTATGGTGGGAGGGTGACAGATGATAAAGATAGGAGGTTGCTCAACACGATAGTGAGAGGACTCACCTGCGAGGCAGTCTTAGAGAGCGATTACAAGTTCTCTGAGTCTGGGATCTATTATGCTCCTGAATTCGCGACCGTGGAGGAGTATGTTGAGTTTGTGAGAGGCTTCCCACTCTCACCAGCACCTGAGGCTTTTGGCCTGCATGAGAACGCTGACATCACCTGTGCTCAGAACGAGACCTTCGCTCTCTTCGCTAGTCTGCTCAAATGCCAGCCCAAGTCTGCGAGTGGAGACGGGAATAGAGATGACCAGATCTTGCAGGAGGCACAGGACATCTTGAACAGAATCCCTGCGTCACTGGATATTCTCCACGCACAAGAGAAGTTTCCGACAGACTACCATGAGTCGATGAACACTGTTCTCACCCAAGAGATCCTGCGCTACAACGCCATGCTCAAGGTGATCAACTCCACGCTCAAGGTTCTGCTCAAGGCCATCAAGGGCATCGTCGCCATGTCCGGAGAGATGGACGCCATCGGCACCTCAATCTTCAACAATCAGGTTCCAGACGCGTGGGCTCAGAAGGCATATCCTAGCCTCAAGCCTCTCGCGTCCTGGCTCATCGACCTCGAAGCAAGACTTGCTTTCATCCAGAAATGGATCAACGATGGGCATCAGGAGGCATACTGGATTTCAGGTTTCTACTTCCCTCAAGCGTTCCTGACGGGAGCCAAGCAAAACTTTGCTCGCAAGTATCAGTATGCGATCGACAAAGTCAGCTTCGAGCACGTGGTTCGTGACGACATCACTGCTGAGTCGGCTCAGAAGCCGGAGGACGGGGTGATCATCTATGGTCTCTATATGGAATCCTGCCGATGGGATTCAGAGAACCACTTGCTGAGCGACCCGCTCCCCAAAGAGTTGTTCTCAGAGGCTCCTTGCTTCTGGCTGAAACCAGCCTACGACAAACCTCCCACAGATCACAAGACAATTTACGAGGCTCCTTTGTACAAGACCCTAGATCGCGCTGGAACACTCTCAACCACAGGGCATTCCACCAACTTCGTCTTGATGATCGAATTACCAACAGACAAGTCTCAATCGTTTTGGATCAAGCGAGCTGCTGCTTTGTTCTGTGCCCTCAAGTTCTGATGTAGTTTTTTCTTGTCTAAATAAAGGCTTGTGACATTAGGCACTATTTTGCTCCTCTGGCGCAGCCAGGCGTCATCGCGCTGTCAGTACCGTACGGTACTGCCGGCATGACAGTGAGACTCGAGTCATCATGAGTCTCAGCCGCACGGTCGCCGGGTGATCCCTCAGCAGCATCGTCGGATCAGTCAGACCTCAGCTCTCAGTCCGTCACTGACCATACCATCGTAACTTACTACCTGCTATCAACTGAACTAGCCGCTAGACCCTAGCTGAGCCTCCAAGACAGTTACAGTTACAATGGACCCTGATCGTTACACTTTTAAAAAAAGAAGGGCACGCCCATGGGCCCCTCTCAGGATCACGCGGCAGGAAGCGGTATGGCGTCCAAGCACGGGCAGAAGAAGGAGAAGCACGCGGTGAGCTCGGAGGAGAGCCCCCAAGTGAAGGAAGTCAGGCAGAAGATCGACAAGCTCAGACAAGGGATCGCAGCCGAGGCAGAGATTATCGTCCATGAGAAGATGCCTCAAAAGGTGAGAAACGACCAGGGGCCGTCATAGCGCGATGCTGTTATACATGTCTGTATGCCAATCATTTAGGGCAGATGATGATTCATGGCGGTTGAACTATCTGCCACCATGTTCTTGATTTTCCTTGCTTTCTCCGCCCCCTCCTCGGTTTCCCAAGATTCAAACTTGATTCAGGTGGCGGAGCTTTCCAAGATCTTAGAGGAAGACGAGCTGTGGAGATACCCGGAACACGATGACATCGTCAATCTTACTGTTAGAATCCTCTTTCTTGGCATCTCGAAGCAAACATTTTGATTCTAACACGAATCTTTTCAGGGAAGCCTGGACAACACAGCTGCAAGCGCGAAGAAGAGGAAAGTGGAAGATGGAAACCTGTCACCCAGGAAAACTGCGAAATCCGACAAGGTATTATATGAATATTCCTGTTTTGTTTGTTCCCTCTTGTGTTCGACCTGCTGATTGACCGTCTGGACGTCTTGTTCGGACATGCTGCTGCACGTGCAGATGTGGAACTGACCTGTCCTTCAGGACCATGACGCCCCTCTCTGTGAACATTCTATCGTCAAAAGCGATATCGTTTTCGGATCCAACGAGAGGATTCTGAAGCAGCAGGTAGTCATCTTGCTCCGGATCGACGAGAAATCGTCTGATTAGCTGTGTCCCCGTGATAATTTCGCGTTAGGCCATCTTGAAGAAGGAGATACAAGACTGTCTTCAGATGCTGAGCAAAGTCAAGATTTGGATTCAGCTGAATATCCCCAAGGTGGAGGATGGCAACAATTTCGGGGTTTCGATTCAGGAAGAGAGCGTGAATGATCTCGCTAAGGCAGAGGACACCAGTTTCGCGCTGCTGGACGGGTGAGATTGATATTTGACTTCAACGGCTGGTCACTGACGTGCCTGTAAGAATCAACAAGTACTTCATGACTCGCGGGAAGCTTGTTTCTCGACTTGGCAAATATCCCGGCGTCAAGGATTACGCGATGAGCATCCAAGAAGTTGATCGCAGGGAGCGGGTCAACCTCTGCTTGTCGCTGCATGACCTTCGCAACAATTATTTCATTCTGTATGACTCCATCACGAAGAACCTTGACAAGATCAAGAAGCCAAGGTCCAACCACGACCTGCCATTCACATGATTTGGCGCTGTAAATTACATCAGCTCTCACAAACTCTTCTGCTGTTACATTATGAGTTCAGTTATACTGTTATGGTTATTCAACTGGGCAGCTCAAGTAAATTTTGCGCATCTCGTTGCAAAATGACCTCTGAATCGTCCTATGATGTGCTCTTTACCGATGTGGACAAGGCATGTCCGGCTTCATAGCTTCAATGCCGCATTCATTGTGTTACTCTGGCGGATGATTTGTTGTGGTGACCTCTATCGTCCTCGTCATCGTCAAGGAGATCGAACGTGTACACCAGCATTGATATCTTAGTTCAGCGAACTTGACTGTCTGTAAGACTCAATTCATTCATTTCTCATGCCCTAGCGAGTCGCGCACGCATTCTAGTAAGGCAGCCCAGTCGTGGTTCTGACGGGAGGAGGCGAAGTTCGTTTGGGGCCGGCAGCGATCCCGAACCCGATGTGAGCGACTGCTGAGATGAAGAAGAAGGCTCCTATTCCCTTGCCGAACTCCAGCACCTTGCTAAGGAATTCCAACACCTAACAGCTTGTCATGACTGGAGGAGCTCGCAGGCAGCACAACAGACCGGGTGGTCTCCAATGCTGAAATTTTTCCTCCGATAAGATTTTTGACTGATGAAACAATGAGAAGACAATCATCATAACATTCGCTCCGCCCGGTCTTACCTTTCAACCGCAAGGTACTTGTGGTACGTGGAGTTGGTCGAGATGAGTTCTGTGCGCAGGCCTGGTTGAAAACTGCGATGGATCTCGCGAAGAATCGGAACTTGATGTAGTGGGATGGAGGGGAAGCTGCTCGTCAACGGGGCCGCTGAGAGAAAGCAGAGGACGAGAAAGAAACGAGCTGCCATGTTGACTCTCGCTGATCAATAGAAGGCTCAGCGCACGGACTGAGTGGGACAAGAACGGTAGGCAACACCGAAGGAGAGACAGCAGGAGAGGAAGAAGAAGACGAGAGGAGGAGTCGGTTGCAGCGGGAAGGAGGAGGAGTCCCAGCAAGGCGACGCCAAGGGATGGCAATGCTCCAGCAAGAGGAGCGACGGGGAGGCCGCCTCAAGGAACCTCAGTATTTCCCTTGAGCGGTCCTCCAAAATTTCAATTTGTGCGTGAAACATTCAGATGTGTGGACTTCATGAAAATCTTTGAGTATTTTTCTAGGAACTTCTCTTTAAACATTAAAATTAATAATTCAAAGTGAAAAGAAGAACAGTGGCAACCCCCTTCGAAAATCAACCATCATTCTTCATGCAGGATCCACGAAGTAAGTGGGAGGAGGAGATGATTAATGCGATTTGGAAGCTGTTGCGATGAGATCATCAATGCAGCAATGGTGTCCTTGATAGAAGGTGGGGAAGGGCGAAGAGGAAGAATGATAGAGAGAATGGTCTCATCATATGGAAACATGAAATGAATATGTTAATGCTGTTGCTCTCCTCCCGTCTACTATCTTTGATGCTTTCTCACGCGTCATGGCAGCAATCTGAGAGAGACTTTACAAGCCATGTCAAGTATATCGACTGCCTTTCACGGATCGCAGTCAACCAGGCACATGCGCTCTTTTCTTGTTCTGCTTGTGACCTCAGGAGCGTTACTTCTACCTGCTTGTTGCTTGAATGCAAGGCCTTTATTAGTTCCAAGCTCAGCGCTTAGACTGCGTGGAGGCTCCGGTGTCCTCCAGAATGAAGGCTCGACGTATCAGGCCTTGTCGTCGTCTCTCGCTCCCCAGTCAGATATGGATGACATCGATAAGGATATCTTTCTTGGCGACTTGTACCGCCTACAGGCAGGAGAATACGACTATGACCCGCAGGAGATGATCAAGATAGAAGAGATGCTGGAAGAGGAATCGGCTCGCTCTCAGCTCCTGCAGCAATTCATGATGCTCCAGGACATTCGCTTGGAGGCTCAAATGCCGGGAGGAGACAACTGCTCCTACGCTGACTCTTGGTTCGCCGGCTCCCTGTGGGATGACCCGGACGACGAGTTCTCATGGACACGATCAGCATGGATGCAGTGCCAGCGGGCAACGTGCTGGAGGGAGATGCCACCTGTGTGGAAGAGGATGGTGAAGCAGCAGTGGGAGGAGCTGCAAGAATTCGTAGCTGCGCTCTGCCTCCCCGACAAGGGGGTCAAGTCTGCACGTTACCTGGAATTCCAGCAGGAGATCCGACGGTTGCAGATCGCCTTTGCTGCCAACGTCAACCGCGTTGCTTCTCACTTGGAGCAAGGCTCTCTCAAGGAGGAAGTCACTAGAAAAGTACTCACGCTCTGCCTCCTCTTGTCCCGCTCACTTTCGCTGCAGGCGCAGGAGGCAGAGAAGATCACTTCCTACCTCAACGAGGAACCCAGGTCGCCTGAAACACTCCCTCTCCTCCCCCTGCCTGATGCCTCCCGCAGAGCCGAGTCAATCTTCTCTTGGGTTATGTCCAAGACTGGCCACATCATTCGCAAGGTTCAGCCCCCATCTCTCCTCCTCCCTCTCCATCGCTGACCATCTCGCAGGCCTTCGACGCGGAGACGGAGGAGGACAAGATCAACGCATACCGCGTGAGTGACTTGCCCAGACTTGCTCGCCTGCCTTCCTTATCTTCTCTCAACAGCCTACGGACGTGCAGCTCTTTGGCATTTCTCTCTTTAACACCAAGGACCCCCTGTCGGATCGCCTGTGGAACATGGGATCTAGCCAAGGAGACACTATCACCGCATGGCCCTTGAAGGCTGCTGCCTGGGTACAACCTCACCTCCCTCTCCTCTTGGATGTTTCCTTTCGCCCTCCGCTCTCGCTTCCCCTCCTTCCAGTCTAGTGCTCTCAAGTTTTCGTCTCTATTGTCTTCTCTCGCAATTTATCTGCACTGTATTCCTTGTCACCACCTTCTCCTCATTGTGGTACAGGTTGCAAAGAAACTTGAGCGAGAAGGCATCCTCCCCTCCTCCCCAAAAGCTCCTCTCTTCTCTGAAACCCACTCCCTCCTCAACACAACGAAGGTCCAGCAGAAGCTAGCAAAGGTCCTTTGCTTTCTTTTGCGATCGCGGGAGAAGATGGGGGAGGAAGGGGAGGACGTTTTGAATGACCTTGTAACAGGGAGAAATCGATCTGCGCAAGTTTAACGCTCTTGATTATCTTCACGATTACGCCGCAAGAAACTTCGAGCACCACAACGATACCTGGCATGAGGTGAAGGAAGACTTCGAGCTCGAGCATGCGATGCAGGAGACGCAGAAGGAGGAGTCAGAGTTCCCCCTGCAGACCATCTTCACCCTCGTGAGCTTCACCTGCTTGTGACGACGGTGCCTGACGGAGTGAACCCGTGCAGGAGGAGCTGGAGGCTGCCATGACCAAGAAGGTTCCCATGGTAGTCTGCGTCTGCTCTCCTCGTCACTTGCAAGCAGGTCAAGGAGCTTGTCTTCGGTCAGCCCGAGCCATCAACCGATGAGATGGAGGAGGTGAGGAGGGGGATGCTGCTGCTGCCTCGCTCGCTCACCTTTCTCTCCCCAGCTGATCAGCAACATCTCGTCTCTTGAGATCGCGGAGCCCAGGGAGCAGATACAGCAGCTGTTTGCAACCCATGCAGGAGGAGAAGTCAGGATTGTGGCTAAAGCCCTCGACAAACCAATCCCGTCCAACATCAGGTGATCAGTCCTGCCTCCTGTGCCTTCCTTGCCTCTTGTCATCCTCTTCTCTTCTCCCGTGATGTCAGTTCTCAGGGACTGGATGGACGATCCCAACGCTGACGTTGAGACCATGAAAACCATCCTGCGACATCCGAGGATCCAGAATCTACTGAAGCATCCCGACATGATGACCCCTCCTCAAATGGTCGAACAGGATTAAAAATGCAAGGTGTTGCCTCGTCTGATCCTCTCACAGCCTTTCATCGTCTAATCCTTCGCTTTGAAGAGATTCTCATTGCTCCTCACCACCATACTCTCTCGCTTCCCCTTGCTCACTTCCCGCTTTCCTTGAATCGTCACTTCCTCCTTCACTCCCCCGCCCTCCATCTCTTGATTGTCCGTCACCCACCATGCCTGAGGCTTCAGCCCCTTGTTCGCCCTGTCGCTCAGCCGCCGCCTTCCACCTTGATCATCCGACGCCAACGAGCTTGGCGTTGCCTCCCGTTTCTCAAGGTTCCCAGAGGGCTCGGGAGAAGAATCTAGTTCCCTCCTCTTCCTGTTGCAAGGCTTGCTGGAATTCCCGATCATCTCAGGTTCCAATATTTGCACATCAGCATTCGTCCCTGTCGTGCCTTCACAAGAAGATCTCTTTTTCAGTCTGACAGGACCAGCGTCTTCCCGTTGCTCGCCTTTCACGCCATGTTTGCCACTCACTGAAGATTTTGCTTTCATTTTGACATCCGATTTGTCCGCTCTTCCCACATCGCCTCGAGAATACTCACGAGGACGAGTTGCCTTGGGTTTCAATGGCGAATCCCCTTGTTCTTCTTTATGCATGCCAGTCTGCAGCACATCATCAGAAACGTCTGACAATGCTCACGATCCCTTACCCTCCGCTGCGATTTTACCTCAGGGGTCGCCTGAGTGCGATGTGACGGAGGAAGGAGTTGACTTTCTTGTGACTTGAGAGTAAACGAGCTGAAATCCATCTCCTTGCAAGTTGTCTTGTCCATTTTGACCGACGAAAACAGGTTGACCTCCTGGCTCTTCCCCTGCGTTTCCTCTGCTGCCTCGGACTTGGTCGAAATCTTCATCAACGTGTCCCGAATGATGATGGGGAGAGGACACAACGAAGACAGAAAAGGATGACAGAGAGCTTGATGGGGAGTCAAGCGTCTCTCAGGGTCGTATTCAAGACATCCCGAGATGAAAGAAATGAGCTTTAGATTGTTGGTCTGCAGCAGTGACGCGATCTGGCACTGAACTGCGGGCTCTTCCACGTGCTCCTTCGTATGGAACACAGGGAGGGCAGAAAGAGTTTGGTAATACTTTCCTGAGGAGAAGAGAGCCCTAGGAAACTTTCCCTGAGAGAGCAAGTCAGTAAGACATGCAACTGACAAGTCAGCTGCATACTGACCAGCGTCTTTGCCATGGTAGCAACCGCAGAGGAGCGGTTGAAGCTATCGAACAATCTTCTTCCAATGTAGGCCTCGACCAAGAGGCATCCAAGCGACCACATGTCAATCTGAGTGGTGAATGGCATCCCGAAGAGAACTTCAGGCGCCCGGTAGTAAAGGGTCTGAAGTTCGAAGTCGTCGTGGTAAGCAGAAGAGTTTTTCATTCGGAAGGAATTCCCCATGTCCGCTAGTTTGACTTTGATGGAGAGAGATTTCGGTAGTTCACGGCCATTCACCTTCTTCCATGGTGACTCGCGCAGTAGGACATTCTCTGGTCTAATATCTGCGTGCACAACTCCGTTGGAAGCCAAGAAGCTCAGTGACGTCAGGAGCTGAAAGCTCAGCTTTTGTAGACACTCGAGAGAAAGCGCAAAAGGTCCCATTTGCTCAACAACCTCGTGCAAAGATCCATGCATCTTTTCCATCACCAAGCACCAATGATCTTCGAAGGCAAAAGCAGAATACGGTCGGATAATGTTTGCACCTTCAAACCCTGGCCTTCTCGAGAGCTCAAAAAGTAGCTCAGATTCCTGCATTCCTACCCCTTGCATTCCAGCCCTTGTAACCTGAACATTTAAGAATTCAGCATGGGAAATTCATTCACAGAATACTCGTTGACCTTGATTGCAACCTTGTTCCTGGTCGGCTGATGTGAAAGACGGTCCTCTGCTTCGAATATCTGTGCGAAGGTGCCAACACCAAGTAGTTTTCTGTAAGAGTATCGATCACCCATCAGTCCAAAATGTGAATCATCTGGCTCAGCAGCTGTCTTGCTGCTAGATCACAATCATGCACTGACGCGTGAAAACCTCAATAGTCTCACCTTTGAGGGAGCAGCAAGAATCCGTTGTTGTCATCGATCTCATGTTTGGCGAAGGTTAGTTGGAGACCCTTTGGTTGCAGGTTATGCTGAAAAGAATGAATCCACTCTATCAGTTTCAAGAGAGCTGCCAAGGGTGCAGAGGTCACCTCAAAGAACTTTGCAGAGCTCAGCCTCTGGCCAGCCATTTTCGAATGAATCCTTGCATGCAAGTTGCGCAGTCCCACAGTTAGATGGCTTACAGTTGTCACTGGTCTACAGTGAAGCACTGGATCAATGGGTATGCTTGACCTGACACATCTTCAGTCCCCGAGACATCCTGGTGGAGGCGGGAGCAACAACACAACATTTCTCTCACCACGACTGAAATGCTGACGATCGCTCCATGACCAGCAAAACCGAGACACGGGAAGTCAGTGAGGAGGAGTGTTGGTCTGAGCTCAAGCTTGCAAGTAGCTGTCAGGGAGAGCGAGAGAGGAGATCCGAGACCCTCCAGCACAAGATCTTCCCCTCTTGTTGCCTACGAATTCACACGAAATTCCGAATTCCTGGCTTGTTAATCACTTGAGACGTTCACAATCCAGCGGCGCCGGCGGGCCCCGCCCGGCCCGGCCGGGTACGACGGTCGGACGGTACGGTCCGGCCACTCCGAGCCTCGGAGGCGGCTCAGTGGGCCGGCCCGGGCCCCGGCCGGGTGACGGCAGTGACTCGGCCGGGCGGTGACCGACCGTGGGGCCCCGGCCGCGCCGGTATCATGGCATGCAGTGCGCGGCCCGGCCCGCCGGCCGGCCGCGGCAGTCCGTCGGGCCGGCCGGGCCGCGCACCCGGTGACCGGCGGCCGCCGCGGTCCGAGTCTGAGGCTCGCCGGCCCGGATTCGACGACCGTCCCGGAGTCCGTCGGACGGTACGGTACGGTCCCGGCCGTACGGTCTGAGCCGGATCCCGCCGGAGTCCGCCCGGCCCGGACTGCCGCTCCTGGTGACCCGGGAACAGGCTGTCACCGTCGGCACAGTGCCCGGCTTTGACTCCGACCGTCTGTCAGTGAGCCGCAAACTTCCGCACCCGGCCGCGGCGCGGCGGCCCGGTGAGCCGGATGGTCACGAACGCCGGCCCGTGAGCGGAGGCTCGGACTCAAAGGCCGGCCGCCGCGCGGCGCCTGGCCGCCCCACCGTGTGCCACACCGTGGCACTGAGGGACACTGGCCGCCCGGCGCCAGGCCGGGCCGTCCCGGAGTCCGAGGGCCCCGGGGCCCGGCCGACGGCACGGTCGGCCTGGCGGAGGCTTCGGAAGTTCCGCAGTGAAGGCCCACTGACAGTGACGGTGAGTCAGCCACTGAGTTCCGCTCGGACGGTGCTGGGTACGGTGCCTGCCGCCGTGCGGCCGGCCCAGGCCCGGCGCGCCGCCGCGTGACGGCCGGCACTGGGGCAGTGGCCGCGCTGCGGCCGGGCGCGGCCGGGCAGTCACGCCGCACGCCGCCGTACTGTACCGTATCACTTTGAGTAAACTCGGATGCTTCAGTCAGGCTTGCTGACTCTATGAGAACAGTGACACCGCTCTCAGCCGCTGCATCGGCTGAGTCACGAAAAGAGACTTGTTCAGTTAGGATCAAAGAGACCCCAGTGGTATCTCATCGTTTGCAGTGTAGCTCAGATATCTCAAGCGATCTCCGGGGGCTGAGATCCATCAGATGGCATCCTTTCGTGCCAACTACCTTGTTCTGGGCAGTCACATGCGTGTACTGCCGTATATGCGTCCCTCCGCCCTATATGGCGCCCTCGCCTTGCAGCTGCACTCCTTTTTTTTCGCCCGCTGTCCATTGTTAAAACTCAGGGTTGAAATGGGGGCGCGTGCCGCCTGATTTCTTTCTTTTAGCCTGTTATTTTTTTTTTTTTGAAAGGACGGATTTCCTTCTGGGAGATCCATCATGTGTGCGTTCGGTTGGGGGGGTCCTAGGGGTCTGCTGCGCCAGAGCCCCTGGCCCGGTACCCAAAAGAGCCCTGACAAAGGCTGGGGGACGGTACGGTAGGTGGCCGCTGCCTTGCGGTGCCAGGGGTACAGGAGTGCATGGGCCAGAAGTGGCAAGATTTCTGTTGGGGTGCAATGTCAGCTGAGTGGGTGCAAGAAACTCCCAAAAGCTATCTCTTCAGCTGCCAGTTTACTGCTGGAATCTCCCACGCCCGGAGATCAGTCCCATGTCTCTTGGGACACTCCTGCAGGCGAGCAAAAATCGTTTTAGAACCGCATAAAACTCTCAATTGTAAAATAATAAAACAATTTTTAAAAGGGGGGCGTGTGGCAAGAAAGCGATTCAGTATGGTGGGTGATATGGCACTGTTTGGTGGCCCGTCAAGTGGCAAGCCTCATTCTCGATACAGGGCTCATGTCGAATCATTTATTTAATGATTGCATTATATTGAATCAAGAAAGATACGCACTTGCGTACTTGAACATGGAATGGGGACCATCAAATCCTGAACCCAGAAAGGGTATATTATTATCTATGGGTGGGGGTGGTAAGGCATTTCTTCAGGTGCCTACGGTCGGATCTCCCGGGTGGTATCAAGTCTCTGAAATATTAGTTTTTCAAGCTGAGATCAAACTGAGATCTATTCAATCCACCTGTTGTATACGAAAGAGAGAGTTTTCATATACTTACAAACTCGAAATAAAGTAGTTTCTTTGAGATACGCCCTTCCTCAGGTATCTGGTGATCTTAATTCAATTTTTTGACAGCATTTTAAAAATGTTTTCTGAAAGAGCTGCGGCCCCCCCATGAAGGCTCCCCTCGCCCTTTCCATCCGTCCTCCACATTCTGCTCTTCCTGCCCCTTTCCTGCCCCTTTCCTGCTTCACGCTACATTCCTTCTCGTGCACTTATCCTTAACTCCCAATATTGCTCCCAACATCCTCTTTGTCCTTTTCTCTGGAATTCTTTCCTTTGCTTCACTCTCATCAGTCCGTTGAATCTTCTTGAACCTCAACTGGCACCTATCCTTGCTTCCTTTCCGCCCTCTTTGGATACCTCAATCTCGCTGCATTTTCCGCCTTATTGGGGTCCTGTTACGTGACTCCGTTCTTGGTCGCTTGTGTCCCTCTCCTCGTACAATCAAAGCTGCTTTGTCAGACAAAGAAGATAATCTTGTCTTCCTGAGAAACGCCTAAGGCAGCACCGGCACTTGTACACTGCGAAACAATCAGCGAAGAAACAATCACCAGAGACTTTCAAGTTTCAAGAGCTAGGTGTTGAAATAATTCAAGCGCACAATCGTACTTTGGAACAGTTTTTCGTGCCTTTATCAAATGCCAACACTTTTCCACAGCCACAGGGAAATTCCCCATGACATGTGGCAAGATATAAAACTTCTCTCAAGTTTGTCCAACCATCGCCAAAGTGCACAGTATGAAAATGATGACAAAGTTCACAACAAAGCTGCGGTTTCATGGCTCCTAAACAACGAAAGCGAACCGCAATGTGTTCGCGCAAGCTTGGATAAAGTTTGCATTAATGTCGCCAGGGCAACGAACATGGAATGCCATGCAACATTTTCAAGCACATTGCCAGCAACAAACGATGCAAGAGTTCAGCATCCAGGTACAATGAGCCCTTTCCCTGACGGAAGAATATTTGTCAACACTACAAACTCACAAAAGGGCGCAATTAAAGAAGATCATCTCAGCAATATTGTTAGTATGCCCCGTGGCAATTTCCCCAGCCCCAGCAGCAGTGGAATATCACAGGCATCTACGGCTGCATCATCCAACTATTCCTCAGGTGAAGACGAGAGTGTTGATTCTTCTGGGGAAAGGAAAAAGCACTGGTCCATTTCGTTAGATGAGTCCTTGGCCATCAAAATTTATGAAAACCGGCCACGCAATGCAGGGTCAAAGTATGGAAGTATGGCGGAGGCAGCTCGTATTGGAGAACTTCATGGAGTCTCGCCAAAGACGATTCGTGATATATGGAACCGCAAGTCTTGGGTTAAGGCAACCAGACCACTATGGACACCAGCTGAGGTGCAAGCTTTCATTCCTAGGAAGCACAGAAGAGGTGACGAAGGCTCTAAGTCACGGAAGCGAGCTAAGACAGAGGAACATCTTGAGTAGAAAAAGTTATTTACATTTGTGTACACTTTAAGTTAGTCTGCAAGGTTTGTGCAGAGTCGTTTCAAGTAAATCCAAATTTGAACTCTTGTTCCTTCGTTGCAATTTCTGTGCCAACAACCGTATCCCATAGTGACAGACAAGCAGCTTTTGGCTTCTTTTGTTGTTGTAAGCAAAGAATATCGGGATGATACCTGCACGAATTGAGTTGCACAGCAAACAAGGAACTCCCAGAGCACCTGTTGAGGGCTTCCTGAAATCTCTCATGAAACCCTTCACGCGAGTCTGACGGGACGCCAGACACGCAATGAGGTTTGTGCTTCACAAAATGAAGTACTTGAGATAGATTTTGCTCGCTTACCTACAGGAAAATTAAACGTGGACAATGTGCCGAGAGGTTCTTACATAGTTTTGAGTGATGGCAACTGACGGCTCTAAATTCAGCACACAATGCCACCATCCATTAGGCACAAAAATGATTTCTCCTGCTTCGCATACACATTCGAGAGGACGGACCTATGCATCGCGTTGTGATACCACAGACAATTCAAAGAGAGGAGAAAAGCACGCAACTAACCTTGCAAGACTTTGTCGCAGGATAAAAGTTGAGGAACCATTCCCAGATAGATGCCGAGGTCGCAACGTTCGCCATGTCGGCGCTCGGAAATACTCCTGGAGGCCTCTGACCAGGAGGAAACATAATCCACTTCTTCCTCCCTGAAATCACGGCGTTCCACGCACTGCAAGAGGAATGAATCATAAGAAGTCAAAGGTGACAAGGAAGGGAGGGAGGGAGAGGAGCACCTAGTACTGTTGGGGTCAATATGAAAGGAGGAACCACTTCGTGCTGGTCCGATGATGATCCATCGCCAGTTTGGTCTTGAATCTCCGAGTGCTTCAAAAAAGTCTTGTTTGAAGTATTCGGGTACTTCGTAGTCTTCGACCAAGGAGGGACAAGTGACTGGGAAGTCCTTGTCGAAGAGATACAAGGGTTTTTCTTCCTAGACAGAAAAAATGGGCAATCACACAGATCACTTATCCTCCCGAGATAAGTAGGAGAACAATAACCATACCTTGGCGTGATCGCAGTAGTGATAGAAGTTGTTCATTTTCATCTTCACTGGGCCCACCTCAAACTCTTTCTCGCCGAAGTTCTCAAGCAGGTACTCGCGATTCCATTTCTTGAAAGCCGGCCAATGCTTGACGACGTCTGTGACAATGACGGGCCTGTTGCGTCTCTCATACTCGTCGATGAACGACTCAAGGGTTAGGTTGTCTCTCCGTTCTATGTTAGAGACCTCCAACCATTCCGGGAGCACTCCGACTGTGGCGCATAGCCAGGGTTGGAACAAGAGGTCTGAATACAGCCCTTTGACTGTCAGAGGTCTATGACCTGGAAACCTCTTGCCGAGAAGTTTCCTTCCCAGCGTTGACTTCCAGCTATCTGCGAACTGAAAGTCTCCTTGCAGATAGTTCAGGGCCAATGTCCTCCAAAGCTCGTCATGGTGTCCGAACACATACAAAGCACGACTTGTCATGCAAACAAGGAGAAGATGTTCATAGCTCAGAAGCCCCAGAACTTCGAGGAGAGATTGATCGTCCAATGCAGCCAAACGGCCGAGTGAGGTATCCCTAATCGATGTTCCTCCATTTTGCCTCGCACTACCATAGAAATTGCCCCAGGGCTCTACACCGTATCTGAGAGTAAACATCAGAATCTCGAACTTAATGAAGATATCTAAGGTTGCCAACTAAAGAGAAGGTGCATCTACTTACGGGTGCTTTCCGTCTTCCAAGATTGCCTCCTTCTCCCGGAGATGGAGCTCCTCATGCATCTGATTATCGTCATCCATTCTTGCTCTCTTCCGTTTGCATGAGACCACAGTCTCTGGTGTCTGTTTCCTGTGTCCTTCATTCTCCTTCATGCATGCTCCTCTTTCTCCCTTTCGCTCTGCCATGCTGGCTCCTTCGTCATCGCACGACACGTGCATTTTTGCTCACACTCCGTATCTGTAATCGAATTTCCAATGACCACCTGGCCACCCAGCCAGCAACGAAACCCGGGGCCAATGAAAGTAATTTAACGCCGAAGGACTCGTTTACTCAGCCGAGCTATTTCTTATCGAAATCATCACCCCACCCTATGCACATACAGTCTCATAATGGGTAGTGATATCAATATTGTTGACCACCCCCGTTTATGATAGTAGTTTGATGGGTCATCTGCGAATAAGCCGAACGGTTTGCTTTATAACAAGAGCTGTGACCCTCTACCCTTCCAACCGGGTCTACCCCACCCCACAGGCCTTTTACCCTACTCAAATATCCAGCACCGGTGTTATCTTGAGACTCAAATTTTTCTACCACACAAGGTGGGATCTTACTATAATTTCAAGTAAAAGACAGCATGTAATTGAGATCTCAGGATATTATCTGTTGCATCGAACTACCCTTTGTGGTCCTGACCCCTTCCTTATCACCCCCCTACCCTTGATTTTAATTTTTCACCCCATCCTTTCTAGGGACCCCTGGTCTTGGACCAGACGTAAGGTACCCTTCTGTGGTGCCCTCCTGTTGTGATTATTTGAAACCAAGTTCTGGTACCCCCATTGAATATTCCTACTACCTGGCCAGGTTGGGCAGAAAGTCCAAATCTGCTAGCTTTGATTAGCGTCTAGTACCATACTTCTCACCTAGACATTGTCCCACCGACGCTCTTTTTCCACCCCTACCCCCACTAGACGACCTCATTACAATCGAACCACCCAATCCTTTGCTACCCCCTTCTAGATCAGGATTTTCAGCCCTCGAGGCCGTCAATAGAGCATCGGAACAGGACAAGAGAAGCGGGCACGTATCTCTTCTCTTCTTCCAGCTTGCTTGTCGACCTGAATATCAACTCATAGTCCATTCTCCTGTTGTTCTGCTTGACTCAATTCTGAGCTCTTTCCCTGCTGTCTTTGTTCTGGAACCTTGAAAGAAATGATCCGCAAAGCATTCGGGATCGCCTTGGTGGCCTGCATTGGCGCTGATGTTGTCGGGGCATTTGCTCCTTCGCTTCACTCTGTGAACATCCGCAAGGTCACAACTGCGTCTCACTCTATGAAAGGAACTCAGCTTGCGACTGCCGGGACTGCACGCAGGGTGCAGCTCCGCGCCAGCGGCGTTCAGATGAAGGCACAAAGCGATCGTACAGCCGAGCAGCTGAAGGGGGACCTCATGACGGTGTTGAGCTATGGGACTGGACTTCAGCAGGCGGCCGATCCCAAGAATCGGATTGAAGTAAATGAGATCCTCCTTGAATTGGAGCCCATGAACCCAACGGAGTCCCCGGCCATGTCTTCTTTGATGAACGGTGGCTGGGAGCTTGTGTACACAGGCGGCTACGCACCAGGTCTCTTCGACAGGTGTGCAAAGTGTGATGCATGATGTTTGCTCTGACCTTGTCTTTAGCCCAACCCGTGAGATTGCCCTCTTGCTGTATACCGGGGGATATCGTCCTGGACTGGTTGCAAACCTTCTTTCCAAGCTTCCTGCACCTCTGGCCTCGGCTTTGTCCGTCGAGGATGTCGAACTTAAGATTGAGGAGACTGAGCCAAGAGTTGAGGCCTCCCTCAAAGTTCAGGCGGTTGGAAACGAGCAAATGATTCGTAGCAAGGGAAACTTGGTTGCAGAGTCGGATGTGCGCATGCGTGAGACCTTCATGAAATTGGAGGCATTTGGCCAGTCCATTGAACTTCCTGGTCCCTTCAAGTACTCCAGGAATCTCCTTGTTACTTACTTGGTAAGTCTTTTTCGCTGTCTTTGGCTCTTTCTTTTACTTACTGTTATCATTGTGACAGGATGATGATTTCTTGATCGTGCGTGACGAATCTGGTGAGTGTTCTTCCTGCAATTCGTTTAGAAAGCTGTAGAATCCTGACTCGTGCTGCAAGGTGTTCCGGACATCTGGTTGAGAAAGTCAAAGAATGAAGTTGCCTCTGCTCCTTCCAACGAGACCGCCACCAAGGACCCGTCTGTAGACCCAACCTACGATGGTCCAGCGTGGGAGGACAACAGGCCAGAGGATGTTGGACCCAGCGACTACTAGACTCTAATTCCCACGTAAATGAAAAATACATAATTCATATGCGAAGTGATACAGTGCCGGCTTTTTGCCCAAAGGTCAAGCTTGGATTACGAATTCATGGACGCCGCGGAATGAAAGAATCATTCGGTTTACATTCGCTTTTATGCAAGCAAATTGTTAAGTCACAGATTCCCTTCAAGATAAGCAAGCAGATGTATCCGATTACTTCAAATCCCACATGTGATGTCCATAGTCGTTGAACTCGTTGCTAATATCTTTCTTCACTGATTTCTCTACATTCGAGAGGACGCTTGATTCACTCTCAAGAGATTTTTCAGCGACATCTTTAACGGTGTTGATGCTTTCACTAAACCTGTTCAAAGTGATTTTAATTTCTAGCATTGGTGCAAAGCATAACTGCATACCTTGTTCCAAATAACTGGTGTCCTGTTACCACTCGACTCCACAGCCGGAGTTTCGTCATACAGAGGTCCGTGGTGGCCTCCTGAACCTGCCGAAACTCTCAGCAGGCAAATATTGTTAAGTAGGTGGGGTCGTGACAAGACTAAGAAACCGATTTGCAAGCATTTCAAAGTTTTTTTTCTCGGAGAAAGAAGTGATTTCATCTCAGGTGAACAGAGAAGGTGAGAATCAAGGAACACAATCAGGTGAATATGTGACTCAGAAAAAAAATCGTTAGAAGATAGGGTGGACAGCATTGGACCCAATTATGATGAATCAGGATTAGCACGAGGGGAAATTGAGATGCTCTGTATCTCTGGACCTTGGGTTTGCGATTACATAGGCAACAAGTTTCAGGGAAAAAAATTAGCAGAAAAGAAGTGAAACAGAGCTGATCAACTCTTGGAGCTGTTTTCACACTCATTCGCTTGCGTGTTTGGCAATCTGAACAAGTATCCACCAACTCACCATGGCCCCGATACAGGCGGTAGGTCGATTTCGAAGTCAACGAAATGGTTGGCAATGTCTTGAAAATTAAATTATGCTATTTAAAAAGCCTGTAACAAATAAAACATTTATACAGAAAAGTGAATACAGATAAGTAAAGTTTTTTTTGAAAATTCAAACAATGACTAATGTTTCTATGAAATAATGATTTACAAATGTTTTTGTAATTTGAAATTATTCGCTATTCGCGAATAATTTCGCCGTCTGTATGTTTCACGAAGGGTCATTTTGTTTACTCAATAATCTTCGAAGGGCTGGCCCGCTACTCGTCCTATCGGTCGCTTTACGTTACGAAACCGTTGCGCGAAAGCCGCACGCATACACCCAAGGACATAGAGCAGGCGAAACAAAGAAGCGAAAACGAGAGGAGGGCGTGAGTGAGCTACCTGGTTCAGATCGACGAGCTTCTTGACTTATATCGACGAGCTTCTTGACTGAGATCGACGAGCTTCTTGAGTTAACATCCTTTTCTCTCCTCGGACTTGAGAAGAAATGCTAAAATCTCTCTTTACTTATTGTTTTGCTCCTCACGCTGGAAACTTTGCAGAAGGTACGTATGATGTGTAGCAGAGTCCCTAACTTGAGTGCATGCTGAATTTTGTGTGCAGCATCGCGGTCAGACTGTGCGAGAGCTCTCGACGAATTGTCTTCAACCAACGGGGATCTTCCCAATCGAAATCTGAACAGCAATGATGTGAAGGAGATGTGCGACAAAGGAAGTCACAGAGCCTGCTTTGCATACGCTCTGATGGCCCTGGAGGGCAAAGGAGGTCTAAACCAGAATGTCCAACTAGCAGCGGACATCCTGCGGTCATCATGTGAGCATGGCAACGAGAAAGCTTGCTTCTACCTTGCTAGGGTCTACGACGGGCTGACAGGTCACGACGGTCGAGGCCTTCCGAGGGACGCACATCAGGTTGATGGTACTGGCTGTGAGGTCTCGTGTAATGGTGCGCAGGCGGGGGAGTATTATCGAAAGGCATGCACCATGGGTAATGGTGAAGCTTGCTACAATTATGGTCAACTGCTGGATCAGGGTAAGGGAGATTTGGTCAGTAGCAAACCTGCGAGTACCAGGGACCGTTCTGAAGCCCGAAAGCAAAAACGAGTAGCCAAATTCTTTGGGCTGGCATGCGAGAAGGGAGTCAGCAAAGGATGCGTCAACTTGGGGGTCATGGAGTGGGAGGGCAAAGGGATAACGAAGAACGAGAAGCATGCACTGCATCTCTTCCAAGCGGCATGCAGGATGGGTGAGGGAGCTGGGTGCGGTTTCGCAGGCGACATGCTCCGGGAGAGAGCGGTTGAAACCCAAAACAACAACGCGGAAGCTGCGGAGATGTACTACGCTGGTTGTCAGCAGGGAAATGCACGATGTTGCTTGATCCAAGCCAAGATGTTGGAGGACGCGGCGATTGAGGCAGTCAAAGCAGGAACATCAACTGGCGAGCATGCGCTCCAAGCACGAGCGCGAGCCGTGATGTTCTTTCGTCGTGCCTGCGAACTGGGAAATGCTCTGGGATGCAAACGCTTCCTGGGTTCGAACGATGCCTTCAAGGTAATTGACACGCGTAACGAGAGCGAGAAGGCTTGGCTGAATGTCACGCCGCAAACCGAGGAGTCGATACGTACTCCTTCCAAGTGAAATAAATCAAGTTTCATTGCTTGCTTCTTATCTCATCTCTTGAATGAGATTTCTTTGTTCTCCCATAGTTGTTGTATACTCTTGCCCGACGAGTTTGGAAGCGCTCGTAGAGACGCGTCAACCTGCTCCTGTGCCTGCAGCCAGCGATCATGCCCTGCCGTTACGTGATGCTCTTGGTGTAGATCATATCCAGCCCCTGGCGAGCTCCCTCCCAACAGAGCCAGTCGGCTGTCTCTCCGAAGCTCCATGGAGAGCTTGAAGAGCAGGAGGCTTCCATCTGAGCAGCCCGCTAGGATGTAGCTTCCATCCTGGATGTGCAAGTCAGAGAGGAGCAAGAAAGAGACATGTAGCATTCCGATGTGAAGCAGATGGAGCTTATGAGAGGGAGAGAGTCACTCCAGCCAATGAACTCCCCAGTCGCTGCTTCCCACAAGCTCAAGCAGCTAAGAGAGAGCTCGCTATCCCTGCTCACTGACGCGAGGAAAAGTCCTGAAGGATCGATCGACAATAGTGTACAGGTCAATCGTCGATGCCGAGCCAGCATTGGCGTCACGTTCTGGAGCAGCAGGTCAGCCACGCATCTTCTTGTGGAGGAGCGACGCCTACCAAAGACAAGTCTGGGTTCGAGGCCGACTCGCCATGGAGGGACTTGACCTTGTGCGTCTTAGTCAAGTCAGAGACGGCACGTGCGCTCCTCACCTCAACGAGCCCCTTATCGGCCAAGGCAAACACGTATCTATGAGATGCGTGCAGGGAGATTGAAAGAGGTTGTGAATGGAATTGAATGGTTGCGACAACCTCCGCTAATGGGCTCCCTCCCTGTGTTATGAAGTTCGCCTTCACCAGGTAAACAACCAACGTAGTCATGTCTGAGAAGGCCAAAAGCTGTATCATGAAAGCAATGTCACATCGCGGACTAGTCCACAGTCCATCACCATCACCTTGAAATTCTCAACAATAGCTGAGCGGCAAAAATCAGTTGCTTGACTGCTAGGTTGCTTGTCGATGCTTCTCTGCAAATCTAGCGACACAAGGACCTGCGGATGATATCATTTCCACATGTCAACTCGTACATCAATCAATACAGCCACCTGCTCGCAAACTTTATCTCTGATATCGTTCTCCACTTCTTCATGTACAATTGATGTCTTCTTGAATCCACTGATTCGATCCAAGATCCATATCAGCCCTTCATGTGAACGAACAACCTGCATCTTTCTGAGAACAACGAGCATAAAAGGAGATCTCACACAACCATATAGTCTCCTCCTGGGACGATGGCAATTCCTGATATCTTTGAATGACAGACATCAATCGACCATGACAGTGCGTGCGATTCTGTCGAATAGATCATGCAGTAACCTATTCAATGCTAAGTCGTAAGTTGTACACATTGATAGAAGGACCATAGTAGGTTCCGCAAGCAAGGATCTTGCTGATGCTATCACAAGTCATGCATGAAGTGCACAGCTTTCGGTTTATGAAGGATTCTTGAGTGTGGAAATCGCCGGGATGTAAGTTTGCAACCTGGCCAAGGAATCATAAAGATACATCTTCACTTCATTGCAAGGCTGACATGCTTTTGTATCCCCCGAAAGGAGCTCTTAGCACTGGAGATTGCTGGATGCAAGGTGGAGGCGGTGTCAAGAAACGTCTTGCTCGGAGCAGCCTCTATGCTGTCTCCTCGCTTGTTAACAGACCATACACCCACTGTGAGAGTCAGACAATCGCCTTCTTGAGCAGAGATCTGACCTGTCTCATCACTGCTGGCAGTGTAAACGGCATGGCGACCTTGATGAAATGTGCCTTCTGCCATGACTGAGTAAGATAGGTTCGCCAAGGATTTATGATATTACACCTGGACAGATGCTATTGATCTGTGAAGCATGCAAGAATTGAGACAAACACTCTTCGCCTTCACGAGCAGGTCAGCCATAGCAATGTTTGAACGTGACTCATAGGTACCGGTGTCATCAAAGAAAGTTATAAACTTGTCCAAGCTGTGCACAACAAAATATCCTGTGCACATTTCACGAGGAGCACAGCGAGGTTGAAATCTTGTGCATGCGATACCGTCGAAGTAAGACAGTTTTTGAATTCCCAAGGCGTACTGCTAAACATGTCATCTCGTGATGCAGGATACACGCGCTCGCTTTCACTTGAGAATCTTTTGATGAGGACCGTTTCAGGATCGATGACTTTCGTACAAATTGATGTATAACTTTCATGGAAGATATCTCAAGCACAAAGATTTTCCTTCAACAGTTGTCAAGATGCTGGTATTCTCTTGGAGTTGTAAGGTTGTACCCAGTCTTGGTTCCGACCGCGAAGTCACTTAGTCTGCATAGGCAGACTGTTAATGGAACATCATCCTGCAATGCTATCCTCCCAACAGCTGCACCCTTCTCATCTAGCAAAACAATAATTCCCTGATAAACACCATGTCAGACTCTCTCTCCGATCTTTATTCCACCCCTTGCCTCGGATTTCAGCACAATCAGCCATGATGAAAGTTTGTGGAAGGTTGCATCGATGAAAGTCTCAGATCCTTCACTTCCGTGTCTCCAAGAGAACTCGAGCTGTCTTGATTCACCTGCTGCTTTTCTCACGCCATGCACACTTTCACTCCGCACAAACCATCGCGTGCGATCACTGCACATCGCACGGCTGTTGAGGAGAGGAAGAAAACCCGGTCGGAAGTGGAAGGGACGCACTTGAGAGCAGGAGGCTCATGGTTTCCCAGATCTGCGCGCGAGTCATCACGACCACAGGCTGTTGCAAGGCAGTCGGGGGGTCACAGGAGGTATGACTCGCTTCCACTCCCTCCTCAGACTTGACATGCCACAGTCCCACTCGTTGAGCCATGCTTCCGCTATCGAACGCCTCGAGCGATATCTTAGCATGCGTGTCAGCGAGCTCTCATGGCTTAACTCGATGCACTCACCAACTCACGATCGCCAATGAATTCCAACTGAAGAACATGCGAACCAAGAAACATCGCCTTATGCTTGTTCGCCTGCAACAGTTGGTAAGAACCTGACGCATCTTTGAGGGAACGTTACATGTCTTCCTGACTCTGTTTGAGGGTCTGAGACCTTGAATGTCGCTACATCGATGATAAAAATGTTGTTGTCATCTGCAAATGCCTGGTGAACAAGCTTGTCAGGATGACACAAGTTCTGTTGTTACTGAGCACGAACCAATTTATTGCCTTTGTCGTTGATGCAGACCTGTCTTACAGGAGCTGTATGCTTGTAGATTTGTTTTGAGCCGGTCTGAAAGATCAAGTGTGAGTGCCTTCAAGCACACAAGACATCTCGGAACCTTCCAACTCCAGCAAATTAAGATTGGACCACTGGCAAGATACACTGAGTCACACAGACGAGGGTGTGTCAGTGGGCTTGTCGAACAGCCCACGACGTCGCAGAGTTTGACGCTTTCAGAACTCTCTTGCATCGCCACCGACTCGTGTTAGCCCAGCAAGGCTCAGCAGATGGTAGGCATGTAACTTGCCGCAGTGCCAGTTGTGAAACTTAAAAGGCTACTGAGCAATGGTTTCTGCGAGTGACCGTCGCTACGGGCAACCGGGTCCGTGAGTGGTCATGACATGCTGTTGCTGCAGTGACTGTCGGCATCTGATCCCCCGCTGCCTCGCCAGCACAGCAGCCTCGCATGCCATCGGGGCGATTTAACGGCCGGGCATCAGTGACAGTGATGGGAGGCCCGGCCGGGCCGCCCCGAAGGCTAAGCCGTTACGATTATCAACGGTTTGGGTCTTAGGTCGAGTAGTGATATGACCTGGTCCTAGAGAATAATACAAGTCAAGGCGGTTGAAATGGGGAGATGGCCGACGGGAGCATCGAAGGTGATTCAGTCGGAGACGAGACTGTAGCATTGAGTAGCTCGATGACGAGAGCATAAGAGCATTACTACTTAGCAGCGTGTAGATTCGGAATACTGAAAGCTTCAGAAGAATCATTTGAGTGGACGAAAAATTCACAGGGAACAATCATGGTTCCCCCAGTGGTGTCAGAGGAGAAACGATCTCCAAAGAGGATGACCATGTCCATGTCCGGCAAGGGGATACCGCTTCAGTCAACATCGTTTCTTGGCTCCCAGGCTTCGTCCACCAAACGCTCGTTCAACACGAGGTAAATGCCATGATAGTTCAAGGTTGAACGATGATTCGCGTTGCAGGTACGACAAGAATGGAGTCCCTCTACGCACAGAGGAGGGGTTCATCATCTTTGATGATTCTAAGATGACCAAATGTTCAGTGCAATATGTTCACGATTCGTATTTTCGAGGTCCATGCGACAGGATTGCAATGTTTTGGTCGCCGCACGCTCTTACCTTGACAATGAAGCAGCTTACTTCGAGGATAAAGGGCTCTGCATTTTCTTCACCTGAGCCTCACAGGGAGCCAGATCCTGCCAACTACTACTCAAGGAATTCCAATGGTACTGGCATGTTTGAATGTTCGGACAACGAATCGTTCTCCCGGTCTCGTTCAATTCCACTGAAATACGTGGGTTCCTCTATACCCTTTCATGATGACGAAGAAAAATCTCACGAGAGATATTTTGCTTTGGTTGAAAGCATCGAGATAGAGAGGATTGAGGCTATTAAAGAGAAATGGATCAAGAACGCTTGCCATCTGGCACATTTGAAAACTTTTCCACTAGTCCCGCCGGCCAGGCAAGAAGTTTTAGTATCAGAGATGCTAGGTTATCACTCTATGGGCGAATGTCACGTCTGTAACGAACTGATGCAGATGAAGTTCAATTTGATTATGAGCAAAGCATTCGAAGAGCCATCAGCGATTATGTTCTGTTGAATCCAAACGAAAGGGATCGACTCGGCATCAAACATACTCCTCAAGAGTCAGCGATTGCAAGGTTTGCACTGTCTTGACTCTCATGAGGTAGTTGAATGAATTATCAGATTCGAATCTTTTACATTCGGTGATACGTTGCAAAGAGGCCTCAATATGCCAAGCGAGGGTGAGTCTTGATGGCATGATAAATTTCAATTGTACACTGAAGGGAATTTGTTATCAGAATGGAGTCAATCTGTGCGAAAGGCGAAGGAGTTCATACAAGAGAATTTATTGACTTCAAACGTCATGTCGCTTGCGTTAGAAAGCCTTTGGGGCGATTACTACTCATCAAGATGCTACCTCAATATTCCTTCAATTTTTCAGTACAGTGCTTCGAGCCTTGACACGTAAGTCCTACTGTTGGTCGTTTCTTGAGCTAGCAGGACTGACGAGAATTTCTTTTGCAGTTACAAGGATGACCAGATCAAGTACTCAGAAGCGACTATCCATCTCCTCAAGACTCGATGGTATCCTGCTATAATTCGCCTCTTTTTATCTCCTCCTCCCCATCCAACCATACATGCGCTCCCATCGTCGAGCGCGAAGCTTTTCAAGGCCATTCGAGTACAAATGAATCGGCAACTTCGAGGCCTGTTTGAAAGGACCTTCGAAGGCCTGGACCTTTTCATCCAATCGTTCAAACCCCTCAGCAAGGAGCAGTTCGAGCTTGCGGTTCAAGGGAAAGGCGAACCAGCTTCGATTCCTCCTTTCAACATCCGTATAGTAGTCCAAGGAACCCACATTCGCATCTCTCCAAGTCTCGAACAGTTCCAGCAAGACCTCTGCACCATCCTCGACAACGTTGTGACCGTCTGCGAAGGCTTCCCTGTGATCGAGCCCGGATGCTTGACTTCCTACTCTCCGTTTGCACCGGCAGACAAGGCCATAGTCCCCGAGACTCCGATCAGTGACGAGACCATCGACAGCGATGCTCTCTCGATCAGCAAGCAGCTGTTTGAAAACACCAAACTTACCTCCTCCATCCGTGTGGCGAGAAGCGAAGAGTACACGGTCGTGACCACGAAGCAGAAAGTCTGCAACGCGCTGGAAGAGAACATGGATGGGCCGAATCGAATGGTGGAGCGATATGAGACCTTCTGCCTGGAGCACAGCCCTGTCCCTGGTATTTCCATCCTTAACCTGGACAGCCGATGGGAAGCTGAGTACAAGGCAGCGCGCCACTCGTTGGAGGAGTACAAACGGGATATTCTCCTTCTGCGTGAAGCAGCTCAAGACGTCGCTCAAGTCAGCATCCCGGAGTCCGTGATGGGCCTGTACAACGTGCAGACGGACCCTGTGGTGAAGGGGATCGCCATGAAGTGTACCTCCCTCGCCGAGATGCTGCTGAACCAGGTGCTCAACGACAACTCCGAGGAGATGAGCGAGATCTGCGCGCGGTTCGAGGCGATCAGCGCCCGTGCCATGGAGAAGCCACGCGAATCGCACGAGATGAAGGAGCTCAAGAACTACCTTGAGAACGTGCCCCAAGAGCTGGCCATGCTGAAGGAGAAGACAGCGCGGGTTGCCAAGAGGATGGAGTTCTTGTACGAGCTGGGCAAGGAGATCTCGGACGAGGAGATGCTAATGAATACCAACACGTACCGATGGCCTGCACGGCTCCAGCCCATGGTGGAGCAGGCGCTGGACAAGGTTCTGTCGCAGGAGGAGGGCATGGAAGAGGACCTCAAGAAGCGACAGAAGGACTTCGAGGCCAGCCTGTCGGCTGCCGTGCAGGAGATCGAGACCTTCCAAGAGTTCGGGAACCCGGAGAGAGTCTCCGTCTACCTGCAGAAGATTGTTGACATGAAGGGGACCCTCGACGAGCTGGAGAAGGAGCTGCTTCTCATCAACGAGCAAGAGGAGATCTTCGGCTGGAACCCAACGGTCAACCCTGCTATCGAGTCCAGCAAGCAGGCGATCGAGCCGATCGAGGCTTTCATCCAGATCATCCTCGACTCTCAGAAGAACCTCAACGAGTGGTACACGGGCCCTCTGAGGTCTTGGAACCCCGAGAAGGTCGAGGGAGACGTTGACAATATGACCCGAGCGGCCTACAAGTACTGCAAGCAGTACTCTGACGAGCCCGAGCTCCTTAAGATCGCCGAGTCTATGAAGTCGAGCGTCTCAGAGTTCAAGCCACACGGTACTCGCCCTTGCTCGTCTCTTTTCTTCGCTTGTTGACCTTCTCCCGCAGTTCCGCTGATGATGATCTTCTGTAACCGCGGGCTGCGCGATCGCCATTGGGATCAGATGGCCGACGTGGTGGGTCAGACGATCAAGCCAACGGAGAAGACGTCTCTCAACGACATGATAGCCAAGAAGCTCACCCCCTACCTCACCAAGCTCGAGGAGATCAGCGACGCTGCTAGCAAGGAGTACTCCTTGGAGAAGAACCTCGACAAGCAGCTGGCGGACTGGCAGGAGACTGTCTTTGTCATGACTCCTTACCGAGACTCGGGCACTTCAATCCTTGCAGGCTCCTGCATCGACGAGATTCAGGCAATCCTTGACGATCAGATCGTGAAGACGCAGACGATGCTTGCCTCGCCCTACATCAAACCCTTCGAGGATCGCGCCAAAGACTGGGAGCAGTTCCTGGTGGTTACTCAAGACATCATCGACATCTGGCTCAAAGTGCAGGCCCAGTGGTTGTACCTCGAGCCCATCTTCGCGTCAGACGACATCAAGAAACAGATGCCGACCGAGGCCGACAGGTTTCTCCAGGTCGACCGCACCTTCCGAGAAACTTCGAGCCGATGCATAGACAACCCCAAGGTGCTGAACTTCACCAGGATGGATGGACTGCTTGAGAGCCTCAAGAACTCCTTCGAGCTGCTCGAGCTGATCAATAAGGGGCTAAACGCGTACCTGGAGCAGAAGAGACTTTTCTTTTCTCGCTTCTTCTTCCTCTCCAACGACGAGCTGCTGGAGATCCTCGCGGAGACGAAGGACCCGACGAGAGTTCAGCCCCATCTCAAGAAGTGCTTCGAGGCCATCGCCAAGCTCAAGTTCGACGATCAGCTCATCATCCATGGCATGATCTCCTCCGAGGGGGAGCTAGTCCCTTGGCCTCGCACTCTTGACCCTGCGACTGCACGAGGAGCCGTTGAGAAGTGGCTGGTAGAGACGGAGCACCTGATGAAGGAAGCGATGATGGATCAGACGATCAAAGCGTACGAGGCTTACCCGACGGTCCCGAGGAAGCAGTGGGTGCTTGATTGGCCTGGTATGACCGCGATCGTCATAGGGCAGATGTACTGGACGTTGGAAGTTGAAAAAGCGATCCAGGAGCCAGACGGGAAGGGAGTTGCAAGGTACGCAGACAAGTGCACCCAGCAACTCGAAGACCTCATCGAGCTTGTGCGAGGAAAACTGTCGAAGCTGCAGCGGCAGTGCATCGGAGCTCTTGTCGTTCTTGACGTGCACGCTCGTGACATGACGGTCAATCTCGGCATGGAGGGAGTCAGCTCTGTGCTGGACTTCTCCTGGCTGGCGCAACTTCGCTACTACATGCAGGAGGAGCGAGTGGCTTGCAAGATGATCACAGCGTGCATCATGTACGGTTATGAGTACCTCGGCGTGAGCTCTAGGCTCGTCGTGACGCCTCTCACCGATCGCTGCTACCGCACCCTCATGGGGGCCCTGCAGCTCAAGCTCGGAGGTGCGCCGGAGGGCCCGGCAGGGACCGGGAAGACAGAGACGACCAAGGACCTCGCCAAGGCGATCTCAAACTACTGCGTCGTGTTCAACTGCTCAGACGGGCTTGACTACCTGGCGATGGGGAAGTTCTTCAAGGGAGTGGTGAGCTGCGGGGCGTGGGCGTGCTTCGATGAGTTCAACAGGATCGACCTGGAAGTCCTCTCAGTGGTAGCGCAGCAGATCATGTCGATCCAACGAGCGATCGTGCTGGGTCAGACGGAGTTCGACTTCGAGGGAAGTCACCTCCGCGTGATCTCCTCCTGCGCCGTCTTCATCACCATGAACCCAGGCTATGCCGGGAGGAGCGACCTGCCGGACAACCTCAAGGTGCTGTTTCGAACAGTGGCGATGATGGTCCCCGACTACGCGATGATAGGAGAGATCATGCTCATGTCTTTTGGTTTCAGCGACGCCCGCGTGCTAGCAAGGAAGATCGTTGCCACCTACAAGCTCTGCAGCGAGCAGCTCTCCTCGCAGACACACTACGACTACGGCATGCGAGCCGTCATGGCAGTCCTGAGAGCAGCAGGTAACTTGAAACAAGCAGACAAGGACTCGAGCGAGGACATCCTCATGCTCAGAGCCATCCGAGACGTCAATGTCCCCAAGTTCCTCTCCCACGACCTTCCCCTCTTCGAAGGCATCGCCAAGGATTTGTTCCCCAGCACAGTTCTCCCTGCCCCTGACTACGTCAACATGCTGGCGTCCATGAACAAGGCGTGCGAGGAGAGGAACTTGCAGACAACCTCCTACTTCCTGCAGAAGACGATCGAGCTCTACGAGATGATCGTCGTGCGACACGGCCTTATGGTCGTCGGTCTGTCCTACGGAGGCAAGACCTGCAGCTATCGTGTACTCGCCGACACCCTTGGCCATCTCTGCACCCTGGGGCAGAACGAGGAGAACAAGGTCAGGATCTACTGCATGAATCCCAAGAGCATCACCATGGGTCAACTCTACGGGCAGTTTGACCCGGTCAGCCACGAGTGGAGCGACGGAATATTGGCTATCAACTTCAGGACGGCAGCATCTGACCAGGGGCCGGACAGGAAGTGGGTCATGTTTGACGGGCCTGTGGACGCTGTGTGGATCGAGAACATGAACACGGTGCTGGACGACAACAAGAAGCTCTGCCTTGTCAGTGGGGAGATCATTCAGATGTCTTCCTCTATGAACATGATTTTCGAGCCGCAGGACCTCGAAGTCGCCTCCCCGGCCACCGTGAGCAGGTGCGGTATGGTCTACTACGAGCCACACCAGATGGGGCTGTACCCTTCCCTGGGCTCCTGGCTCAACACCCTCCCCGAGACCATCTCGTCCTCCCAGCGCGACATGATTGAGAGCCTGTTCAAGTGGATCATTCCACCAACCATCAAGTTCATCCGCAGGGAGCTCAAGGAGGTCTCCCCGACCTCGGACATCATGCTCGGCTGGGCCTTCCTGAAGCTCTTTGAGAGCCTTATGGTCCCGTTCAAGGTCGAGCCCGGCAAGTTCCAGATGGCAGAGAAAGATGCCAACGCGCTGCTCGAGGGCATCTTCCTCTTCAGCCTGACCTGGAGCGTCTGCTGTACCGTCGACGGGGAGGGGCGCGACAAGATGGACGCGTTTGTCAAGGAAGTCTGCGCGGGGACCGTTCCCTCCCCGTACAACGAGGAGGGGGAGCGAGGGAGCCTGCACATCTCAAACCCCTTCCCCAAGGAGCACAGTATCTACTCCTCCTTCTTCGACGCGTCCAAGGGCAAGTGGGCCACATGGGGCTCCCTCATCTCCAACCACACCATCGACGCCAACCTACAGCCCCACGAGATCATCGTCCCCACCGTCGACACCACCCGCTACACGTACCTCCTCGACACTACCTGCCAGAACGGCCGCCTCCCCCACGACCTGAACCGTATGGCCTTCCTCCTCTGTGGCCCTACCGGGACCGGCAAGACGATCTACATCAACAACCACCTGCTCAACGGCCTCTCCCCAGACAAGTTCAACGTGATCTCCCTCGGCTTCTCCGCTCAGACTTCTGCCAACCAGACGCAGGAGATCGTCGAGTCAAAGCTGGACAAGCGGAGGAAGGGAGTGCTGGGCCCTCCCATCGGCAAGCTCTGCATCGCCTTCATCGACGACCTCAACATGCCCAAGAAGGAGACGTACGGGGCTCAGCCCCCGATCGAGATCCTGCGGCAGTACATGGACCATCATGGCTGGTACGACCTCAAGGAGAAGAACTTCATGAAGATAGAAGACATGATGTATGTAGCTGCCATGGGCCCGCCGGGCGGAGGCAGGACTTTCATTACTCCTCGCTTCCTCCGATGGTTCAACATGATCAGCGTGACTGAGTTTGACAACGAGGTGATGACAGGGATCTTCTCTACCATCATGAAGCACGCCTTCGAAAAGAACAACACCCCCTCCTCCATCAAGGGACTTCAGAACGCCGCCATCCAGGCGACCATGGAGGTGTACGAGGCGGCGCTCAAGAATCTGCTGCCGACGCCGGACAAGAGTCACTATCTCTTCAACCTGAGAGACTTCGGCAGGGTCGTTATGGGCATCTGCATGGCCGACACTGCCAGCATGACCGAACCCGCGCAGTTCTGCAGGCTGTGGTGCCACGAGATCATGCGAGTCTTCTACGATCGTCTAACGGACGACAAGGACCGCGAGTGGCTGATAGAAACGCTGAGGACCAAGACCAAGGCTCGCTTCAGCCAAGACTTTGATAAGATCCTCGACCACCTCAAGCACGAAGGCGAGGACGGCGTCGTCTCCATCTCCCAGGCTCGCAGGTTGTTGTTCGGAGACTTCCAGAAGCCCGACGGGAAGCGGGTCTACGAGGAGATGCCCAACCCCGAGGTGGTGATCGAGGCGTGCAACGGGTACCTCGAGTACTACAACGCGACTTGCAAGAAGCCCATGGACCTGGTGCTCTTCCTCTTCATGATCGAGCACATCACTCGCATCTGCCGCATCCTCCGATCGCCGGGAGGAAACGCTCTGCTGATCGGCATAGGGGGGAGTGGCAGGCAGAGCTGCACAAGGCTTGCCGCCTCCATCATGGACTACACGGTGGTGGAGATCGAGATCTCCAAGACGTACGGCAAGAACGAGTGGAGGGAAGACCTGAAGCGCCTACTCACAGTGGCAGGAGGGGACGGAAAGCCGACGGTTTTTCTCTTCACCGACACTCAGATCAAGATGGAGTCGTTCGTCGAGGACCTCAACAACCTTCTCAACACCGCCGAAGTGCCGAACCTCTTCGCCTCTGACGAGAAGGCCGTGCTTGCTGAGAAGTGCCGACCCGCCGCCAAGGCAGCTGGGAGGGTGCTCAACACCCCAGCTGACCAGTACGCCTTTTTCATTGAGAGGTGCAAGAGCTTGATGCACATCGTGCTGGCCTTCAGCCCGATCGGAGACGCCTTCCGTAGCCGCCTCCGGCAGTTCCCCAGCTTGGTCAACTGCTGCACCATCGACTGGTTCACCGAGTGGCCGTCGGACGCGCTGGAGTCGGTGGCGAGGAGGTTCCTGTCGGATGTGGAGATGGAGGACGGGACGCGGCAGAGCTGCGTCTCCATGTGCATCTCCATGCACGAGAACGTGGCGGAGCTGTCGCACAAGTTCCTCTCCGAGACGAGGAGGCACAACTACGTCACCCCCACCAGCTATCTGGAGCTCATCAACACCTACAAGACGCTGCTGAAGCAGAAGCGCGAGCAGATCAACATGCAGATCAAGCGATACACCGGAGGCCTCGGGGCCCTCGCGCTGGCGGAGACGTCGGTCAACACCATGAAACAGGAGCTCATCGACCTTCAGCCCGGCCTCCTCCAGGCGCAGAAGGACACGGAGGCGCTGACGGCTAAAGTTGAGGCCGCGATCCCTGGTGTCGATGCGCAGAAGGCGATCGCTATGAAGGATGAAGAAGCGACGGCAAAGCAGGTGGGGCAGGGAGGCTGACGTGAACTTGCTTGACTGACTTTCATCGCAGGCTGCTGAGGTACAGAAGGTGAAGGAGGAGTGCGAGGCGGATCTAGCGGAGGCGATCCCCATCCTCAACGACGCTCTCAAGGCGCTGGACACGATCAAGAAGCAGGACATCGACCTGGTCAAGAGCATGGCGAAGCCTCCCTTCGGTGTGCAGCTGGCGATGAAGGCGGTGCTAGTCATGCTGGACCTGAAGCCCGACAAGAAGAACGACCCCGACAAACCCGGCGCGAAGATCGACGACTGGTGGTCCCCAGCTGTGCGCCTGCTGAACACGGGTACGCTGCTGCAGTCGCTCAAGAGCTACGACAAGGACAATATCCCCGCTAAGATCATCGAGAAGATCCGCAAGGAGTTCCAGCCGGACCCGGGTTTCACCCCAGCTCAGATCGCCAAGGCCTCCACGGCAGCTGAGGGCCTGTGTAAGTGGGTGCTGGCGATGGAGGGGTACGACAGGGTGGCGAAGATCGTGGCCCCCAAGAAGGCAGCGCTGTCGGTAGCTGAGGGAGAGCTGGCAGAGGCGATGAAGGTGCTGGAGCACAAGCGGGCTGACCTGAAGAAGGTCGTGGACGAGCTCAACGGTCTCAAGAATCAGCTGCGAGAGTGCGCGGAAAAGAAGGCAGATCTCGAGGCCCAAGCTGAGCTTTGCGCCCTGAAGCTGGAGAGGGCCGAGCAGCTGATAGCTGGGCTGGGAGGTGAGAAGTCGAGGTGGACGGCTGTGGCGGAGGAGCTACAGGTGGAGTTTGTCCACCTCACAGGAGACGTTCTTGTCTCCTCCGCCTACGTCGCCTACCTCGGGGCCTTCATGAAGAACTACAGGGACGACGTGATTGTTCAGTGGATTCACCTGCTGGGCGAGCTGTCGGTCCCCCGATCAGACACGTTCGTTCTGTCCAAGGTGCTCGGGGACCCAGTCAAGATCAGGGAGTGGTCGATCAACGGGCTGCCCTCCGACGTCTTCTCCATCGACAACGGTATCATCGTCACCAACGCTAGGAGGTGGCCCCTCTGCATAGACCCCCAGGGGCAGGCGAACAAGTGGTTCCGCAACACAGAGAAGAAGAACGGCCTCAAGGTCATCAAGCTCACCGACACCGACTTCGTCCGCACCCTCGAGAACTCAATCCAGTTCGGCAACCCCGTCCTCCTCGAGAACGTCCTGCAAGAGCTCGACCCGACCCTTGAGCCGCTCCTCCTCAAGCAGACCTTCAAGCAGGGAGGCGTCATGTGCATTCGGCTCGGGGACGCGACTATCGAGTACTCCAATAACTTCCGCTTCTACATCACCAGCAAGCTGCCGAACCCGCACTACATGCCGGAAACAGCCGTCAAGGTCACCCTCCTCAACTTCATGATCACCCAGGACGGCCTGCAGGACCAGCTGCTGGGGATCGTGGTGGCAGAGGAGCGTCCGGACTTGGAGGAGGAGAAGAATATTCTGATCGTACAGGGAGCAGAGAACAAGAGGAAGCTGCGGGAGACAGAGGACAAGATCCTGGAGGTCCTCTCTGCGGAGGGAAACATCCTAGAGAACACAGAAGGCATCCAGGTTCTCAAAGACGCCAAGGTTCTCTCCAACGACATTGAGGAGAAGCAGAAGATCGCAGAGGAGACCGAGGCGAAGATCGACGAGGCAAGAGCAGGATACAAGCCGGTGGCCTGGAGAGCCTCGATCCTCTTTTTTGCCATCTCCTCGCTCAACAGCATCGAGCCCATGTATCAGTACAGCCTGACCTGGTTCATCGCCCTCTTCAGGCAGAGCGTCAAGGACTCCGAGCCCAGCTCCGAGTTGTGAGAAGTTTGCGGGCTGCCATGACTTGAACTGACACGTGTACAGGGAGAAGCGACTGGCGTCGTTGGACGATCACTTCACCTACTTCCTGTACAAGATGGTCTGCCGCTCGCTCTTCGAGAAGGACAAGCTCCTCTTCTCCTTCCTGCTCTGCAGTCGCCTCATGCGAGCTTCCGGTCGGCTAGACGAGGAGGACCTTCGCTTCCTCCTCACGGGTGGTGTGGCCGTGGGTGAGGTGAGTGCACGTGAAGCAAGCTCCTCCTCCTCCTCCTCCTCCTCCTCCTCCTCTCGCTTCCTCTGCTCCATTCCTGTTCGATCTGACATGCTCGGCACAGGCTCCTCCCAACCCCTTCGAGTCTTGGCTGATCGAGAGGAGCTGGGGAGAGATAACGCGCCTGTCGAACCTCAAGGTGACGTCATCGTTCAAGGACGACTTCGTCAAGCACGGGGACGAATGGAAGGAAATCTTCGAGTCCTCGGAGCCCTACAAGCTCGACTTCCCCGGGCAGTTCAAGGAGTGCGAGCCCTTCACTCGCCTCCTCATCATCCGCAGCATCCGATCGGACAAGATCGTCCCCGCCATCATGCTCTTCGTCGCCAACGAGATGGGCCAGCAGTTCATAGAGCCTCCTCCCTTCGACCTCGCTGCCTGCTACGAGGACTCTGACCCCTGCACGCCGCTCATCTTCATCCTCTCCGCTGGGTCCGACCCCAACGCTGCTCTCTTCAAGCTAGCGGACGAGAAGGGGTTCGGGGAAACCATCAAGAGCGTGTCGCTGGGGCAGGGCCAGGGTCCGATCGCAGCCAAGTACGTGGAGGAGGGGTACAAGAACGGCTCGTGGGTGGTGCTGCAGAACTGCCACGTGTACGGGAGTTGGATGGTGACCTTGGAGAGGATTTGCGAGGAGTTCAAGCCGGAGACCGCGAACAAGAACTTCCGGTTGTGGCTGACGAGCTACCCGTCCAGCGTCTTCCCAGTCTCGGTCTTGCAGAACGGCATCAAGATGACCAACGAGTCGGCCAAGGGCATCAGGCTGAACGTGAAAGGCTCCTTCCTGTCCGACCCGATCGGCGACGAAGAATTCTTCACCTCCTGCAAGAAGCCTCTCAAGTGGAAGAAGCTCGTCTACGGTGAGCCCCTCCTTTCCTCTCCCTCTCCTGCTCCGCTGACGAGGTTGTCCTCCAGCTCTCTCTTTCTTCCATGCTGTGATACAGGAGAGGAGGAGCTTCGGGCCTCTCGGATGGAACATCCCGTACGAGTTCACCTCTGGAGACATGTCGATCAGCGTGAAGCAGACCAAGATGATGCTGGACGAGTACGAGGAGGATCAGTTCAAAGCTCTCAACTACCTCATCGGCGAGTGCAACTATGGCGGGAGGGTCACGGACGACAAGGACAGGAGGTATCTCCTCTGTGCGCTCTCCGACTTCTACAACTCCTTCGTGTTCAACGACGACTACAGCTTCTCCCCCTCGGGGCTCTACAAGGCCCCAGCTGACATCGATTACATGGAGCACTCGCAGATCATCGACTACATCATGCAGATGCCGCTGACTCAGCAGCCGGAAGTCTTCGGCCTGCACGACAACGCTGACATCACAAAGGATCAGCAGGAGACGAACTACTTCTGCGACACCATGCTCTCCACGGAGGCCGGGAGCTCAGGAGGAGGAGGAGGAGGGTCGGGGAAGAAGTCAGCGGACGAGGTGCTGGACGAGCTGGCCGAGGGGATCCTCAACAGGGTCCCCCAGGTCTTCGACAGGGAGAGGGTCATGAAGAAATTCCCCATCCGCTTCGATGAGAGCATGAACACCGTCCTCTCCCAGGAGCTCATCCGCTACAACGGACTCATCGAAATCGTTCGCAGCTCGCTGTCGGACCTGCGCAAGGCTCTCAAGGGCCTCATCGTCATGTCTGCTGACCTCGAGCAGGTCCAAGTCGCGCTCAACACCGGCAAGGTGCCGGGGCTGTGGGCCAAGAAGTCCTACCCGTCCCTGAAGCCTCTGGGGGGATACATCGCCGACCTGCTCGCCAGGCTCTCCTTCTTCCAGAGTTGGATCGACAACAAGCAGCCGGCCACGTTCTGGCTGTCGGGCTTCTTCTTCGTGCATGCGTTCATGACGGGGGCCATGCAGAACTACGCGAGGAAGTACACGCTGCCGGTCGACACCCTCAACTTCGAGCACATCATGATGGAAGAGGAGCACTACGACACGCCTCCCACCAACGGAGTCTACGTGCATGGCCCCTTCTCTGAGGGCTGCCGGTGGAACAAGCAGACGAACCTGCTCGAGGAGTCGGAGCCTAAGGTTCTCTTCAGTCCCATGCCGGTCATGTGGTTCTCTCCCAAGGAGATGCCCTCCCCGCACTGCATGTGGAAGGAGGAGCGGCAGGACGACGGCTCCGTCCTCGTCGAGGGCTTCTACGTGGCTCCTCTCTACAATACCTCAGCCAGGAGGGGCGTGCTGGCCACCACCGGCCACTCCTCCAACTTCGTCTGCCCCATCGTGATCCCAACGGCAAAGCCGCAGAGCCACTGGATAAAAAGAGGAGCTGCACTCCTCATGCAGCTCGACGATTAAAGGGAGGAGGCAGAGAGGTTCAGATGTATATGGAATCGAAAAGATTTGTTTAACATCATCACATTCACCACCTCAGTCACCTTCAGCTCAGCTGAGGAACTCATTGCCCAGGAGATGCCATCTCCTGCATAAATTGAGCAGCCCATGTTATTCTCTCAACATGTCGCTTGTTTCATTCACCCCCACGATCTCAAAGTTCGACTCTTTCCCCGTTGATCCACACACGATTCAGCTTCCCCATGGCCGCCAGTCGCCCCTTCCCATCTTGAGCATGCAGCCGGACCTTCTGATCGTGAAGTTGTCGAAGGTTGCAAACCTGCCACTGCGTCAACTTTGCGAGCACAAGGGAGAACATCAGACAACATGGTCATCCAGCAAGAGGTCCTGAGAGGTCAGCGTCTTTTCCTTCAGCATCCATTCAGCCGTCGACTTCCTCCTCCTCTCCTTGAACTCCTTGTCAACATCCTCATTCTGTCGGCTCACCAGCTGGGCACTGCGAGCCGCATGTCAGTCATCTTCCTTGTCCTCAGGAACAACGAGCACGTTTCTTGTTGTATGCGAAACTCATCGTTGGGAAACAGTGATGCCCACGTCTCGACACCTTCAGCCATGTCTGCTTGTTGCGACTGTCAAGAGGGCCGGAAACTTCTCAGAAGCTCTCTACCTCTGCTCGCTTCCTCGTATAGCCCATCCTGTCGGCTGCACTCGGAAAGAGCGTCAACGAGAGAGACTTCAAGACAAAAGGCTTCGACCCGCCCTCTGACGCCTTCAGATTCCGTAAAATCCGTTCGTTCCTCTTCAACACGAGCCAAACAGTCAGGGAAGCACGAACATGGCAACGATTACCTTGTAGTACGCATCGAGATCCACGTTGTTGGTTGCGACGTAGTTCCCGAACAAGAACTTCTGTTTCCTAGAAGGAGTTTCAGGAACAGCCGCGCTGCTGCTCGGGCTGTCAGTTTTCTATCTCAATTGCGCATTGAACTCAGACAACCTATCAGGTCGCTCGTAGTCTGTGATGTCGAGCTTGCTCTGAGCGTTAGCAAGCTCGTTCAGCTTCTTCTTCCCACTCGCTGTCGACTGAGAGCTCACGATGATAGAGGCGAGTAAATCACCCCCTTGCATCTTGTGTGCGTCATCAAGAAACGACCAACGGACCTTCTCAAACAGCCTCTTGCACATCCTCGCCCATCCCAACTGCACCCTTCGCTTTCTTGTGTTCACAGTCATCCGTATGTACCAGCTCTTGATCTCTGCTTGCTCCATGCACCTTGCTCTGACCTCATTGATGCTCGACTCGAACATTCCTTTGCCGTTCATGTCCACCAGTCTCTTCTCCTTGCGCCGAATAGCAAGTCTCCTCACCTTCTCCACTTGACCTTCACTCATCCCCTTCACTCTCGATGCACCTGCTGACGTTACGATCGCTGATTGTGGCCTTCGCATGTCTCCTGACGTTTCAGCTGTCGACGGCAGGGCGTCCCAGGTTCTGCGAGAACGAGCAGATGGGAAAGAGGCTGTGAAGGAACCAAGTTCCTGCAAGGGCCGGCATTCGCGTCTCAGCTTCCTGTACTCCTCCTGCTTCAGCCGCCATGCGTCTCTCTCGTTCACCCACTGACCCCTGAACGTCTCCATAGTCGCGATTCAAGCAACTGCCATCAAAATTTCTGGTTGACCCTTTTTTTTATCTTGGTACGGCGGCGGCCCGGCCCGGCCCGGCGCCCGGTCACCGGGTACATGATCACTCAGAGTCCGAGACTCCTGTCGAGTTAGAGTAACGGTGCGCAACGGAATATGAACATGCGAAGGGACGCCATCACATAACACGGGTGGGGTAGTTTTTAGACCGGTACTTATGAGTGTGTTCAAGAGCATTATTGACCGGGGTGGGGTTAGTTGACTAGGGGTGTAGAAACGGTGACGGACTAAGCATGGCCGGAGGGAAGTAAGGTAAGCGGGAGGATGAGGGCGGGGGTGGGGTTGGAGGGGTTTGGAGGAGCGAAAGCGAAGTTGTGAGAAGAGTATAAAAGAGCTTAGAGCAGAGAAGCGGCGAAAAGAAGAGATGCTTGAATAGCATGAGGGATAGCGAGTGGGTAGCAGTTAGTCAGTGATGTGTCGCAATACATGAAAGGCAATGAAGCACAGTGCCAAGTCATTGAGGATGCTGAAAGCACAGACGAAGACGATTTATGATCTATTTTCTTCATGCGGCATGTGGTTGCTTTTATGGATCAGAGTAGCATAGAAGGTTGATGCTTTGTTGATGGTACTCGCACATTCGCGCTGCGTATTAATTCCTTTCAATTTGAAAGACAATTTACTGTCTCCACAGATACGGTACAAGGGTGATCGATTACGTTGTCAAATGAGCACAGCAATTTTTCCCTTCCCGTCGCTTTATCCTCTGAGGAAAGTTCCGACTGCAGTTTCAACAGCATTCACGGTTCGCGCAAGAGATGAAGTTGCTATTTTGAAGTAATTCCTCAATTACAGGTTGTAGCTACCTTGTCATGCTTGATAGCAGTTATACTCTGCGTCCGCGAAACTGGCCTTGCTGGTTGAAGGCTAAATTGGTGCATTCTTGTTTAAAGTATTCGCAGAATCTGTGTCTCTCACCAGCGGAAGATTCGACTGGCGTAAACTACAAGAGAAGCAAGAGGTCGGTTTCATTGTATTTATCATGATGTTCCCAAATGTTGACTAGTTCTTTTGTCACCAGGGTGTCTTGGGCAATGCGGGGTCGGACAGGTGATGTTTGGCCTACAAGTTGAACTCGATGGTAAATCTAATGCTGCCTTTCAATGCTGTCTTTTACTATCAGACATAAAGAATCCAAGGTAGCGATGCTGCTGAAATTTTTGCATGCGATGACTTTGTTGCAGAAGAAGATCAATTCTGAGGTCCATCGTGAATTGAGCAGCGTGTCCTCCACTTCTTTGGTTCAGAAAGGTTCCAAGCACTCGCTGCTTGCACGCCCTCTGACCATGTATTGCTCCTCTTGCTGCAGCCGCAGCGGCGTGTGCTTCGGATCCCAAATGCATCCCGTCAGTGGATGAGCTAGTGAAGAGAGCAGCAGCAGCATGCGCGACCGATGCTTCTTGCGTCTGTGACTGGGGGAGGCACCCCAAACAGTGCTTCCTTTCCGAAGTCCAGCGTCATCACGAGCTTGTTCGGTACTGGCGCGCAAATGACTCGCTTTTGCATTGATATGCAAGCAGAGATGCCAAGGCGTTAGAAGAGAGACTGAAGGCTCAATCTGCGATTGAAAAGAAGAAGCAGGCGATTGAAAGCCTCGTGAAAGCGGGAGACGACAGTTTTTCCTCAGTAATCCATGCCGGACGGTAGGATCATCAACCAGAATGAGCTTCCTGTGATCATCTCATCCAGACAATTTGTGGGCTCGAAGAATTTTGAAGCTGCGAAGCATGAACTCGCGAAAGCTGAGTATCTACATGAACTCACAGAGAGGTTCGAGCTTTCAATGTCCCTTGTTTGACCTCTTAGCGTTCATCTTGTTCAGGCGGACGAAAGATACGAATGGTCCTGTCATGACGCGGGAAGAAGATGAACTGCGGCGTTTTGCTCGCGAGATTGTTGAGGCTGAAGCTGAGGATCGAGCACGTGAAAGGAGGTCGGGAGAGAGGTTCAACTCATCCCCTGACGTATGCTGACTTAACTGACTCTTCACCAAGGCACGAAAATGCTCGGAGGAGGGAGGATCGCGACAACGAGTCCAGGCATGCCAGGCATGTCAGTCAACTCCACGAAGAGCGACCAAGGAGGTCGCACGAGGCTGCCAACAATCAGGTGGAGTCACAGATCTCTCAACTCACTCAGAACGTCGACAAGTTGATGCACGAGGTTGGAGCTGAGACGATTGAACTTGAAGGATCCGTTGACTTGCAGCAGGTCGGTACGTTGAGCCAGAAGAAGGAGGTGCAGGCAATCCAACAGAAAGCCTCCGACTCACCTCGAAGTGAAATCTTAGCCTTGACGAAGGTGACCGATTTGAATCGACTGCATCCGAAGATGACCTTTTGTGCAGGATATCGCAGTTCTGACTGGGAAGGTCGGCGAGCTCGAACATTCTAAGTTGGCTACCCACCCGCAGGCCGCTGTTCAGGTAATTTCCTTCTCCTTCATCTCCGCTGATATGAAGACTCACTGTCTCCTCCAGTTCAAGGGCGTCGATCCCGCTGTCGAGCACACTCGCACAAGCATGCTTGTCCGCCAAGAGTCTCTGTTTGCACAGTCGATCGCCAAGGGAGAGCGAGCAGGTGAAGGTTGCTCTGAGGAGTCTGGTGGCCTTACTTGTTCTTCTTAGCATCTGAGCACAAAGCCAAGGAGGCCAAGGGTTTCCTGGATGAGGCCAGATACTTCCATTCCGAGCTTATCAGGCTCAGAAAGGAGTCGCCCTCGACGACTTGCCTGCCCTGCGAGGCTTTGGAGAAGAGGATTGAGATGTTAGGCCAGGTGAGTTTGAGCTTCTCCTTACAGGAGCGCTCACTTTTGTCTTCAGCGGCATGAAGTAGCTGCTCAGAGGGAATCGCACAGAGGTCTCTATCCCATACATTTTGAACTTTGGTTCACCGTTGCTCGCGCAGAATTTGAGGACTCAGCAACCATCGAGCAGAAGTTCGACAAGGCCCTGGCGAGCGGACAACGCGCGAGGATCCATGGGCACTACAAGAATGCTGAGAAGGACGAGAGAGATGCGAGACGGTTGTTGCGTTGTGACTTTGTGAGTTGGTGACATGAAGAACGTCAGGTTCCTCCGAGCTCTCTCGCACGAGAGGCTGCCGCGGGATGAGATGATTGTGAAGAGAGAAATGTCGCAAGCTCTTCACTCTCTCGCCAAAGGCATCAGGAGAGGTTCGTCTCCGTTCCCCTCCCTCCGCAGTCAGGCTGACCAGCGAGCAGGAGAGGAGGAAAGTTACCACGAGCGTGAGGAAAGGAGGCGTCGCGAGGAGGAGGACAAGTATAGAAGAGAGTTGCGGGGGGAGTCGTCTGATCGGGCGAAGCGAGAGCTGCATGTGCTGGCGAGGAGGAAGTCAGGTGAGCTTGCGTGCTCTCGACGAATGTCTCCTGAAAACCGGCGAGCAGAGAGCAGAAGCGGAAGACGAGAGGAGCATGAGACCGCAAGGTCTGCACGATATCATGCGCCAGAGATCCGAGACCCCTCCTTATCCCACGGCGAGATCTCACGGATCTATGGTCACTTTGCACGTAGCTGATCGGAAGCGCAACATGTGTGTGAAGGAGCAACTGTTTAATGAGATCCTTGTTGATATAGAAGACTTGCCTGTCTCTCTTCCCATGTTTGCTCAGCATCCTTCAACCGTATCATTGTCTGACCTGCTCAAACTGTTAGTCTCTGGTTGACATTCATGGGGATGTTGGCAGTTTATACTGGGCAGAGGCTGTTTCCTCATGTTTCTTGCCCCTGATTTCTGCCATCCTGCTGCCATGTGGCAGCGGAGTATGATATCTAGTGCCGAAACGTTCTGAAGTTGTATCGACAACAACAACAGAGGACTTTATGTGTTTCAAGCACACCTCTCTAGCGCAAACAGTAATTCTTGCACATGCAGCTTCGTATTACCTTGCACTGTTGGTTCAGATAGCGAATTGCTTGGAACAAAACTACATGTTCTCCTTTGGAGAGACTGCAGTCCTCTCTCATACTTGGAGAGGTTTTCGTGCTGCCGATAGAAGTTTGCTGGAGATGAACACAGGTATTGCTTGATGTCTTGATCTCTTCAAACAAAGAAAAGAGCTATCCTCAAGAAGCTCATGTGATCTCTCGTACAAGATCATCATGATGAAGATGTCTCGTACAAGATCATCATGATGAAGATATCTCGCCATCAAGCCTTGTCTGTGCTTCTTCATCGTCTCTATCAATCATGCGTTGAGGTGATCCCGGTTGTTCATGTCAACCAGGCCACGCGTCCTACACAGATAGAGTTTCCTCACAGGGTACTTCTGATCTACAAGTTACTTGTTTGTTTTCAAAATTTCATATTTTGCCTACACAAAAGGGTGAAAATTTCTAAATGTTTACAAATTTTGACCCTGGTATATACCCCCTGCGCAATTGTGTTCGAACCGCCCGATCGTTTCGCCCTGAATGCAGCAACAGGGAACGCAAGCGAGGATCGAAGGGAGCACGAGGCTGGGAGCATAACACAGACGCGATCAGCAGTCATAACACACAGTCTAGAAGGCAGAAGGAGTCCGTCAAGCTCTCATCTCCATCTAGTGAGGGCGCTTGCTTCTCTGAGGAGAATGACTTCGAGTAGGTCTTGGAACATGGTGTGCGCTTTGATGTTGCTGGTGATCTTGTTGTCTTCCAATGTGTCATCAGCAGAGGAGGCGGGGGATGGAAAGAAAGATGTCAATGCCACACAGGGAACGAACACGAGCGACGGAAACTCAACAGTTAACGCAACAGAGGCAGAGCGGATTGCGAGGGAGCAGGATGCTGCGGAGAGGAGGAAATTCCGCGAGGAGATGGCAGCCAAGAGAGAAGCAGAGGAGAGGGAGAGGGACCAGAAGTTGTGCGGATCCCAGGTGACATACGGGAGTGTCATCCAACTCAAACACCTCGCGACAAGGAGATTCCTATCCGCCACTAACTTCAAGTACTTCCATCCTTCTTCCTCCGGACAGCACCAGATCATCGCTGTAGACCAGGAGGACGGGTACACACACTGGCGCGTGATGCCTCGTTCAGGGCAGCGGTGGGAGCTCGTCAAGGACGTTCCTGTCAAGAACGGCGAAGTGATCCGCTTGTTGAATTTGCGAACCGGCAGGAACCTGCACAGCCATGACGGGCCAATCTCTCCTCTCTCGAAGCAGCGGGAGGTCTCCAACTACGGAGAGGAGTACGGCTCGATCGACTCCAACGACAACTGGATCCTCAGAACAGAAGATGAGTTCTGGTACATGACGAAGCCTGTCGAGCTCAAGCACGCCCCTACCAAGAGCCCCCTGATATCGCGCGACGACTTTGACAACAAGAACTACACTTTTGGCTTCCAAGAAGTTGCGTGCAAGGTTAACACTAGTTGATCAGTTCTGTTATCTGACAGCCCTTCTCTTAGATCCAGAGCAAGAACGAGTCCCAACATGGCCCAGCGTTGGACTGGGCTGCCCGTCCTGTCAGCTCCTGTTGTGCACGATAGTTTGAGCGACCTGATGGGATGTCCAGGTCGAGAGTGGTTTTGGTTTCGACAAGTGGCTCTCGATCTTTGAGCCTAAGGAGGAGAAGGAGGGGAAATTCTCTGCCATCAACGATGGTGATGCTCCTCCTGATGCTCCTCCTCATCCTCTGCTTCCTCCTCTTCCTTCCCCTCCTCCTCCCCTTCCTCCTCTCCCTCCTCCTCCACCACACATACGTGCAACAAGTGATTTTCTCTCGCAGACCCAGCCAATGGGCCCAAGGAGATATCGATCTACTGTCCCGTTGTAATGCCGTCCCTGCCTCTTTCATGCTCATCCTGAATCCGAGCGCAGAATCCGGTCGTGAGCATTAGCGACTTGGACTACAACCTTGTCTCCGAGGGGAAGTGTTTGGCTCTCAACCTTCAGGTCTTGCCCCTTTGCTCTTGCTCGTCTTTTGATCTATCGTGCTGCTTGCTGCAGGCGCCACATTTTGAATCGTCCTTAACTCTCAACTGCGAGGCGAAGAAGTAGCCGCCGGGCCGCCGGGATCATCTCGGATTTTGAGCTTCGTTTGCTCGAATGCCCTTCAAGGCTTCGAGTTACTAACGGTGATAGGTAAAGATTACAGCCCGAAACATTTTTTTGAATAAAACTTCCTAGGAGATTTCTACTTACAAGTTGGCCCTTGTTCTTCACTGTGCTCACTGGTCAGTCCCGGGGCCGCCGTACAATAAATTCCAGAAGGGACTTGGAACGGACTGAGCTCAGTCAGTCCACGGCAGTCACGGCAGTGACCGTCCGACGGTAGGCTGAGGCGGCGGAGGGCGCAGCGGAGGGCGGTTCCCACAAAGTAGGAGTGGGGATGAGGGTCAAAATGAGCAACCACAATCACATGGCAGGAGGCGCATCGCGGCATGGAGTGAGTTGAAAGGATGAAACGCCCAGTGCTTGGCAGGGACAGCAGCGAACAATGCCGCAGAAAGCGGTGCGATGACGCCTGATGCATGGCCTCCTGTTGGTTCCAAATCGGATCATCGAGGTTGTATGCGATTCAATTGATTTAAGAAAGTGTCAAAAGCAGCACAACAACCTTGAAGTTCTCTAGATACCTGCTCGTCTGCATTTGTACCATGTGGCTTGTCTCCCCCGGTGATGGAGTTTCACTGGAATTGTTGCCATCCGAGGCGTTCGTCAAGTATCGGCTAGTTAGGAGTCGAGCACCGTTCTAACAGTCTTACAGGTTCCAACTCATAGGGAAGGAGATTCATGATGGGTCGACCGTGCAAATCAGGAGACCAAATGGTAGGACGCGCAGTTTTGAGTTCGAGGGAGTGACGGCGTGCGAGCAGGTTCCGAGATCCCTTGCGAATGTCGTTATGTCGCAACAGAAGGGGAGCATGCTACAGAGCAGGCGACAACGGTGTGTACTTGGGACACTATGGTCAGGATAGGAAGACCACAGGCGTCTTCTGCTGAGAAAAGCAAGAGAACATCTGACTTCGTAGCCTTCAACAATCAAGTGCTGCTCAGGATGACGGCCTTGGTGAAAGCCGGTGTGCATCAAACGCACCCTGGCGACGGGATGGTGAAAAGCGAGCAAGGTGATGAGAAACATCTGATAGCGCCCCAGGGACTTGAGGCCCCGTATTGTGTCCTGCTAGAGGGCCCTCCGGGAGTGGGCAAGACAAGCCTGATCCGACATGTCGCACAGAGCCTGGCGGTGAACGGTAGGAGTGACAGTTTGATTACCGGATCTGAATGTTCGTCAAGTGATCTCATTCCAAGAGGAGTGGACGTGCTTGTCTCATCAGCAGACCGAACATGAGGTGAGAATTTCTCCTTGTTGTCATCCCAATGAGAGTTTCTCTCCGTGACAGTTCATTCCGCCCAACTACGATCACGCTTTCGCGCGCTGCCTCAAGAAAGCGGATGTATGCCGAACTTGTTTTCGAAACGTTTTTCAGCAGCATGACTTGTCGTCTCAGAATCTTTTCCCTGCCGTGATTCACGTAGAGCAAGCTCACTGCTTGTTGGGTGCTGCCCTGACACTAGTCATGATCAGCAGCTGCTCTGATCTCCCTGACAGGCCCCCACAAGTTGAGCACGGACTTCTCCAGCAGTGGACGTGACGACTTGTTTCTACTCACGTTGCGCAAGTACCTGCAAGAAAAAGGTGCCTGCCTTGAGCCTGAGCAAGATCACTGAGCAAGATGACTGACCTCTGCCATGTTTCTCGGTCGTTGGGGTCGGGCAGCAGGAACTTCATCTCACCAAGGATCCGCCACCAGAGGCTGCCTCCTCGTCCTCGAGTCGCAGTCGACCAAGATGATTGACTCCAACATCCTGACAAAGGTCTAGAGACGAATCAGAGGCGATGACGCTTTAACTGACCCTCAGATCCCTGACCACGTGCATTTCCCGCAACTTGGTATCAAGGAGAGGTTGACGCTGACGAGGTAGTTTTGGTTGGCTAGTATTATTCAGATGCTGAGACGGCTTTCGAGATTTCTTGCTCAAAGACATGCACTCCATGATAGCATCGATCTGGAGTTGATCAATAGCGAGATGATGGGATTCAGTGCAGCTGAGGTCTCCGACTGTTTCTTTCTCAACTTGCCATCTACTACCTTGCCTTGCACTGCTTTGACACGCATGACCGACAGGTGAATTTGGTATTTCAAGCTGCATACCTCGAGAAGAGATTTCGTGACTGCCTGTCAGTCTTCTTTCCCTTCTGCACCAATCCTATCTTTGGTGACTTGCTGTCAGCTACTTGACGGGAGGACAAGTCCGGGATGATTCGGCTATGAGTATCGAGGACTTCATGAAAGCGATACGAGAAATTCGACCACGAAGTGCTGGGTGAGGTTTAATTCCGTCACGACGCTGCAAGTTGACCTCTCTAACCCTCCAGCCGAGTTGAAGAAGTCCCGCTCCACAACGTCAAGTTAGAAGATGTGAGAATCAGACAGTCGCTCCTTCAAGTTTCTCTTGTCTGATTTTTCCTGTCAAGGTTGGAGGCCTCGATAACGCCAAGGAAGCCCTTCACGAGATGCTCCTGCTGCCCAAGGCACTCTCTGTCTGACTATGACACCTCCTCTGTTTTACTGCCTTCCAGCTTCGCCCGGACTTGTTTTCAAAGGGGATGATCAAACCTGCTCGAGCTCTCCTCCTCTACGGCCCCCCTGGCACGGGGAAGACGCTGCTTGCCAAGTCCATGTCAGCGCAGTGGGGATGGAGTGTCGATCAATGGTTGTGAATGACGACTTGTGTTTGGTCCATCAGGCCGGCCTTGCCTTTATAGCAGCAGATGTCGCCCAGCTTGTCAAGAGCGGCATCGGGGAGAGCGAGAGACAACTCGTCGAGATGTTTCAGGTCCCCTTGTGCTCTGTCAAGCATACCCAGTCTGAGAGAGAGCAGAGAGCGTGCGAGGCAGCTCCGTGCATGCTGTTCCTCGACGAGCTGCAGGTCCATTCAGAGGTGCTGAGTGGTGCTGATGTCAGGGATAAAGGCGGCGTTTGCTCGGCCTGACAACGAAGAGAACGACGGGACGGGGTCGAGGCAGCTGGTAACGCACACCCTTCTCACACAAGACGTTTGAACGCCATGGAAGGCAAGCCAACTGAAGCTCGAGATGGATGCGCTGCAAGCCAAGCCCGAGGTCCTCCCCTCCTCTATTGTCCGCATCCGCTCACATTCCCGTCTTACCTCACCTTCCTCTTGTTCCTTCTTGCTAGTTCCCTTGACATCCCTCAAGGTGTACGTGATGGGGGCAACCAACGCAGTCCACATGCTAGACCCGGACCTTCTCCGTCCCGGTCGCTTCGATCACGTGATTCAGCAGTTCGTCGTACAGCAGCTGTTGGTGACGTAAGCCCAGGTGATTCAAGTCAAGCTGCCGGACCTCGAGGCTCGAAGGTACTGCTAAACCGCAAGGACTGAGAGTGACTGAGGTGGTCAGGACGATCTTGACAGGCATGCTGAGGCACTTGCCCGTGAGCTTCGACCCGGACGGCTCCGGGCCTCGGGATAAATTATCTCTGGCCGAGCTGCTCTCGGTTGCAACAGCAGGATGCTCTGGAGCCGATGTCAGTCAATCGTCCCCGTTTCTACTTCCTGACTTCCTTCTCAGCTTCGCCATCTCTGCCAGTTGGCTGGCCTGAGATCGATTGCTGAAAACAGATATCAGCCAACTTGCCAAGATTTTGTCGCATCTCTCGCCAAAGTTACAAGTTGCACTCAGCATGACTGATTGAAGTTGCCCTCAGTGCACTGACTGACCTTACCACCGCAACGCTGCAAGCTTCTTTCTGATCCTCGTCAGTCCCGATCGAACTCAGGGCGGGTCAAGCCTCCCGGCCGAGTCTTGGCAGCCAGTGACTCTCAGTCTGGCTGAGACCCGGGCCCGACTCCGAGGCTCTTGACTAGCCTTAAACTTCACACTGCTGGCTCAGTTCAAGTTGATCGGTCTGAGCGCGGCAACTGATGGTGACTTGGCCAGCGTGAGTCACGGCGACTCGTTGCACGCCACTCCGGGCCAGACGGTCCCGGCCCGGGGAACCCTGATAGTCTACTATCACTAGTGAACCATGACTTCAAGTCAAGCCGAGCCATAGCGTTGACATTTTGCTTTTTCTGCTTTGGGCTGTATGTTTTCCCGTGAGGGGGTGATTCTGCTTTCCGAGGCTATGTGGCCCATGATTGGGTGTGTCATAGTAGCCTGCCAACAGTTGGAAAGTTTCTTTTTTTTCAAGGATATTCCGGATGGCCCGGCCCGGCCCGGGCCGGCTCCGTGCGGTCACCGTACGCCGGTAACGGGTGCCGCGGCCGCTCCGAGGCATCATGTCCGATCGGGCGCCGGGCCCTCAGCCTTCTCAGCCCGGCGGCAACTCCCGAGTCCGAGGGCCTCGCCGAGGCTTTGGGCGGATGCCTGGACTGTACTGTAATAAATTTTGAGTAACCTGTACCGAGTCGCTTCCGAGACCGAGCGGCCGGAATTGACTCGTGAGAAGGGGCCGGATGATGAGGGTTTCCAAGTTCCGCGGCAAGGCAATCTGGCTGACTAGCTGCTGACATCAGCTGCCAACGGAAGCCCTTGAATTGTCCGATCCTGTCGACAACAATTTGAAGTTGAGTAACACTTGTTGGAATCGGAACTAAGAGGTCCCTCTTATGAAAGCTAGTTCACCTCAGAGCAACATTACCGATACATTGAGGGCAGAAGATATTACTAGAGCTCGTTCGCCTCAGTTCCTTGTGGAAGTTGGTCATCGTTTCTGTGGTAAAGATTGTAGTAATAACTCTCCAAATGACCTTTTCACAAAAATTGTATTCAAATATGTATTGAAATAAAATTTATAATTTTCAAATTTTGTGATGAATCAAATAGTCTTGAATTGAAAAATTAAGGATGTCGCATCCGATAGTGGCGCGGAGGCCATCGACAGATACGAAAACACGTGTTTTACTTTTCAATTTTATTGGATGACTAAGCCCAAATCATCCGACTGCTTCAGATTCTGTCATCATGATTTGCCGGGTACTACAGGTGGTGGGGGTGATCGTTTAACTGGTAGTATTGAACAAGATATTTCTATGTTTTAGGGGGTAGGTACAATCGCACGTCGGTGATGACAACTTCTTCAGAGTCAGGCCTAAGAGATCTTTGAAGGACCGGTCCATACCCCCTTGTTCCTGGTACTGAAACACCTCATTGGTACCACCCCCCACCCTAAGGGGCAGCAAGATTGTATTTTCGCCAGTCACATGGATAGCACGGACTTGTTGGGCATTTCAAGACTGAAAAAGAGATATTTAGAGACCATTCCCCGAGAGGTCCATCAAAAACTATTTTATATCGGTAACATTCGATTGAAAAAAAGTCTTTTGGAGTTGATGACATCGAAATCCTTGTGACCATCAGACATGCCCTCCGTATTTTTATCCGCACCTGGAGCCTTTTGTCCAGCGCGCTCGTTCCTCTGCTGTTTCTGTGCTACCCCATCGCCAACCATCTCCTTCCTATTATAGTTGATATCCTGACCCTGCTCCTTCTTCCTTCAATCTGCAACTTGAGTCTTTTTCATATCTGGCGAAATACAATCACCTAGCATTCAAGATACTCGGAAAGATTTGCGAATAATGGCCGAACAAGTTGTCACAGTGAAAGCAAGGATTGGAACTGGCAAGAAGATGCGAATAAAGAATGTTGAGCTTGATCTCTCAAAGATCAAGTCTTTGTTTCACCTTCGCCAAGAGGAAGCAGCTAAGACCCTGGTAAGCATTCTTTGTGTTGATCGCCTGAGGGACTCTGACCCCTCTACAGTGTGTATCATTAACAAGCCTCAAAGTAGCTTGCCGGAGGCTCGGAATCAACCGATGGCCGTACGAGAGAGTCTTCACGTCTTCCGCGTCCAACGCTCAACCATCGTCTTCGAAACCTCAGGACAGTTCGGGGGAAGGACCCCAGCGGGCAGAGGCGCAGTCACTGATGCGATCTACCTCGGAGATGGGCGACTCCTTCACGATGGATTCTTGTCCGTCCTCTTCCTACTGTAGCCCGCAAGAGGAGTTGGAGGAACGTGAAGAGGCCTCGAGCATGTTGGAAGAGGAAGGGAAAGAGGAAGAGGAAGAAGTGGAAGTCGGGCCATGTTCAGTGCCTAGTCAGCTCGTTACCAATCCCACGTGCACCACCGCGATTGACTCAGAGTGGTTAGATTGGTACATCTCTTGTAATGACGACAATCTCATCTTCCCAGACTGTCACGTTCTGTTGTAGATGGTTTGAACTCCGAACATCTCTTTCTCTTGTTTCATTTGTATATTGCCTGAATAAACCCCTCTTGGTTGCCCCCGTTGTGCTGTGCTCGGCCTCGCTGTCGACACGCAGCTGCTTCCGTGCTGTCACTTGACTCGTAGGTGCTCTGAGGAGGCTGTAGAGCTCCTCAACCTGATCGTATCTGACAGAGCCATTCTCAGGAAATCCTGCGATGGTTCAATCAGAACAGCAGCAAGTTCTGCCTTAGCTTTCTCACCTTCTCCTTCACCCCAATCGCGAGAGCGCCTGCGGGTCCGTATGCTCCTGCTCGTCTCGTTACAGACGGTGAGGGAGGAAGAGAATCGGCTCACTGAAAGACTCCTTGAGCAGCGCGAGGAGTTCCTGATCTTGCACGGTGCGGGACAGCCGTTTGTAGAAGGAACTAGTACAGGATCAGAGGAGGAGGAGGAGGCGGAGGAGGAGGCGGGGGGGGGGAGGGAAGATGCTTCACCTTGCAGGTACGCTCCCTTCCTGTTCTTGGTTGACAGAGCGGTAGATCGACGAGAGCTCCTGCTCCGCCTTGGAGCGAAGGGAACGAGCAAGGTGTCCCCTGTACCTGCAGGGCCGACGGCGATGAGGTGAAGAAGGGAGGAAGAAGCTGCTCACAAGCACTGCAGACGTTTGGCAGCAAGGACCCTGTAGTGGAATTTGTCGTCGAAAACGTTTGGGGAGGCGATCGAAAGAGCCTTTGGTCCTTCTTCTCCTGCTCCTGCTCCCTGCTTGTTGCTCTTCACGAAAGAGTCCCTCTCCTTCTGCTGACGGCAGACATGAGTAGAACAGAAACATGTAACAACAGGCAAGACACCTTCGAGTCTCTCGGATTCTCCTCCTCCCGCTCATCGTTCTCCTGTGAGTCCTCTTGGAGAGCTCTGCGTCTCTCCTCCTTCTTCCTCCTGGCATCTCGTCATCGCGTGCAACAAGGCAGGGCGTCGCTCACGTCTTCACAAGCTCTCGGCGCGCGAGCTCCTTCCGCTTCCATGCTGTCCAGTGGTCAACGACAGGCTTCGGGGGTTCTTGGTCGACGCGCCGCAGGGGAGAGGAGGGCGGAGAGTTGAGCGACAAGGATGGGAACATGGAGGAGGAGGAGGAGGAGGAGACGGCATGAGGTTGGAAGGAGTCCCAAGTCTTGACGTGTGCCGTCTTCAGGTGAAGGGCTTGTCGCTGCAGCGCCTCGGGCTGGAGGAAAGGTTTTATCCGCTGAGGAGGGGAAGCTCTAAACCTCCCGCTCCAGCACCTGTCCCTGTTCCTCCACCACTGCTGGCTGCCCCCGTCCCCTCCCCATCCCCCTGACATGATCGGCTCCCTTGCGGTCTGAGCTCCCGTGCGGAAGGTCTTTGGGCTGAGGACGAGCGCATCTGCTTTCCTCTCGTAGGAGGAGAACAGCACAAGGCGGGAAGAAGAGGGCGATGCTCGAGTAAAGCTGCTCGTTGTCGGGCTGTCCTGCTCACTTCGTTGATGAGCACGTTGATGAGCAGGTATCACATTTTCCTCTTCCTCCTGCTCCTCCTCCTGCTCCTCCTTGCTGATGGTCTTCCAGGGAGCAGCATGGCGGGTGAAGTCAGTGATCGACCGGAGCCAGAAGCTCGCGAAGGAGGGGCGCAGCCGCTCGATCGTCATGACAGGGTCCCTGTTGCTCTTGAATCCCCCGATGATGTAGACGGACTTGCTGAGGAGGAAGGAGGAGGCGAGGTATCGAGCTTGCTGCACGCTCCCGATGAAGCTCCAGTGTCCCTTGCGCAGCAGCTCCTGCTCAAGCGTGACGTTCCCCTGGTCCTCCAGCTTGACCTGCAGGACTTCAGCTGAGCTCAGGCACTCGCTCTCTTCTGAGATCCCGCAACACACAAGGAACCTCTGCACAAAACCTGCTCCTGCTCCTCCGCTTCCTCCTTCCAGCTCCTCACTCTGGAGCACTGCTGCGGTCGAGAAGGCACGGGCATGCTGCATCGGGTTGCACAGCTCCCAGTGTCCGCCCCAGCTAGTCGGGACGAAGCGGCGGACGAAAGCATGGGCCCTGCCCTGCAGGTCGAGGCCTCCGAAGAGGTAGATGGCTGCTTCTCTTGCTCCGTGCCTGCACAGCACTGCACTGCTTCCCTTCTCCGTGCACCCCAAGAAGCCTCCGTCCTCTCCCTGGCAGTTCAGCTCGCGGATGAAAGACGACGATCGCCAAGTCAGCCGGTGCTGCTTCCTCCTGCTCTCCAGCCCCTTCCTCATCCTCGTCTGCCTCGCCAGCACTGCTGCGATCTCCGCGTCGAGGTGGGAGGCGAGAGAAGCGCGGACGAGCCTGCCGGCATGCGCCTGTTTGTGATGACCAGAGGATGAAAGGAGGAGAGCTCGCGCGTCCTCTCTTGCGTGTTGCAGGATCGCAACGATTTCGCTCCTCCCCTCAAAGCGCTTGACGAGCGGATGTTTGAGCACGAAGAACTCGACGAAATCTGGAGGCAGGTGAGCAAGGAAGGCCGGGGGAAGAGAGGTGGAGAAGATGAAGGAAGCAGTCGGGGAGATGAAAGATGAGCAAGTAAAGGAGGCAGGAGGAGGAGAAATCGTGAAAGGGCAGAGAGAGAGGAATCAGGGAAGGACGGGGAGGAGGACAAAGAATGGTGAGAGAGGAAGGAGGAGCAGGGGGCCGAGGAGGAAGGACAAGTAGTGGAGTGAGAATAGTGGGGGGAGGAGAGGAGGGAAAACAGGGCAAGGGACCTTGCGGGACCGTCACCCATCGCACTGCCCGCAGGAGGGTCGAGAATCTCCTGAGGGTCACGTTGTTGCTCTGCACCAGCCGCATGTAGGAGAGCTTGTGGTCGATGTCTGCGGACGAGGTCATGGCTACCAACGGCTCTCAGCCCTCCTACCCAGCTGCGCCTCCATCGCCGTCACCTTCAGCAGCTCCTCCTCCACCTTCCCGTACCGGCTTGCCGTCCTCCGCTGCCAACTTGTCAGCTAGCTGCCACAGCCCCGCTCCCTCCTCCCACACCTTGCGATCCTGGGAGTCGCACAAGCTCTGCTCCCGCTCCTTCACCTGCTCCTCCTGCTTCACGATGAGTTTCTCCGTCTTCTCTTCCTGCAGAGCAGAGGGTGAGACGAGGAGGTCAACGCTGACAGTCACCTCGATCCTCAGCTGCACAACTGTGCGCACAGACAAGAGCCAGGTGGTCAGGAGCGTCGGGATCTCCTTCTTCGACTCTCCCAGCCGCCGCTCGATCATGTGGACCGAGAAGTTTCGGTTTGAGGCCACGTGAGCAAAGAGGTCGAACTGCTCGCGGGAGAGGAGGGAGGGGTCCAGGTCCTTCAAGAGCTTCGGCAGGTCCGGGTCGTTGTAGAGGGCAAGGGCTTGTTCCATGCTGAGCTCTCGCTGGACCTGGCAGGGAGGGATGAGCGAGAAAGTCAAGGAGGAATACGAGCAAGAGGCTGAGCCAAGTGGAACAAGGAGCTGCGCGCGCATGCCAGGCAGGAGCGTCACTCGCTGACTGGGGAAAGAGGGGCCGCCAAGCAGAAAGGAAGGAGAGAGAAGGGGGGGAGAAAGAAGAAATCACGGAGAGAGGAACTGGGAAGTGGGGGGGGGGGGGAGGGGGGGAGGCTGTGAGGGACAGCAAGGAAGGATCAAGTCAAGCTCAGATATTCCAACTCACAGTCCGAGGAGCCTGTCGTCCTGGGGGTGGGAGGAAGGAGTACCTCTCCATCTCCCCTTCGATGTTGAGAAGGACGGCAACGGCACACATTATGCGCCTGATGAGGTTTGGGGGCTCCATGTTGAAATAGCGCAACTGCACACGCCCTCAGCTTGATAGCATTCGACAAGTTCCCTCTCCCCTTCTCCCTGCTTGCTCCCGCCTACCGAGCTCCCTCCTCCCGCCACCTCCTCTTGCTCGCATTCCCTTGCATCCTGTCTACTCTTATTCCCTGCTCTTCTCTCACCTTCATCATCTTGGGCTTCGGCAGTTGGCGTCTCGCTGCCGCCAGCTCTTCAGCAGCCTCCACCAGCTTCTGCTGCAAGCTGCTCAAAGACTTCTGAAGGCGATCGAGAGCTTCCAGGGACTGATCCAGCAGCTGCTCCTTCTCCTCGCAGTCTCGTATCTGATCCTGTAAGGACAGGTACTCGCTCCTCTCGTGGTCCTTGAGAGACGGGAGAACTTCCTGCCGCAATCGCTCGAGCTGCGAAGAGAGCGAGCGGTAGGTGATGACCTGCGGATGGTGAGGGATCTCATGCGAGAGAGAAGAAATGCAGGAAGAAAGGTGTGGTGGGAAGGAGACTGGAACGGGAGGGGAGGCGGAGGGGGGCGAAGGGAGGGAAGGGGAGGAGAGGAGAAGGGAAGGGAGACAAGAGAAGGGAAGGGAGATGACAAGGGTAGGGAGGAGGAGACCTCGGGCTCTGATCTCCTCAGATCGTCTATGGAAGTCCAATGGAATATGCTCTCGATCGCGTCATTCTCGGAGCTGACGGCGAGGTTTGCGCTCTTGAGGAGCCGGAGGAAGTACCTGCAGGGGCAGCAGGAGGTCACACTTGGCTCCCTGCTGGTCGTCATGCCGAGGGCAGAGCTCACTTGAACGGCAGATCCCAGAGCCCGTCGGAGCTGGAGAGGATAACCTGGACAGGTCGATCAGACAGGGGAAGGAAGTCAGGCAGATCTGACAGGGAAGTTCCGCTGGATGTACAGGAATGAGGCATCTGCCAGCGCTTTGCTGCCGAGAACATCACACGGTTGCACGAGGGGAAGTTGAGAGTACCTTCCGGACCTGTCGGCAAGGTCCCACATGATGATGGCATTGCTGGAATCGATCTTCTTGATGAGAAACTCGATGAGGAGCCCTCTCAGCTGCTTGAAGTCCCCTACCTCCCTCTCTGACATGCTCTTCTCCATGCTCTTGCTGCAGAGAAGCGTCTCCACGCACATGGACTCCGGGCTCCCCGCCTTCACCTCGTCGTCCCCCGAGTCATTCCCGGTCCCGTCCCTGCTGATCCAACGGCCCGCCCTGCCGCTCATGTTGCCGGCAGGAGGAGGATGTTCTTTAAAAGGGTATGAGCGAGCATGTCTTGCCGTGGAAGCTTTCAGTCTACCAGGCTTGCCTCCCTTCTCCTCACGCCCTCTCCTCCTTCCTCCACTTCATTTCGGCCGTTTTCAACGGCGCAAGAAAATATGTCAAAACCACCAAAACCCCATCAGCCGGGCGGCCCAACTTGGAGCCCGGCGGACTCCCACTGTCCGGCACGGCGATCGGACGGGAGTTGGTGACGCCGGGAGTCCGGGCCCCCCAGTGGCCATCACGGCTCACTGCTCGCCGGCGGCGCCGGCCGGACTGAGCCCCGGACCGGCGGCAGCCGAAACTTCAATTCCGAACCGAAAGCCTTGTTGAACTGAACCCGTTCAACTCAGTTAGCAATACTTAATAAGCCAGTGGCCATGCTGAGAGAGCTTGACACAGTGACTGAAAACTTGGCAAGTTGCGATCAGTTCTAAGTTCGGAACCGATGCACTCGAAATTATACTTTACTTTGACAAAGATAAAAGATTGCACCATAACTATCAACAACAAGCGCGGTTCGATTTCCCACGATCTAGAGGTCGAGAGAAGTTCCCGTTGAGAAGAAGTAATCCAAAACTCACTTCCATTAGTGACGTCATCTAGTTCCTGACCGCTCCTCGTGAGACGGCCTCGAAGACAAGACGCTTCACCGAGTCGCGTTCACCGAAAACCTGAGCATCAATGCCAGCGGGAGGAGCCTTGATCTTATCCATCTCAGCTGTCCACTGCATCACCTACGACGAGACATCAGCACAAGACAACTCCAAGTTCCATCTGTCTCACCTGCTCTCTCGACACGACCTTCAGATCTTCTCTCGTGTCACTTCCGAGCATCTCCTTGCCGAGCATCTCCTTGGTCATGGCCATGGAATCATCGTTGGCAGTCCACGAGGGCTCGAGCTTGATCTTCATGTTGTCTTCCGCAACATCCCCGGTCTTACCCTCGCGCTCATCGATGAAAGTCATGCCAGGTGCAGGCTTGGTTTCGGCGCCGTAGTTCTTCAAGGCAGAGGTCAAGCCCTTAAGGAGGACGTCCGCTGCAACAGGATCCGCACGAGGCTTGTCAACCAAGAGCTGCATCTGAAGCTTGTCCTGTGGAGTTTCGTAGTTGCCAGAGAAGGTAATCTTGGGTGCAGACACTCTCCTTCCCCAGTAGTAGAGAGTTCCAACAGCCTCAGCTGTCTTCCCTTCAGCATCCTCGACCATTGCCATGACCTTGGGATTGTCAGTACGTGTAAACAAGAACACAGCTAGACGCTTACCTCTTTCTGGTCCTTCAAAGATGACATGTCTTCCCTAAGCTTCTTGAGCATCACGCTTGCCTTAGCCAGTGATGCCGGAACATACTTACCCTGCAAGGTGAGCGACTCCTTGTTTGCCGCGAAGGAGATCTCGGGCGCGACTCCAAGTCCAACAAGAGCAGAGGAAAGATCCCACACGGCCTCCGAGATCATCTCATCCAATGCCTCTGCTGGAATCTTGACAAGGTTCGCAGCTGCTTGCTTCTGCTGGTCGAAGGCTACACGGGTGAAGTCCTTTCCAGCCTGTGCATTCCACTTCCAGTAAGTTCCTCCAACACCAAGCTCCTCATCTGCAACAACGTTTGCAACCCTCTGACCCGCCACTTCCTCGGGCACGAACTGTTTTGTGATGGCCTTCTGGAACTTAGGGAACAGCCACCGGAACCAAGCACGCTTTTGCCTGAAGAGAGGAGACTCTGCGATGCAACCGGGGAACATAGCATTCACGATAAGACCGCGAGATTTTCCGTAGCGCTTGTTCATCTCACGCATTACAATTGCGTTGCAAACCTTTGAATCCTTGTAAGCCTTGGTAGGCTCAAACTTTCCACCATCAATGGTGCTCTTCATGCCAGCAGCCATTCCTTCAAGCTTTCCGAGGTCTGCAACTGGCGGGATCAATCCAGCCAAACCATCATTCGCAGTCTCAGTTCCGATGAAGACAACGCGCCCATCACCCTCAGGAAGGTCCCCGAGAAGCAGATTGCAAAGCAGGAAATGACCAAGGTGGTTCGTTCCAACCGCCTCCTCGAAGCCATCGACTGTCAAGCGAGGAGCAGTATCGCGGGGATACCACACAGCAGCATTGCAAACGATTGCATCAATGGGACGACCAAGCAATCTGAGCTGGTTCACAAAATCTCTCACGCTGGAAAGAGAGGCAAGGTCCAGATTCATAATGGTGTAAGTTCCTGGCTCCATTCCAATCTCCTCTGCAGCCCTAGCAGCCTTGGAGTAGGAACGTACAGCCATGATAACATGCCATCCTTTGTCGGCAGACATGGCCTTTGCCGTCTGCAAGCCAATACCACTCGAGGCACCGGTGATAACGACCGTCTTCCTCCCATCGCTGCTCTGCGCGTTGATCTTCCTGGTAAGGGGAGAAACCTTGAGGAAGCTTTTCCACGCCTCTTCTATGTTCATCTTCGTTTCGGGTTCAGTCTTGCCCGAAGGGTCAAGAGTAGCTGACATGAGCACATTCCTGGAAACTCGCTTCTGTTGAGAAACTGAAGGAAGGCGAGCCCTTCTGAGGCCGAAGCCTGTGGGTCCATTCACAAACCCTGCCGCATAATCTGCACAGAAAACGGCGGCAACCAAGGCCAAACGTGCAATATAAACCATTGCGCCCAAACCTGGGATGAAAGTAAGTTTTTCAATCGCATGTAAACATCAAGGCATGCATGTTGTATTGTTACTCCCGAATGGGGTGATGCGAGTTACGAGGAGAAGGAGGCAACATGGTGATAACAACAACAACAAACTTGATAATGGAAAAAATGAGGGAAAATTATAAACCATGCAGCAGCACAGTACAGTATCAATTCCAAAGATGCCCAGTCCAAGAGGCAAGAAGGCAAATGACAGCCTGCGCGGATGCATAAGAGGGGCAGGATGATGGGTGGGAAGGGAAGAACTGAGGTGATGGTGACAGGAGGAGGGAGGAGGGAGGAGGGAGGAGGGAGGGGAGGACAAACGGTGCTGGCAAAAAAGCAAAGGCAAGAGAACGGGAAGGTATGCAAGGAGCAGGTAGCGAGATGGGGTTGCGTCATAAAGGACGGGGCGGCCTCCTGCTTCGAGTCTGAGAATTTACATTCAAAAAGAATAGATGCCATTCTGTACTCTCATTTTTACTTATCTTCAACAAATTTCAGTAAATTTTGCTAATTTTCCTATCTAAAGTGAGTTAAACTATTGTCTTTTAATTACTACCCCTCTATTTCATAGTACCCCCCTTTCTGATTACAATGGGACCCTATAGAAAAACGTTTTTTTAGACCATTGTTACAGTCGGGACGCATGGGGCTACCCCCACCCCCCTTTGATGGCAAACACTACTATGTTCAATGCCCATCTACCCCCACCCACACAAATACAGTTCTAATCACCCCTGGTCATTTCACCCCCGTCCCAACAACCCACACTCTCCTAGAACCCTACCCCTATTGAGAAAGCATAAAACGTTTATTAAATCCTTGTCCAGAATGTCAAACTTCTCTTCGCCACAGTATATTTATTTCAAATTTTCATAGAAGGAAGTTTGAAATGTGGAGATTCAACCTTTTACTCATCAAACACCCCTTCCTGGCTGCACCTTTCTCAGAAGGGGGTCGGAACTCACAAACCTGATGTGCTGGGCCATCTGTCCTGTGAAAGCCCTGACAAGGCTCTGAATTTCCTATTGTTACTACCGCATTTTCACTTGCCTTCAGGCATATAGACTTGGTCTTCCAATTTAAGTATCAGCAGTGCGGGTGGGGTAGTGGGGTTTAGTGTTGTTGATGGGGTGGGGGTACGCGAGGGATCTGTGACAACATTTGAACTGTGACCCACAAATTCTGTCCAAAAAGGCAAAAATAATTTTTCAAAATTGAAATATAAAGAAAAATATTCGAAATTTATTTCAGGGATGGAGCAGGACGGTATTTCATGAAATAATTCTGAAAAGAGACTTTTTCGTGCTCTCGGGGTTGCATCCTCAACCCTTCAATCCAGCGAAGAGAAATGGGGTATGTGTAGTACAGGAAGCATGAGGCACAAGATTGGAGCAGAAGGGCATAGAGGCAATATTTTCTAAGTGAGCGATTATGTTAAATACGCATGGCCATCACAATAAATGAGAAATGCTGCGACCGTACCTCAAGATCTCCAAGTTAAGGCTCCCCATAGTTGACCTGCACTTGAACCGGACTCATCACCATTTGGAACTCCGGGGGCCCCGGCCCGGCTGGACGGGTTGAGGCTCTGAGGCGGACTTCAGATGCGAGAACTCATCAACGGAGCATTGCCTTTATATATATTTGAATTTGAACATTGTTGGTGAATTTTCAAATTTGAACGATTTCCCTTTACACATGCGATTCAAATAGGAGGAGATCCCAAGGAGATCCCTCACGTCCCTCGGCCTCCTGCGACGTTCCGTTCGGGAAATGGAGTATTTTCGTTTCATCACCCCACCCCTTGTACTAAAAAAAAAAAACTTTAAAAGGAGGGGTTCTTGTGTGAGTACCCCACATGCCCGATTTATAAAGGCTCAACCGACGCAAACACTCCTCAATTTATGATTCCACCCCTCCTCTTCTATAGAAACGTCCGGGACCCCTGGTGGGAACTTAGCCCTTGAATCCCCTTGAATCCTACCCCCATCATGTACCCCACCCACCCACTTATCCAACCCTGCGACATCACCCTACCACCCTGCCCCGTCGCAAGCATTCAATAATGTTTTTGCGGGCATTCGAAAGTATACAACAACCCCTTGATTCTACCCTAAGTACCCACCCTTCACTGGCAAGTTTTCTGGAACTGCTGCCAGTCATTCTACCCACACCCCTTCACTATTAAATTAATTTGATCCACCCCTACCCTAGCAACCTAGCTTCCCACTTTACCTGCACTGGATGAAGGGGTGGGGGAAAGGGCTCATCCGACCCCTCCCTTGCAACATAATAAGGCTGCTCATTCACGAAGCGCTTCACTTCCTCCCGCCCCCGCCATGCAGCGACTTCCTGCTTTGCTCCGCGCAGCGACTCCAAGGTTCATGTCCTCATCGCCTGCAAAGAAAACAGATCTGTCTGCTGCGCTCGCTATGGATCTCGGACTTGGTTGCCCGGAGACTGTTAGCAATATGTCTGCGGCATCGTCCAAGAGCAGTGCGGTACACTCGACACAGAACGTTTTGCCATTGGATGGCGTAGAGTTTGTACACAGTGCTGAGCTCCAGGCAGCACAGGCGAGGGACATGCAGCTTTTAGCATCATCTGCAGAGCTTCTGTTGAAGCAAGCCAGTTTCAATTGGGAAATTGAATTCACCACCTTGAAGTTCGAAAGCTTGCAGGCACCGGTGCGTTCGGCGTCTGAGGTCTCCGACTGGTCAGCAGCTTTGATGCTTGCACGAGGATCTTCATTTTCACACTAGATTTGTATGATTTTTTTTTGTTTGTCATTAAAGATAGAAGTTCAATCCAACCCCTCCTCGAACGTCCGTCTTGGCTGGAGCACCTTGACCTGACGATTTGCATAAATCCTTTTCTTGCTCTTCCTTTTCGCCTTCTCTTCTGTCTCAGCAAAATAATCATACCCTCTTGGCCAGCTCTGTACAACCCCTGTTCCAGTATAATTCAGTCGAGTGCCATTGATGATAGGCTCCCAGCATGGTCCCTGCAGAAACAGTCAAGGGCAGCTCATAAGCGCTTCCATTCATACCGCTCTGGGTGGACCAGATCCGTCGCGAGGCAAGACAGGAAACGGGCAGGGATAGAATTCTGGCGGTAAAAGAGCACAAAAATCCATAGGGGTGCCTTCGAACTCCTGTGGAACCGCTGGGAGAATGTACCCGTACAAACACAGAGGGCAAGCATGCTGTGTGATACGAGCGTTAGAACCATTTCGCTACAACTTCTGCAAAGAAACGAAAACAGGCAGATATGCTGTTGACAAAGCGAAAAGAAAAACATGAACACCATCTCTTTCGAAAGATCAACAGGGAGACATGCTATTGACAATGCAGAAATAAAAACATGATCAACATTTCTTTCGAAAGATCTTCAAGCAGAAACGCTATTGACAAAGCGAAAAGAAGAAAATCTCTTTGAGAGTTTACCTCATCATCCGCCAATACCTCATCTGTCAAGACTGGCCACTGCATTCCATTGCAAAATTTCTGTACTTGACATACCTAACATCACATGGAATCATGTTCATGCCAACGACCTCTCTGAAGGTTTCACTTACAGGTCCAAAAGTCTCTACTTTACCTCCCATGTTGTATAGCGTCTTAGTGCAGTACGCCAACCCATGTCGATGGATCTCATGATTGGAGTTGCGTTGAATGAGTCTTTCCAATGTAACACCTTGACCAGTGATAGTCATACTATCGGAGATCGCAGAGTTATAGCAGAAGAGAGGAAACCTCAGGAGCAGCACAATACAGCTCAACACAAATAGCTGCATGCCCTTCATGTGCCGCAAGATGCATGGCTGTCTCATTCAAAGAGCCAACTGCCTGTTGATTGTCAACCACCACCCCGTCTCAGTGCACATACCCTGGGATTCGCGCCATGTTTCAGTAGGTATTCGACAATCTCCATGCTCCCGCTTGCTGCTGCATGCTGTCGTGTCATAAATTAGATGTGCCACTCGACCAGCTACAACGCAAGCTACCATGAGCACGGTGATATTTGTGCGTTCGCAGCGGCTATTGATGAAGTCTGCGTATCTGCATCCATACTTCCTATGTAACTCCTTTACCTAAAAAAACTGCATTATCAGGGTACAAACACGATCAGAAGTGGGAAATCAAATTGTGTGCAGACCGTCTTCTCGTCGCAATCGCTAGCGGCATCGCAGAATTCTACCCGACTTTGAGGTCAAAAATCAGAGTATGCACCAGGCTATGAGCATAATTTATCTCACATTCTATCCTCCTTTGGAGTAAAATCCAGCAGAGAGGTGTTTGTGAGCGATTCTTCAAGTTCGTAGAACAGCTTCATAAACTCCGGATCATCTGTAATGTTGGATGGTAAATTGCGCACCCAAGTTTCAGGGTCCAGCTCAGATTCCTCGGGATCGGAGTCTCCAGCTGCCTTCCCCTCCTCCTCCTCCTCCTCCTCCTCCTCCTCCTGACTTGAACCCATTTCTTCGGACCATCTTATATTTTTATCCAACACTCCAGAACTCTCTGATCCGAACCCTCTTAGCCTCAGCAGCATCCCCCCGTTTTCAAGCCCCCTGGGGACAACCAGCGTAGACCCCAAGTTGTCGGTGCGACGGGCATGGTTGCATAGGACGAGCATGACGATGAAACATCCCCTCCATCTCCTTCCCTCCAACATGCCACGGACGGTCATCCGCTACTCGTGTCTCATCGCCACTCCCACCGCCCCTGAGTGCGATCGCATCGTTGCCTGATCGCTTTTCTTGAGAAGCAAGCCTGCCTCAGATTCGGTAATGCACAAGTTGAACCGGTTCGGCCCGGACGCCGGGGCCCGGTTTGATTTGAACTGATTCAAGTCGAATCGAATCATTTTCCATTCGGTTCTCCCACACGCCGGGCCCATCCCTTTAAGAGTGCCAAAAGGAGTCACCCACCACCACTCCTTTGTTTGTATGAATAAATGTTTACATATATTAAAAACTATATCAAGAAAGTTTACTTAATATAGTGTTTTCATGGGGGGCTGGAGAAGTAAAACTGCATCACATTCCACCACTGCCGGTAGCGATGAAAGCTGGAGGCCGCGATATGGGGGGTGCAGCAATGGCCGGATGCGGTGAGTACGAGGCCATGGAGAGTAGGACTGGGTGTGGAAGGGGTCAGAGTGAGCAGAGAGAGGCTGAGAGGAGTAGATTGTCGAAAGAGAGGACTGGGCAGAGACTTGATGCGAGGAAAAAGCATAAGTACCTTGGTTGCAGATCGTAAAATATTTCCAATCCTAGATGGATTGATAGGGATGTACGGACGGGATTTGCTGAAATGCTCTTTTTACAGGGCTGATTCTCAGCTTCTTGGTTGGAGCTTATGCTCATCAGGGCCTGTACCAATGCCATGGTACCGCGTATGTAAATACGCCTGCTATGCCTGGACAGAGGTCTCAACTGCCCTCGGCGTGCTCCATCCTAGGACAGCGCCCCAATCAGGGGTTTTCTCTGCGCCCACGCCAACAACTTAAGCTTAGAATGGGCGTAGATATCCCCGTAAGAGAGCAGAAGAATCCCTAGCTCGTGCTCTATCGTGATATGCCGGCAGATCGGTCCGTCCGACCCCAGCGACAAGTCGAATGATGCTGCAAAGAAAGCTGTATCAAAGGTTGCTACCAGTGAGGTCGAGGAAGACGCCTCGCTGACGGATGTATCATCAGGCGTCCGACTACGAGATCTTGCTCGCCGAGTTGGCCTTCACGTACGGCTGAGACTCCTGCCGGAAATAAATGCTGACATTCGTCCAGGAATCCCGACGAGTTGCCCAAGGTGGTGGAGAAGAACTTGGACAAGTTGGACGACAGCTTCTACAATTGTAATGATTGCATCTGTTTACATTTTTTTGTTATGAAAAGGTCAGCTAGCTTTGATCTGAACTAGTCTGGTGCAGTCCTGGCAAGGAAGATCGAGGACACCAAGGATGCGGATGAGAAGGAGACCTTGGCTGTTCTGAAGGACGCTGTGAGAGCATGCATGCTTCCTGACATCATCCTCTACTCATGCTCTTTCACGACAGGTCACGGACCTGATGCAGAAGATCCTCAAGGCAGCGGTGGGAAACGACTGCTGTCACACCCTGACACCTCTGACTGCCTTTGAAGATGGAGCGCGGGGATGTCTCGAAAGACGACATCGAGGCAGCCGGGCTGTCGACCTCTGCTCTCTCACTGGACTCTTACAGCACAGCGGACCTTGCTTCTGCAACGTGATGGACGTTGAAAGAGGCGCGTCAAGCTCACCCTTTGGCAGTTACGACGCCTTCATGCAAGAGCTGATCAAGGACCCGAGCAAGATCTCGACTGCCGTTGAGGCCGGATACGACAAGATCGACATGCGCTTCTTGGAGCGGGTGATGCTTTGGAGCTGTGAGGCCCGCGATCCTCTGACGCGCACTTCAGCTGAACGAGAAGATGCAAGAAGATGGGCCCCAGAAGGAGCTCTTGACTCAGTTGAACAGCGCCATCCAAGCTTGCATGAGCGCCAGGATCCAGAAAGCCTCCGACGCGCTGCAGAAGGTGTTGAAGGCCGGAGACCTCAACGGAATGCGCAAGGAGCTCATGCTCCTCAATGTGAGAGGCGGAGAGGATGGCTTGCACGTGCTGAAGCGGTATTATGCAGGCAAAGGGCGGTTTGGATGAGAGCGTCATCCTGCTTCTCGAGGCCAACATAGATCAAGCTCGCAAGGCAGGAGCGCAGCCTGCTGTCGAGGTTCTTGACGAGTGAAGGAGAGAAGATCGTGGACATGATGACTGTTTTAGGTCATGACCATGTTGAAAGACAAGGCCATCGAGTACAAGGATGCCTCCATGCCCGATGAGATTCGCCTCATCCGCAAGCTGATGCGAACGGAAGACCCCGAGGTCTCTTATCCTTTGAGCGAGTACGCGACTAAAGAAGATGAGCCAGGCAAGGAAAGCTCAATTCGTGGAAGCCTTCAAACCCCGCGAAAAGGTTTTTAACCCTGACGGTAGATGACTTAGATTCCTACTGAAAAATCTATTGACGCCTGGGGTTTTCAAGGCACTGAGAGAAAAAGCCAGCAAGTGAACGGAAAACGCTTCGTTAATGCTCTTCGTGACCTCATCGCGAATTATGGAAACGTTGACGAGAAGTTCTTGAAGCAGGTGAACTTTTCTTGCATCGGCTTCGACACTTCTGATCATGGCTGGCAGATCGACAAGATTGCCAAGGAAGGAGAGCAAGTGGTTACTGAGATCTACGGCCTCAACGAGGCCAAGGATGTGCAGGCTCTGCAGAACGAGGCCTTCCACAAACGCACAGTGTCTGTGTGGGAGCTTGAAGCTCTCGAAGAGGTCTTGCGCTCTATGTCACTTGCCTGCCTCCATTCTTTCGCGCCTCTCACCTTTACCTGCTCTCCGTCTCGCTCCTCCGCCATTTCCTCTACTTGTCACCCCATTGTCTCTTTTCTTGAACGCTTCCCCTCCCAACTCCCTACTCCCCTCACCCTTGATCCTGCTCCTCAGCTTCTTTTACCCTCTCTCCTCCCCTCTCTCCCACCCGCGTTCCCTCCTTTCTTCTCTCTGTTCATTCTCACTTTGCTTCCTAGTCCTTCGAAGCTTCCGGGCAGAACGCTCCTTGGAGAGGGGAGTCTAGGGGAGGATGGGACAAGGATGGCAACCTCATCATCGGTGGGAACGAGCTGAAGAAGAAGGGGAAGGATGGAGGAGATAGCGGGATCATATGGTGACGTGGAGGAGAACGACTTATTCTTGTTGAGAGAGGTAGCCATGCCGGGATGTACTTAACAACACTTGACGTGCAAATGCCCCTGCTGCCCTCACAGACGGTTCCCGATGGTCCAGCCGAAGGCGAACGAGGAGAAGGCAACGCTGATGCCTCTGAGGTTGTTCTGCAACGCCATGAGAGCGATCCCAACGAACTTGTTCACTTGCTCCTGCGCGAGATGTCAATTCCCCACTGCCGGAACCATAAAACCGCACCTTGATGGATGCGGGGAGCTTCGAGAGAAACGAATTCTTCGTGACCTCGACGTATTTGTACGTCTTGGAGTCCATAGCGTCCTCCTGCATCTTCGGTGTGTTGAACGAGATGTACCTGTTCATCTCGAGCGCCTTGATCCACACAGCAAAAGCCGTGAGGGCCGCAACGGCTGATTTGCCGCACTTCTGGAAAATGAGGCCGAGGAGCAGACCTGGGGCTGGGGTAAGAGAGGTGAGCATGTAAAAGCAAGCAGACGGCCACCAGAGCTCCCAAAGATGATCATCCCGTCGATGGGGATGTCTGTGCAACCCATGCTTCGAGCTGGTATGAGAGTGGTATCAAGGCTCATGCAAGGAACAGAGAGAGCGATCCAGCAATCAACAAAGAGAGGACTGACCGATCGCGCCATTGTTCGGTGTCTTCATCACCCTCGGAGGCTCAGCTGTCTTGCGGGGCATGCCGGGGGGGAGGACATTGGAGATCGAATGTTGGGGGGCAGGCGCCATGGAACGCAGGGGAGGAGGAGGAACGTCTGAGTGATGTCCCTCCATGCCAAGAGCATCAGTCATCATCAGCATCGACATGGTGACGATGATCGTCGTCGTCATCCTTGCTCCTCCCATCGCGGTCGCTGCCTTGCTCCTCTCTCCCTTCCCTCTCATCGCCATCGCCCGACGGTGAGTGAGGGGAACTTGTACGGTAGCTGTAACTTGAAAACCCCCGGGCCCGGCCGGGTTCCCCGGGCCGGCACGGTGGCGGCCCGCCGGTACTGAGACTCCCGGCAGCCGAGGCCGGGACTACTCGGCTCAGGCTCATCAAATGGAACAGGAAGGCGGGGCAGCAGCATCAGTTGAACCAAGCAGGCTGAGCTGAGTCCATGGTAGGCAGTGCAGAGGCACCGACGGGCGTTGCTGCTAGTGATGAAACAGGAAGAAGCAGAGGTCCGTCTGCTGTCAGTCTTTGTTGATCTTGGAAGGAAAATGCTCAGTTGAGATCAAGTTGTGTGTTGACCCGACAAGCACCTTGCATACAGGATGATCATCAATGGCGTGAGGAGAGGAGCAGCTCGCCGCGCCTCCTCCAGCTCCTCTGGCTCAGATCAGAGCGTGTCCCCCAGGCATGACACTGACGAGGACACCGAGGAGGCTGAAGGGATAGCAAGTGAGAATGTCCAGCCGCTGGTGGTATGGAGGAGATCTCACTGTGGTCAGAGGAGACTAACGAGGAGGAGCAGGACGAGAGGAGGCAGGAGGGACATTCATCGCTGCTGCTCAAGGATGCGAATTCATGGATGCAGACTGCCGCCGCCAAGAAGCTGCTGGAAAGATCCAAGGAGGGCAAGCGAGCTACCTACAGCCATGTCTGTTGCCGCATGCCTTTGCCCCTGTTCCCTCCCCGTGTGACCCACGTGGCTGACGCAGGTGGCAAGGCTGGACGATCAGAACAGCTCTGAGGAGGAGGGGGAGGAGGAGGGCGAGGGAAAGAGCCACGAGCCTGTGAACGTGAGGGTGACCGTCCACTCGCTGAAGCATCTCCCGAGGATGGACAAGTTCGGGAAAGTGGACGCGTACATGACCGATAAGAGGAGCGACGTGCTGGGTGACTGCCTGGCAGGTACTGCATTGTCACCCTTGACAACCGGGAGCATGGAGGACAGACGTACCGGAGGAAGACGAAGGTGATCAAGAAGAACTACAACCCTCAGTTCCTTGACGAGCAGTACGACTTCGAGGTCAAGGACTACACCAATCAGGTCGTGCCGGCTCGTGGGCGCATGCGATGCTGACGGAGGTATGGCAGGAGCTAGTGGTGAGTGTATGGGACTGGGACGCGGGATCGGAGGACGACCTGATCGGGTCTGTGAGCGTCAAACTCTCAGCCCTAGCGTCGAGGAAGAAGATCGAGGAGGTCTTGTACCCCATCAAGAACGAGGCCGGGGATGACGTCATCGGATTCGATGGCTGCCCAAGCATGCTTAACCTCAGCCTGGAACGAGATGTGATCATTCAGACCAACAAGGGGAAGAGGAAGGGACTCGTCTTGGGCGAGGTTATCCGCATACCTCTTCCCTTCCCTCCCCTCTTCCTTCCCCTTCCCTCCCTACCAACTTGTTCTCCTCTTCTCTCTCCTCTCCGCTCTTGTGCAGGCCTCCCTTCCCTTCTCTCACATCTTCTCACAGAAACGAATTCTGGACTGCTCGAACAAGCAGTGGGAGAGCTCAGTGCGGGGCCTCATGTTCGAGGTGGAGAACAGGAGCGAGTACCCTGCCATGATCACGGGGCTGCACATCTCAGGAGGGAGGAGCAAGAGCGGCTCGTGCTCCTACACCATCTACCGCGCGCCAGGTCGATGGAACGTAGGAAGGTGCCCCTGCAATCGCCTGCTCCCCTGCCGCTTTTGCTTCCTCTGCTGCGGGAGCTTCCCGTCTGGCCGGCCCAACGTCCAGATGATGAAGTGCTTCTGCCGCTGCCGCCCCTGCACCTCCCGCACGGTCAGAGCCCCCTGCTCCTTGCTCTCGTCCCTGACCTGACCGGCAGAGCGGCTGCTGCTGCTGCGGAGAGTGCGGGCCCGGGCTGGAGGTTGCGGAGCCCTGCTGCGACGGCTGCGTGTCCTGCTGCACTGGCAACTGCGCTTGTCCGCTGGTGCTCTTCCCTTACCTGGTGCCTCTTTGCTGCTGGGGTTGTGGATGCCTGGTGGGGGAGAGGCACGGGGGGGTGTCGGAGCCGGGCATGCCCGCCATATCGCTATGCAGGTGCTGTGGATGCAAGTGCTGCAGGAATGGAGTTCACAGGTCCTCCCTCCTCCTCCTCCTCCTCCTCCTCCCCCTCCTCCCCCTCCTCCCCCTCCTCCTCCTCGCACCATGAGTTTGCTCCCTTCAGGCATGCCAAGGACTGTAACATGCTTGAGTTCCCTGGCTGGAGGTGCGACGCCAACTGCTCCTGCTGCTCCTCCTGTTGCTCCTGCTGCAGGAGGAAGTACTACGACAGGAGGAGGTGGACCCGAGTGACGTCAGCATGGAAGGATATGCCGTCGGACTGGGGGCAAGTGGGACAAGCGATCAGCTTCACAGACTTCGAGGGGGGAGGCATCCTGTTGCCCCCTCGCCAGTTCGTCTCGCTCTACATCCACTCGCCGCATCCTGTCGATGTCGCCGGCCAGGGGGCGCTGGCAGTCCGGGGACCGTTCGTGCACGAGCATGACAGCGGGGATGTAACGGAGAGGGACGAGGTCCTCCTGGTGCGGACAGGAGCAGCGACCATGGGGGTCCTTCCGTTCGCCAACAGCGAGCCGAGGAGGAGCGACATGGACGGTCAAGTCTACCGGCTACGAGAGCAGCACCTTGACCCCCATCGCGTCTTCGGGTTCGCAGGAAAGATCGAGTATCACCTCCTGCCCAAGGGCCGCGTGCCGGCAGACTGCGTGACCCTGTGCGGCCGCTGCCCCTGGTGCTGCTGATCGTCTCATCGTTTAATGTCTACATGTCTCCACTAGGACAAGACTCGAGATCCCGTCTCCTCCGTCAGCCGTGGAGTTGCTTACTTAGTCGGATTCATCACTGCAAAAGACTTCAAGAGTGAATCAAGAAGAGAGAGGGAGGAGAAGGAGGGAGGAGGAGGAGGGAGGAGGGAGGAGGGTGGACAGAGAGAATGGAAGGGGAAGCTACCTCAAAGCTTCGTCATCCTGCACGCAATCACATTCGTTATTATCAACATGCACACATAACAAGCAATGAATTTACCTTCTCGATGTTCATGCCGTCCCCGTCATCTTCCCCGTCGTCGTCTTCGTCCTCCTCCTCCTCCTCCCCTTCCTCCTCCTCCTCCCCTTCCTCCTCCTCCTCCTCTCCTTCCGCTCCTTCCTCGTCATCCTCGTCCCCAGACGCCTCATCAACTCCAATCACGTCATCAGCCTCCCCAACATTCTCATCCACAATCACTTCCGGATCCCTGCTGTACGCGTTCCCTCCTTGGAAGCCGGACTGGTTCGACACTTGCGTGAGCGCCAAGTCCAGTCGGCCCTCGAGCTTGAGCAGCTTGTGGTATGTGTTGATTCTGTTCTCGACGATCTGGTAGAGGGGCGTGAGGTTCTTGATCAGGTCGGGCTGGGACATGAGGAGCGAAGTGTGCTGGGTCAGGATCGCCTTGATCCACGTCACCAGCGCCAGGGAGCGCGCAGGCTTCTGCTGGAACTTGGCGACGATCTGAGCATCAGCATGTCAGCACAAGAGCGCAGACGCGTGCGCCTCACCTTCTTGAGAAGCATCGTGACGTGCTTGGGAGGGAGGCGCCTGACCGTCTCGTTGATGATCTGGTGGTTGGTGACCCCCAGACACTCCTGCACCAGCGCCTTGTCGTCGCTGTCCAGCGCTTGCTTCAGCACCACGTGGATCGAGTCAGCCTTGAGGCTCCCTGCGACTCCCTCCTTGCCCTGCTGCTGTCCCTTCACCTCTATCCCCAGCGCCTTCACCTGCCCTCGGAGCTCAGGCATGAACGGGTCCACCTTCCTCCTTACCTTCGCTTCTAGCGTCTCCTCGGGGTCTGCGATACTCCCTGCGTCCTCCTCCTCGTAGTGATCAGCACGAGCTCCCGGCCCCTTCATTTCCTTGTCCGTTGCATGTGCGTGATTCTCCTGGAGATCCATCAAGAGAGGAGGAGGTGGAGGAGAAGAAGGAGGAGGAAAGGAAGAGGAGGAAAGGTGCAAAGACGAACAGGTCAAACCTTCGTCGCCTTGTTGTCAGCATTGACTCCCCTTACGGGTACCTCGTTGAGGTCGTAGCTCTCAGAAACGTCCTTGGCAGCCTTCTTCTTCTTGGAGCTGGAGGTCAGCCCGAGCAGGTTGCTGTTTCCTCCCTCCACCGCCACTTCCGACACAAGTTCAGCACTTGACTTGTCGACAATCTGGACAAACGCGTTCCTCAGCTCCTGCCCTTTGCAACGGCTGCGCTCACCTGGACTGAAGTGAAGAGAGGGAGGAAGGAAGTCCCGTGGCAGATCTTGACGTTGTCACTTCCCTAGTTTCGGGAGCAGAAGGGTCAGGGGCAGGAGCCGGGCGAGCAGCCTGCAGACCTCGAATCTCGCGTTGTAGATCTGAGACTTCCCATCCTTCATCGAGACCTTGGTCGACGGCATCTGAGGGATCTCGGTGACGGTGCCGTCGGAGGTCCTCTTCTTCGAGCTCCTTTGTCCACCCGTCAAGGTACCGATATTCTCTCATTCCTCCCTTCTCAACTCACCCTTTGGGAGGAGAAAATCGCCAGACAGAGACTGACCCGCCCTCGGACACAGCCAGCATCTGCATGCTCTCCCCCGTGCCTCCGACTAGCGAGATCTGCGAGCCTGGGAGTGAGAGGAGGGCCGAGGAGCAGCGCACGATCTCATGGCAGACCTGAGTCGGAGAGGAGTCAAGAGTGAAGGTCTTGAGAGCGACGGTATTGTCGGTCTCGAAGGAGGAGTCCCACAGGCTGATGAAACGATCGCTCGCGCCCGAGACCAGGAAACGAGAGTCGGCCGAGTAGGCCAGGCAGACAACCCTTGACGCGTGACCCGGGTATTTGCGCTTCGTCTTTCGTGTCGCCAAGTCCCAGACCTGAACGGAGCAGGATCAGGAGGAAGGACGAGGAAGTTCAAGCTGTTTCATCACCTTGATCGCCGAGCTGGCCGTTACAATCTCATCCTCACTTGAACGCAACGCCAGCCTGTTCGCTGACTGCTTGCCGACAGCAACCTTCCACGTCTGCAGCAGGTGTCAGACGGTCTCCTCTCCTGCTCGCAGTCAGGACCATCTCCCCAGTCTCGATGTTCCAGCATGAGAAGAAGCAGTCATCAGTGCAGCAGTACAAGTTGGATCCGGACGTGAGCACAATGTCGTTGATCCTTCCCGTGTGCCCGGACTTCTCTCCCCCGAGCGTTTTCCTCAGCTCTCCTTTCACGCAATCCCACAGGAGAATCTTTCCCGCTCCTGTTCCAATCGCCACCAGGTCTGCTCCTCTCTTCGACTTCTTCTTCCTGCACAGAATTCAACTTTTTGCAGGCTCGCTCTCACTCCCGCTCACTCTCCCTGCCTCTCCTCCATCTCTCCCTCCCCCTCCCCCTCCCCTCTGCCTCTCATACTTCGCCGAGCTCGTCACTGGCAAAGCTTTCCCCCAGCTCACGCATGTCAGCTCAGCTGCATGCTTCCCAGTCGGAGAAAATCTGCGGGACAGGTCAGCAGGAGGAACCGGAACTAGGGGCCGAAATGCTCACTCGCTTGACGCTGCTCCAGACGTGACGTCCCAGATCTTCAGTCTGCTATCTTCTGTGAGCTGCGCGAAGTTTTCTCCTTTCTCATCAAACGATCCAGTGATCATGATGAGCTAGCTAAACGTCCAAGGTTATGATGATTTCCCGCCGATTGGTCTCAGAGCAATTCCTGGGTTAACAACAATCTGCAGTCAAATGTCAACATCGGAATGTTGATCCCACACCCCTCGATCTCATGACTGATTTTCTTCCATTTTCGCGCTCAGTCCCCTTCACTCCTTTCAATCGCTTTCTCCCCATACCATCCTCAAACTCTTGAATGAAAAAATCCGCCCCGTCGTTGGACATGCCCTACCCAACTCTCGCTAGATCGCTCGACACAACCAGCAGGCAAGGAGGTCTACCTCGGCAAGCTTGAAGCCTGCTGCTCTCGCACTGCTGCCCTTCCTCTCTCGTCTGCCTCGTCCTCCATCCTCTCCCGCCGCCTCCTGCTCCTCCCCCATCTCATCCTTCCTGCTTCCCACTACACGTGCAGCTGCCAGGCCCTCGTCCCCTCACTTACTGATGGAGTTGTCGAGGCAGTCGGGAGGGCACAGTCGGGACCCCGGCCGTGAGGGCCCGGCCCGGCCGGGCCCGGCCGACGTTGGTCACAACTGAAGTCACTACTACTAGTGGCGATGGTTTGTTGTGGCCCTGCATCGTCCGCCCTTGCCTTCCCTCATCCTCCAAGAGCTCCTCGGATCATCATCGTCCCTGGCTCCCCTTGACAGGTCTCCTTCTATCCTCCATCCCCTCTCACTTCCTCCCTCCCCTTCTCTCCTCCTCCCTTCCTCCCCTCTCCCTTTCTTTGCCTCGCTTTCTTCCCTCCATCACTCCTCATAAATCGCCTGGATTTTACAGCTACGATCCGCGCGCCCTCTCTCTGTCATTGCGATCGTCGCCGAGGTCATGAGAGGGTCGCGGGTCACGTTGCTGCTCGTCGTCGTGCTTGTCTCTGACTGCACTGGATGGCTGCATGTTGGCATGACCGGGTTGGGGGCGAGGCGAAGTGGCAGGATCATCCTGCAGGCGAGAGGGAGTTACCAGCTGGAGCTGGAGAGGGTGACGAGGAGTGTCGTGCATGAGTGTAGAACAAGAAACCTGCGGAAGATGACCGACACCAGACAGAGGTTAAGGCCCTCAGAGCCCTTCATTCGCCTTGACGGGGACGCTGTGGATGCAATGAGACAAAGCTGGGGCGGGAGCTCATTCAGCCCCCCTATGGTTGAGAGGATGGTCGAGGAGCTAGCAAGGAACCACTTCTTTGTGCTGAGGTTGGAAGGAGAGTCAGCTGACAAACTCGAGTCCCTCCGCGACGTTGGGAGGGAGTTCTTCAGTCTGCCACAGGAGGAGAAGAACAGAGTCGGCAGGATGGAGAAGGTGAAGGGCCTTCCTGGAGGCTCAATAGGCTTTGCAAGGATGGACAGCGGAGAGAAGCCTAGGTTTAGCGGCAATGAGTTTCTCAGTGTGCGAGCCGCAGGTCAAGGCAACATCGTTCCTTCATTGCGGCTTGTCTCCCAGCGAGCCGACAGTCACGTGTTTGAAGCATGCGACATGCTATCGCGGATCGGGCTGGAGGTGCTGAGGGAGCTTTTCTGGCACCTCGGCCTGAGTAAGGAGGAGATCAGGGACTGGATCGACACGGGAAATCACCCTGAAGGGGGGGCGCTGTCCATGTCCGAGCAGCGTTTCTGCTTCTACAATTCAAAGTCGCCATGCTCCTTCGAGCCGCACGTGGATCTGACGTTCCTGACGATCATCCCTGCCTCAAGCCAACCGGGGCTGGAGGTGCTTGACTCCTGCTTGCGATGGCAGAGGCCGGAGTCTGACTTGCGGCTCACTGAGAAAGACATGCTAGTGCTGTCGGGCCAGACTCTACAGGTAAGTCTTCGTTGGGTGTGGGGGGCCTTCACTTTCTTACATCCCTCACTTGCAGTTGTTTTCTGGAGGAGCCTTTCCCGCGTCCATACATCGTGTGGTATGTGAATCGTCCAGTTCTCCGAATGGCCGATACAGTTGTCCTTTATTACTCCGCGGGAAGAAGGACAAAATTGTTAGCGAGAGGCTGCTGAGAAAGACTGAAGGCGGCATGCACATCGCAGCAGATTCAGTCAAAGAGAACATCCTAGCCCTCCAAGGATACAGTCTGTCATACATACATGAGCAACTGTTCCAAGCAGGTAGGCAGACACAAAATAGTTGAAGCAGTTCATACTCCTCCTTTATACGACCAATCCTTTTGTTCAGTGTAATTTAAGTCAATCCCCCAGTAACTCTCTCGCTGTCTGTGGTGTAATCCCAATGAGATCTACAAAGTTTTTCCCTAAGAACTATAGCGCCACAAGTTTGCATCATTCATTCACGTCTCGAGAGATCCTCGCTCCTCTGCCATTTTCCTCGTCTGAACAACTTTGGTCAAAAGCAAAGGCATCATCGCTCCAGTAATACCCGAGACGAGGTGGTAGACCTTCACTTTCCTTTTCCGCGATCCGCAGCACATGTACAAAAACGTGAAAGGGACGCAGACGCCTGTAAAGTCAGTCAGCAAAACATCGAACACGAGCCCCACAGCACATACATGCCACTGCTGTGATAATGATTTGCATCCGCCTCACTCTCACTTCAAAGCTTTCGCCGATGTCGAAGGCCCTCCACTTGGCCCCTAGCTAACATAAGAATCAGGTTCCCTAAGCTCCTTCAAGGTCTTAATGGCCTCCTTACTTGCTTCGAGCGGAAAAATTCTTCGTCATTTCGTGAGCATCCAGGAAAGTCGCAAAAGAATTTGAGACAAGCGGAGTTCACCATGTATCTTCTCCCGTGCGGGGGAGGGCCATCTTCGCGTACATTCCCTGCCATGCACTCAGAGGTTTGGTCGTTTAAGTTCAGCCATCAAACCAAGGTGCGATCCGCAATATTCACAGTGAATTCCTGTATCGAGCGGATGATGTAACCAAGAGCCTTCATGGTGCTTGTATCCAACAGACCCGTGCTCGATTGGAGAAATGAAGGTAGCATATCCCGACCCCGTGTCTATCTTCTTTGAAGAATGGAACAATGTTGAGTTACAGCATGCACATGTGTATATTCCAGAAGCAGTTTGACCAACATGTGACCCAAGGTGAGCCGGTTCCATTGTATCTTTCATACAGAAACGGTCTTGCTTTGCCGTCAGGTTGAATACGCAGTTGGCCTTAGACTGACATTTGCCTCCTTTGATGGACATTTCGCAGTTCACAACTCCGTTTCTGTCGATTCCCCCTTCCCAACGATCCTCAGGGGCATCAAAAGCAAGAACCATCACTCTGGAGAGCATGCAAGACAACCACAGCAATATGCATGAACGAGCAAAGAGAACCCACATCATACAGGAGGCTCTGATCGGCATCAACCCTGGCATCAACCCTCAAGCCCTTATTTTAAGTCTTCAATTCAGATTTTAGTCACAAACTTCTCTCGCTCTGCAGCACATCAGTATTTCGTTGGCTTCGAGGTCACTATGCGCTGTGCTACCGTTGGTTCCCCTCCTTCATCTCAGCATCTCGGTCTTTGACCACTCAGGTCGTTGGCTGGCCATGATGCCGGCTGGAGTCCGACAAGGCCCATGATGTTACGTCAAAACAACATCAAACCTTATAACGAACCGTTACTTTTGGCCTTCGAGTCACCGTGCCGCCCCCGGCCGGGCCGGCGGGTCCCGGATCACTGAGTCCCTGACTCTGTGAGCCCGCCGTCACCCGGCCCGGGCCCAGCCTGGCCTGCCAGGACTCCGGATGAGGGTTGCCGGTGGACAGCCGCACGGTGTCAGGGTCACTGGGCCACCTCACCGCACTACGGTAACTTGAAGCCTTCGAGAAGCCGCGGAGTCAGTGACGGTACTCGGAGGCGAACTTGGAACGACAGGCTTGTCAGGCCCGACAAGCCACTGGCAAGCCTCCCCCTGGGAATGGCGGAACCACTGCCGAACCCCTACTACATAGAAATCAAACCTTCACTGGGAACTTTATTTCGCTTGCATTCACGAGCTATTCGGAACATTACAAAGTTGAAACTGGATCTTCCAAAAATGTTGAAGACTTTGAATGTTCTGGAAGATTTTTAACATCTCTTTTCTTGCTCGGTACAGTCTGGAAAAGAGTCTGTGACGGATTGGGAGAAATCCTGGTCCTTTTGCAGTTGACATCAATTCTCTAAGGGTTGGATTCGAATCTTGGATATAGACACTAGTTTACATCTGCTGCATCGCTGTAGCCCCCCTGCTCTACATCACTTACACTACACCATTGTAGCCCCTGCACTTTCTGTTCACTCCTGTATATTGTATGACTCATCCGTAAAAATGCAATCCATTCCTTCCTGCTGCTCAGAGCAAGGTTCAGCAAAGGTTGATGACGTGCCAACTGACAAGAAATCCGATGAGCAAAACTTGCGCTTGTGCAGCTCGTCTTCCTGTACATGAAGCAATGGTGCATGCAAGTGATCACCCGAGTCGGTGCGTGTTGGAGTGTTGGTGTGGATCCTACCAACGATCACTGGGCTGTTGTGCAGGTCTTCATTCATCCCTTCAGTCTTAGGCGAGTCGTTGGATAATGCTTCGAGGTATTCGTTGACAGACATCCATGTAAACTTTGAAATGTCGTTTGTGTTCTTGACATCGAGGATGGGAACGTTGTCGAAACGCCAGTCCATGACTTCATGTACAGCTCTCCCGTCCACGAAACGTGTGGCACTCATTATAAACGCAGCTGTTCGATCCAGCACACGTGTTGTGATGATGTGTATGTTGCTTGTTGATACGTCTGCTACCCAAGCTTCAGATAAATTTCGTCCTCCCTATGTGCTTGACTCACAGATCGCGTCGTGCTCGGAGTTGCGCTGCTGACTGACGGCTGCGACTGCTGCTGTCGCTCCTCCCGTCATCAATCCACGACAAGTGAATAATAAAGGGTACAGGGCCACCTGCATCCTTCAAATAGAGGGGTAGTCCTTGTACAAGGGGGGTCCACTAGGGATGTGTGTACTCTTCGTGTAGGGTGGTACCCCGCGATAACTATCAAGGAGGGGTGATATTCATAGATAAATTATGGGTTAAGTCCATCTCGCTTGGGTGATCATCTTTGCATGTGATTGAGTGGGGGTATGATTGTCCAGGAGAGGCTAGATGTGGGGTAGGGTGGATGTACTTCCGCCGGGTTTAAAAAATTCATATTTTTAACTCCTGTATGTGATGACCCAGTACTACTACCCCACCCTTTCCCCAAGTCTACCCACCCTCATCCGGCATTGCCCGGGCCACCCGTCACACGGGGGCCGCCGGTGGGGGGCACGGGACGGTGCGGGCCCAGTGCGGGCCCGGTTCAAGTCGCTAGCTGTCCGCCACCGTGGCACGGCGTAGCCCGTCACTCATCTGAACTACCGGTGTCACATACGATCTGACCTGGGATCTGACGGGAACCTGCCAGGGCATACGGTAGAAGGAAGCTGTGCAGTAGCTGAGCCGCTTGCGACGGGGAAACTCGCAGACACACAAAAGACTCGAGGAGCCTCTCGGACTCAGTCCTCGCAAGCGAGTCCGATGGTCACTGATCAGATGCCTTCAAGTTGAGCACGCAAGCAAGCGGGGACGGGACAAGCCTTGACGCGCAAGGGGAGGCGGGAAAGCTACTCGGGCCGCATTGGGGGGATGGCGTCATTCAGGGGCGGACAGATCGAAGTAGACAGCGACGATGACAGAGCTGGGGAAGCGGGGGAGGGGGAGGAAGAGGAGGAAGAGGAGGAAGAGGGGGAAGAGTCTCTCCTCGAGATGAGGAAGCCTGAAGCCTGGATGCTTGAGCATGGACACTTCTCCGACGTGCGTGCTCTGACCTGTCTGCGAGAGAGTCTTGTATTCGCCCAGATGACCTTCATGATCGCAGGTGACCGTGACCTGTCAGAACCAGAGCTACCACCTGTACCCTCATTGTCGTGCTCGATGATATGATTGAACCCCTTGTTGCAAGGCACAAATTCGTCTTGTGCAGAGAGAGTCTGCGGTTTCAAGAGATGCTCATGGATCCTGCTTCAGAGTGAGCCATACTTGCTCCTTGCCTCTCGATCAGTGACTTGAAGTGCTTTCTCGCGAGAAGGAACGACAGAATACAAGTCGATTACGATGATGACGACTTCGAACTGTTTGTCCATTTGCTCTACACTGGTGAGAACCTGTCGGGTGACTTTGACGCTGATCTGGTATGGAGATGGTGTTGCAAGGGAGGGCTTCGAAGAGACGGTACGAGAGATGATGAGGGATAACATGGTTGTGATTTCAATTGATGGCAAGGTATTCAAAAAGATGAAGAAGTTGGAAGTCAATCCAACTAGGTTGGTTGCAATCTTCTCGTGTTTCATTTTTGCGCTGAGATGTGATAAGATGCTTGAACATATGTTCCATTGCCGACGATTTGAAATGTGGACAAGTGAGTTAGAAGTTGGAAATCTTGCTGCTGAGAGTTGTTCCGCTATCAGATCGTTGTTCTTTGTCGCATCTTCTTCGACAAGACTTTAGACTCTCGCACAGCTATCTACTTCTTGAAAGGGTCGCAACTTCCAACAGCCTTTCACCTCCGTTCAATCAACCTTGCAGGTCGTGGGACCAGCCGGCGCTCAAGTACTTCAAGACGAGGTCCATCGCTCAGATAGTCTCGAGCTTTGAGAACTACCTGGGGGACGACGACATCGGTCTTCTCCCGGTCTGAAGATGGTTTGACATGGCTGGTCTATGTGGTGACGGTGAGCCGGCAGGTAGAGGCGATGAATGAAGTGATGCGGATCTCTCACGGGAGAAAACCGAAACCTCCTCAAGACTTCTTGTTCTGCGCGATCTCGAGCAGGAACATAGTGTTGCAGGTGGACGCAGAGAGCTCGCCGAGAGATGTGAATGTGTGGATGCGCAGGACCTGAAGCGAGAAGTCAACAGAGTGAACTTGCGGCAAGCGATGTCTCTCTACCCTTCCATCGGCTACGATCAAGTTTGCGATCTTCTCATTCAGTGCGTCAAGCATGGTACCGCTGCGATCAACCTCCGACCTGAACCCTGACGACTTGTAGGAGCGGACAAGGAGATTGAGCGATGTATCCCAGTCTTGGCCTCCAACCTCCCTGAGGTAGACCGGGGGAAAGTCTTGAAGATCTCAAAGCGCGCCATGCTCGACACTTTGCGGCACGAGGCGATCTCCGACATGGAGCACGCGTATGCCCTCGGCAAGGAATTCCTGCTGACCTCGAGCCCCGAGATCAAGCCCCTGATCGACAAGATGGACGGGCAAGGAATAGGTCGCTGCTTCCTCTCCAGCCTCCCGCCCCTGAGTTGCTCTCAGTGTCTGGCGACAGGACCAAGAGGCCGCGCGCGGGGACAGAAGAATGGTACCTCTTTGAGATCTTGGAGGCGCTGCTCTCCCTCAGGAAGAAGATCAAACTGCGCAAGATGGAAGCGGCAAGAAATCTCCCTTCCTTCAGGTGACCTCCACCCTCCATGACCTCGTGACCTTTGCCGTGAAGGATCCTTCTCGTATGCGCGGAGACGTTCGAGGACTATCGGGAGGACGTGAGATTGAAGCTCCTCCGGGCCGGCTGCACGCAAGTCAGTCCCATGTCCTCTCCTCCTCCCCGCGTCACTCGGTCGCAGGTCGACATCTTCCTGGCGCACCTTCGCAACCCTTCACTGGAGCAGCTGCTCACCTACCACAGGTGCTCCTCCCTCCCGCCTCCTGTCCCTCATGCCCCTGCTCAGCGTCCTCCTCTGGTCCAACGCCGACTTTCACGACCCCGAGGCTCTCGGCGACGTCCTGGCAGACGCTGTGGAGGGAGGAGTCGGCATCGTCGTCGGTGCCTACGCACTCAACGATGGGGAGGGGTACCTCTCTCACCTGCTCTACGAGCGCAGGAGGGTCATGACGGGCTGAGCAGGAGGATGTGCGTGTCCGGGCGACTTTTGCAGTTCATGCCATGCCATGCCGGGAGAGTGTCAGGTGGGCAAGAGCTGACGCTGCGCCGTTGTGAAGCTCAGCTCGCGCGGTTCCCCAAGTGCGGGGAGATGCTGGAAGGCGTGAGAAGCTTCTCGGGGGGCGAGGAGAGCATGTGAGTCTGCTCGGCTGCGAGGAGGAGAGTAACGTTGCGCAGGCATCAGTCCCTCGAGAAGAAGGTTGGCATGGACTGCAGCGTCTTGGTGGCCGAGTGGAGCTCCGGAGCTCCTCTGGTACCCTCCCCCCTCCGACCTGCACCCCTGCTCGAGTGACCTCAGGCGTGCAGGTGCTGGTGAGCCTGCCCGAGGGGAAGAGGAAGGGGAAGGTAATTGGAGGAGGGAGGAGGGAGGAGGGAAGTTGAAACTTGTTCAGGTGGTGGTGTGGAACTGCCGGCCGGGCTCGTCGGACGCGAGCTTCTATGGGTGGCGGGTGAAGACAGACGGAGCTCGGCTCATGTTCAACATGCTCAAGTTCGCTACGGCCACTCACACAGACTCGAAGTTTGTTGAAGCAGATTAGAATACATGAGCAGGGAGAGCGAGCGCGAAGGGCATGGGAGGAGGGGAGAAGAAGCAAAGGAGGAGGGGTGGCAATAGAGGAGGAGGAGGAGGAGGAGGAGGAGGTAGTGGTGGTGGAGAGAGGGAGGAAGGGAGGTTTGCAGTCAAGGGTCTTCATGCGCTCTCCTCCAAAAACTGCATCCTTGCCTCGGGGAACAACGCGCGTCTGCCAGGGTTTGTCAGAGAAGGAGGAAGAGGAGGAGAGAACCTGACCTCATGCGTGTGCTCCCTGCTGTTCGATTGCATTCTCGCAGCATTTCACATGCTTCCTCCTCACTGAGAGCGTAACAGCCTGCTCTCCTGTCAGCGCTCCTCCTCCTCTTGCCGCCCTCACCTGTCCAGATGGGTCGGACAGGACGAGTTGGATTTTCCAGCCCCATGGTCTTGCTCGCCATGGCAGGCCCGAAGATTCCTGGAGCAAGAGGAAGAGAATGAGAGATGGCAGCTAGGGAAGGAGGGAGGGAAGGAGGGAGGGAGGGAGGGAGGGAGGGAGGGAGGTAGAGGAGGGAGGGAGGGAGGGAGAGGAGGGAGGGAGAGGGAGGGAACGGGAGGAAGTGAAACCTGTTTGGAGCTGGTGCACCTTTTGCTGATCATACTGCGATACTGAAATGAGAGAGAGAGGACAAAGAAGCTTCTGAATAGCGAAGCAGCAAATGCAACCCAGCATGTGAGAGCAGGAGACGAGAAGGGCTGGAAGCAGCAAGAGGAGAGGACGCCTCCGGTGAAGGAAAGAAAACAAGGAGAGAGAAGGTACAGGAAAGGCAGCAACGTGCATGGGCTGCAAGCATGGAGGGGAGGAGATGTGGGGCAAGACTCACTTCTCCGTTTGCGAACCAGTCGCTCATGGCGTCTCGAAACAACATGACCTGCTGGCTTCTCAGCCATCTACCTCCGACGTCCCTCCTTCAACCTGCATGAGCTTGTCTTTCCAGATGGAAACCTGAAATGAAATGAGTCTTGCAACAATCCTGCGCCACTGCCAACATCACCACCACCACCACCACCTCCTCCTCCTCCTCCTCCTCCTCCTCCTCCTCCTCCTCCTCCTCCAACTGACCTGCGCGTCATAGTGCTGGGAAGCCAGAATGTATTCCTTTCGTTTGAGTTTGAGACGCTGGTAGCGGAAGTGAGCAGTGAGACAGACTTGTTGGATGTCTGTAACCTTGCGAATGAAGTCTTCTTTGACCTCCCTGTGGAACGAAATAAGCGATCAGATAATGATTACGATGGTGTAGCCAAAGGTTGAGAAGAGAAGTGGAAGAGTGAATCGACGATGAGAATCGTCATGATCAAACACTGAAAACAGGAAAATAGGAACAAGCAAGCAAGATACGAGGAAATAGCATGAAAGCCATCCAGTACAAACAAGTGCTGCTTGTTCAATCTTTCGCACCTTTCGATCTTCAACGATTTCACCTCCGAGGACTTGGGATGCTCGAATTTTACCCCTGGGTTGAAGAGCTCATGTGCCTGATCGATGTACAAAGTCAGTGGGGGCTGAATCGATGGCTGCAGCAGGACAAGAAGACAAGGACGCGGAGGAGTGGGAGAATTGAAAAGAAGTGAGGAGACCAGCACAGGGGCTAAGGGAGGGGAGGAGGTGGTGGCGGCGGTGGTGGCGTTGGTGGTGGTGGAGGAGGAGCCTCAGAAGCAGGAGAAGGAAGGGCTAGGTTGGGGGAGGGGGGAAGGGGGTGGTGTGGAGGAAGAAGAGAAGTGAAGAGAAGAGGAGGAAGACAAGGACAAAGAGGACAAGGAGAAAGAAGAAAGGAGGGGAGGAAAGAGGATGAGGAAGCAGAGGAGAGGTGGAGGTGGAGTTGGAGGCTACAGATTTCAGAGTCCGGATGATGAAGTTCTTCTCGTACAAGTCGACGCAGTGCAAGTGAAGCCTCCTGGTCTCCCTGCCATGTTTGCCCATCAGCCCTACACGTTCCATGGCCTGACCTTGCGCTGCGTCACCGAGTCGACTCAAGAAATTCCTTCATGGCCCTTTGAATCTTCCTCACCCTCTGCAGGTATCGCCGCACCTGCCGCTCCCCTCACGACCAACTTTGTGACGAGTTTCAAGCTCGTCCACCTGCAGGCAGAAGCCGCGAGATCGCTTGACCTCCTGAGCAGAGTGCGAGAGAGGGCAGGGCCATAACGTCAGGTTGTCATGGTAGCGATCAGCATCGTCCAATCAATCAGTCATCATCATCATCATCATCATCATCATCATCATCATCATCATCATCATCATCATCATCATCATCATCATCATCATCATCATCATAATGATAATAATAATCCCCAGGGTGAATGTAGATTTCTGCTGCTGCAAGTACCTGCAAGAATGCAGATATGATGTCCATGTTCTGCAGACAGCAACTCAAAATCACATGACATAGTTCAAACGTCACAAGTACCATCGTGCGAAGCTTCTGCCATCTTTTCGATAAGATGCATCGGTAGAGCCACCGCTGGACTCTGCCAGCACGCTTCAACCCCTCTTGACTTGTGCGAAAATGCACGTTACCTCTGCTTCGCCACTCTCCTCTCTCTCCATCGAAATTTTGACCTGCAGCTAGCATTCACTAGACCCCCTCAGATGTTCCTCGTCGTATTCCTCATCAATCTTTGAATCATCCTGGCGCTCCGACATTGCTGCATGCAGGCTCTTTGAGAATTCGGTCAAGACCATGACCCGGCCTTACCAGAATCGAGATCGCTTTTCGTATCCTGAAGATGTTCGAGAAGATTTCTGACAGCCATTCACTGCCCACTCGACAAGCAACAGTCAACGAGCGTACTGATTGAGCGAGTGGAGGTCAAGACTGTAAGCCAAGTCTTCTTCAGCTTGATCAACTCCTGCACTACAGTCACAGCCCTGCCCTCTCGCATCAAACTAAAAGTTCCCATGCCTTTTCTCTGCTCTTGTTCCTCAACATCTGCTTGCGTTTTTCCTGCTCATCGCATGAGAGGAGCGAGCAAACCAGTCGACAATCAGAAAGCCCATCATCACCTCAGCAGACATCTCTCCTTCCGACTTCAACAACTTCTTCAATGCGCTTTCCCTCACTGAAGCCTCCTGCTGCACCCTCCGCACGATACTCATCCTACCGTACCATCTTGTCACCACCGGAACGTCAGGTCGACATGTGGGAGGGTCTCACTTGCAGGAAGCATCTCTGTTGATCGCCTGACTGATGAGCTTCTCTCTCATGATCGATGGAACCTGTCGAGACAGGTCAGGCTCAGGTCAGCACAGGCAGGGCGAACCTTCGAGACCACACCAACGGTCTTGTTCACCTCTGGCCAGTAGCAGCTATCGTACATCATCTCCTCCTTGTCGAGCTCCAGCATGTCGCGCAAGCCTTGGTTCAGCTTCTGTATCAACATCTTCGTCTATCCCAACCAAGAAAGTCAATGGCCGGCCGCAGGGACCACCCGCCAACATGTCAAATCAACTCACATCCCGCAAGCACGATCGCGAGTCCGCAAAGTACTCCGAGCAATCGGTCTCAGGGCTTTTCAGGATGACGGAGTGGAGCCGAATGTGCTGATCGAGAGATGTCACAACAGAGCAAGACGTTGAGCAGTTTGCAAGGACCTCTCTTTTCAGCTGCAGGTTGACTGAAGAAAGGTTGCGCAAACTGGACCTGAGCTGCGAATGTTGTCAAGTCAAGGCCCATCGGCTGCGATCTTTCATCCTGTCTCATCTCACCAGTGTCGACATTGCTTCTTGGTCTTCCTCCTTCAGCTCCCGAAATGTTCTCGCGGTCTTCATGGGTTGAGTCCACTTTTGAGACATCGAAGCACGAAAATCATTCGAACTGACCGTCCGAAGTCGTTAAGTTGACGTGACCAGGAAACGTACAGGTTACCTTGTCTGCGACTCGAACGAAGTGTCTGCCGATACAAGCCTCTGCATTTTCGCGACGTTCACGCCCCTGGGAGTGATTAAGGATTCTAAACTGATGGATTTGTTACGATTCAGTCCATGAAGTTTCAGTTTAGGCAGGAATGGCTCCTGACTGCGGGGGTGGTTGGATTCTTTCCTCGCGTGGGCCTCAAACAAATTCTTGGCCTTTTCAAACGTCTTCTCTCGGTTTTCCTGCTCCAACAAGTGCATTCTCCTCACAGCATCGCCCCAGAAATGCTCAGATATTTCATCCTGTGAATGCTTGCTGCCCAGGAGGGGCCACATGTAGCCCTCGTCGCCTTGATCCGGAGAATCTTCTCCCTCCTCTGAGACTCGGGCTGCACTTTGTGCCTTCACTCGCTCAGGGCTGGCGATCCTCCTCTTCAGCGGACTAGCATGAAGGTCAACAGCTCGGCTGATAAGAGCTGCTTCAATCCTTGACTTGGGGCTCTTCGCTCCATTGGATCTCGAGCTCATGCTGCCATGCTCGCTTGCTCGAGCACTCTTCTCTCTGCCATGGTCCTCTCCTCCATTCCCTGCTCCTTGGGGCCTCCTGGCTGCGCCGCCGCCACCGTCGCTCACCGAATCTTCGGACCCCTGCGACATCAACTGAGCATTCCGAGTCAACCAGCAGTGTCAACTACCGGAAGGTGGGTGAGGGTACTCAAATCAACGAGAGTACCCGACATGGAAAAAGGTGGGGGTACTGCAGAGTAAACTTGGGGGTATGAGGGTTTACAATCAACCATATGAGTGGTATAAAATGGTAGGTGGGGTACGAGGCTGTCTCATCCGGTCAATTCTGCCCCCTTCGCTCCGGGCAGTTAAGGTTTTAGGGTTTCTAAAAGGGTTCAACGGTCAGGCCGCAGTATACTGAGTCACTGAGGGTTCCGACCGCACCGGATGACTCAGTGATGGCCGCAATGGCGTGACCGGGTGGCACACTGAGCCTCGGAGTGCCAGCGGCTCAGTGCCCGGCGCAAGCCGCTGGCCAGGCTAGGACCGTGACCGACGCCCCTGCCCCCGGACTGCGGGGTTCAATGATTCCGATGATCTGAGTCAAGGGCCGGGCCTTCTCTCTGGCCGGGCCTTGAACTTGACCAGCCGCCCGGCCGCCGGACGGAGTCCGAGATGATGCATCGCTCTGACTCGTGATTCAGTGTGACTCAGTTCTCTTCAGGCTCGGCCGCCACCGTCGGCGGGGCTGGGCCCTTACCGGGCCCCGTCATAACAATATGGCCGGCCCGTTCGATCGGCGCCGGGCCCGGCGGGCCCAGCCCGGGAGCGGCCCTCCGACCAGCCGGGGTCGGAGCCTCCGAGTGCCCGGTAGAGAGCCCCGCGCCCCGCGCCCCCCCCCCCCCCCCGGCCCGGGCCTCCGTCGCATGATCCGACTCCCGTCATCGGACTCCGGGACTCATGTGCCATCGCCGCGTCATCGAACAGCTCAGCGGCTGGTAACCTACGGCGGGAACTTGACTCAGCAGTCTGGACGCACTCGGGAAGCAGTTCGGAAGTCGCCGCCAAAGGTGGGGATGAGGGCCATGATCTGTGCTTGATCAGGAAATGGCGCGAGATTCAAGGCTTGTCATGACAGCATTGGCGATTCTGTTGGGAGGAGCCGGGGGATCAGGAGGAGGAGGAGGAGGATCAGGAGGAGGATCAGGAGGAGGAGGAGGAGAGGCAGACCTGAACTATGCCCCTCTGTCCTATGCCTTCCCGGACTTTGAATCAACGATGGGGAATCGGAAGATGCAGTGGGGTTGGTGGTTCGAAGATGACGAGGACTTCTGTTGGAAGACGATGCGAGGGTTGTACGAGGAGAACGTGAGGAAGCGAATGAGCATGCAGTCACCAGTGGGGGGTGAAAGCCCCGGATCCCCCAGCAAGGAGACAGCCAGTCCCCGAATCCCAAGAATCATCCACCAGGTAGCCTCAGCCTCCATCTTGACATGCGTTTCCTCCCGGTCCAAGAGAGTCTTACGGTTGTTGTGACAAGATTTGGTTGGGGGGAAACATTCCAGAGCAGTTCCTGGCATGGCGCAATACCTGGATCGATCTCCATCCAGAATGGCAGCACATCCTCTGGACGGAGGAGGACGTAGAGGAGCTCGCAATGCTGAACCCCGAGGCCTACAAGAACGCTCCCAACCTGGGAGCGAAGTCGGATCTGCTGCGCCTGGAGGTGAGAGGGGCGATGACGTCAATCTCCTCCTCCTGACCTGCTGCACGTGGGTGGCAGGTGGTCTGGAGGTTCGGGGGTCTTTACATCGACATCGACTTCGAGTGCCTCAAGGTGACGAGCACGCGGGCGAAGCGCCACTGAGGCGCCGCAGAGTTTCGACGTGCTGCACGACCACCTGGACTTCTATGCTGGACTGAGCAATGTGGGGGCCATGGAGATAAGCAACGGTATCTTCGCTGCAAGGTGACGGGAAGGGGAACGTGCGCAGTTGGTCGTGAGCTGGGACGTGCACAGGAAGAAGCATCCCATCCTTAAGAAGCTGCTCATGGATCAGGATAAGAAACTGCCAGCTATCGGTAACTTGCTGCAATTTCGTTTCTTCCTCCTCGTCCTGCTAGTGCTCCTCGTCCTCGTGCTCGTCCTCGTGCTCGTCCTCGTGCTCCTCTTCATCCTCCTCGTCACCATTCTTGCCGTGGTCCTGGTCCTCCTCCTGCTTCTTGACTTCACGCGGGAGATGCTACCGAAACCACCGAGGGTTTCTTATGCTGCTAGGGATGTTGTGATGACTGTCGTTGAACGCAGGAGCAGCAGCAAGGTTGAACTGGGTGGGCATGCCAACTATCACTGCGAGGTTCCTGTGCTTCACCATCCTGGTGTCCCTCCCTCAAACAAGTTGCTGATGTCTCTGCCAGTGGCCCAGGGCGTTTCACGCGCGTCTTTGCTCGGGCGATGCGAGAGATAGAGGCGAAGCACTCTCAGTCAGAGGAGGAGGGGGATGAAGATTATGGCTTCGTTGCGGTCCTGCCGATCGATTTCTTCTTTGCCCTTCCCAACAGTCTGTGGCACATCTCATCTGTTCCTCCCTGAACCTCTCCTGCTGCAGGCGTGATCTCGGCGGACTTGTCGACCAGAAAGAGGTGAGGATCGCTGGCAGGCAGCAACAAGATTGTGACGACGAAGCAGGATGACGGAAGAGGCGTTGAAGCCTTGCTCCTTTGCGATCCACCATTGGGCAGGAAGCTGGCTGAAAGTGCAGGTGATGGAGAGGAGGAGGACAAGGGCCTGCTGACAGATAATCAGTACGGTCTGCCTGCGTGGAGTAGCGAAAAGGACGAAAGGTAACGGCAGGAAGTCTTCCATTCTTGCAAGTACTCACGTTCTTGAAAGGGAGGAAGAGCTCTGAAGCTTGTAAGACGCAGTTGTAATGAAGTGATGAGGCTGATGATGGTAGTGGGGAGGAGGAGGCAAGGCGCAGAACATAAGATGAGAGTGAGTGAGTGAGTGAGTGAGTGAGTGAGTGAGGAACGAAGGGAAGGAGGGAGGGAAGGACGAAAGGAAGAGGGGAGGGAGATACACTTCAGTTCTCAGCAATTCATCATTCATTCTCAACGATCCATTTCAGCGGAAGATTGAATAATCACATAGAACTCCTAAAACTCAAACCCAACCCATCAGCCCCTCCATCGTCTACTCTTTCAACATCTGCTCGTCTGGATTTCTCCTCCTCTCTCATTCTTCAGTAGCTCACGCGAGCGCAACGTCCGTTCCTGTTCACATAGCCAGCCCTGCCTGTCGTGTCAGCGGCTCTCAACTGATCACATCAGCTGCTGACCTGCACGTGCACATCTCTCCATCAAACTCAGCGCCGATGCCAAACTCCTGCTGGCAGAGGCGGTTGTAGTTCACCTGCCAACCTACGTGAGCAAGGCCCATCGCTCTTCTCTCCTCCAACCTCGTCGTTCTGAACCGCCTTGGTCGCCTGCTTGCGCCAGGCTGAGTTCATGGCGTCGACACCGCGAGCACCTGGGGAGGGTCAGGAACTTCTCCAGCAAGGGAGAACTCGAAGTACCACTGTAGACGGCTGCCTCGTCGTATGAGCGATGCTTGGTAGGAGCTCGCGCCTGAGGAAACGTGAGAAGATGAGCACGAAGGAGACGGTGAGGAAGTAGACTAGGAACAAGCAGGCGAGTAGAGAAATGGTCACACAGCTCACCTTTCTCTTTGGTTTTTCAACCGGCACGCAACGTCCGTTGACGTTCCTGAAACCTAGAGAGCCGTCACATGACCAACCTCAGCACGGCAAGCACTTTGACCAGGGCGGCAGTCGCACATCTCTCCATCGAATTCTGCTCCTGCCCCGTACGCCATCTTGCACTGCCATAATGACTTCAGAGATACACCATCCAAGGAATCATCATCATCATCATCATCATCATCATCAGCAGCAGCAGCAGCAGCAACAGCAACACCCTCCCCCTAGAACCGTACCTGAGCATCCATACCCTCGGCCTCGTGATGAGCACCCTGAGGGAGGCCAGCAGCAAAGGAGAGGAAGTCTTCAACTGTACGATCACCCTTGTAGTCCTTCACCATCCTTCCCTGCTCATCGTCAGTTCCCTCGATGATGAAGAGGTAGGCAACAGAGGAAGTGGACAACGATCAAGAGAGGTAGCAAGAGCAAAGAAGGAGGTGATGGGGATGTGGTTGGATAAACTCACTCCACTGTACAGGCGGATGGTCGGGAATCCTCGGATTCCCTCATGTTTCACGATGTTGCTGTAATGATCTCCATCCAACATAGCAAACTGAACCTCCTGGTAGCCGCCTGCAAGCCCCTAACCCCCTTGTCTCTTTCTCCCCTCCGCGCTATCCCTTACCTGGTGGCAGGCCCTGCTGAGCACGATGGTAGTCGGCCATCGCTGCAGTCTGTGCGTACTCAAGTGCCGCCTGCTCGTATGCGGGTTTGGCTTGCATGCAGTGCGAACACCACGGCGCGTAGAACATCACGATCCATGTTCCTCCCTCCTGAAGCATCTGCAGGAACGTCGCGTCCGACAACTCCACAACAGCTCCTGCTTCCATGTAGCTGCACGAAGCCTGAGCCCTGTACAGAATGACGTCAGAGCGAGCGATCGAGAGAGCGGACGAGGAGGAGGGAGGAAGGGGAGGAAGGAGGTTGAGAGGAGGTCCTCACTGGTGTCCGATGCCATAAGTGTCGACGACACATCTTCCCCCATCGTTGATGAAGCCCTGCTTGCAACGGCAAGCATCTACTCCATCGAACTCTGCGTTGGGACCATACTGCTGACGGCACCTGTTTCAATCCGTCAAGGGTTCACCAGGAGGAGGTAGCGGTAGTTCGATTGACACGATACGATTGTTGTCCTTTCGCAAGTTCATCGACCATGAGCATTCATCGCTGCATCATCGATGGCAGTATGCATTGCGCTAACACGTTATCAGGGCGCTAACGCATGCTAAACGGAGCATAATTGTTGCACAACATGGAATGTAACGTCGGCAATGGGCTAATACCAACGCACCTAGTAGGTTGTGCGAATATGAACATACAGCACATCTCATTTTCACCATCAATCATTGTCATCGTCATCAAGAAATATAGGGATCTCTCTCTTGCAACTTACTGATGGTCCAATGACATCTCAAGCTGAACCTGTCGTAAGGCACCCAAATATTCCGCCGCGCTGATTCGACCATCGCCGTTGGTGTCGTAGTTCAAGAGACCGTAAAGCGCAGGAGGAAGCTCGTGAGCATCCAGATGTCCATCACCTATATATCATCACCATAATTGCATTTATCCAGTTCACTACTCTCATGCTATTCATCCTCATCCTCATCCCCATCCCCATCCCCATCCACATCCACATCCCCAATCACCGCTGATTTCACCACAACGACACATCCAGCTATGACCAACTCCTCACTCGCAGTGATCATCCTCTCACTTGTCATTTGGCAACACGCACGAACAAGTCATACCATCTTGATCGAGCTGCAAGAACAAGCGCACACTGTCATCCAGAGAGCTGTCGCCTCCTGGCCTTGCAACCGCATTGCCAGCTCCTCCTCCTCCATACATCCCAGCGCCACCGGCACCGGCACCGCCACCATATCCGCCATATCCTCCTCGTCCATACTGAGCTATACAAAGAGGGAGGAAGGCACAGGCCAGCAGACTGAGGTGGAAACGCCTGCCTGTCATCCTGCTCGAACTGGGAAAAGATGTCAGAAGGGGACGCCAGTTGGTCCGTGCAGCCCATGCGGGGACAAGGTCATGACAGCATGGAGCGATGCCATGGAAGCAACGAGAGTCAACAGACGAATGCGTGAACAGACGATAGAGACCAACCGAGACATCTCGTGACACGAGCGTTCGAGATGGTTCAACACAACAGCATCTTCCTCTCAATCCTCTCAATCACCATAACTCCTCCAATACATTCACAGCCAGGAACAGTAGCAGAATGGAAACACAGATCAAACTGAGACCAAGAACGCTATCGAGATTCCGTGTCAAGCAAGAAATCCTGTTACAGAAGCAATTTCTTTGTTACTTCGATCTTTCCTCGCTGCTACCTACGACAATCAGACCATCTCGTCCTGAATGATCCATAGCCATCATCAAGAAAGAACTCATTTGCTGTCATGGGCATGGTTTAATACTCCTCTCTATCGCCATAGTCACTACCTCTCTTCCCTCCTCTGCTCAACCCCTCCCTGCATTGCTGAGGCGGCCCCCTGCCTTCTTTCATCCCACCCCAACAACCCCACCTACCTATCGCTCGCCATACCCCAGCTTGTCTGGTGTGCCAACAACCCCGAAATTTGATGACCCACCGTACTATTTCCAAATGTCAATTAGTAAAAGTACCCGATATATTCCAACTGTGAAATGCACCCACCCTACAGATGACAAATTCCACATAACCCCACCGTCTCAAAACTGGGGCAAAAGATGGTGGGGGTATATGAATTTGTTCAAAGAAGGGGTAGTCTAATAATTTGGAGGGGTGGGAGTGGGGTGGGAACGTGCCGCCTCTTGACTATAGGGGTTTACAAGCAGAATAATCAGTGCTTTCACAAATGGGATCATAAAAATTACATGATTCCACTCAATTTCTAAACTTACTGGAAGAACTTTGATAAAAATTAGCAACCTGACAGGTCCAATTAGCGACCACCCCTATTTCAGAGGACTTTGGGGGGTCGTATTGAGAATATTGACTATAAGCATTGCGAAGGAAAACAGTTACAGACAGGCTTGCAAATAACGACTCAACGGTCCATAACTGTCTTTACCTTTTTTTTTTCACCTCGTGCGTGGAGGAAAGCCGTCGCCGCCATGCCGCGCAAGTACACCAACTGTGAGTGCAGGACCGAAATGCTCGCTCCTCTCCATATTGCCTTCGTTCTCCTCTACGTCTTCACACACTTCAATGATGCCTTGAACTTTTGAGCTCGAAAAACTCAAATCTCGATGATTGCATGCGTGTGTGAGGTTGCACGAGAGTTGGCTGCGTCATGGTGTCTTTTGGAATCTCCCTGCTCCTGGTCCGATCTATGACGTTCTACTGACTTGTCTTGTGAAGATTCGAAGACTTCGAAGACTCCAAGGCGTCCCTTCGAGAAGGAGCGTCTTGACAGTGAGATGAAAATCGTTGGTGAGTTCGGCCTCAAGAACAAGCGTGAGGTTTGGCGCGTTCAGCTCCTCCTCGCCAAGATGCGTGCCAACGCTCGTGAGCTGCTCACTCTTGACGAGAAGAACCCCAAGCGTATCTTCGAAGGACAGGCTCTCCTCAGAAGATGCGTTCGCCTCGGTCTCTTGGAGGAGGACAAGAAAGAGTTGGATTACGTTCTCGCCATCAAAGTGTCGGACATCATGTCCCGTCGCCTCCAGACTCTTGTCTTCAAGCAGAACCTTGCCAAGTCCCTTCACCATGCTCGTGTACTCATCCGCCAGAGACACATCCGGTAAGACCTCTCTCTGGTTGCAATGTACTCCTTGTGCGACTTGACCATTTGTTCTTGCTCTCTCTGTATCTTCTGTACCTCACGAGTTGGTGATGCTTCTTGCACTGTTACTGATTTCATTTTCAGTGTCGGCCGCCAGATGGTCAACATCCCATCCTTCCTCGTTCGTGTCGAGCAGGAGAAGCATATTGAGTTTGCCCTCACCTCTCCCCATGGAGGAGGACGCCCTGGCCGTGTAAAGAGGAAGAACGCAGGAGGTGGCGGTGATGCTGCCGAGGACGAGGAGTAGATTTTAGAGTAGTTTTTCATTATTGAGTTGCATGGAAAGTGCGAAAATACGACCGTGCTTTGCAGACCTCTGGAAGGGGAACTTTGGGCGAGCTTACTGACTGTCCGTTGACATGTAGAGCTTGTTGGTTTAATTCCTTAGTCTTGAGAAACATCAAAATATCCTTTCCCTCTATTGACACGCAGACGTTTGTTGGATGGTAGTGCATCATCGCTACTTCAACTCGCAAGATCATCAACCCAGATGTCACAACCTGGTATACAACGCACGATAGATACTCTCTCCACGGCTCATGCATGAGCCCTCCCTCTCAGTAGCGATGGGAAGCGGGCTCTCGATCCACTTCCCGTCCCAGTTGTCGAAGAGAGGGGAAGCATCCATGATCTCAATCATGCTCTCTGCACATTCCTTCACGTCGGACATGACGAAGAACTGCGCACCCTGCGGCATCATCTCGCCAAGCTATCAAGCCCAAGTCACTTTGAGGAGAGAAGGGTAGGAGGCACCTGTTGAACCAGCTCAGGTTGAAGGAGGCGTCGCTTCTGGTGTCGCTTCTTGAACCATGGGTCGGGCATCAGTACGCTCACCATCCGAATCTTCCCCGGGTAACTGCTCAGCAAGCTCTCGACTGAAACATTGATGTTGCCGTACACGAAGCAACAGTTTCTCCTCCCTTCCTCCCTCGTCCATCGATCTGCTCGAGCCACCAGGAGCTCTCGGATCTCGACACCTGCATCAGCGCTGAGCATGCCTCCCCTCCGGCCCTTGGCCTTGACTCACCCAAGTAGTTCATGTCCTTGTTCATGCCTGCGAGCTCGAAAAGCAGCCTCCCCTTGCCGCACCCAAGGTCGATGTGCAGATCCTGCTCAGGATGCTCGTATACTTCCTTCCAATCCGGTGCCTTGATCGGCGTCCTGAAGTGCGGGCCCAAAGGATTGACGTGCTGTCGTACCTTGCCCAGCCCGGACTCGCCTGCTGCGATTTTTGCTAGGCGCTGTTCTCGTCTGGCGTGAAATTCTGCTCTTTGTCGCCTTAAAATCTCGATCCTCGAAAATTCTTCATCTCCGCCCAAGTCAGAAACGTTCCGTCGCTGTACATGTGCATCAGAGTTCGAAATTGCTTCATCCTCCCCTTCCTGGCGATCTCCCTCGTACTCGGCAGCACTGGTTGAAGGGTGTCCCCAGAAGATCATACGGGCTGTAGGGAGAGCATTCCCCAAGACACTTCTACCCCAACTCCATGAGAAGCCGCCCCTGAAAATCGCACTCAGTGGGAGACTTCGAGGAGGTGGACACATCTGCGACTTTCATGCGCAAATGAACACAGAGGAGAGGGCAACGAGAACCACGAGAAACCGATCTCTTACATTTCTCTATAATACCCCTTTGAACATCATTCTAGCTCAGACAACACTCACCGTAGGAACAATCTCGAGCTGTGCAACGGGATCGCTCGGCCTCGGGAACAGGCCCTGGCGCAGCTGGTTGTTCTCTGCTTGCAGCCCTCCTGGGGCATGGGGGGATGGAGGAAGCTGGATTGAGGTTGCGAGTTGAACATGCGATGAGGAAGGCGGCATGTGATCATGGCGCTCTGCATCGAGATCAAGCAGCATAGCGCAGGCGACGTCGCCAGGCCCACCATCGATTTCAGACCCAACCGGGATATCCGGGGTGGGGTAGTGCCGATTTGGTGGCCAGGTGGTGAATCTGCTTATTTGAGGGTAGGGTAGTACAATGTGTCTCACTTCATGGGTTATTTACTGGGGAAATCATAGGGTGAACAAAATTCAGAAGAGGAATAGGGGGTGATATCAATTTAGAGACTTGTGGGGGTGGCTTGTCTCCTTTCACAGGGGTGGGTAGTAGCAAGTGATATTTCATGTCCGCCTCGGTAGCGGTTTCACGTGCGGGTTGTAGCGGCTATGTCGGAAAGTAGATAGTGTAGACAAGCCTGCTCCTGCTCCTGCTCCTGCTCCTGCTCCTCCTCCTCCTCCTCCTGCTCCTCCTGCTCCTCCTGCTCCTCCTGCTCCTCCTGCTCCTGCTCCTGCTCCTGCTCCTGCTCCTGCTCCTGCTCCTGCTCCTGCTCCTGCTCCTCCTTCTCCTCTCTCATTGCCCCCCTCCTCTCCCTCCTCACCCCACGTCCATCCTTATTTTTGCTCTTGTTTCCTCCCTTGGAGTTGAACAGAATAGAAGCTTTGAAAGCAGCTCAGGATGAAGTTATTGTACAGCCATCGAAGCTTGTTAGAGCCTCTGTCGAGAGGGAGGACGAGGAAGGACCGGGGTGTGTGTTAGCATGCTTTGCGGATTCCCCCGCACATTTAGAGCAGATGCAACGCAACAGCGCAAGCTTCAAGATCAAGTGTACAAAGCAAGTGGGGCGAAAGAACCTCAAGATAGAGAGCGAGAGGGTTTCCTTCCGAGGAGCGCAAGATCAGGATAAGAAACCCTACAAGTACGTGGTAGGCATGTACGACCCTGAGAAAGATAGACTTGTCATCGTGGATCCCGGAGACGACATGGCAAAGGTGATTGCTCTGAAAAAGCGAGTCAAAGGCTTGAAGGACAATACCATCGCCGTGGACTTCTCCAAGGAACAGGCAAGAGACGCTCTTGTGGATGGATTCGGCAGCAAGAGAGTGAAAGCAGTCCATCGCAAGCGGAAGGGACAGGAAACGGAACGAGAGGAACAAGATGCTCTGGATTCTGTGGAGAAGGAGCTCCGAGTGAAGAAGGAGGAAACAGACGCGGCAAAGAAGCTTGCGGGTTTGGAGGTGGACGCGGACAAGGCGAATGGGCCAAACGAGCTTGCCCCTCCCTGCAACCTTGCTGCAGAGACCGTCTCAGATGTTTACAAGAGGAAAGATTTGTTAGATGGTGAAGAGTGGGAGAGTATCGTTCCAGGGCAGTTCTTTGCAATTGCACAGGATCCCGAATCTGCCAAGCAGCTCCCGGCGTTCATCCGCAGACACATCAACCTTGCCGACTCATACCCGGACAAGAAGGACAAGAAGAGGGTTGCGAAGCTCCTCTCTTACGTTTCATTCTTGGTCTTCTTCCACAACCTTCCGAACAGATTCAGGAAATCTCCAGAGGTCCTCAAGAAGGAGCTGGGGATTCCGTTGGCACTCGGCGTCCACTTTCTCAAGCTGTTTGCTGAATCTGTTGGGAATTCCTACACGAAGCCTCAGGTCTGAATCGTGATCGCTCCTGTTTCGCCCTGACTTGCTTCAAGACCCAGAGAGATCGTCTGCTTCTCCACCTCGCTGTCGCCTGCTTGCTCGTGACAGAGTTTGAGATGGACTTCGACGACCTTGCAGCAGACCTGAAGCTTCATCCTGACAAGTGCCGCACTGCTTGTTCGACCACCTCTCGCCGCTTACTTGCCCGCAGGTTGTCTGCCTACTTCAGAGAGGTTGGCGCAAAGATCAAGAAGGGAGCCAAACGAGGAAAGAACGACCCGGAGGAGAGCTTGAAGGTGTTCAATTACCATGCCAGCCTCACTCTTCCTCTCGTGTTTCCCAAACGATCGCGTGGGCCCAAGGGATGAACAGGACAGATACACCGTGGCTGACAGTTGCGGGTATGGGAAGGGATAGAAATGGGAAAGTTGTTCTTGTGTACATAGTCGCGGCCATCGCATATCAGGCAAGTTTTTCACGGTACACTTCAGAAATGCCGATATCCCGATCACCTAATTGAAGTTGAATTTGCTCGCGGCGGCGGCCCTCGCCGTAACTTGGGCCAGTGACCCGCCGCGGCCGCCGGGCGGGGCGGTCATCATGGCATGCCGCCGGGCGGTGGAAGCCTGCCAGTCCGGTGACAGCGGCACGGTGCCGCAGGCCTCGGACATGCCATGATGGCCCCGTCCGAGGCATCATCGGATGACTCAGAGCGCCGGGCTCTGAGTCTCTCACAGGCACCGTCCCGGCGGGCTGCCGCAGTGCTGAGTGATTCGAGTCTCGGAGCTGGTGGTTGCGAGTCGAACTCAGTTAACTACCGCCGTACGGTACGGCTGCGAGTCCCGGCGGGCCGAGGCCAGCGGCCCGCTGCCGCAAACATGTGGCGGCCCAGAAAGTTTACAGCCGGGCGAACTCTGTGGAGAAAGAGGGCGATGATGCCGGTGGGAGCAGACCAAGTTCAAAAACCAACTTGAGCTTGCAAAGTTCAGGAGATGAGACATGGGGTGGGGTGGGTGATCAGTTGCAGACTAGGGTGGGGTATCAAAGTGTTGGTAGATACCGAACCCTCCTGATTCTAGGGTACTTCCAATTGACCTGTCATGATGAAAATGAGGGTGGGGGTCCTCTTAAAGGAAATGAAATCAAAGGGGGTGGTTGATTGGACACAAATGATAGGGTGGGTACTTGATTTGGGAGAGCAGGGGTGGGTCTCGATGCAATGGGGGCCGCTACTCCTGTTGTAACAAATCAAACACTTCTTTGCTAGGGTGTGGGTTCCCAGAAGAGGGTGGGGGTAACTACCCCTACCTTATCAAAGGGGTCATTTTGCTCTGTCATATTGACCAAGGGAAGGTCATGTTTGGAGTATTGGGTAGGGTAGGGAAATCAGGGGTGGGTGAAGTGTGTATCTTTGAAAGGTGGGGGCCATGATTGCCTTGATTCCAGGGGTATAAATACGTGTCTTAGGGGTAGGGTGATATCCAGCAGGGGTGCTTGACAAGTCATGGGAATAAAAGGCAAGCAGGAGGTAGGTGGGTGTTTTGACCAGGGTGGGGTAACTGTTTGGAGGAAAGAGAGGGGGTGGGGTAGGTTGAGGAGCAGATGCGGATCGGATCCTCACGTGATTGAGGAGGCGGCGACGTGGGGAGAGCAAGTGGGGGAGACGAAGAGACAGTAGGACAGCTATCAGATCTTGAAGGACAGGACGCTCTGAGCTGTTGAAACCCTCGTGACCAAGCTTGTTCGATTGCTGAGACCAAGTTTACCAGCATGATCTCTCGTGCAGCTCTGTTTGTGGTGCTCCTTGCACCCATCTCCGCCTCGGTGGGACCTTTTGAGCACCTCGCGTCCTCATGGCTCAGTGCCAAGGCACAGGTCCCTGCTCCCCAGCCAGTCAAGCAGACCAGTCTTGGTACCAGAATGGTTCTTGGTGCTCTTGGTGGAATGGGTGCTGCGACCGTTTGCCATCCCCTGGATGTTGTTCGTGTGCAGATGCAGATTGATGGAGGTGGCGGAACAGCCAAGGCATACAAGAACCCTCTCGATGCCACCATTCAGATTGTGAAGCGCAAAGGCTTCTTCAAGGGTCTCTACACTGGTATCGATGCTGCTTACTTGAGACAGTGGACGTATGGCTCTTGCAGAGTCGGAATTTATGCCTGGCTCCTGAACAAGTTCAGCAAGAAGGACGAGAAGGTCAGCTTTGAGAAGAAGCTTGTGATGGGATCAGTCGCTGGTGCCATCGGCTCGATGGCTGGTCTCCCCTCCGAGGTCTCCCTTGTTCGCATGTCTGCAGATTCCAAGCTTGCGCCTGAGCTGCAGAGGAACTACAAGAGCTGCCTCGACTGCATCGTTCGCATTGCCAAGGAAGAGGTTGGTTATGAGCTGCAGTGCCTGTTATTTCCCCCCTCCTGCTCCTCCTTCCTTGTTTTCCTCTCCTGATCTCGCTACTCTGCCGTTTCCTTCCTCAATCTTTGCTCGCCTGGTACTGATTCTTTCCAACCAACAGGGACCCTTGAAGCTCTGGTCCGGCGGCACCCCCACTGTCATTCGTGCTACTTTGTTGTCTGCCAGTGTTTTGGGATGCTACTCTGAATCCAAGGAGCAACTCCACAAGAAATTTCCTCAGATCTTCCCTGACAAGGACGGCATTCCTTTGATGTTCACTGGCACCATGTTTGCCAGCTTCGTCGCGAACTTGGTTTCTAACCCGTTCGATGTGGTCAAGTCTCGTGTTCAGAACATGCCCAAGCCTCTTCCAGGCCAGGAGGCCATGTACAAGAGTATGACTGACTGCTTTGTCAAGACCGTCAAGGTTGGATGAAAATTGCATCTTGTGTTTCTGTTTCGCTGAACATTCGAATTCTAGAGCGAGGGCTTCCCTGCACTCTACAAGGGATTCACCCCTGCCTTCTTGAAGGTATATTTCAACATTTATTAACAATTATCATGATCTTAGACTGAATGTGAACTTGTTTCAGCTTGCGCCGTACACCACGATTTCGCTTATTCTTACCGACAAGTTGAGCAAGGTGCATGATGCATTTGAATTTCAATTCCATTGCTTACATCTAAGCTACAGGCTCTCTTGGGCCAATCAGCGCTCTAAATTCTTGCAATTTAAATTCGATGATAGATTTGTGAGAGCAGGATTAATGAACATAAAAGCAATTCCCGAAAGTTTGAGTCTGAAACATTGGAGTCTGTCAAGGAGTATTTTCATGGAAGATATTCACCTTGTCCATTCAATTCATTCCGCTCTTGGCTGTACTGTTCACACTCACGACGGGCTAATGAATTGAAAGAGTCAGCAACAGATATCTGTAACGACACATCACGCATTGTAGCAGCTATACCATTTCTCGTTCTAGCATCTTGACCAGACGTTTTCCTCCTACAAGGTTCTCGTTGAAAGCCTCCATTGCCTTTATGCACGATCATTTCAAACATCGTTATCAAAAGTACATCGTACTTGAATGATCTCCTTCATCTTCTGTTTCTTCGCCTTCTTGAGATCCTGGGAAAAGCGTTCAGTCTAGCCCAGAAACTTTTGGAAAATACCTTCAGGTGTTGCAATGGAAAAGTAAAGTACTCCCTGTCCAAACACAAGTGAGATTCACAGTACAAGAGCTGCTGACGGCATGTATCACCCATATTTCTGCACGCACTGCTCGCACTGTGTGATGTCTTTGTTGATCTCTGTTAGTTCTGCTTCCAGCACAACCCAGTGCGCCTCCAATCTTGATAAAACGTTGACGAGGTCTGACTTAGCATCTGAAAAAGAGAACAAAGTGTCATTGTGGAAGGACCCATTGTTCATCAAGGAACGCTTGTCCCACCCATCACAGTCAACAGGAGGACACACAAACATGTCAGACATCTCTTGAAGACACAAACCAGGTAAGATAATCATGTACATGTATTGCAGCTCTCCCAACCTTGTTGTACACACCCTCTTTCCCCCGCCATGATCACCGCTCCCTCACCGTCCATTGCCGCAATCCGTTTTGAACTCTGGCGTGGTAACGACCCGAACCCCACCCTGTCTCCCATAGGCATCATCACCGGTGCTTGTCCATCAACACTTTATTGACCAAAAGTGTGATGGCGTGTAGGAGGGCTGAGCGGGGATGTGGGAGCCATTCTGAGCGGGGATGTGGTCCATTATCATCATCGGTTTTTTTTTTCGAGCGCCACGAGCGCACGCGCGAGCAGGAAAATGTCGGGCAAGGCAGGTCACCCCGCGTACTTCGATCCTCAGGATCAGAAGGCGTACATGAAGCAGCCTACTGTCTTCCAGAACAAGAAGGAGTTCCTCGGCAAGGCTGGCAGGAAGGCTGCTCGGTAAGCTCTTCTCCACTTGCCTGCGGTTTCTGGGGAGGCGACAGAAGAGGAGAGGGAAGTTGGTTTGTGGGTGTGTGCAGGGTTGGTAGGGGGTTTGAGCCACATTGCTAGTGTGAGGATGCCGTGTTATGAGAATGTGTATGTGATCGTGAGGAGTTCTGATGATGAACGGATGGTTGAGTCGACAACTTCGTCACCGTTGCGAAATTGAATGAAGTGTCGTGCGTGTTTGTTTTAGGCCTAGTCCGTATTCTGCTTTGAAAGTCTTACCAGAGCAGCATGTATCTTACCATGATTACTAGAATAGAACATATGTCTTGAATTTTTTTGTCTTTGGAGGGTAGCGAACACAGACTGTCATGTAGAAACCAATCGAGGGCTGGCACCGTGATGGTTAAGAGTACTGTCAACATGCAGCTGGTGCTCTCTGATGATATTCTTGTTGAGTCCTATGTGTTGGGGTAGTTGACCTCGTGGAAGAGTCTATTTCAGAGTCTTGTCCACCCAGCTCTGTTTCCGTTAGTCACCATGCTCTCGCAGCTTCGTCAAGTCGGTCGGCCTTGGCTTCAAGACTCCTCTGGAGGCCAAGGACGGAGTCTACATCGACAAGAAGTGCCCATGGGTCGGCAACGTCAGCATCCGTGGAAAGCTTCTCCGTGGAGTTGTCGTCTCTAACAAGATGAAGAGAACCATCGTTATCCGCCGTGATTATATGTGAGAAACAGGAGCCGAAGGCGGGTGCGGGGACTGATGTGGGAGCAGGCATTATATCAAGAAGTACAATAGATACGAGAAGCGCCACAAGAACGTTCCTGCTCACGTCTCACCGGCCTTCAAGTTGAACCCTGGGGATTCCGTTGTTGTTGGACAGTGCAGGTGAAGGACCATGACATGGAGCGGAAATAGTGCACTGACAGTGTTGTTTGATACAGGCCTCTCTCCAAGACTGTCAGGTTCAACGTTCTTCAGGTGAAGAGGAGACTTGTTGCTTCTGTTCAGCTGACGACGAGCAGGTTATCACTGAGGCTGCGGGAGGAAAGAAGTTTTCCAAGTTCTAAGTTACATTCGTTCTCTGTGAAGCAAAAATAAAAACGTCCAAAAGCGCATGTGGAGTCTCTGATTTACAATTGCTGGCGAAATAAAGTTTCTAACAGATGTTCTCATCTTCTTCCCTGCATCCTGGCTGAGAACAGCTGCTGCTGCAGGATCATAGCAAGCAGGAGAAGCGAGGCCAACAGGCCTCCTAGCACGTAATCCCAGTTCTCCAACAGCCAAGGGATCCAAACCTTCGATGCAGGCAGCCACAATCCATACCTGCAACAAGATCATTGGTTGGCATTGGAGATGTAGACAGACAAGTCGGGAGTATGCCATCACGAGTGTCGAGGAGAGCAACAACAGCAGGGAAAGAAGGGTGTCACCTTGGTCCGTATCTCTGAGAGAGCTTGTGGGAAAGGGTGTCGATCATTTCGATGGTCTCTTGCACAGTCATCTCCAACCATAACTTGGTGCGGCAGATCATGACCGGCCAGAGCGCATCCTGCAGGCCAGCCGTCAGGTCCGTCAGAATAAGATGTCGACCCTTCCTGTGAAGTTTCCACTGCCATGTCGTAGAAGCGCTTCGCAAGGTGCAGATCCTGCCATGGTCGTCAGACATTCTCGTGAACCAACAGCGTCAGAAACACCTTGGGCAACCCGATGCCATGCTCGTGCATGAATGCGAGGTTGAACATCGCCTAGCAGGTAAGGGTTCAGGAGGAGGCGCCCGTATGTACATGACGCTGACCTGTGCATTCCTCGCCTCACTAGCTGCGCGATAATGAGCGACAGCCTTGCGGAAGTTGATGGATGTGCCCATCCCGTAGTAGTAGTAGTCCCCTATCTTCAGCTCCGCGGCAGAATTTCCCTGCTGGGCTGATAGCTCGAACGCGTTGAGGGCCTTGCTCCTCTTGCCCGACGTGAGTCTCGTCTCCTCCTGCAGTGGCGTATCACTCGGGTCAGAAAAGATCGCCGTTGCCAAGTTGTGTCACACCAGGTCGTACAGGAAGGCAACGTTGGCCTGCGCTACTTCATAGCCAAGCTCCGATGCTTCCGAGTAGAGCAAGAAGGAAGGATCAATCTTCCCCATGCGATAAAGCTGCCCCTCCTGTCAGGCACAGACGAGCAGACCAACTCTCCCCACCTTGTATCCATTTTGAATTCTCAACCCCCAAGATCCTCTTTCAGCCACTGACTTGAGAAACTTCAAGAGAGGTCAGCGAACCAGGACAAGACAAACTCGGCTGATCACCTGGACCGCGTTCGGGCAAGATCTCGGCGTCCCGAATCCGTTCAAGTGCATCATGGCCAAATTGTACAATGCCAGCATGTGGCCTCTGTTGGCTGCCAGCGAGAAATAATAAAGTGCCTTCACATAATCCTTGCTAACTCCTTGTCCGCCCTGCGATAGAGAAACAAAACAACACAAATCAATTCACGAGGGATCCAACTGTCAGAGAGCAAGTCGTCTCCTACCACGTACAGAGCTCCTAGGTTGAACCTCGCTTCAAGATTCCCTTGCTCTGCAGCGTTAGAGAAGAGCTTCACGGCTTCGCTTGAGCTCTGAGGTAAGCCCATTCCATAAAGGTGCATGTAGCCCAGACCATTGATCGCAATCCCGTTTCCCTTCTCCGCTCCTTGCCTGGTAACAAGACGTTAATGATACTACAGCAGGCCGCGCAGAGACTACCTGAAGTATTTCAGAGCTGTTTCGTTGTTGGGCTCAACATGGATGCCCTGTACGTACATGTTCCCAATGTGGCCCAGAGCATTCGGGTCGCCTTGCTCTGCTGCCAGCTCGTACCTGCACAACTGGTCAAAAACTTTGAGGTCCACAGTGGCATACCCACCATCGGAGCGCCTCAGCATAGTTCTGTTCGATGCCTCGTGCCCCAAAGTAGTAGAGTTGGCCCAGAGCCACCTGTCGCCGTCACATTCGTATCAGATCTCCGGGATCGTGGCAGAGGTCAGAGGACGGGAGGCTAACCTGGGCTGCTGCATCCCCCCTGGCCGCGCTGTACTGATAGTAGTTCACAACGTCCTCATCAAGATCGACCGCACGCGTCTTCCCGCCAGCTGACACGCTCAGAGTCAGGCGCGTCAACCTCTCGAGAAATTCTTCCTCACCATCCTGTGCAAGTGGGTAGCGTTCCATCATGGGGGGGGGACGAAACTGCTGCACATCTCGGACCACAGCCTCTACAGCAGGTAGATAGTATTCCACTGCAGTCTGACAGTTCTTTGGCACCCCGACGCCATGCATGTGGCGGTATCCCATCGCAAGCTGAATCATCGGACGATCATGAAATGAAAAAAAAATACAACGTGACATGTACCTGTCCGAGATAATCCCCAGAAATAGAAGCAAAGTGATAATACAGTACAGCAAGCGCCTATACCAAGATATTACTACTAGCAGATGGCGCCGACAACAAGATCTGCCTGATTTTCCTCCACGCCGATTCCAGACGCGTACAACATGGCTAAATTGCGTTGTGCAGTGGGATCACCCTAAAAACAAAATCTGAATGAGTTGACTAACATCAACAGCATTTTGGATGCATCACATGTTCTGCTGAAGCATTGAAATGTGATATTGCTTTTTGCAGATCTGGCTCAACACCAAGTCCATGCTTGTACATTTCACCTAGTAGAGCCGTTGCTGCATGACTTCCAAGTTTTGCAGCTGCAGAGTATGCTTCGAGGGCCTTAGCATAATTGATTTTGGTTGCATCAATCCCGAAGCGATATTTCTCAGCTCTTCGTAGAAGTTCATTGATTTCCCTTTCCCTTGCAGACTCCACATTAACCATTTCCGGATCTTTCGCACCATCTTCAACTCCGACGTTTAACTTTCGCTTGTGAGGTGCAATATCGGTGATAAGCATGGAAATCGGATCATTCTTCGACGAAGAACTGCCCGTTTGAGCCTTTGGAGGCGTTGTGCCTGCCGAGGCCGTGGCTTGTTTGTTGCCTTCGTTTTTCATGTCCCCCTGCGCCTGCGATTCACCCTGAACCATCGTGCCCTTCTGGTCAACCGGAGACTTTGAAGTTTCACCATCCACTCTCGAGTTAGAACCCTTCTCATCATGGACAGCTTCATGTAACTCCGACTGATCAGCTAGCTTGTTCGGCGAAGCACTGCTCTGATGTACTTCTGGTGCAGGAATCGGCTGCTTCTCAGGCTGCCTCAGATTTGCTGGCTGGTCTCCCTTTCCCGTGGGTCTTGAAGCGTCTCCTGCTCGCACGTTTAGATCAGCAATAGCACCGCACCAACACTACCACGGGGGTCACGAGGCGCCGCCCCGCCACTAGCTGCATGATCACTCATGGGATTAGCGTGATCAGACATAGATGCTGTCGTTCTGTGATGTCGCCAACGTCAAAAAGATGGCAAGTAAGAATCATCGTTGCATACCTTTTCTGCTCAGCGTTATCAGTCTTGAGCTGTTGATCATTACCTGATACCCGGTAATGCTCCATTCGATTCCTTTGTGAATCATCACTGTGTGTTTCACGAGCGTTGGGGTGCTCGTTATGTTGCTGTAACAAGTTTTGATCGGCCACATGTGCATCCTTCGTATCGTGGTGGTCCTTTGCACCATTTTCGACACCCTTCGGAACCTGCCCATGTTGGGAATCGAGTTTTTCACTCCCTAGGTTCGTACTGCCGGAATCTGGGTGAGTTGGAGAATTCCAAGACTTTCTGTCAGGCAATTTATAGTTCTGTGCAGGTTGTTGACGTTTCTCCGCCTCCTGCTTTCCATGACCCGCATGGGACGCGCCTTGCCTTATGTCACCAGTCAACGAATCGGAGCTTTTCTGACGTAGTCCTTCATGGCTCTTGTCTTCAGAGTCTGATCGTGAAGGCAGCTTCTCGTCATCCATGAGCGTCTTCTCCTCATCCACCAACGAATCAATCTCCGGATTGTCACCCTTCGCCAACCCACCGTGGTCCACGTTGGACTGGGTCTGACCTGACCGAGGCACATCCGCGCTGAAACAAGGGAGGGAACTTAAAGTGATGAGCCCGACAACGAGCAAGAGCATCCCCATGGATCGCGGAGCCTGTCGACTTCTGCTGTATGCCATGGTCCCGGGAGGATAAAGCGAGGTATGTTCACCCTTCCCTGAACTCACAGGAGCGTCCTTACAGCTGGTTCCATGGCACAAGAGGCTTGCGTCAGCATCCAGTCCCGCTCGAATTCCACAAGAACAATATCCTCCATACCCAACTGAGATCTAGAAGACAACCTGGTGTGCACGAAGAACATTCAGATGGAGAAAAAGTGAGAAAATATATTGAACCGTCCTTGTAAGTGGCATCATCTCAATCATGCGGCATTACAGACAGCAACACAAAGAATATCACGCACTGATCGTCAAGAAAATTTACATTCAGGCCGTAATCAAAGCAAAGCATTCCATGCAACGCCGACAGCGACAAAATGCAGCATACTTTGCAAGGGCGCTTTACACATCAGCAAATTTGTGGTAGCCATGAAGTCTTGGAGAATATCACAAGTATACATCAGTAGAGAGCTTGAGATCAAACTGCTCCTCCCTCCTGTTCCTCCACTCCTTCACCATCTTCTTCTGCATCACCGCATGCTTCTCAACCAAGCTGCGCGCTTGCAATTTCCATACCTCCAGCCAGGCCATCCTCGTCCCTCCAAACCCCCTACCCACCCAATTCACTGTGGACATCGCCCATCACTACCCTCACCCCCCATATCATTATGTATGGGTTACATCACAGTAAAACTTAGGGTTATCTCATCTGATATTTCGACTTAAACCTACGGGTCTCCATATACCTACCCTACAAATTGGCCCATGACCGGTGATAATTATACCCCACCCATACGGATGCGCTTCCAAGCCGTCTTTGTCACCTCAACACTAGACCACCCACCTCTACATAGGACGCAAGAGGGGATCTGGTCGGGTGTACAGCACTTTCAAAGAAAATTGGCCAATAGTTGAAAACCTCTTTTAAAATTTCGATAAAAGTTTCAAATGAGTTACATCGGAGGTTGACCAGGAACACCTTCCACGGCTTTAAAAAACTTGAGAATGGAAGGAGATGAACTAAGGAGAACTAGGACGAGGACGAGGACGAGGACGAGCAGGGAGTGAGTATGAGGGAGGGAAGGAGAGCTGGGATGTCAACCCTGAAGCTCAAGGAGGAGGTCGAAGGCCGAACCACCCTCAGAGGAGGTTTCCTTGGTGTCAACACGGTCTATAGGTAGTTCAGTGGAGAACAAAGTATGGGGGAGGGAAGCATGGTCCTACCAGAGAGGAGGGTTGCAAGTTTAGGGAGTAGAAGCTGGTTGATCCTGGAAGCTCTCTCTGCCCTGACCTTCCAATCTTCGGAGTCGTCCTTTACATTTCTCTGGCGCTCGAGCTGTCATTGTCTGAGCTGCTGTCATCATCACCACACATGGTGCACTCACCTCTGCCTCAAGCTTTGTGATCTGCTCTGAAGCTTCGTTGAGCTGTTTCCGGAGACTTTCAAGCTCTATGTGTGAGTGCTTCAAAGATTCTTCCAGCAGGGCGACTGTGGCTTCGGCATCTGAACAGCCCAGTAAGAACCCGTCTGAGGGCACATTTGACATAATTCGCCTGTCTTCAAATGTTTCTCCAAGCTCTCTAGTTCCAATCTTCTTCTGCACACCTGGTGAGAGCAACATCGTAAATGCGAATCCCCCAAGTGCGAACAAGACTGACCTCCTCTGCCTCTGTAGTTATGAAATGCCAGAAAACAAATCAGACACGTGAGACAGAAGGGCAAACCTTACCACTCTGAACTAGGTTCTTAACGGATCTGCGAGCCGCCTTCAATTCCATCTTGTTCATCTCGTTCTCCCTGATCAGTTCTTCGCTGTAACAACATCACGAGAATAAACACGTATTGCTCCCAGTACTTTCTCTCCTCAAGCTCTTGATACGCTTTTTGCAGCCTTGTAGCCTGATCAGAACAGTGAATAAAGTGGTATAGGAAAATAAGGTCATCCTCCAAGAAAATATGACAGATCAGTCCAAATCAAAATTCACTATTTTACCTCCCAACAAGAATCGTCATGAAGCGATTTGAGCTCTTCACACCTAACCAGAAACATCAAGGACGTCGAAGGACGACAGATTTGCCTTCACCTTGTTTCGCAGTCTGCAAGCTTGTCACCCGTCCGTTTGTTCTGAGCTCCCAACAACTGAAACTTGATTGAGATAGAAGGGAGTCACTGGCTTGCCAACGACCTCACACTGAGCCCTGGCATCTTCCAGCAAGGTCTGGAGGACCTTACAGTTCTTGCATTCACCATAGTTTGTCTGATGATGAATCGGATAGCCATTCTCCCTCCCTCGACTAGCCCGAACGCGATCGTCCGAATCAGGATGACGCGCATCATTGTTGATCTCCTTTCAACGAAGTCCAGTTACGCATCAGCAATGCACGGCCAAGTACCACCTGAGCGATCCGAAGAGCCTCTGTAGCAAGCTCAAGCTCATTGTCTAGGCTCAATGAGAGCTCTCGTGTGTCTTGCTGCCGGACCACGTTGCCCTCCTTTACATTTACCTTCGCTGTCAATGTTCTGACCTGGAGAAGATTCAATTTCAAACTGAATCAGAGACTGGTAGCACCTTGTCTTCTAATACAGCTTTCTCTTCCTACATGGTATAAGGATTTCAAAATGTAAATCTACAGGCAAGAGCACGATCAACCTCGAGCTTCTGGACACGTTTCTGATTTGCTGCAATTAATTCTTCCCTTTCGCGATGAAAAGTTCTGAGCTGCTCTTCCAACATCCTGTTGTACGATCACTACAACTGTTTATCATCATGCAAGGTAAGGACCTGCATTGCTTGCTCAGACTCTCCTGTCTAGAATGATTCTGCTCGAGCAAAGCGGTCCACTCCTGATGCTGTTCGTCCATGCAGTTCAGAGTCATTTCTTTGAATTGCGCTAGCTCAAGTTTTGATTGTCGAATAGATGTGTCTTTCTCGGTAATTTGCGTGAGGAGTTGTGCAATCCTATGCTCAAATGCTATCTTGATCAAAGATTGCTCCTCTTCATTCGCATTCTCGTCTCGTTTCATTCTCACAGATTCTTCGAGGAAACTGAGTCCAACCATGTTTCACGCGTGATCACGGCAAAGGATTCCAACTTACCGGCTCAAAATATCCTGCTCTTTCTCCAGGTAGGATTCAAATAAGGTCTTATACTCGTGGGAGCGCGTCTCATCAGCCTGTACCAACCCCGACAGTCTCTTGTTCTCCTCGATCAGCTCCTGCGCAACAAGTTTGATTGAAGCTTATTCGTCTAGCGCCGACTCACGGCAAGTTTCCTTGCGCGACCGGGTGACTTTGACGCCCTTCTGCTTCTATCCTTGGTCGCGGAAGAAGCAGCTTTCGCTGCTGGTGATGCCTTGGGCGCTGCTGCAGGAGATCCCCGCATCCCGATCGGCTTTGACTCCCTCTCTCTGCAGGACAAACACTCAGCACGATCGCAAGCATGTCCTCCATATGACGATCTGATGCTAGAGCTGACCTGGACCTCGCTCGCTGTGCTCCGTCCTCGAGCCTCTTTCTGACCGAGGCTGCGGTGAACTCGTGCATGTGAGGTTGTAGAGGTCCTTATCAGCGAGTCCTGTGCTTTGAGCCTTCACTTACCACTGTCAACATCCCTCACGGCCCTGATCGGATCCGCGTCTTTCCTCCTTCCATATTTTCAGTGAGCTCTAAGACGTAACCGTCAATCCCCAGGGGGGCGCCCGGCCGGGCCGCTGAGCTCGGACTCCAGGGAGCTCGGAGCCCGGCTCCGGGAGCCTGGCCCCCGGCCCGGAGCCTCGGAGCCGGCCGCGGCCGCACTGAGCAGCGTGACTCGGAGGGCCTGGCGGGGGGGCTCAGACTGGCGGCAGTTCAAGTCCGGGCCCTGAGTGGGCCGGGCAAAGTACGGTAAAAGTCACGCCAGAATATTACTGATCGGACTCAGTAGCCTCCTCGACTCTCCTGATTGTCCTCGTACTGATTTTTAACTTAACCGTTTGAGTAAGGGGAATTACTGACTCAGAGAGTCAAAAACTGCATCATTGAAACGGCTGACGGCGGCCGGGCGGTCGCACCGTGGCACTATGACTCGCCCGCCGGACTCCGGTACGAGGACAATCAGTCTCGCTGAGAGTCGAGGAGGCTTGATCCTGACACAGGCTGTCGCAAAGGCCAAATGGCGAGAAGAGAAAAGACAGCGAGAACCAAACCCAATCCTGCCACTGGCTGCTGACGGTCCCCCAGGCTCAACTGACTCGTCAGGGCGTACCGCGGGCCTTCACTTGATAGTAACTGCGCGCAGGACCATCATGCGGCCCCGCGCCCCGGCCATGCCAGCGATGAGTCGCTCAGCGGCTGTGGCAGCCGCCGAAGGAATGAGACTTAAAGTAGTTTATTCAGACTGATAGGGTCTGTTAAAATGATCTGATCAGATTATGGTACCGGCGGTCACCCCGGTACCGAACTATGATGCGGCATATACTGTGCGGGGGCTGATACCGCCGTACCCAGCGTACGACTCGGTACGGCACCCTGATGGAACCTCTCCGAGGCTCCAGGCCGGCGGCAGTGCGCCGCTGCCGCCTCTAACTAAACCCCTCGATCCACTGTGACCATCCCCCCATCCCCTCCTCCGTCTGCTCTAGTAGCACCGATATAAAGCCCTCCTCCTCTCCCAAGCTCCCGCTGCTCATCTCTGCGCCGTCGCTGCCGCTCTCGCTTTCGCTGGCCTCCAGTAGCTCCTCCAGCACCCTCGGCTCTTGCGACGGCCAGCCCCCGGCCCCCTTGCACGACTCGTTCTCACCTCCGACTCCCGTGCCTGCCCCCGCTGTCGTCCAGAGCTCGTCGCCCTCGGTCAGGCACGCGCTCAGCATCGCCTTCCATCCCTCAGCCTCTGACGACGCGGCTACAGCGGCTTGCTCCCACGCCGCCTCGTCGTCCTTCTTCGCGTCCTTGCGATCGTAGCACGACAGCCCGGCCTTGAGACATCGGGCGCATGGCCGAGCCTCGTCGCAGCCGATCTTGGACCGCCGGCAGTAGGCGCATGCTTTGTCGACGTGCTTGCGCTTGTGCGGTCGCAGCATCCTGTAGATGTCCGACCGACGCGCGTACCCAAGGTCCTGTCCCCACGGAGCAGCCGCTGCCGCGAAGTGCTCGAGGCACTCCGTGCACGCCATCACGACGTTGGAGCTGCACCTCGAGCAGGGCTTGTCCATGCTGCACTTGACCTTCTTCTGTCTGCATCCCTCGCACGACTTGCGCTTCGGGGGCAGCGACAGATGCTGCGTCTTGGGGGCGACGACGGGGAGGTAGCCCAGGGGGCTGCGGCTGGCGAGGGCGAAGGCTTCCGACTGTCCGCTGAAAGCCACGCAGCTCTGGTCCCATCCCCGGCGCTGGCACCGCGAGCAAGGACGAGCATCGTCGCACTTGACCTTGTTTGTCTTGCAGTGGATGCAGGCAGCGGAGGTCCTACGAGCACGGCGAGGCTTATTTGCGGGGAGAGGAGAGGAGGGGGTAGAGGGAGAGGAGAGAGGGAGAGGGGAGAGGTCAAAGCTCGAGACGGGAAGGAGAGCATCAGGGTAAAGCATGACGGCGAGGACTGACCAGGAGGGACCAGGTCTATTTTCTCAATATCTTCTGCCGGGTACGAGAATCTTTTCCGGTCAGCCGGAAGATGTCCTCATGTCTTCGGAGGATTCCGATGTGATCACGAGGTATTTTTACTGTAAAATCTCCAACCAGTTAGGCAGCGGCTGCTTAAAAACGTTATAGCACGAGGGGAGGTACTAAGGTGCAGTTTTTACAACGGTTTTCTTTCTCTTTACTTTTAGCTAAAAATCATTTTACGGTGTCATGCACGGAGGATGCCGAAAACAAGCGTGTAGTAAACTGGGCTCCTCCGCTACAACAAGTCCGTCGTTGCGACCTGCTCAGGTGACAAATCCTCTACAACCTAACAGCACATAGCGCGCTCAGCTTCCCGGACAGAACGACATCATGCTCTGCCCTGATGCACTCCTCCCCGTCTCAAGCTCTCTCCTCCCCGTCTCGAGCTTTGACCTCTCCCCTCTCCCTCTCTCCTCTCCCTCTACCCCCTCCTCTCCTCTCCCCGCAAACAAGCCTCGCCGTGCTCGTAGGACCTCCGCTGCCTGCATCCACTGCAAGACAAACAAGGTCAAGTGCGACGATGCTCGTCCTTGCTCGCGGTGCCAGCGCCGGGGATGGGACCAGAGCTGCGTGGCTTTCAGCGGACAGTCGGAAGCCTTCGCCCTCGCCAGCCGCAGCCCCCTGGGCTACCTCCCCGTCGTCGCCCCCAAGACGCAGCATCTGTCGCTGCCCCCGAAGCGCAAGTCGTGCGAGGGATGCAGACAGAAGAAGGTCAAGTGCAGCATGGACAAGCCCTGCTCGAGGTGCAGCTCCAACGTCGTGATGGCGTGCACGGAGTGCCTCGAGCACTTCGCGGCAGCGGCTGCTCCGTGGGGACAGGACCTTGGGTACGCGCGTCGGTCGGACATCTACAGGATGCTGCGACCGCACAAGCGCAAGCACGTCGACAAAGCATGCGCCTACTGCCGGCGGTCCAAGATCGGCTGCGACGAGGCTCGGCCATGCGCCCGATGCCTCAAGGCCGGGCTGTCGTGCTACGATCGCAAGGACGCGAAGAAGGACGACGAGGCGGCGTGGGAGCAAGCCGCTGTAGCCGCGTCGTCAGAGGCTGAGGGATGGAAGGCGATGCTGAGCGCGTGCCTGACCGAGGGCGACGAGCTCTGGACGACAGCGGGGGCAGGCACGGGAGTCGGAGGTGAGAACGAGTCGTGCAAGGGGGCCGGGGGCTGGCCGTCGCAAGAGCCGAGGGTGCTGGAGGAGCTACTGGAGGCCAGCGAAAGGGAGAGCGGCAGCGACGGCACAGAGATGAGCAGCGGGAGCTCGCCGGGAGAGGAGGAGGGCTTCGTATCGGTGCTACTAGAGCAGACGGAGGAGGGGATGGGGGGATGGTGGATCGAGGGTTTCTACTAGAGGAGGGAAGAGGGGAAGAGCAGGAAAGGGAGGCCTTGTTAGAGGGAATTTTAACATCTTAGATAACAGATAGATATGATATAAACACGAGACGATGCTGATTGATGCTACAGAACACTCATGTTGATATACCGTCGTTGCCATCACTCTGTCCTCAAAGCACGTGTAGGCGGGAAGATGTCGCAAAGAATTTTTGAGATTCAAAACGTGTATGTTGTATTCAGGGCTCGGACATGTTGTGTTTCACTTCAAGCATCACCTTGCTGTCTCGTGTCCCCTGTCCGGCTGTCTTTTGAGCGAGAATTGTGATTGTCGGTTTGCTGATCAAGTACTTCACAGAAACGGCGGGGTTACACCCCGCATCTCACAATCTTTGCAAACCCTGATCTCTCTTTAGCCCCGCCTGATCTTGCCTTCCGAAGTCTGCTCACACGCCGAGTAGTGCGATCGACTCCAACACAGTCTCGGCCGGGCTCGCGCTCGTGTCCCTCGACGCTCCAAGCTTGTCCAGGAGCCACATGCTCTGTGGGCTGCTGTCTTGTAGGCCCAGCACCAGCGGGTGGTCAAGCATCTGCTCCAGGATCTCGAAGAGGAGACGCTGGGCCTCCGGGCGCTGGCTGCTGCTGACGTCTGCTTGCGGCAAGATGTCGAGCGCGAGGTGCATGACCTTGCGGAAGTCGTCAAAGGCGAGGGCCTCGCACGCGATATCAAGCAGGCCCGGGTGGTGCTCTAGGCAGTAGCCGCCCACGCGCATGACCGGAGCCGCGTCCAGGAGGTGCCGCTGGTCCACGTACGCCTTGAGGAGCAGGAGGAGGAGGCTGAGAGACGTCAGGTAGCGCCGGTCCTCGATGCGGACCAGGGCGATGGACATGACGGCATCGCTGACCTCGCGCAGCATCAAGGAGCAGTCGTCCTCTGCCACCTGAGTGAAGCAGACCGACAGACTCACGGAGGCGTCCCACGACTGGGGGGAGAAGCAGCTCACGTCCCGAGCAACGCACTCGGCATAGAGGGAGCTGCGCGCGGTGTAGCGGGGAGAGGGGCAGTCCTGCTCGACATCAAAGCAGAGCCGGAAGCACTTCTCGAGGGCAAGCCTCAGCTCGAGGCCGTCATCGGAGGACCGGGACAGGTAGGCCTGGTAGACCTGGGGGACGAGCAGCTGATAGCTCCCGGAGGGAGAGCAGAACTGGCATGCGCGGAGGGCGATAGACATGCGGACGATGAGTGGGCTGTAGGACGAGGAGAGGTTGAGGAGACACTCCTTGGGTACTGCAGGATCTTGGTCGTCAATGTCGAGGAGCTGTATGACGAATCCAAGGCGGAAGGCCTCGGACACCAGCCTGGCATAGAAGACGACCTCGGATCCGATGGGGACGAAGGCCAGCTGATGGAAGCCACTGGGGACGGAGTAGAGTCTGAGGGTGTCGAAGACGGAGGATACGAGCTCCTGGACGGAGGAGCCAGACGCGGACATGGGCAGGTGTTGATCTGTTCATCCTTGTTTTCCCTTATGGAAGGGATTGGCACCCACAAACCAGCGGAAAAAGGTGCAAGTACCCCCTGTTTGGAGCGGGAGTTTGATGGTGGTACCACCACCCTCATGTACTTGTCCTGAGAAACGGGGTAGGGGTAGCATTTTCATTTTCTCGCTGGTTTGTGGGTGCATGCAGGGGAAGGCAGCACGAGCATGATAAGGAAAGAACTACTCTCTCTGACCTCAACAGCATTCATCAGCCTCCCCCTTACCTACCTTCAGTCCTAGAACCACACCTCCGCGTGCTCTGACAGCTCCGAACCCTCCCTCTTCTCCCTTGAAGCAAACGCCTGTCTGACGCAACCTCCTGCCCATGCCCGCGTCTGGCTCCTCCGTCCAGGAGCTCGTATCCTCCGTCTTCGACACCCTCAGACTCTACTCCGTCCCCAGTGGCTTCCATCAGCTGGCCTTCGTCCCCATCGGATCCGAGGTCGTCTTCTATGCCAGGCTGGTGTCCGAGGCCTTCCGCCTTGGATTCGTCATACAGCTCCTCGACATTGACGACCAAGATCCTGCAGTACCCAAGGAGTGTCTCCTCAACCTCTCCTCGTCCTACAGCCCACTCATCGTCCGCATGTCTATCGCCCTCCGCGCATGCCAGTTCTGCTCTCCCTCCGGGAGCTATCAGCTGCTCGTCCCCCAGGTCTACCAGGCCTACCTGTCCCGGTCCTCCGATGACGGCCTCGAGCTGAGGCTTGCCCTCGAGAAGTGCTTCCGGCTCTGCTTTGATGTCGAGCAGGACTGCCCCTCTCCCCGCTACACCGCGCGCAGCTCCCTCTATGCCGAGTGCGTTGCTCGGGACGTGAGCTGCTTCTCCCCCCGGTCGTGGGACGCCTCCGTGAGTCTGTCGGTCTGCTTCACTCAGGTGGCAGAGGACGACTGCTCCTTGATGCTGCGCGAGGTCAGCGATGCCGTCATGTCCATCGCCCTGGTCCGCATCGAGGACCGGCGCTACCTGACGTCTCTCAGCCTCCTCCTCCTGCTCCTCAAGGCGTACGTGGACCAGCGGTACCTCCTGTTCGCGGCTCCGGTCATGCGCGTGGGCGGCTACTGCCTAGAGCGCCACCCGGGCCTGCTTGATATCGCGTGCGAGGCCCTCGCCTTTGACGACTTCCGCAAGGTCATGCACCTCGCGCTCGACATCTTGCCGCAAGCAGACGTCAGCAGCAGCCAGCGCCCGGAGGCCCAGCGTCTCCTCTTCGAGATCCTGGAGCAGATGCTTGACCACCCGCTGGTGCTGGGCCTACAAGACAGCAGCCCACAGAGCATGTGGCTCCTGGACAAGCTTGGAGCGTCGAGGGACACGAGCGCGAGCCCGGCCGAGACTGTTTTGGAGTCGATCGCACTACTCGGCGTGTGAGCAGACAGGCTTGGAAGCCTGGGCGTAGAGACCTGATGGACTCGGGACTAAGTTGTAAACTTTTATGGACTTGTAAACTTTTATCTAAGTGATCATGCAATTACTGGTTAACACACTGACGGTACAGCCTCACTGCGACTTCGCCGCCGCGGCGAGGCCTGCTTAACTCGGGACTTGAAGCCGGGCCGCCGACTGTCGGGCTCGGCAGCATGATCAGGGCGGCCTCCGACCGAGTCACCGTCAGATCAATGATACTATGATAGCTGAGCCGATCATCATGGCCCATCGGGCCCAGCCTCCCGAGTCCGCGAGACGGTCACGCCGGCCACGGGAGGGCCCGGCCCGGCCGGACCCCCGGGGGCCGGCCCGGGCCCGCCGGGGCCGCCCGCGCCGGGGCGCCGGGGCGCCGGGGCGACGGTCACAGTGACCCGGGATGAGGGTGAGAAGGTGACACAAGGATGGGGCGCTTGCTGTGTAATGCGCCTCGAAAGCGTGATGATGTGGTGAAGGAGAGAGGAGAGACAAGGAGAGCAGAGCAGGGGGAGATGGCAAGGATGGTGTGGGGAAGATCGCTAGATGGTAACATCCTCCTTGTATCAAGAGTGTACCAAGAGGGCGGCAGCGAGCAGAGTGTTGAAGTTTAACCTTTTTGGGGGAAAGGGCATGCGACGTCAGTGATATGTTGGTGACAGTAGTTATCACACTGGCTATCACTTTCAGTGTTGGCTAGCTAGTATTAATGGATGACCTGTGGGATAGTTGGTGGGGGAAAAACTCGTTCAAACCTGCCTGACTAACTCTTGTCAGGTCGTCCGATTTCACCATCACCGCATGAGGGCGCTTCTAGTTCTCTTTGCCCTTGTAGGTGTAGTCCAGCAGCACATCGAGGGCGTCCTTGCTGATGACAGGTTCGGCAATGTAAATCTGGAGGACAGACTAGATAAAGTATCGGACATCCAAGCCTTCCTTGGAACATGGGCGAGTGATGCAGAAAAGATTGACGAGCTCGGAAAGCAATTCCGCGAGGCTCTTCCATTTCCTCACGTAGTAATACCAAACTTCTTCGAAGAGAGCATTGCCAACCGCATAGAAACCAAATTTCCGTAAGTATTGAAAAGCAGATCCACGTCTTTCTCATGCTTATCTCCCAGGAAACCGGTTGGAAATCAATCCCATGAGTGGGAGACACAAGGATGGCATGTCTACGACAACCCGATAGAAGGAAAGCTAGCTCATGATAACTTGGAAGCGATGGCTGAACACGACGCTGTCTTCCGTTACATGTGGAAAGTGCTCCAGAGTGAAGCACTCATCATGCTCCTACACAACATCACCGGCATCGATGGCTTGGAGAATGATCCGCATCTCCATGGTGCAGGCCTCCATTACCATCCGGCTGGTAGCCGGCTTGAAATGCACCTTGACTACTCGATTCATCCTATCACGAAGAAAGAAAGACGGGTGAACCTGATCGTGTACATGAACAAGGGCTGGAAGGAAGAGTGGGGAGGACATCTTTCCTTGTGGGAGGGAACACTTGAGAGGATGGAGAAAGAAGCCACTCGCATTGTTCCTAGATTCAACACAGCGGCTTTGTTTCGCACGTCGGACATAAGTTGGCACGGCATGCCTGATCCTGTAATACTTTGTGAATCCCCTTTGTTCATCTGAACGGGTAATGATGCGGCTTGACAGGTTGCTTGCCCCCCTCACGAAGCTAGAAAGAGCGTTGCGATCTATTACGTGACGCTGCCACGATGATCTGACGTGCATTGATCTGTCATGTCAGGTGTCCGAAGCTCGCAAGGAAGCGACTCATCGATACAAGGCGTCGTACCAGGCCAGGCCAGGCGTGATGAGTGCGATAGGTCAGCCCTTGCCTGGAATGAGAGAAAAACCAACCCTTGACGCAACGACAGATGAGGAGAAGTACGAACAATTGTGCAAATTGCGCATGTCAAGGAGATTGAACCATGAAGATGTCAGGCAGCAATTTCCAGGTCTGTCCTTTGTCTTCCCTCTTGGAATCATGTAGCTTTACTCCACCCCACCTTGTCAAAGTCCTGTTGTTCGTTGTGATCAGAATGCCTCACAGACTGGAACCCTCGTTGGAAGAAGATTGACGAGCTATGATACAGCAACTCCTTTGAATGCAAGTCTGATCTGATGGCCTTCAGCTGATTGTTAGATAGAAGCGAACACATTTAACTTCATTGGAGAACCACAGTCGCGTTAATTTTGGTTTGTGAGTCTAGATTCATTCATCAACGCTGAGATACTTAGGTCAAATTTTGAGCTTCGAAAGGCACATGTCTTAGCTACCTAAGATCAGATCTACCTACATTTAAACAAAATACAACCTCCCCATAATCAGAGCATTGCCATCATCTCCTTCTTCGTTCATTCGGATTGCGCTTTCCACCTCCGCCATATCCCATTCCGACAATCTCTTGGTTGTTTCTCTGTGAAGACAGGATTAGACAACATGGCTGCAACTTCGTGATCAAATGTTCACCGCTTTATAGTTGTCTCGGGGAGCCAGCGTTGTAAATCCATCATCGTCCACCACCATCTTTGGCTTTCTCTGTCTATGTGCCGACGAGATCAACTGAACAACAACGGCAAGTAAGCAAGAAACTTGTGAGGCTCGGCATCTTACTTGATCTTCTCGCAGAACCAAGTCGTCCTTGCCACGTCCCTACCACTGAAGTCAAAGGAAGCATGCAGAGACAATTGGAATTACTTGTTTCGGCTTTGGGAGACTGTACTTGGTGCCCCTCAGATTGAAATTCTTGATTCCCTTGCTGCATCATGCTGTCAATAATCTGGAAAGAGGATATCTCCACCACAGCACGAGGAAATCAGAGCAAGGGGGGTTGGAAAACTTTGTGCTCAATTAAAAGGACGCTGAAAGCAAGGATGCAGTGCGTGGGAGTATGAGCGTTCGTCTTGCAATGTGATAGCGCCAGACCACTATAAGGAAGGTGCCTGGCGACTCTAGAAACATTGCTTGCTAGGGTGGGAGTGTGGGATATGGCGTTTCATCTCACCTGAATGTCACTCGACCGTCCGCCTGTACCCACATGGAGACTCGCATCAGAGTTGCGTTGCCGCAGGATGGGCAGAACATCTTGGTATTGTCATGGCAGATCTTAAAGCATGCATGGCATTTCTGTACAAACTGCTTGACATTCTTGACAACCAGACCTTCTCCGTTCACAACTCGCAGCCCAATCTGTAGCAATACATTCTGCATTGCACCATCGAGGGTCGCACATGCCACGTTCGCATCGGAATCGTCTTCAACACATTTCCCATTGACCGAGAAGGAAGCAACATTGTCCGGAGTGATCCATCCTTCATCATCGTCTGTCCCCTCGTACCAGCCAGGCAGTGAAGGCGCTTGTTGCTTGTTCCCCTGTCTGTGCCCACTGCTGCCGTCGCCGTTCTCAGATTCAGCCCCGTTCGCTGAATCACAGTCGGCTGTCTCGTTGGTCGCGTTTTCTTCCTTTGGTGTCTTGACTTCTTCGCTCCCCACGTTTGCCGGTCTCATCTGCACCACTATCACCCCATGACGTCCTCCACACGGCAACTCACCGGCTTCGGCGCCTCGTTCAAGTGCGAGGTGCCATAGAACTCCTTCTCTAGCTGATAGGTCAGGGCCATGACCTTCAAGTCAGTGTTTGACAGTCTGCTGAAGTCTCCTGTCAACTTGGAGAACTTGGACACGAAGGCAAGCGCCGATGGATCAACCTCCCGAACCTGATGAAAACACGTCAGTCCCAACGCTCGTGATATCCACAGCAGCCCAAGACGCACAAGGAAGGGTCAACAGAAAGACTTGCCTGGAGCTCGACAGGAAGTGTGTCGAGGATCATTCTTGCATTGCTATCCCTCACTTCTGCAAGAACTTCCTTCACCTGCAGGCCCCGTCATCTTCCCTCAAACCATCTTTGCAGCATTCAAATCACCGTCCAGAAATGTTCTCCGAGCTTGTCGATCCTTTCGCCCTTGATCAGCATCCCTGAGTCCAGCACAACTTTCTTCCCAGATGGCGGTTCTGCACGTGGGCTGCCATCCGCGCTACTGCCATGCCTGGCCTCCTTGGCATCGCTGCAAGGAGCCTCACCTCCGTCCAAGCTCCCCTCGACGTGGCTGGCTCCGGCTACAGAGTGAACTTGCTTCGATAGGCTTCCATCTCCTGCCTCTGCGCTCTCCTCTCCCTTCCTCTCCTCCTCCTTCCCCGCGCGAAGCTTGTCTGCCCATGTCGCCATATTCCTTCGCACGTGCAAAGCGCTCGGGTATTGAGCGGGGATGAGGTCAAGTGGTGCTGGGTCTAGCTCCGGAGCGGGCCCGATTGGACGAAAGGCTGTGTTTGGCGGTTACGGATTATGACTAGTAATGTAACGGCCATCAATTTGACCTCTCGTTCGCCAGAGGCGCCACAGGGACATGGCAGTCCTGGACACGCCCCGAGCTGGCCGCCGCCCGCTGCCGTCTCCTCCCCTCAGCTGCTGATCCAAGTAGCCTTCGATTCTCATCCTCTCTCACTGTATTCTTTCTCGAGCTGCCGCGATGATGGCTGACAGCAGTCGCTCCTCCCATCATCGCACCGGCTCTTCTACTCGTCGCTTTCTGCAGCACTTCTTCCTTCTCAGCTTCCTTTCCCTGGTTGCATGTCAATCAGAGGATCACTGCAGCGACCTGGTCATTGTAAATAGAATTGAACCATCGTCCATGTCTATCCTCGGTTGGACGCAGATAACAGTCTTTGGTCAGTTTTCAGTCTCTCCCATCTTAATGAATTTCAGCAATCAAGCATTAGCACCGTCCGCATCTCACAATGATACGCACATCTTCTATGTCAAAGACTTCTGTATGCAATCAGGAGCGTGTGAAGGGGGAGCATTTGACGTGAAGTTTTCCTATCAGAACAATTCCATGTGGAACACTTGTTTATCAAGTCTCAAAATATTTGTTTATGCCATCTGGCTGCCATCGACGCTGAAGATCACCAAGGGATCAGCGGTCGGTGGCATGGTATTGGACATCAAGGGGTTGGGCTTTTCCTCGAAATACAACTATTCTTGCTCCTTCGTGTACAGCGAAGATATAAATTTAATTCACAGCGAAGTGGCTGAGGTGCAGACCATTTCAGAATCCTTGCTGGAGGTAGTCACTCCAGTATGGAACTATCCCGCACGAGTGGTTCTTATCCAGCTGACGATGATAGATTCAACAGGCACCCCTTTCGATATCAAATCACACGACACAAGGAAAGGGATTTTCGAAATCGAAGAGGAGATTGTAGCGTATCAGCCTTCTATCGTCTACTCAGAAGAAGGAGCATCTGTCATGCTGCAGGGTGCAGGACTGGATTTCATTTCACAGCAGGTCCTGCCTCCATTCTACAAGCAGACTTCGGACACTAACTATCTGAGCGTGCGAAAGAACGTGCGGTACAGACTTGACGCTCCCGGTTTCTCTTCATGGAGCTGTCTAGTGTACAACTCGAGCTTGATGAACTGCACAATCATGTCCTGGAAATTTGAAGCGCAGCTGGTCAGTTTCCGTGTGACCAAATATTGGTGCGACTCGTCCTGGAACACCCCCATCGAGTACAACTTCGAAAAGGATCTCCTACACTCCAACTTGTCACTGTCGATTGAGTTCCTACCTCAAATCAGGAGGATCGAGCCGACTATTGGTAATGCTTTCGGCAGGACCTCGATCACGATACTGGGGAATGGTTTCGAGAATGTCGAGAGCTTTTGCGTATTCAGGGATTCAGGACAGGCAGTAATCCAAAACCTTACTTCTATCTTTGTTTCTTCGACTGAAATCGATTGCTCGCCCACGAACGAATTTGCTGATCCAGCCGTCAAAGACGTGGCGCTTTCCTTTGAGCTTGTCAGTCGAGGGACCTCTGTTCAATCAGTCAATGAGTTGCACTTCCAGGCCTCTGATATCAACAGCGCCCCGACATTCTCTTGTCAAACCCTTGTGATCTCTTATTCCTCTCTCCCGCACTCTTATCCTTTCCTCTACGGCATCAGCCCAAACAGCTCTTACGCACCCAATGAGCAGAATCAATTGTTATCGTTTCATATAGTCGATATCCCGGGCTTTTTGCTGGGAAGTGTCAGTGTCCAAGACTCTAATCTTACATTCACCACGGTAGATCCCGAAGGTGGGTTGATATATTTGAAGATTCGAATTCAAGACGACGGTGGCAATCAGAATGGTGGGATGAATTGGACAGAGAAGGAATGCAAAGTCTACGTCTTGCCAAAGAGATCCATGCTTCAAAACTTCGAAATCAATCAGACCATGTTGACTATAGACCTAGTCGAGTCTGAGCAAGACGAGTTGTACACATACTTCGGCTTCATCACCGATATCTTCTATGGCGTCCTGCAACCGTACCCTGACTTGTCGATTCAATTAATTTCACCCGAACCTGATTTTCAACGTGCGTTTCGAGTCTCCCCAAAGCTGGAAGGGGGAAGCTTGATCTTCACGACAGCTGCGTATGCCAACGGAGATTTCATCCTGTCGGTCGTCATCGATCAGTTGCCTGAGAATTCCAAAAACTTCACCATTGCGATATCTTCCAAGAATCAGGCCCCTGAGTTTGTCCTGGTCAACGACGTGTTTGTGTTCCAGCAGACTCTGGTGAATGGCACATCGTTCGATCAGATGTTTCTCTCCAACATCAGCAAGGGTTCTCGCTTTGACAAGTACTTTGAAGAGTCCCAGGTCCTGAACTTTGACTGGTGGCCCATGTCAAACGAGTTTCCGCTTGAGAATTTCACCCTGTACATTCCCCCCGATGAACCCCAGACAGCGCGGATCAAGTTTTTCATCCCTCCTTGCGTGTACGGATCATTCTATGTCAACGTGTCGCTGATGGACAACGGAGGGAGTCAGTTCAACGGGATGTCATCGGTGAACTTCACTGTTCAAGTGGTGGTCGAGGCGATCAACACTCCTCCTTTCTTCCAGCTCCCTGCCTTGAGCCTCAGCGTGTGCGAGGGCAGCGGGTCTCACGAGTTCCCGGGGTTCGCCGATGCGATCTCCAAGGGCGTTTGTGCCTACGAAGACTTGGAGCAGCTGATCTCATTCCTCGTCTGGCCGGTCCCAGGGAAGGAGGTGGGGAACTTGATATCGGAAATGAGCTTGAACGGGAGTGGAGTACTTTCGTTCAACCTGTCCACGTCTGGGTTCGGGAGGGGAGAATTCTATGTGATGTTGGTGGATGACAGGATGGGAGGGAACAATGCCTCCATCAGAAGAAGCTTCGAGATTCAAGTTGTTTCCGTTCACGACCCGCCGACCTTCATGGTCTCTCACTCGTTGGTGTACGATCAGCCGGTTGAAGACTCGGTCTTGGTCTTCGACAACTTCTTCTACAACATCTCTAACGACGTCTTTGGTGCCCCGTCTCCCTGCCTAAACCAGACGTTCCTCTTCGAGTTTGACCCAGAGCTGCCGCTGGCCATGTACGGCGACGAGCTGCTTTCCCGGTCCTCCCTTGGCGACTGTTTGAGGGACTTGCAAGTGTACGGAAACGGCTCGCTGATGCTCAGTGCGTCTCCGGTCTGTTTCGGGGAGGCTGCGATGAAAGTCAACTACGTAGAAAGAACTTGCTTCTCTTGTACCAACACCTCCAGTGTCTTCAACGTGACCGTACGCTGGGTCAACAAGAAACCAGGTTTCGACGTTCGAGATCAAACCATCGACGAGTGCGTTGTTTGTGGTGAACTGGAGCTGGAGGGTGCCGCCGTGAACATCACGGCAGGGTCGGTGTATGAGGACAGAGTTCAGAGAGTCTCCTTCACCGTCAGCCTCCTTGAGGGAGAAAGTACCCTGATGAGTGACGATTTCGAGAGTGTTTCCTTGGACGCCAACGGCACTCTGAGAGTGAAGCTCAAGAGCTCGAGGAGGGGGACGGCAAACTTCTCCGTAAGCCTGCGGGACGACGGAGGGATAGAGAGGGGCGGGGTAAACGTTTCAGACGTGAAACTCCTGCAACTGGTCGTGCTTCCCGTCAATAATCGCCCGTCGTTCTCCCTCCTGCCCTCCCTTCCCGTCCTGGAGGGCTCGGGTTGCAGCAACTTCACTCAGGTCGCGTTCAACATCTCAGCGGGAGCAGGGAACGAGATCGATCAGCTGATCTCCTTCACCGTCATCAGCATCGACCCCCCGAGCTTCCTCGCCGATCAACCTTGCAGCTGCTCCTCCTGCCCCCCCTTCTCCATCGACCCCGCCACTGGCCTTGCCAGGTTCCAGGTGCTGGAGCACCAGGTGGGAAACTTCACAGTGGAGGTGCAGCTGGTGGACAGCGGGGGTACAGAGCGAGGAGGGCAGAACGTGTCAGCGCCCGAGACGATCGAGCTTGTAATCCTGCCAGTCAACGACCAGCCAACTTTTGCCGTTGAGAACTTTGACGTTTACGAGCAGCAGGAGCTTGTCCATGTCAGCAGGCGGGACGTTGCTATCAACATTTCGGTAGGAATCTCGCCGGACGAGGTCGACCAGAAGTTTTCCTTCATAGTCAATCTGCTCTCCTCGACTCAGGACCCGCTAATCTCTGACGTTTCCATGCTCCCCAACGGCACCCTCCTCTTCCTCCAGTACCCCCGGGCCAACGGGCTGGCGACGCTGTCGGTGATCATGGAGGACAACGGGGGGACGGCGAACGGGGGGTCCAACACTTCGACCTTGATGTACCTGAACATCACGGTCGTGCCCGTCAACAGCCAGCCTACCTTCGAGCTCGTCAACGTCTCCCTGTGGGAGGGAACGGAATTCAGCATGATCGCCGACGTCGCCCGCAACATCTCTGCTGGGGCAGCCGACGAGGGCCAGCAGCTGCTCACCTTCCAGGTGGAGGTGATGTGGAGCGAAAGCGTGTCTTTCCCTGATTTACCGCCTGCCTTCCTCCTGCACCCCAATGGGACCCTCGCCTCCAGCCTCCCTCCCTACCGCAACGGAGAGGTTCAGCTCAGCGTTGTGCTCTCTGACGATGGCGGGACGGCTAACGGCGGGGTCAACCGCTCGGTCGAGCACAGGTTGGGAGTGCGGATAGAACCTGTGAACAACGCGCCATACTTCGAGGTCGCCAACGAGTCCTGGTATGAGGATAGCACCGAGGTCCACTACCTTGCCTTCAACATTAGCAGAGGCTCGCCCTACGGCGACGAGGACTGGCAGAATGTCACGTTCCATATTTCGTTCGTGGAGGGAGCGGAGCTGTTCGAGAGGCTGGCGGTGGAGAGCGATGGAAGGGCGGACTACTTGCTAACTGCCAACATGTTTGGGGTAGCGATGATTGAGCTTGTCCTCGTCGATGATGGCGGGACGGCAAGGAATGGTCAAAACACGTCACTCCCAAGGCTTGTCACGATCACGGTCCTTCCAGTGAACGATCCTCCCACCTTCTCCCTCTACCCACTGAACGTCCTCGACTACAACTTCTCCTCCTGCACCCGCGGCCTCCCAACGATCGTGATGGACATGAATGCCTATGTCTCGCCCCACCCGCTCGTTCTCGAGGGCTTCGTACAGAACATCAGCAGGGGAGGCTGGCACGAGGCTGATCAGACTCTTTCCTTCTTCCTCGAGCCTGAGGCCTCCGACCTCGACCTGCTCGCAGAGCCTCTGCGCGTGTGGAGCAACGGGACCATCGTGATAGAGCAGCGCAAGGACGCCAGCGGCTGCCTGACATTCTCCCTGCGGGCTGTAGACAGTGGGATGGGGAGCAACACGTCGGCAGCGGCTCGTTTCAACCTGCTGATGGTGCAGAGCGAAGGGAAGGTCAAGTTCCAGCGCAGCCCATCAGCGCCCTACGACGAGGCCTCGCTACTTCAATCCATCTCTCAAAGTCTTCACTATCCCGCGTGGCTGCTTTCCTTGACGACAGGGAGCGGCCTAGCCAGCGGGACCGTCACGCTGCGATCGGACCTGCCAGACTACCTGTTCTTCGAGTTCTTGACAAGCTCTCCCATCAGCATCTCGGGGATCCAGCTCCTCTACAGTGAGCTCGTGGTGCAGCAGATTGACAGTGAGCAGGAGCTTTATCACGCTGTCCTCCTCCATGACACCGTCGGAGCCCTGGAAGACTCCAGCTTGCAGACCTTTCACCTCCTCACCAACATCACGTTGCGGGGCAACCTCCGCAAGCTCATCCCCGGCCTCCTGCAAACGGCCGAGTACACCGTCCAGTCGTCGGAGAGCTGCCTGCAAGATTGCTTCGAAGTCGAGCCCCACGTGGAGGTCCCGCCCTGCTCGTTCAACCAGACTTGCGACGCCTTCCTGTCCTTCAGGCCCTCGGCCAACAGCTACTGCGTCTGCCGTCTGCTCGTCTCGCTCGTCGGCAGCTCGTACTCTCACAACGTCACCGTCGTCGTGGACCCACTCAACGACGCTCCTACCTTTGAGTTCCAGCAGGACGTCGTCACGGTCTATGAGACCCACCAGCCTGCCGGCGAACTCATCGTCATCGAGGGCTTGGCAAAGAACATCAGTGCAGGTAAATTCTATCATCCTCCTCGTTTTCTCCTCTCTCCTCCTTTCCTCCTCCTCCTTTCATCTCTTCGCCTCAACCTCTCTACCTCCACCTTTGCCTCTTTCCTTTCTCCTCTCCTCTTCCTTCCATGGCCCATCCTCTTTCCCCATCCTCTTCCTCGATCTCTTCACTCACAACCTCATCGCAGGTCCAAAGGAAGACCAGGACCAGAAGTTGACCTTCGTTTTGACTCCCCTCGACGTCGTCGGCCCTCTCTGCTACGGCGGGCAGCTCATGGACTGCGATTGCTGGCCCTGCCCCACCAACGTCTCAGCTACAGCTCAGCTGCCTCCCTCCTGGCTGATCCTGCAGGAGCCAGAGCTAGATGCAGTTAGCGGCAACCTGTCCTTCATACTTGCCCCCGACGCCATCGGCTTCGTGCTCTACCGGGTTGACCTGCTGGACTCCGGCCCGACTGGGGTGAACCAGTCAAACGTCTCCATCTCGCTCAACCTGACCATCAACGTGACCCGGAGCAACCAGCCTCCCTCCTTCCAGCTGACCTTGGCGGAGGTAACGATGCTCGAGAGCTGTCAGTCCGCCATCTCAGCTGGGGACTGCGAGGGGCTCCAGTTCACCCTGCAAGGTTTTGCAGTCAACATTTCCCAGGGCCCGGCCAACGAACAGCGACAGACCGTCTCTTTCCTTCTCGTCCTCCAGTCTTACCAGGTGCCTTTCCAGCAGGGGCAGAACTGGGTCAACGCCTCCTCTTCCCCAGCTGCCGCGGATGGATGGGGGCAGCTCCTGTCCGAGGCTATCAACGTGGACTCCAACGGAACGCTCCGAGCTTCCCTGCTCCCCCAGCACCACGGCAAGCTCGTGTACGACATCTCTTTGCTCGACAGCGGGTTGTCGGGAGGGAGGGAGAGCAACCGCTCTCCTAGCTCGCGGTTCGTCTTCCACGTCATCAGCGTCAACGACGCACCCTCCTTCTCCCTCGATCCTCTCTTCTCCGCACTCGACTGGGACTCCCTGTGCTCCAACTCCAGCAGCTCTCACCTTCAGCTCATGTTCTGCGTCGACATCTCGTCCCAGGAGAGGTCCCTTGAGCCCCAGTGCCACGAGCTCGACCACTTCGTCAACGACGTGACAGGAAACCTGTCGCTGTACTCGTCCTCCTACAACGTCTCTTCCGCCTCCTGCAGCTCCAAGGACCTAGCTGGGGCTGTGCTGAACGGGACTTGTGAAGGGGGAGACTTTCGCAATGTCTCGCTGCTGACTTCGATCTCGTTTCTTGTGCGGGTCCCGACCAAGAGGGCTGCAATCCAGCAAGTCCAGGAGAGGGTCCAGCAAGTCCAGGAGAGGGTCCAGCATGTGATCACCAGCGTATTCGCCTCGTCTGCGGTGAACTCCTCACTGAAGGTTTCCTTCGAGGACAACGTCACTCAGTGCAGTCAGAGCGTCAACAAGAGCAACGCTGCCATCTTCCGCTCGAGCTTTCAGCTTCACTTCTTGCCGTCGTCCCCGCTCAAGGCCCACCCCTGCCTCTTTGCATGTATGCCGCATGACCAGCCTGTCCTCCTCGACCTCGAGTGCTCTCGCTTCTGCCTCGAGTCAACCGTCACCACCCACCTGCTCGCCGAGCTGAAGTTTGACGTATTTGTCATCGACTTCCTCACTCGGTTCGACTCGGACCGGCCGGTCTCAGTCTCCATCAACGTCTCCGCTGGGCCCGGGGACTGGCTGCCCTCTGGCTCCTCGGTCTACTTCCAGTACCCTCGAGTCCACTGCTCGGGCCTGACGCTGATGATTCACAATCTGGTGGACAACGTGACGGCAGGAGGGTGGGGAGAGGAGAACCAGAGCCTGTGGTTCAGCCTCGAGAGGTTCGCGGGCCCCGACATGGGCCGGCCGTCGATCCGCTTCCCGTTCGGGGAGACCAACAAGCACACAGTCTTCATCTTCGAGCTCAATGACCTGGCGTACGGCACGGCCTCCTACAACGTGACACTGCATGACTCCGGGAGCGAGATGTACGGGGGAAGGAACAGAGAGACGTCCAAGACTCCCCTCCAAGTCTCCCGCCTCGTCGGCAACTTCCGCCCGACTTTCGCCCTTGTCGCCGACCAGCTTGAAGTCATGCAGGACTCTTCCTGCGTCGAGAACCCTATCGATGGGCGCTGCTACGCCCGCTGTCAGTACTCTCACTCGCTGTGCTCGTCTGGCCCTCGAGCCGGGGCTCGCTGCGGGGCCAACAGCGACTGTCCTGGAGCTTGTGAGGAAGGAGTCTACTACAACGGGTCCAACACCTGCGTTACTGGCTGTATGTGCAGCGTCTTTGGAGATGTTGCCTGCGAAGACATCGGAGTCTGCTCCTGCTCCACCCCCAACAACGGCGCCCTCTGCCTCGCCGACGGCGAGTGCACCGGAGGGGGAAAGTGCAGAGGTCGAGGAGAGTGCCGACTCGAGGGGGACAACCGGAGCTGCACGACAGCAGCTGACTGCCTGTCGGGTGGCACGTGCGAGAACGAGTTCCTCTCAGAACTCCTGCACGTCAAGCTGGGCGTCGCCGTCAACATCTCTGCTGGGTCCCTGTTGGAGCAGTCCTGTGACCAGCAGCTCAGGGCCCATCCCGACCAGTTCGAGTGCAGGACGCAGCAGGTTTCCTTCCTCCTCGTCCCCGACAATGAAACAGACGCCTCCTCCCTCTTCGCTCAACTGCCGACGATGGACTCCAACGGCACTCTGTCCTTCCGGCTCAGTCCCAACAAGCACGGTGTGGTCCAGTTCACGGTCTTGCTGCAGGACGACAGTATGGCACAAGGCACCAACATCTCCCTCCCTCGCCCTCTCACCATCTTGGTAGCAAGGAGGGCAGCGTTCGACGTGCAGGACGTCGTGCTCTTCGAAGGTTCCTCGCAGTCTGCCGCTCAGGTCGCCAGCAACATCAGGACGCAACATCTGCTGACGACCAACGGGACTCTCACCTACTCGTACTCCTTCTCCCTCCAGATGTCCCATCCACAGCTCTTCCTCTCTTCTCCTCCTCCCTCCGTTGACACCAACGGTGTTCTCCACTTCGCTCTCCGACCCTTCGAGTACGGCACGAGCACAATCAGGATCACGCTCGCGGACCTCTCGTACCCAGCGATCTCTTCCTTCACGGTCTCTCACGACATCAACTTCACCGTCAGCCATGTGAACAGTCCTCCCACTTTCTCCCTCCTTTTCGACCGGCTCGTCCTACCGCCAGGCCTCCTGACCCTGCAGGAGTTTGAACTGGCAACCAACATCTCCGCCGGGCCCAACGAAGACTGTTCCGTGAGCTCCAAGTTCTGCGAGGTCCAGGCGCTCTCCTTCGTGGTCACGGAAGTCTCGAACCCCGTACTCTTCCGCAGGCTCCCGTCGGTAGATGCCAGGAGCGGCAAGCTGGTCTTCCAGCTCAGATCCGACCAGTCTGGGTCGTCAACGATGAACTTGACCCTCGTCGACGACGGCATGCTGAACGACATCGTGAGCTACTGCAACCAGACGTTGAACGTGAGCGCCGAGCAGTTGGCGGCGTGCGAGGTGACCAACGGGAAGTACGCGGGAGTGAACAAGACGACGAAGTCCCTCGTCATCATATTGGAGACACCACAGCCCTTCTCAGTCGCCAGGGTGATGTACAACATCTTCGAGCCTAGTGCGAACCTGTCGTCCATATCCTGCCCCTCGCTGTTGGAGTACAGCCAGGGCTACTTTAACATCTCACTCCAAGACACCAAGAGGATAATATCCAGCATCGGCAGCTCCCTCGTCCCTTCTTCGCCCTGTGAGCTCGTCCCTGGCGTCAGGGCCAGCAGCTACTCTTCCAGTAAGAACGAGTCGATCCTGCTCATGTCCTACCTCGGTGAGCGGCAGATCTCCTCCTACGCGACCTTGCTGCGACAGGGCACCTTCCTAGACTCCTCATTCTCCGCCTTTGTCGCAAGGGAAAGCTCTTCGGTGCCTCTGCTGGCAACCAACGGTTCCAACACCTCCAGTCTGACGTCCAATCAAACGGCGAGCAACGAGACCAACATGTCGTTCGTCCTCAATCCGAGTGACTTCATCTTCTATCAGCGAGCTCAGGACAAGGTCTTGTCCACCAGAGGACTCGAGTACAGCATGGAGCTTGTCTTCAGCTCCGATGAGATGTACGCCTACTCGCCTGAAGCTGTCTCTGACACTCTGTCCGTCTGGTCTGTCTCAACCACTCCTGGCATGGAGCTCAGTTTCCTCACGAGAAGAGCCCATGACGAGGAGCGCGTCAGGTTTAAGAGCACGGACGTGGAGCGAGTCTTCGACTACACGCCTGATCAAGTTTACACGCCTGACCTGTGTGTTTTGCAATCTTTCCCTCAGTTGCAGGGTCAAAGTGATGACCCCAGTCTCTTCGGGGTCGGTAACGGCTGTGTGGAAAGATCCTTCCTGTCCCGAAGCCTCGCATCCTCCCTGCCCATCGACTACGCGGCTGACGCTGAGCTCATCGGCTACTGGGACTTCACTGAGCAGAGCATGCGAGGGAACCAGAGCGTCTCGAGCTATAGAGAAGGGGAGATCTGCCAGCAAGGATCCTGCACCTTCACCTTGAGCGACGGCATGAGCCTGGCATGCGAGGCGGATGTTGGCTGCACCTTCCGCAGGAAGAGCTACGTCCTCCCTACGTGCCTGGAGCCCAGCCTCGACCTCGAGATCTTCCCCTCCACCTTCCAGAACCTGGCAAGCAGCAGCAAGCTCAGCTCGCTCCTGCTCATGGGCCCTACGTGCAGGGTGTATCCCGACAACCTGGAGTGGCTGGCGGGGTCGGAGAACTACGGGCTGCTGAACGTGATTGCAAACAATGGAGAGGTTGAGGCCGTCCAGTTTGACGGGGTGCTCAACTCGGGCCTGTTTCTGACCAACGACATCAGGAGCGTCACCAGCACCAACTACGTCGATTCAGCTCTTCCTACTCACGCCTTCTCTGTGGAAGCATGGGTGACCGTCGACAAGCCAGTGGCACCATCAGGGTCGCAGTCACTGGGAACAATCTTTGCTGCGGCCTCGGGGGACAGGAACAACGAAGCTGGTTCATGCAACAAGGGCTGGATGCTTTCTTACGAGGTGTTGGCAACCAACCAGATCTCTTTCTACTTGGATGTCGCCACGGAGAAGCTCGGGGCAGTCAACGGACTCTTCCGGCGCGTCGCCGTTAACTTGCTGTCTTCGTTCTTCAGCCCGACTGAATGCAAGTGCATCTATGGCACATGGTTCCACATCGTAGCTATCTACGACGGCTTCAACCTCAAACTTTTCGTCACAGCCAAGGACTTGGGGACCAGGAACAGCACTGCTGCTGCATGCGACGTGCCTCCCTGCGGGGCGATCTACTATCCTTACTACCACCCCCAAGACCCGACAGTCTGTTACGCTTCAGGCCCCGTGCCCGTCACCATCGGCAACTACACCAACACGTTCAAGCCCATTCCTTTTCAGAGCTACAACCACGTCGGCATGATCAAGATGCTGACCCTGTGGAAAGGCGCCTTGTCTACCTCCCAAGTCTCCCTCAGGTTCAACAGGTTCCTGAAGCTCGCAGACAGTCCATCGCAGCCTTCGAGGTACTGGGGAAAGGTCCCCGGCATCTCCCCTTCCATGGACTTCGTGGATGCTGAAGTGGCTGGGCAAGAGACGTCGCCTATGATCAGCCTGAAGGGGGTCTTCGAGTCAACGCTGCGATACAAGTGTCGATTCACAACCACAGTACCAGTGGAGGGCCCCGGTGGCTCGTTCCAGACGAGGTACGCGGAGACGATGGGATATGCGATCAGCACTGGAAGCAAGCTCGGCTTCGTGTTTGGAGAACCTTATGGCAACTCCTACACCCTCAAGTGTCCTACTCCAACCTGGAGCTATGGGAACAAAGAGACGATCTTGTCGGTGTGGGAGGAATCAAATGTCCTGACTTCCTTGACTTGGAGGCCTCTGTGGCAGAAAGTTTGCCTGACTACATTTTGTGGGTACAAGAAGTTCTACCTGAGATATTCACAAGCATCAGCTACCAACCTCCCAGGCTGGTCGTTCGCCCTGCGCAGCCTGACGTCTCCGCCTCTTCCCAACGCAGTGCCATGTGCTTTCAATGACACTGCCGGCTCTGTCCCGATAAACGCCTTCCTAGCGCACTCAGCCGGCGGCTCGATCACCTCCTTCTTCTTCATCGCTGCTAGCTCAGTCTGGGCCTTCTCGGAAGCCTTCCAGGTACCCCAGGGTGATGGACCAGTAGACACTGTGATCATTGAGGACGGGGGAAAGGGCTTCGTGGACGGCTGGCTGACCATGAAGTCCAACGACTTGCTCTTCCCCGACTTCTCAGCTCAGTTCAGCGTCGACGCCTCCAACGCCATCTCGCAGGTGACGGTGAGGGAGAGCGGGCCGCGCCTGAGGAACAACCTCGTCAAGCTCCTCGTCACCTACGGGGAGGGCTGCGCGACATCGTCAAGCGTTGCCGAGTGCAGGAGCGTGAGGCAGCAGGGCACCGTGACCTACCTCGAGCGCAGGGTTAACGCGACCATGTACAACTGCACCGCCAACGGCAAGGTGTACACAGCGGGAAAAGGCTTCGGGTTCGTGGCCAGCTACATAACCAACGGCACGGAGATCGTCAGCACGTCCTTCATGTCGGTCAGTGACCATGGCACCAACGTCCCCGACCAGGTCGAGCTCTTCGTGTCTGACCACGGGTGTCGATGTGTACAGAATGGAAACCAGACAGACGCCAATGGGTACCCCAACGTGACCGGATGCCTCATTGCGCATGTGGCGGGGGGAGAGAAGCTGACGACGATGACGAAGAAGGGTATGAAGAGGATGAGTCGAGTCGTCCCAAAGCTCTGGGGGGTCAAGGGGCTTCAAGACTGCCTGCAAGTCTCCGGCTGCCTGCCAGACCCCCTTGGGGACGCGTACGGAGGGTCCAGTGCCATTCAAGCCTTGACCGACCTTTCGTCCGGCACAAGAATCCTGATACTAGGGAACTTTCCCCTGGGAGAACGGCAGTCGGACTACCTCACCATCTGGAACGTCTTCGATCTCCTACAGCCTCCTGCTCCGGTCCAAAAGGTCCAAACCCCCGGCACCATGGGCATCAGCCTCTTGTCCGTTCCTCCCTTCTCCGCTCCCCGCGCCGCCGCCGTTGCCAACTTCCTCGGGCAGAGCTCGATCTACCGCTGGCTGGGACCTTCGCCAGTCCTCTTTTACGAGATGGCAGACCCCGGGCTGAACTTTCCTCCCCACGGGCTCGTCCGCTCCCTGACCGACGGCCTGCCCGACCAGATCGTCGGCAACTTCTCTGCGTCAGGGCCCTTGACTAGTCTGAACTTCTTCCCTGACCGCCCCTTGTTCCCTGGCACGACACTGAGCTTCGTGTACGGCGATGACTGCGCAGATGAAGGGGCAGGGTGCCGGAAGAAGAACGTGGTTGGATCAGTGGGCATCATATCGCTCACGAAGCCCCAGCTCATTGCGAACTGCACTGCGCAAGACGTGTTGACAGGTTCGTTGAATTTTTCCTCTCCCTCCGCCCTGACTTGTTTGCCTGCTCTACAGGTGGAGGCGGGTTCAAAGCCTACATCCTGAACGCGTCTGGAGTGCTGGAGATCAGGTTCAGAGCAGCGAGTGATCGCGGAACCAACATCACAGGGTCTCTCCTCATCACCTCCAGCTCACAGTCCAGCTGCAGATGCAACGGCAAGACCAGCTTCAATGAGTGCCTTGACTTCTCCTTCGTATCCCCCGCGTCAGTCTCGCTGTTCCCGCAAGACGAGCGCCCCTTGTCAATCTCTCTTGTCGACATCCTCGATGCTGGTGACTTGACCTGCCCCTGCTCGCCTGATCTCGCTGACCTTTGTCAAGGTGTCGGGTACATTCCTGGGACCCTCAGGGCCACCTCCCTCGCTGACATCGGTCAAGGTTTCTCAGCAGACTTTGACACCACAGACGGGCGGTTGAGTGAGGTCAAAGTGCAGTCGGCCGGTCAGAACTACCTGCCGGGCTCATCCCTCGAGATCTTCTACGGGCCCGGCTGTGCCTTGAAGGACGACGCCTGCAACGAGACGGCGATGACTGGCACCGTGACGCTCGTCGAGCAAGACTGGGAGGGCTCGGGCACTTTGACCTGCCAGCGGGATGGGTTTGTGACAGCGACGCACCCGACAGGAGAAGGCTTCAGGGCTGAGCTTTTCGTGGACGGCACAGGAAGAGTCTCGTTCTGGTTCCGCCTTGCTTCGTCCCACGGGTCGAACTACTCGCTGTCTCCCTCCGCTCCCCTCCCCCTCCTCAGCCCGCACAGCAACTGCACCTGTCGCTCCAACATCGATCAGCTCCTGCTCAACATCACCCACTGTGTGCGGCTCGTCGTGGCCACAGGCGCGAGGGTGGTCGGGAGAAAGCAGGAAGCGATGCGATCGCTCTACTGCCATGGCGCCGACCATTCCGCCTGCCCGGGGCTGACTGAGACTGTTGACACGACGATCGCCATGACGACGTCGAGGTCAGTGCTGATGCTGCTGGCCCTCTCTTGCCTCGCTCCTCACCTTCCTTGACCAGGCTCTGGCCCGTCGACACTCTACGTCCCTACCAGCTCGATACCAAGGGGGCCGTCGCTGTCGACTCCATCACCCTACAGAATTTCTCACTCGTTGCCTTTGCGAGCTACTACGATCGAGACATGTATGGTGCTCAATCCTCGTGCCCTCTTGACCTCCCTTGTCCTGCAGGAGCACCTATGCTGTGCCGTCAAGGTTGTTTGCTGTGAGAGACAAGGCAGGCGATCGCCTCCTCGACGCTGAGGTTGTTTATTGAGAATCTCGGACAAGTCAAGCTCAAGTTCACGACCTCAGGTTTTCGAGTACCAGCAGTTTCCGACCGTCGCAGCCACCAACGTGTTGTTCGTCAGGGTGAACGTCAGTCATCTAGAGCCTCCCCTCCTCTTGCCCTGTCCCCTGACTTCTGCCCACAGCAAACTTGCATCCTGCTCATGTTCACCCAATACTTCGAGGACACCTTAGTCTACCAGCTCACCAACCTCGACCTCTCCATGAGGAGCCGGTTTCTCCTGCTGCAGTCCCTTCACACCCGCTCAGCCACAAGTCTCTCGAGCTTCGAAGTCTCTTGACCCCTCTGCTCTATCCCAAGTCTCACCGAGCTGGCAGGCAACCGGCACGTTCTTTCTGCTTGTCACTCAAGACGAGGCCCTCTACAACTCCTCCATGTTCCGTTGGAATGGCTCCAGCCTGAACGGGGTTCAAACGCTGCAGACTCTCAACAAGGATTCTTCTAGCGGTCAGTGCCGGTGCTGCCCGCCTTCGCTGGCTCTGACTTGGCGGCTTCAGGCCAATTCCTCCCATCCTCCTACGTCAACGACGCGTCAACGTGGACGACCAACGGTGAGACTAGACCGGAAGGGTCTGTTGACGAGGCCCTCTGACCTCTGGCGCTCAGGGACACGATGGGTTCTCTTGGGCGCGCATCGGAATCTGACGCAGAACTCCTCCGTCTGGAGCCGCAAGCCTGTGTTCTCCAACTTGTACAGGATGCAGACTGAGTTCAGAGTGAACATGCTCCACCCTGTCGACATGGGTTGGTCTCCTTGCGATTGCAGGAACGCACTGAATTCGCCCACAGAGATGTCGAATGACGGGAGGTTCATTTATGTAGCCTCTTACAGCTCACAGGTTCTTGGACTGTTTCCCCCTCCTCTCTCCCTTTCTCTCCTCCTCTCCGCTCTCTTCTCCGCTGCCCTTTCCCACTGCTTCCTTCTTCTCGTATCCTTCACACTCTCCTACTCCTCGTCCCTCCTCCGCCCGTTTTTCTCTTCTCCCTGACCGTCTCGCATCAGACCTTGATGTGTTTCCGCCGTAACCCGTCGGACGGGAACTTGTTTGCAGATGCTGCCTGCAGGTCGATCCCTTGTACCGTCTTAAAACCTCGTTGCTGATCCTTCCGATCAGTTATGGGCCTCATCGCAGCGACTATGTTCCCCTCGGCGCCCTGACGTCCCTGGCCTTGACAAAGGACAGCAGCAAGTTGCTGGCCACGAGTGCCTCGGAACATGCTCTCTACGTGTTCTGCATCGACACCCTCAACGGCGAGCTCACTCTCCATCAGGTGAAGGGATGAGTTTTGTAGAGATGCCATATTTGGATGTCATGTTGAGATTGTCAGTATGCGATGCTATGATCTGATGTCGTCGATCGATATTGTGGATTCTGCCATCACCGACTCGTTTCTACAGACTGTTCGAGACCAGATGGTCCTGGACGGAAGGCTTGTCGACGCACTCCGAGGGGCAGCAATGGTGGCAGTCTCAGGGCAGACGGCAGTCGTAGCTGCTGCTATAGATCATGCGCTATCTGTCTTCTTCCTCCCCCTCGGGTGCTCCCCTATCCAGGTGATGACGTGGCACCAGCCTTGCCCTGGCCCTGTCGCTCACCCGGCCTGCAGTACGTGGACAGGATAAGAGAAGGAGAACGATCCCTCAGCGGCTTCCAGCAGCCCATGAGCAACAGCTCCAACACGTTGCCCTGGTCAAGAGATGCCAGGTACATCCGCACAACCCCCACCTCGCCCTCCAGCTGACGACCAGCTCGTCTGGCAGCCCGCGGATGTTCGACCTGCACGACTCCAGCATGAACTTCACCCGCATGACTAGGGAGTTCCGCGTCAACGGCGAGTTGATGCTGGCTGTGGTGGTCGGGTCGGACAGCAGCGACATTATGCAGCCAGGCAGCGTCGAGATCTACAAGTGGGACATACAAGTCGAGCAGTTCGTCTTCTTGCAGGATCTGACCCACCTAAGCCACCCGACGGACGTGGTGAGACGAAACTGACCCGAGTCAAGCCTCTCCTGACTTGCTCCCCAAGGTGTTCTTCACAGTGCCGACCAGAGGGCAGCAAGTTGACTCGAGCCTACTGGCTGTCGCTGACTTGAGGCCGGACCTGAGGTCGGCCTACGATGCTGCCGGAGGGATCAACGTGTACCTCTGGGATGTGCAGGAGCAGATGTTCGTATTCTTCCAGGTTGTTGACACGAAGCTTCTTCCTCAAAGCAGCCTCTACGACGGGAACAACTTCAAGGTGGTACACACCTGCCCCACCTGTGAGCCGGCGGCAGCGATATCATCGCAAGAGTATCCTCCATGCTACGCTTCTTCGGTGCCAACGATCCACGTCACTGCATCCTTGCTGATAGATTCTTCTCGTGCGATGGCAGGACTCGCGGCCGTGGGCTTGGATGTACGACTTTGAGGTCTTGCCCAACCAGAGTTTCACGTGCAACTCAACGGTTCTGAACATGGTGATCAAATTCTCTTCATCTTCTGCTTTCATTCTCCTCATCTCACCTCTTCTTCCCAGCGCCTGAGCACTTTCACCATCGACGGCATCCCCTTCCTGGCCGCCGCTTTCCTGCGTCCTCAGCATCTGCCGGTCGGCAGCGAGTGGTTGTCTGCGGTGTTCCGGTGGAACAACGACGGGAGGAGGAGTCTGGAGAGCGGCAAGACGGTGGACATGTTAGGCTTCGACTTCTTCCAGCCCATCGCAACGTCCAGCGCGTCTGCCGTTCTTCATTTGAACGTCTCTGCCCCCTCGGGCACCCTCAGGCACCTCATAGTGTACGGCAACTCCTACCAGGACGACAACCAGCGGACTGACGGGCTTTCGTCGGTGTGGGAGTGGTTCCAACAAGACTGGAACCCCTTCCTAAGGGAGAAGGCCGGGCTGTTCCGGTTGGTGCACAGGTTGCCAGTTACAGGGGTAACGGACATCACTTCCTGTACGGTCCAGGGCCCGACGGGGTCACTTCTACTCGTTGGGTTCGCAAGTGTCCAGTCGGCGTCGTCGGCTCAGTCGTCGCCCCTATACAGGTGGGAGCAGGATCAGCTCGTGGAGTTTCAGGCGCTGCCAGAGGCCTCGTCGAGCCTTGTCTGCTTCCACCAGCGCGGCGACGTCTACCTGGCCCTCGCGCACGTCCCGCCAGCCTACAGCGAGGACGAGGGCAGCTCGTTCGTACACGTCCTCCAATGGGACAAGGCGACTTCGAAGTTCTCTGCGCTCATGTCAATCACCGACGACCAGTACAGGGGACTGTTCGGATCGGATGTCCCGTCCTCGGAGAGGAGAATCCACGAAGCGCACCTCAAGGTGCCAGCTGGCCTGCTGCTGTCCGCCACGATCGTCCAGCCCTCGCCAGCTCTCAGCCTGATGTGCCTGTCCAGCCTAACCACAGGGCTCGTCATGTACGAATTTGACTTCTCCACACTCAAGGGCCTCCAAGGGGTCTCAGTTGTCAACATTGACAACCAAGGGAACGTGTTTGCGGTCAGCCCGACCGCCCGGACCCTCGTGCACGTCAAAGTTCAGGACGTCCTCGACTCCTCCAGCCGCGTCGTGTCAAACCTCACTTGGGTGCAGACTTGGAGCGAGCAGCCGCTGCAGCTGTCGCGGCTCAACGCGTCAGTCAGTGAGGGGATCGTCGGGCTGGCAGGGGCCGTGCGGATGGAGCTGTCAGACACGCAATGCTACGAAGAGATCGTGACCGATCAGCTGCAGATGGAGACGTGGAGGATCGTTCTCAACAGCACCAACGGGACCAACGTCACAAACGCCACGAGCTTTAACGGCACAGTGGATTCCAACAGCACCAGCAACTCCAGCTCGAGTCAGCTCAACAGCACGTCAAACTCGTCTCTTCCTTGTAACGAGACGCTGGAGAATTGCAGCTCCCCAACTGCGAGGAGGCTCCTGCAGTCAACCGTCATGGACTTGGTCAACTACACCAAGGAGCGGCTGGTAACGACCTGCTTCCGCTCCCTCCTTGTCCGCTCACGGCCTCCTCGCTTCAACCTGCCCTGTGGGACCATCCCTCCGCTCTCCGTTGTCCACGAGCTCGTGCCTCCCATCTGTCGCTCCTCCTCCTTTTCTGCCTCCTTCCTGGGTGATCAGAACGCCATCGCCACCAGCCCCCCAGCTATCGACAAGGACGGCAAGCTGTCCTTTAATGTGAAGTCCAGCTGGGGAGGGGAGCAGACGCTTGCGATCAGTTCAGACTCCTCCAACATCACGCAGACGGCGCAGCTGACGCTGCTGTCAGCGAACTTTAAGCCGATGTTCCAGCTCATGGACGTGGTGGTTAACGAGGACGCCGGTCTCAAGGTCGTCGACTTCGCCAGCGGCGTCCGGTGGATGCAGAGCCCCAAGGTCGCGCAGTGGCAGCTGATGCAGAACATCACGTGCAGCATCGTCGGGGTGACGAGGCCGGCAACCGACGTCTTCGCACAGCTGCCCACCTTCATCACTCTCAAGCGACCGGACGGGAGGTACTACGGGGTCACTTCCTTCCAGTGGAGCCCCAACGTGTACGGCGAGTGCTCGGTCCAGATCCAGCTAGTCATCGACGACGACAACATCCCAGCTGAGTTCCGGGAGTCTCATCCCGCATCCTTCATCCTCCGCTCTCTCCCTGTTAACGACCCCCCCTCCTACATACTCCAGCAGAGCTCCTTCTCAATCCTCCAGGGTCAGCCGTTCGACCAGCACGTCCTCTCCTGCCTGAGTTGGTATCCTGACGATATCCCGCAAGCATGCTCAGTACCCAACATGTGCCTGGGGAGCTTGAATACCTGCTTCAACAAGGTCCTCTCGTCCGGCCTCACTCATCCGTCATCCAACTCCCTTGGGCCCGGCGGGTATCAGGCCGGACCCTTCTGCAACCTTACCAAGGAGAAGGAGGGCTTCACGTGCTGGTACAGGATGGAGATGGCGAACGTGACGCGCTGCCGGACGGAGATGATGGGGGTGGGGAACACGACGGTGGCTGTGGAGGTGTGCGAGGAGGACAGGGGGGTGGTCAAGTCCTTCTACTACGACAACGGGTTCCTTCACGTGGACTTCGACCCAGGCAGCTTCGGATCCTTCGTCCTGACCTTCAATATCGTTGACAACGGGGGGAGGGCACGGGGGGGGCTGGACACGGCGACGTTCTCGTTCCGGGTTCAGATCGGGCAGGTGGTGGCGAAGCCGGAGGTAGTCGTGCAGCCTCCTGCGATCACAACGCCCGTCGTCATCGAGCAGAACGTCTCAGTCCCGCCCGTCGTCCTCCCTCCCCTTGCCGACCTAGCTGAGAGTTACCTGATCGTGGACGAGGTGGCGGCGGCTCTGGTACACAACTACACGGGCTTCTTCCAGTTTGCCGACGGGGGGCTCGATCAGCAGACGGCCAACGTCCTCACTGTGGTAGTGACCAGCGTCACACGGAAGGAGCTTTTCCTCTCTGACTCGTCCCCGACATCCTCATCCTGCACTGGATGCCCTGTCATCGCTCTCCAGGGGCTGTCAGGCAGTCTGACCTTCGTCCTGGCTCCCTACCAGTACGGCGTCTCCTCCGTGACATTCCTGCTGCGATCGCAGAACCGATTCGATGCCAGCAAGTCTGCCGAGGCCTCCCACTCTCTTGATATCATCGTCCTCCCTGTCAACAACCCTCCCAGCGCCGCCGTCTCTCCCCTGGTCGCCGTCCTGTCCGACCGGCAGGACCTCGTCGTCGATGAAGTTTTCACCAACATTTCGGTGGGTCTTTCAGCCCAACCAGCGCAGCATGTCCTCTGTCTGAGAGGCGTGTCAGCCGCTGTCCTCCCCTCCTCCTGTTCTCTCCCCTCCTTCCTGTCATCATGCTCGCCCGTTGACTGTTCTCTGTTGTCAGGTGGGGCCAGCGAATGAGTTGTGGCAGAACTTGACCTTCGTCATCGCCAACCTGCACTACACTCCTCTTCTCCTTGGATCGTTGCCGCACATCACTCCCGAAGGTTTGATGCCTGCCTGTTCCCTCCCGCTCCTCCTCCTCCTCGTCCCTCCTGCTTGCTTGCCTCCTCTCAGTCGCTCTTCTTCCCCTTCTCTTCTCCTCCCCCCCTTTCACGCCTCAACCTCTTCACCATCTCATCGGGTGACACAGGCTCCCTCCATCTGAACCTCTCGCAAAACCACCAAGGCACCCTCAACATGAGCATCGTGCTCGCGGACTCCGGCGGAACGCAGAGGGGAGGGAGGAACGAGAGCGCTGCGGTGGACATGCGGCTGAAAGTCTTCGGTATGCCCCTCGTCACTTCCATCTTCCCCTGCGTAGGGAGGAGCTCCCAGGGCTGGACCATGACCATTATCGGCAACAACTTCCTTGACTCCCTCCCTGCTGACGCGGCCCCCTACGTCAACTTCGAGGACCGGCAGGCGCTGGTCTACGTGGGAAGGGAGCTGTGCCTGGACCTTCGCATCGCGTCCAGCAGCATGATCACCTGCATCGCACCCAACGGGTCCATGCCGGGGAGGATGCCCGTGACCGTCTCCCTCCCCTCCTTCTCCTCCTCCAACCCCCTGGGAGTAGTCATCTACCGCGGGGAAGGCAGGAGCTTCACCTATTCGGAGGGGGTGGTGCATGCCGACCTCATGTTTGGAGGAAGCTTCCTGGAGGCGTCGGCCAACCACACCATGACCCTCCTCGCCCTCGGCCCGGGCCTCTCGCCCCCGGCTGCCTCTTGCAACTCCTCCCACACCTTCTGTCCAGCAGCCGAGCGTGAAGTCTCTGCCAGCAACCTGCTGGGCCAGAGGGGCGTCGTCAGGTACTGCCCCCCCTCCCTTCCCCCCCCCCTTCCATCCCTCCCCGCCTCGCACTCTCTCTCTCTCCTGCCCACCTGACCTCCACCTGGCAGAGCTCTGGAGTTCTTCCAGGGCAAGGTGATGTACGGAGGTACCTTCCGTTCGGAGTCTAGACAGACTTCGTACCTGGTCTGTGACGTGGCTGCAAGGAGGCAGGATCCCTGACCCCAGCTGCAGGTGATGTGGGATGGGGTCCGTCACTTCCCAGTGGGAGGAGGGCTGAACGGCCCGGTCTACTCCCTCAGCAAGTACAAGAACGGCATCGCTGCCGGAGGAGCGTTCTCCCGCATATTCCGCCAGCAGGTTTCTCCTCCCTTCCCCTTCCCTCTCCCTTCCCTCTCCCTTCCTTTCTTTAACCTCTCCTACCATCTTCCCTCCTCTTCGTCCTTCCTTGGTCCTCTCCCCTCCCCTCCCCTCCTTTCCTCTCTTCGCTTCTCCTCTCCCCTGTCAAAATCCAGCGTTGACAACAGGAGCAGACGTCAGTCAGCGACGGCTTGCAGAGTGGAGGGCTCGGGTTCTGGAACGGAACTTCCTGGAGCCTCATAGGAGGGAGAGCGGTGAATGGTGTTGTTTTCTGCAGGTAATGCTGGGTAGGAAGGGAGGAGGAGAATTTAGAAATGCTGGCAGCGTGACGGTTGGAGACAACCTCTACGTGGGCGGGAGATTCAACAGCATCGGAGATACGACAATGCAGAACATTGCCGTGTTTGATGGACTGGTGAGGAGGAGGAGCAGGAGAACGAGAACGAGAAGGACGAGAAGGAGGAGGAAGAGGAGGGGGGGAAAGAGAAGGACGAGGAGGAGGTGGAGGAGGAGGAGGAAAGGCGGAGGAAGGGAGGCGCAACGTCAGAGAGGGGGATAGATGGATGCTGGATGCTGACGGGGGCTCAGGGGTGGTCGGCGATAGGAGGAGGGCTGCAGGCAGCAGAGGTTAACGACATGTCCTACTCCGCTGACGTCGGCCTCGTGGTTGTCGGGACGATCTACCGTTCAGGTAGACTCCAGCTGGGGAGAGAGTGAGTGCGAGCTGACTGAACGGCGCCTGAGCAGGGGATACGATCCTCTCCAATGTCGTGCGCTGGGACTTTACGGCTGGGAAGTGGCTGAGCTTGGGAGAGTTCGACCAGACTGTCCGGGCAGGCAAGTGCAAGGGAGGTCGGCAGCAGTCGCTCATGTGAGGTTTACTTTACAGTCGTCACCGACGGCAACAACATCTACATCGGAGGAGACTTCCAGCGTAAGTCCTCCCCCTCCTCCTCTCTCCTCCCTCTGACAGCGGCATACAGGAGCCGGCAACCTCAAGATCCTGTCCATGGCCAAGACTGTCATCCAGGTAGCGGCCTCCCTCCTCCTCTCATGTTCCCCAGCTCATCCTCCCATGCAGGGAGGCGTCTTCATGGGCTGGAAGGAGCTCGCGGCGGCGGTGGAAGGAAACGTGCACAGCATGCTCTATTCCGGCGGCTTCCTGTACGTGGGAGGAGACATGAAGTCAGTCACGGACGGGTGAGCTGCTGCTGGCGTCCTGCTGGGGGCGTCCTGTGACTGAGGTGGCAGGGAGGGGAAGAAGAGCGTGCAGGGCCTGATGAGGAGGAGGATGGACATGCGGGAGCTCGTCGACACGGTGAGTGGCGGAGCTGGAGAGCAGCAACGCTCTTGCTGAGACTTTGCCTGCAGGTCTGGCAGCCTCTGCGAGGAGCCGAGAGCTTCATGCCGGCAACCATCTCGTCCATCAGTCGGGTGGAGTAGGAGGGAGGGAGGAAGACGCTGCTGCCTCTCTCCCCCCTCCTGCTTCCCTTCCGTCCGCATCGGCAGCGCCCTTCCACCTCAAGATGTGCAGTGGGGTGTACCTGCGGTAGAGCTAAGGTGGGGAGGAGAGGATACACTCCAACTCACTTGGCTCCTTCTCGCGAGAGTTCTGATTGCATAATGCAAACTCTATCAACGACGCCCATCAAACCAACCTGTGAAACTCATCATCATCATCATCATCATCATCATCATCATCATCATCATCATCATCATCATCATCATACCCTTCCCTCCCCCCCCCCCCCCCCTTCCTCCCTCCTCCCTCCTCCCTCTCATCATAATCGTCATCGTCTATCATCGTCATCGTCATCATACGTCGTAGTCCAAGATCGCGCCATCCTTCCCGCTGATGAGCTTCGAGAAGTCTTCTTGCTGCTGGCCGCCTTCCCCGCTGCTCGTGCGGAGCTTCCGAAGAAGCGTCCGCCCATCCTGCTCCCTCCCTGGCGGCAGGAGCTCAGGTCCTGCGCATGGAGCCTTCGTCTCCTACCCTTGAAGGAAAATCTCGCGAGGGTGATGTGCGGAGAGAACCTTTCCTCGCCCTCACCGCCTGCTGCCCTGCAGACACATACTCACTTCCTCTCTCCACAACCACAACCATCTCCTTCCCCCACTCTCCCTCCATCCTCAATCTTATCTTTACCTTTTCACCATCACTTCTTCATGCTTCCCCTCCTCCTCCTCCTCCTCCTCCCCCTCCTCCTCCTCTTCCACCACCACCACAACCGCCGCCGCCGCCACCACCACCTCCTCCTCCTCCTCCTCAATCACAACCACTTCCTCCTCCTTCACCACCACCACCTCCTCCTCCTCCACAAGACTCCTCCCCGCACACGCCCTCGCTCACCTTCTCACGCATCTCTCCACCATCTGCAGTTTCTTCGTCGTCTCGTTCGTCAGCCCCAGCCACAGCACAGACGGCAGGCCTTCCGCTGGAAGGTCCCAAGAGACGCAGCCTGCACAGCCTTCTCATGCCACGCTCTCCCCGGAAGCCATGACTTACTGCAAGAGGGAAGGGCTCCAGGTTCCCAAGTGCTGCCAGCTCCAGGTCGAGCTTGGACCTCAGTGTTTCGATCTCCTCGTCCCCCATGTCTCCGAGGAAGCGCAGGGTCAGGTGGGAGCTCCTGGGGTTCACCCACCGCGTGTGGTTCCTCAGCTGCTTCCAGGGATGCTGGCACTGCAGCAGCTCGATGGTGCGGGCCACCGCGTCCACGTCTGAGTCGGAGAGCTCCACACAGACGAAGATTCTTTTCTTCCCCTTCATGACCAGCGATGAACACCCGAGGCTGTGGAAGATTCTATGCTGACCTGAGAGCTATCGGCCTGAGACGTCGCCGTCGCCCCCCTCGCCATCGTGAGTGCCGCTGCGAGCGAAATCAACTTCAACTCTATCCGCCATCTTGGCTTGGCCAAGGCATGGTCTACATAATCCTCTTCGTCTCTCGCATCTTCTTCGTCTCCAGTCCTCAACTCTTCACTCTCGTCCATATTCACATGCATGTCGACGTGCTGTGCTTCTCTTGCATGATAACTGAGTATCTTTTTGTACCCAACCCTCTTGTGGATCTCACCACTCTGCTACTTACTTACGCTTGCTCTCCTCTTCTACATCTTGCTCCCTGCATGTTCATCTCCTCCTCCTCCTCCTCCTCCTCCTCCTCCTCCTCCTCCTCCTCCTCCTCCTCCTCCTCCTCCTCTCACCTCGCTGACCCGCTCCTCCCGACATCGTCGCCGCCATCCCTATCGCCATGAGACTCATCAACATTGCAGTGATGGATCGTTACAAACCGTTTATTTTTACATTCTCGTTATAGGATTGTACATAGCCGTTACATACGGTTTCTGTAACGGGTATCTGCTGTGTCATCGAGGCGAGGATGGCGGTGGAGGGGGTGAAGACAAAGGAGGAGGAAAGGAGGAGGAGAGGAGGGGGAGAGGAGGAGGAGAGGAGGAGGAGAGGAGGAGGAGAGGAGGAGGAGGAGGAGGATGAGAGGAGGAGGAGGAGGAGGAGAGGAGGAGAGGAGGAGGAGGAGAGGAGTGGTAGATGAAGAATCAGCAGGGAGTTCGCTCATGTTCCTTTGAGCGGGGGGATGCAGGAAAGCAGTAGGCCAGGCGAGGAAGAATTCATGTTTCCGAACGATCCAGGCATGAAGTACATCATCAGAGATTCATGGTGCGATCAGCCGAGTTGCAGGTGGTTCATGTAGGAGGGAACACATGATTTTAAAAAAGGGACGAACGTTCTTGTTGGCCTGCTGACATTTCAGCAGCTTCACGTTGGCTTGCTAGTATGGATAAGCTCCTCTCAAGAGCTTCGGTGGGTCGAGACGACGAACCTCGTCCTGTGCCGGCTGACCAGTCGCTTGCAGGCTCTTGTAGGGTTGGGACCAGCGTGCACTCCCTCGATTACGTTCTCGGACGAGAGCTCGCGCAAGCGAGTGACATCGTACAAGGATGGTCAGCAGGTGAACCTTGTTGCATGCAGAGGGCCCTTCCTTGTCTCGGTCGCTAAGCAGGCTGGTGGCAGGAGCAGGTGCTGGTTTTCACCGACAAGGATCCTGTGGCGGGAGAGGTGACGTTGAAACTGGACCCGGGGAAGAGGCTCGAGCACATGGGGGTCAAGATAGAATTCATCGGCATGATCGAGATGTTCTATGGAAATTATCACGAGTTTACGAATCTTGTGCGCGATTTGGACGCTCCGGGCGAATTAACGCAGACGAAAGTGTATCAGTTCGACTTTGCTAGTGTAGACAAGCAGGTGAGACGGCAGAGGTGGTGATGGTGATGGTGATGGTGCTGCTGCTGATGATGATGATGATGTTGATGTTGTTGTTGTTGTTGTTGAGGAGGAGGAGGAGGAGGAGGAGGATTATCTGACCTGTGGTGTATCGTGTCACGCTGTGATGACGTTGCTGTCTATGCCCTGGTCTACCCTTGCTGATCGGAATGTCACAGTACGATAGTTACAATGGGATCAACGTGAAGCTGAGATATTTTCTCCGAGTCACTGTCGCCAGGCAGTACAGGTGCCTCTCCCGCCTCCCTGCTCCTCTCGACTGAATCGTTTCCCTGGGTAGCCCCAATGTTGTGTTCGAGCAGGATATCTGGGTTAAGAACGTACAGACGATGGTGAGAGGGCTGGGAGATAATTGCACGACTTGGCATGCGGGGGTTGGAGGAGAGCAGAGGGGGGAGCATGAGATGAAGACTGACTGACTTTTGCTTCTTGGCCGACTTTTCCCATCGCTTGGTTCCATCAGCCGGTAAGGTCGAACGAGTACTTTCAGGGACCCTGACGTTTTGCAGCCTGAGATCAACAATAGCATCAAGATGGAGGTCGGAATCGAAGATTGCCTGCACATCGAGTTCGAGTACAACCGCTCCAAGTATCACTTAAAGGTTTGAGATCTCCTCCTGTGTCCTCGTCCTCGTCCTCGTCCTCGTACATTTTTGCTTCGTCTCGCTTCCCATATCCCACACCTCCCACATCTCTCCTCCTACCCGTCCATGCTTGCTGTTCCAACCCATCCTGACCCACATGCTGTCCAGGACGTTGTCATCGGAAAGATTTATTTCCTCTTGGTCTGAAGACGGACTGACAAAGTGCCAAGACTAACAAGTTCTGCAGGTTCGTCTAAAGATCAAGCACATGGAAATCGAGATCAGGAAACGCGAGTCGACAGGCTCAGGCTCTGACCTGTACAACGAGAGCGAGACTATCACTAAGTATCCACTCATCTCCTCCCCATCCCTTCCTCTCCACCTGCTCCTCCTCATCCCAAGACTAAGTTTCTCCTTGATAATCGACACTCCTGCCTCTGCTCGTACTTCCCTGTTTCCCCTCTGCTCAAAACCCTCTTGCGGCTCCTCACTTCTCCTGCAGGTTCGAGATCATGGACGGAGCTCCTGTGCGAGGCGAGTCGGTACGTTGGGCACTCGCAGCCTTGACTCGACACTAAAGACGGCTGCCGCAGGTTCCGGTCCGGCTGTTCCTGTCCGGGTTTGACCTCACTCCCACCTACCGTAACGTGAATAACAAGTTCAGCGTGAAGTGAGTGCTCGGAGGAGAAGAGGAAAGGGAGGGATGGAGGGAGGGAGGGATGGAAGAAGAGAGGGGGGGGGAGAGGGACGGGGGTGGGGGTGGAGGGGGGTGAAAACGAGGTAGAGGGGCAGGCTGTGAGAGTTGCAGGGACCAAGGGGAGGAGGGGGAGAGGAGAAATGAGATCGCTGCAGGTACTACCTCAACCTCGTGCTAGTGGACGAGGAGGATCGTCGGTACTTCAAGCAGCAGGAGATCACTCTGTGGCGGAAAGAGCTCTAGGACATGTAATTGTAAGAAGCAACGTACATAGCAAGTCAATCGGAAAAAGATGATTTTTTTCATTTTTGATCGTAATAACCAAATGTCAGACAACGAAGAAAAAAGGGTTCAAAGTGACATCATGTAGTGCGCCCGACTCCTCCAGGTATCGTCAGGCGCGGCTTCCTCCCATTCCTCCATCCCTCCCTCCAGCTTCTAGTTCTTCTGCAGACGCCGCTTGTAGTCTTCCAGAGAGAGTTTCTTCCCACTCCCGGAGCTGACCTATAGAGATTCGAGTCAACAGAAAAGGTTCAAATGAACAAAAGAGGGGAAGGAGCGGAAGAGAAGAGCAGGGAGGGAAAGAGACGGATGCCAAGAGCAGGGAAGGGACGGATGCGAAGACGCAGGCCAGGGAACGAGGGGAGACCTTGATGTTGTCCACAGGCTTTAGAGGATTGACTGAGCGAAAGAGCATAGGGGCCTCATCTAGCTTCTTCGGAGCGCTCATGTCGATCTGCGAGAAATTCAGGGGCGGCAAGCAGTCCTGCAGCAGGCGGACCTCAAGGTCGAGCTGCTCAGCAGCATGCGCTTGCTTGATCAGCGAGTGGGAAGAGGTGGAGGCATCCGAGGACGAAGCAGAAGACTTCTTGCTCAGCAGAAGACGCTCCTCCTCGTCATCGTCGTCGATCTCAGCCTCAACATTCAGCCCGTTCTTTGCTGGTTCTGTGGTGTTGAGCGACTCTCCCTTGAAGCGATCGTCCTCAGCGATCTTGCGGGCGTCAGCGTCCTCGCCCTTCCCTCCAAACTGAAAGTAAACGGTCTGTTGGTAGTGTCTTGTACATGTGATGTTCCTCGATGACTCTAGCTTCTTTGAAACTGTTCGGTTCGCAAGGTGGTTCCTCTGGTTGATCTTGTTCACACTCTTGTATCCTTGCTGCGCAGATTCTTGCTGCTCCTTCTCCTTCCTTTCTAGCTCGTTCACCTTCTCTCTAAGATCTTCCCAACGTTGATAAGCCTTGTCCTTGCTATCTGGATCCGCGTCGGTGAGCTGCTTGTAATCCTCCCAAGCCTCCTCCATCTCATCGTGAAGGCAGAGCTTATTCAGAGCAACGTTGCCTGACGTACTTCCTTTCTTCCGTTTCTCTTGCAGGATCTGCTCGACAACACCCTGATCATATCTGAACTCCTCCTTCCATCGCTTCTCCAACTTGGCCTTCAGCTCGTCCAGCTCGTCGTCAGTCGGGAGTTTCTCGCGCTCGATCGAGACGTCTTTGCACCATTTGTCTACCTCGGAGTTCAGGAAGGGTTTGTTGGAGACAAGCGTCATCTGAAACTTCTTCTGTTGACCAGCATGCGTCACACAAAGGACCTTCTGCAAAGGAATTTTTCGCTTCGTCTTGGAGCAAACACCTTCGTACTTCTTGTCCACTTCCTTCAACCCTATGATTTGGCCGAGGATGTATCGTGTCTCTCCCAGATTGTTTTCTCCCAGATTGACGCGAACAAACAGTCCCTGAACAAATTCACCGAAGAATGGTTCACTGTCAAAATCATTCAGTGGCCATCACAACACAGATTTTCACGAACTCACTTGACGTACTCAAGGAGCCTGTCGCGGGACACACGGGCTGCCTCGACCTTGTCGTAGGCAACTCGAGGATAATCACGGAATTCTTCTTGAATCTGACGATGCCTTCCAATCAAGTCAACCTCGTACTATGGGCAACAAGCACAGAGCGACACCTTGGCTTCACAGTCTTCTCGAAGTGTGGTTCTTCCCTCTGCTTTTCTCGCTCATGACCTCGAGGAGACCTCTCCTCGTCGTCGCCATCATCTTCCACAACCTTGAGCCTGGCCTTCTTCGACTGGTCTTGAGTCTTGCGAACCTCCATGTCCTCAAGAGCTGCCTTCTTCTGCTGCTTCTTGTCATCGACTGGCTTCACGTCCCTTCGCGACCCTGCAACTTGCTCAGTCCTGTGACGAGCATGGAACGTGGGGCTCACGTATGCCCTGGGAGTTGGAAGCACTGGCAGCAGGAGCTTGGTTCAAGCCCTCTTTCTTCTTCTTGTGCCGTACCATCCAGGCTTCCTTAGCAAGGGTCTGCTGATCTCGACGCTCTGAGATGATGGCCTCACGCTCCAACTCGTTCAAGCTCATCATCCACTTCCTGTCGTCCTCGTTCTTGAAGAACTCCTCGTCATACTCGTCTTCGAACTCCGAGGAAGACTCGCTGTCGCGTGCCACAGGAGCAGCGGCCGCGCGGCCTCGCTTCTTGACCGGCATCGTCTTCTTCGTCTCTACCTCGGAATCGCTCGAGCTCGAGCTCTCCTGGGCCTGCCCCCCCGTCACGTGACTGTCAAGACAAGAGCACGAGAGTCTGGTATTACAGGTGACTCGTCCTCGCTCCCTGAAGAGCTGCTGCTGCTGCTGCTGCTGTCCGCCTTCCTTGCTCGCTTCTTCCCAGACGAAGGCACCGACTTTTTACCGACAGGAGTTCTCGCCTGAGCTGCTTGCTTCGGCAAGGTCTGAAACATTCAAGTTCAGAGACTAGGTGTGCAGACCATGGTCACTTTAACCTTCCCAGCTTTCCTCCCTGGTGTAGGTGCCGACGGCGCCGGCTCGGCTTTCTTGCCTTGTTTCTCCATTTCCTCCCTGCTCTCCTTCATGGCTCGTTCCAGCTGACGCTGTTCTGAGCGCGAAGTGTACGACATGGTTACCTGCCGTGCCCATGATCGGTGTCAGCATGAAACAAGTCGGGGCGAACTCACAAACCTGCTCAACCTCAGGTATCAAGATGTACTTCCTGGGACTGTCTCTTGCTCAGTATCACCACGGAAACCCTTCCAACGCGTCTGCGCCTTCAACGCAGGCCTCCTCCTTCAACAGTCTTGCCCTCTGCCCCGCTGCCTTGGCTCGTTACCGGCCCTCCTCCTTCGACGGACCTGCGCCTTCCACAGCCGCCATCGGCTCCTCTCCTCCACACACCCTACCTCGCCCCACCCACCCTACCTTCCTACACCAGTACCACGTGGGGGGGGGTAAATGACTGCCTTGTACCCCTGATACAAGGCAGTCATTTACCCCCCCAGTGGTCGATCCCCATGGGGGTCATACCACCCCGACATGAACCAGGCCAGGTCCAATGGATGAATGTGAGGGGTAGGGGTACAGACGCATGTCGTGGGTGTTTATAATGATTAGGGGTGGTGATATGGGAATGAGGAGGTAGGGGTTGTATACAGTCCAGAAAGGAATGGAGGGGTGGGGTAGTCAAGAAAATCAAGAACAGGTGAAGAAAACAAGTGGATACCAGAGTGAAGATGAGTGGTAGAGGTAACAAGTGAAGATATGATGTCGAGATCGTGCAAACAGATCAACGAGGATGTACAACAAGCAACATGAAAACATCAGTGACAATGCTTGAGCTAGGCGGGATCAAACCCCCACAGATAGCCATCGAGAGGAAGTCAGGAGTATCGCCTCCGGTCCCAAGGCTTTAAGAAACCTGACGTCCTGCCTTGATGACACAAGCAGACTGTGACTGTACAAATTGTTTATGTTGAGACGAGAGCCTGTGCAATTAGTTGACTTGGAACGCCGCCTCCAAACTCGCTCTAGATGTTGAGGACTCAAGGCGAATTCTGCTGGTTCCGTTTCTCCATGCAACGAATCAACCGCAGGAGCGTCAGGTTGACGGGAGTTGCGATGCCATGCTTGAGGCCTTCATTGACAATCATGCCATTGATCGCTTCGATCTCCGTTATTCTCCCTTTAAGCATCTGTTGAGAAAATGAATTATAAAGTCGATCGGATCCCGGCATGAAGTTCCATACATCTGCCAGCATGCTGCTTGTGTTCTTACAAGTATCCCGCGCTACATTCATCGCAAGGTTCGCACATGTCTCCTGCTCCGCACGACCAACGTCACTATTCTGCCAAAGACAGGCAACAAGCAATCCAACCCATCCTTCTTCGACGAACTCCCTCAGCTCCTGTGAATCAGCCCCCTTCTCTCGTTCAAGCACTGCACATGCCACCTGGAAGCCCTCCTTGGCTATGTCTGCTGTGCCGCTCAACCTTCACAATGTGAACGATGGGTTGTCACCTCGAATGAGTTCGCAGGATTCTTCATTTTCTAACAGGAAGCCGTTCTTCTCTCCCAGGATTGTCTGCGGAGAAGTTTGCTTCACGTAGCCAACAGAGATTGAACGCAGCATACTGTCAGAGCATTGATCTGGAGATAAGCCAAAGTCACGTGCATCAATGAGGGAGAGGGAAATCACGATACCGACGCATTGACACAAACTTTTCTCCATGTTCGCTGCTCAGCAGTGTGACCGCCAAGATTGATCTCACAGAGTCATTCGCTCAACCTGCAGGATGTCTTGACAGATCTGAGTTGGTATCCCGCTGTCATTCAGTAGCTGCACAGCCTGGAGTGAAGCGGTAAACTTTTGCGGAACCTCCTTGTGACATCATCGACGAAGAGACCTGCTCCAGAAGGCTAGAGCTGACGGTGTCGATGGATCCATATTCACACACGTCCAGTGTCCCTCTTCCTGCATGCGCGACTACACCCGGCTCCATCATGTATGCTCCTCCAGAATAAATCCCTTGGATCAATGTTGTAGAGACATCATGGTACCTGGGAATGACTGAAGTCAAGAGATCGAGTTCGATCTGGCATGGCAAACAGTGCCAAACCTCAACGCCTTGTGAATAACTTCCATGTGCCCAACACCATTCATCACAGCGATACAAAGGCTCCCGTGTGAGCCTGACAGAACTCTTGCTGCCTGCTCGGCTGCTTTGCGCAGCCCTGCTTGTTTCACAGCGATGAAGACTATGCTGGGTTTGCCGAACCCGTAAAGAGACTGAGATTCTCTCTTCAGGTCCTCTACCTCTGACAAGGACTCTGCGACTCGGACTTGACCCATCATCGTCTTCGTACCCACTGTCCCCTCCTCCTTGACAACGATTCCTCGTACTGCCTTCACGGCCTGGAAAGGTCGTCACCCATCCCAAACAAGCATGGATGGATGAACCGAAGCATGTTCGCTCGAGCCCGTCAGCAGCCATACTCGGTCTCTCATTCTGCTGACAGCAGCAATCCTGCCCGATAGCAGGCTGCCTATGGAACCCCCTCCTATCACCGCGATGTTCTCGATGCTTGTTATCTCCCTGTGCGACAGCATCACAACCCATCACAACGCTGAGCAACGCACACAGCAAGACAACCTCATGGAAGGGACATGCATCGACCTGCTCTCACCGGCATGCCGGCATGGCAAGCTGGCGGCGACCCGAGCCCAAGCACAACGAGAGAGCCGCTGCATCGCACAAAGACTGGACCACATCCCCTCAATGACATACCACCTTGCTCTGAGGCGGACTCTGAGGCAGGCTCAAACTCACTACCACTACACTGCGCTAAACTACCCCCATCCCTCATTTTGACCTTCCTTACCACCGGTGATCAGACTACCCCTACCCTCCGATCAGTACCGAACTCATGAAGTTCGTATCTACCCCCGCACCCCTACTGCTCCACCCATAAAGGCGGTAGGCGGCCGCATGGTAGCGCTCCGGACCGCCATGGCTCTCATAGCGACGGCAGCAGCGACAGCCTCGCCGATCATGAGCAGCATGCAGAGACAGAGCGGAAGGTCGAACCGTCCCAAACCATGTCTCCCGAGCTCGCCTTGCATGTCCTTCAGAGTGAACGCGCCAGTTGCATGCTGGGCGCTGGGAAGAATCCGATTTCAGCGTGCTTGCTGTCAGATGAAGTGTTTGTGTGTCGAGGATCTTCTTGACCTGCCTTTGAACATCTTCATGTTCTTGTTATGCTGAACCTTCACCTCTACCCTCCTCGCACCATATTCCTTGATCATCACAACAGTACGATCTTGTTCCTTTGGCCGCTCACGTATGGAGTTTCAGGGTGCGTTCAACTGGTTTTGCCTTTGCGTTCAACGCCTACAACGGTTTGAGATCGAATGTAATATCTCACTCCCGACATCATCGTCCTGCAGTGCATGAATCATGCGATCGCTGACTCTCGTGCCTGTCAGATCCCTCTGAAGAGGACGGAAAGAAGCTCGGAGGGCAACATCTTCAGGTGAAACAGAACACTCCTCCTCCTCCTCCTCTTGCCCCCCCCCCTCCCCCCCTTCAACCTTGTTCGTCACCTGCTCGCTCAGAATGCCGCTGGTTTCAACGAGATCAATCCGGCTCAGCGCTCTCAGGATGCAGGTGTTATGTCCCCCTCTGCTCTTGCGGTCGTTCCTTACCTCGCCAGCAGCAGGACGACGTCGTTTGGCAGCGAGGGTGCTACGATGATCGAGGAGTGTGGAGGAGGGGATTTTACTCCAGCTCCTCCACTCCCTCTCCCGTCAAGAGCACGACTCCTGCTCCACCCGTCACGGGACACAAGGAGGAGAAGGCCCCCGCCGCTAAGGCCCCCGAGAGCACCGTGGCGGCTCCGAAGCCAGCTCCTGCGGAGGAGGCGTCTGCTGGGAGCTTCCGAAAGCACTTCATCTCCAACATGATAGAGAGGGACCTCGCAGAGAAGAAGCACAGCCTCGTGCGCACGCGCTTCCCCCCTGAGCCCAACGGCTACCTCCACATCGGCCATGCCAAGTCAATCTGCCTCAACTTCGGCGTGGCGAAGGAGTACGGGGGGCGGACGAACATGAGGTTCGACGATACCAACCCAGTGAAGGAGGACGAGGAGTACGTGCGGTCCATCCTCAAGGACGTGCGATGGCTGGTCGGCGGGTCTGTGGACAGTGCGGATCCGTGGGATGGCAACACGAGGTATGCCTCGGACTACTTCGAGACCTTCTATGAGGCGGCAATTCATCTGATCAAGAAGGGGAAGGCGTACGTGGAGGAGCTGACGGCAGAAGAGATCCGGCAGTACCGTGGGACGCTGACTGAGCCTGGGAAAGAGTCTCCGTTCAGGAACAGGCCTGTAGAAGAGAGCCTGGACCTGTTCACAAGGATGAGGAACGGGGAGTTCGAGGACGGCAAGTACGTGGTCCGTGCCAAGATCGACATGGCCAGCCCGAACATCAACATGCGGGACCCGACGCTGTACCGCATCAGGAAGGCCACGCACGTGATGACTGGGGATAAGTGGTGTATCTACCCCATGTACGACTTCGCCCACTGCATTTCCGATGCTGTCGAGGGCATCACGCACTCGCTCTGCACTCTAGAGTTCGAGGACCATCGCCCCCTGTACGATTGGGTGCTCGACGAGCTGAGGGACTCCGGACTGATCGAGTGCCTGTCGAAGGGCGTTCCCCCCCAGCAGACCGAGTTCTCGCGCCTCAACCTCCAGTACACCGTGCTCTCCAAGAGGAAGCTGATCCAGCTGGTGGAAGGAAAGCACGTGCATGGCTGGTCGGACCCCAGGATGCCGACGATCTCCGGCATCAGGAGGAGGGGATACACTCCCGAGGCCCTCCGGCTCTTCTGCGAGAGGATCGGAATCAGCAAGGCCGACAACAACATCGACATGTCCGTGCTCGAGGACTGTGCTCGGGAGGTGCTGGAGGACGATGCCCCTCGGGTGTTCGGCGTGCTGGATCCTGTCAAGCTGACCATCACCAACTGGCCGGAGGGGAAGGTAGAGATGTTCGAGGTCGACTCGCACCCCAAGAGGCCCGAGCTCGGGATCCGGCAGCTCCCCTTCAGTGGCTCCCTGTACATCGAGAGGGAGGACTTCAACGAAAATCCCCCCAAGGGCTACTTCAGGCTGACCCCCGGGGGCGATGTGAGGCTCAGGTTTGCCTACGTGGTCACTTGCAACGAGGTCGTCAAGGACAAGGAGGGGAAGGTGGTGGAACTGCGCTGCACGTACAACCCGGACACGAGAGCTGGAGCTACGCCTGAGGGGATGAAGAAGGTCAAGGGGATCATACACTGGGTCTCACAGGAGTCTGCGATCCCCTGTGAGGTACGAGCAGGAGGCAAAGAGGAGGAGGATGAGAGCGAGGAGAGCGGGGGGGAAGGGGAGGAGCAGGCAAAGAGCAGGAGCAGGAGGTGCGGGGAAGAGGATAAGTAGGAGCAGAAGATAAGGAGAGGAACAAGGAAGGAAAGGGGCGGGGAGGAGGAGACGGGAGCTGACTGGATTCAGGTGAGGGTGTACGATCGGCTGTTCAACGCTGCTGCTCCAGGGAAGGAGCACGAGGATGGAGACTTTCTCAAGGACTTGAACCCTGACTCGCTTAAGATCATGAAGGGAGCCTTCGTCGAGCCTTCCGTGAAGGACTGTGAGGCAGGAAAGCACTTCCAGTTCGAACGGATGGGCTACTTTGTCACGGACACAGAGGACAGCAAGCCCGGCTCGCTGGTGTTCAACAGGGTCGTCACCCTCCGCGACAACTGGGCCTCCTCCTCCTCCTCTTCCTCTGCTCCTGCTGCTGACAGCAAGGTATGCCCCTTCCTCCCTCACGTCGATGCTGATGCACTCGAAGCCGCAGCAGCAAGCGCAGCCACCAGCAGCGGCGGCGGCAGCAGCCGATCTGGAGGACGTGAGACGTTTGGACATCCGCGTTGGAAAGGTAACGAAGGGGTGGAGGGGGACGAAGAGGATGCCAGGGGCGAAGAAGGGAGAATTGGAGAGGAGAGGGGAAAAGCAGGAAGGGGAGGGTAAGTGACGATACAGGTGTGGAGAGGAGCCCGCAAATGTTGGAAGGGGGAGAGGGAGGAGGGATGAAGGGGATACGAGCAGGAGCAGGAGCAGGAGCAGGAGCAGGAGCAGGAGCAGGAGCAGGAGCACAAGGAGAATAGAGTCTTCCGCTTCGCTTCTTGCATCTTCTAAGGGGCTTCACAGATCGTGAAGGCAGAGAAGCATCCCGATGCTGACGCCCTCTACGTGGAGAGCATCGATGTGGGGGATGAGACCGGACCGCGAACGATCGTGAGGTAGCGAGCGAGGAGGAGGTTGGAGGTGCAGGAGGATGAACCTTGCTGCAGCGGGCTAGCAAAGCACATCCCCTTGGAGGAGATGCAGGTTAACTCTGCCCTTCCTTCCTTCTGTTAGCCTTCATCTCCTGCTCCTTGAACCTTCTCTTCCCCCTCCTCGTACCTAACTCCTCCTCCTCCTCCTCCTCCTCCATTATCCTCCCAACCCCCCTCCCCTCGTCTCCCCTCGACATGCTCGCGTACTCTACGAGTCCTACTTCCCTCTGACGAGACTGCAACAGGATCGTCTGTGCATTGTCCTCTGCAATCTCAAGCCAGCCAAGATGAGAGGCATCGTCTCCGAGGGTATGGTGCTCTGCGGCTCCGACGACTCGCAGGGGCTCGTTCAGGTATCCTCCTCTCCTCCTGCTCTTCTCATACATGCTCCTCTGTTCCTGCTCCTCCTTCTCTTCTCAAGATCCCATGCAGCTCCTCGAGCCTCCTGCAGGAGCGGCTGTGGGTCAGCGTATCACCTTCGAAGGGTAAGACGTCAGTCTCGCGCCCTCCCCGCTCACCGTCTGCTGTCCCTCTTCTTACCGCAGGTTCGGAGAGCCTCAGCCCGATGAAGTCCTAAAGTCTAAGGTGAGGAGCAGGAAGCAGGAAGCAGGAAGCAGGACAGGGGAGGAGGGCAGTACAGCAGAGGAGGAGGAGGAGGAGGAGGAGGAAGAGGAGGAGGAGGTGTTGGTGGTGTTGGTGGTGGTGGTGGAATAAGAGGAGGGGAGGGGAGGGGAGGGGAGGGAGAAGCTGTTCAAGGTGCCTGACTCTTCCCAGGCCCAGCAGAAGGTCTGGCCCAACGTGGCTCCGGACCTCAAGCTCAACGCGGAGGGAGTAGCCACTTACAAGGACGGTAAGCTTGAGCTGCTTCACCTCACCCCTGCTTCACCTCACCCTCTCCTCTTCCTCCACCTCCTCTCATCCTTCTCCCTCAGCCATGGCCAAGTGTAAGGAGGGGACGCTGTCCTGCAAGACCCTCAAGAGCTGCCCCATCGGATAGCCATTGAGCTATTGCCGGGATTCTTCAACTGAACCCGCCGGGGCGCGTACCGGGCGAGGCGCGGCCGGGCCCGCCGGTGTCCGACTCGGAGCCCGGGCCTCGCAGGCCCGGGTCGTGCGATTATCAGGCTGACCGTGCTACTTGAAAGGATTAGCCTGAATCAAAGTGTGGAGAGTCCGAAGCCTGAAATAAAGCCGAAATAACGAACTTCGGAAAATAAAACCGAAGCGCGCGACCGCCGTGAGCGACCGCCGTGAGGCCCGCGGCGGTCGGGGCCGGGCTGCCAGGCTGGCGGAACAGTTCGTGACAGGCCCGCCTCAGACTGACCCTCGAGTGGAAGTTAACAAGCCTTTGAACTTATTTCAAATTCAATCTTTGTCATTGAAATTTCATCGATTGGTTCTATTTTACATACTCAAATTGAATTTTTTTGTAGAGTTCTTGGACATGGACGTTGTTTTGCTCGGATTTGTTGAGGCGAAGATGGCGAACTGACGACATGTGGGGGTAGAAACGCAGCGAAGCAGAGCTCGAGATCAAGAGCGGAGAGCGGAGAGCAGAGGAAGAGAAACAAGTGCAGTGTAGCACTCTCTCTCCTCCTCAAAATCTCGATCTATGATATTTAATCCCCTCACGCCCAAGCAAGGGTACTCTGAATCGCATCTCGGAAAGTTCGGTCGTTGCTAAATTGCAGTGGTCCGAGCCATGGGGAATGACGAAACTCCTTGCTCAAACCATCTCCGCATCGTCTACTGGGGGAGCGGGTGCACGTTTGAGCTCAGGGATACTCTACATGATTTGGAGCCAGCAGCCTACCGGTACATCAAGCTGTTTCAAGCGGAGCTGATGGCTTCCTGGGATTGCCTGGCCTGCAGAGATTGCAGCAAAAACGCGCGAGATGCATGGGTTGGCAAGGAGTCTGGCTGGGCCCGTGAGCTTGCGAAATCTCTCGTATTTGTTCCGATATTTCAGCACCTGGGCGGGCGACAGACTTTGGAAGAGCTTGCAAGGGTCCGACCTGAGGAGGACCAGGACAGGCAGGACAAGTTCCTCGCAGAGCTGCTTGTTGCCTTGTACCTGATCTACAGGGATGATCGCAAGCTTTCGCAGATAAGGGCAGTAGTGCCTGTGGTCGTGTCAGAGGGGAGTAGATGGCTTCTATCAAGGCAGGCGATGGAGGGATTGAGCCTCGGAGCCTCGCTGAAGACATGCAAGTCAGCAGCAAGGGAGTTGAGCCTCATAGGAGCAGGCGAGTACCCGGAGATCTTTGAAAGACTTCAGCGGTGGTCGATCAAGGATACGGTCAGAGCGATCCTGTATGGAGGGGATGGCATTGGGGGGATGACAATCTTTTATACGTCATGCTGTGTGTTTGAAGAACCCTGTCTTGTGGAGCACAAGTCAAGGGATGAAGATGCCTTCGCGTGTGCATGCATGGTCAAGGATCGACTGCCAGTGACGTTTGGAAAGTATGTGAAGAGGGTAGTGGAAAGGTACTTGAAGCACACCTGCTGCGGAGGCGCAGTTTCTGACATCCTTGAGAAGCATGGTTTCAAGGGCTCGATACTCGAGAGCCTGTCGGCATTCAGCCATCAACAATGTCCCTCCGAGGCGACCCCAAGCAGATGTCGGCGCTGTAATGCGAGGGCAGGCTGCTGCTTGCTGCGTGCGGCAACAGCGATGGAGGCAATGTGTCTGGATGAAAGCATCACACAGAAACTAGGGGAAGCACACGTCACCCTCTCCCACGACAAGCGGCTGAGGCCCCTGAAGGAGCAGCTCTACCGGTACAAGGACATAGAGGCCGATGGGATCCTTGCCATGATGACCACCAACTGCATCGAGACCGGCATACTGAAGCTCCCGACTCAGTTGGCCATGCTCGGTCTAAGTAGCCTCTATGCCTCCTTTGCATACTTTCAGCTCGCCCACCTGTTCTCGGACGCAAGGTGGGTGTACCAGCCTGACGAGAGAAAGCCTTACATCCCTAAGACGCTACGAATCACCCGAGTCCTTGATCCTGCCATCAACGTCATGTGGGCCGTTGGGGTGCCTCTGAGCATGTACTTGGCGCTAAGGGAAAGTCCTCTGCTAGCTAAGAGGCTCATCTCCTTAATAGTTTTTCTGGGAGCAATGCTGTACTTGACGTCAGGGATCAGCGACTACGTGCAATGCAAGTATGCAGGTGGAGGAATCGGCAGCGCGTGCAATGGTAGATTCAGTCTTACCGCATCCTTCTCTGTGTTATGTGTGTTCTTGTCGGGCCATCTTGTACAGAGGTACATCTGGGTCATTGTGTACCTGGCTCAAGGTGGATACATCTTCTACACAATGTCTTTGAACAGCAGCTGGAGCGTTTGGGCCAAGACCTTCTTTCGCGTTTACGGGGGGATAATCATTACTCTAGTTCCTCTTATCCTGATACGGTATCAGAAGATGCTGAAGCAAGCTCATGGAGGCATGGCTCTTGAGACCACAAAGATAGAGGAGGTCTGGAGAAGCGCATTGAAAGCAGAGAGGGAGATGATCGATGATCTGGCATCCAAGTCGCGCCGAGTGTCAGCCAGGCTCCAGATGATTTTCAAGGCAGCAAAGAAGTTTCGCCCCTCATGGCATCGGCACAAGGTGCAGAGACAGCGCTTCTCGAGCAAAGGGAAAATTTTGCAGTCCTCGCAGGACATCGAGAGCATGTACGAGAAGGCACAGCTGATCAGCCCCTTCTTCCAGATGTTCATCAAGAGCTGGAATGTTGTTGGATTCGTTCACGAGGGTAGACTAAAAAAGATCTCGAGAGCAATGCAGAAGGTAGTTCGTTCCTACGGCAGGGACCCTTCCTACCTCACAGACCTTGTGCGCTCTACCGTGATAGTGAAGAGCATGTCGGAGCTCAACTCGTGGCTGCAAAGACTGCTCGACTGCAGCACGATTGGTCGAAATGGAGTTGTTGACGAGAAGGAGGAGGAAGAAGAGGTAAGGGAGCTTGTTGAGATACTGCAATGTCGGGTTCGATTGCTGTACGTGATATCTGGTGGCAGGGGGACACGAAGAAACTTTTCAACATCACAAGCATCAAGAATCGGTGAGGAGTCCAGAGGCTGAGCGCGCAATTGACAGTCCTCGACAGGTTTGATCCAAAGTATGACGCGCGCGAGAGCGCAGGCTATCGCGATCTCTGCGTCAACGTAGAGGTGCGATCAGTGTGGGCTCAATTCAAGGGTGTGAAGTTTGTCTCAGATGGGATGGAAATTGAAGGACTTCCCGAGAGGTTTGGAGGTCGTTCCTGTTTGTCGATGGAAAGAGACTCCAGGGTTGATAAAGCACATTTGTGAGATCCAGGTAAGAGCTCCATGCAAGTCGACAGGACGAGTGAAAGTGAGAGGAGGGAGGGATACGACGGGGTCATTGAAACTTCAGGGAGGTGTGACAGAGTCGGAAATCGAAAGGGAAAGAACGAAATAATAGGGTGGCTATGGAGGCAGGGAGGCAGGGAGGCAGGAAGGCAGAGAGAGAAGAGCTCTGAACAGACACACAGGTGACAACGGAAGATATCTTTGAAGTCAAGAAGTACTTTCACAAGCAGTACATAACGTTCCGCAACATCGTCTGTCAGTAGGCACCAGCGATGTCTACTGACAGACGATGTTGCCTTGGCGATAACACCATGTTGCAACATACTGTATCATATCGTTAAACTCCAAATAGAGGCTCCAGAACTCCAAGTCCGCGGCCGCCCGAGCAGCCTCGCGGGGGCGGCCCGGCGTCACCCGAACTCGGAATGAAGTTTCGGAACCCGTGCCACTCAGTTACTGGCATCCGATCCCGGCGGCGATCATCGGATCCGCCTGAGTGCCCCGGCGGTGCCACCGGCGGCGGCCACTGCGCGGCCGCCGGGGCCCGGCCCGTAGGCTTGCCGCTGTGCCAGTTAGCTCAGCGACTCGTCCTTCATAGGTAGTTGATGCTCTACGGACTCTTGAGGAGCCGACGGGCGGTTCGGTGCACAAGACGTTTCCTCGTCGACCTGGTCATCTTGGAGAGGAGCAGCCATATCGCATCCTGGCAGCATGCAAGCTTGCAAGCCTTGAAGTTTCCCAGCCGGGCTCCCCACCTCCAGTCACACTCCCTGAGTCACCCGCGCCCGCATGATCTCAGACTCGGACCAATCCCCCCACCTCCCCCACCTCCGAGGCTCCCAACCGTTCCCCCGGCGTAGGCTGAGGCAATCAGATCGTCGCCAGTCGGAGACTTTCCGGTGACCGGCGAGCACGGCTTACTCTCTTCTGGAAGCTAGAATAAGGCCCTGACGACAGCAAGGCAAGCGTGTGGTTGTAGTAGTCTGTGCTGGTGTAGTGTGCTCGGCTCCTCGCTTCTGCTCCCTCTTCCGCCGCGCAGTCCTTGCATTGCGATCGCTGCCCGGCCCGGCCCGTGCTCGCATATGCTGCTGCGCGGCCCCCGCAGTCCTTGCATTGCGATCGCTGCCGCTCGTGCTCGCATATGCTGCTGCCCCCCCACTCCTTGGCCGCGGCCCGACTCACGAGTCAGTGACTCGAGGCGAGGCTGCCGGCGGGACCGTACCCGGGACCCGGGCCGGCACTCAGGCCACTGCCAGTGCCATGGCACAGGCTGGCAGCGCGGCGGCAAACTGAAAGTTAAGTTAAAAATCAGTGCGAGGCCCGGACCGTGAAACTTGAGTCAGGCCCAGGCTGTTCGGACGGACGGTTAGGGTTTTAGAGTCGAGGAGGTTACTCAGTTGAATTATCATGGGCCAGCCGGGAACTTGACTCAATTGTGAATCTTTACTCAAAATTAAGTTAAAAATCAGTACGAGGACACACAAGTTGAAGGGCACTATGTTTTGACCCGTGGTCATAATTTGTTGTGGTCAAATCAAATCAGGCAACAGCGGTCGCTGCTGGCAACCCGTATAGAGGCCAAAGATATGAACCCCTACCCCCTGATTTTACCTCTTATTACCCCCTAGTCTTCCTACCCCACCCAGAAGAAGCCTGATCGTTCCTCTTGTTGAGAATTTGGAAATTCAATTATTTCATGAAAAAATATGTATCAATTTGAAATTAGAACCACGGGACGACATTGCAACACCAACTTTCAAATTCTTTTTTTTTCCTCGATAAAATTGTACACATTAGTCACCAGATTCAACGATGCACGGCTTGGAGCAGACGCTGACGTTGAGGGGAAAGGGAGGAGGAGGAGGAGGAGGAGCCAAGTTCACAGCTGGAAGTAGCAGTGGTAGCACCACGTCATCCTCCGGGGATGAAGATGGTCCCTTCACATTCGACTCCCCCTACATGTCCATCATCCTGGGTAAGTAAGCAGTTTTGTATGCCCTTTGCGCTCCCACAGGCTGATGCCTGCTGCTTCTCCAGGGGTCGCCACTTCCGTATTTTCGATTATCGGGTTGATTTGGTACATACGGAGATGGTTGTGTCATGATCTGTGCTCATGTATGCATTCCTGACAAGCTGGCAGGCGTCAGGTGAGAGCACGACAGCAGCTGGAGTCGGCGCAGTACTTCACGCAGCCTACAACAAACAACAGCGACATCCCTATCGCTGTATGTGCTGTTCTTGTTGCTTGTAGACCCTCCTGTGTAACGAGAGCTCGTGTCAAGGTGCCAGCACAGGACGGGGAGGTAGCGACAGGGACGGCAAAGCCTGGAGAGGCTGTTCAAGGCAATCAACATGAATGGATGTTGGCAGAGACTGATAGTAGCCTTACAGTGGATGGATATGAAGGGCAATTCGCTGGTCAGTATGCACGTGCAGCATATCGCTGAGAACGTGATTCTCGCTGAGAACATGATGAAGCGTGCGAGTCGCAGATAAGACCAAGATCTCAGACATGGGAATCAGAACCCATCTGAGTGGTTGCCATGTGAGAGTATAACAATCAAGAATACAGATTGCGAATAACTTGCTTCAAGTTTCTTGCCACGATATGTTGCAGAAGCACAAAACATTCATCCAAAACTCTTTCACGGCACTCAGCAGTGTTAGGCCGCCGGAGGGGACCCTTCGGATCATCCGGATAACTTAGCCTGTAACTAAGTAAGTTTCCGGCGACTTCCGGCGCCGCCGGGATCATTCTGATCGCGCGGCGGACCGTCCGGTGCCGTCCGTCCGACATCTCACTGACCCGGCGGCCGGCGGGCCGCCCCCTGGCATGCCGTGCACGGTCACGGTCACGAACTTCGGAACTTGGAAAGGGCGCCGGGGACTCACCTCAGTGACTACCGGGGTTGCCAGTTGAGTGGCTAAACTTGAAAGCTACGGTAAACGTTCCGGGTGGCTCACCGTGTCGGCGGCCCAACCGGCCAGCTCGCTGTGATCGGACTCAGGTTGAAGCTTCGAAGGATACCTGGACAACTTCGAATAAACGGTTGAACGGTCAAGCCTTGAAGGTGGCACACCTCACCGCCCGGGCCCGGAGGCGGACCGTCCGATCGTGACCGTCCGGGTCCGGCGCCGGACAGTAGGGTACTGCTAGGCTACCGTCGGCGTACTGGGCCGGCCGCGGCCCGGCCGGCCGCCCGGCAGCAGTCACCCGGTGGCCGGGCACGGTGACCGTACTCGGCGATCCGATCCGTCAGTCAGTGATTCTGATCGACACGGAAAGGAGCCTGAGGCGGGCCGGGGCACTGGGACTTGAAAGAGAGTTCCGAACTCAGATGGGCGGGATTGGCGGGTCAGGAATGGCGAAGCTGTGTGCGGCGATGGCGGGGCTGATGCTGATGGGAGGATGCACAGGAAGGTTCATCGCAATGGTCGATACAGACAAAGGGACGAGAAGGAGTCACTTGGAAGCTGAGAAGTCACATAGCTTGTACCGACCACTGGCTCTAAGGGGGGGAGGGGAAACAGAAAAATCGTCGAGCAGGAGTGAGGGTGCTTTCGATCCCTCGATGGCGAGGAAGAGGATGGAGACCATGTGGTCTCGTGAGTCGATCACCTTCGGGGAGGAGCAGAGCGCCATGCACATTCATAGAGAAGAGTGGATCACCGACCGACTTTGCCTGACCAAGGGCTTCGAGATCGTTCGTGACGACCTCCAACTCTCCTTGGAAGGCTTGTCAGTGTGTACAGCAGATCTTACCTGCCCGTCCGTCGCATCCATCCTGGGAAGATTCTCATGCGGGGAATCGTTTTCGACGCTCTTCTTCTCCGAGCTCAGTCACCCCAAGTTTAAGTGTTTCGAATCTTCCTCCATGCAGAGCAGCTTCCTCAAGACCTCGGTAGCCAGGGAAGCCACGGGCATGCTGGGAGAGAGGTTCCGCTCAAAGTTCTACAGGGGTAATCCTCTGTCCTATCAGTTGTTCAACTTCGACGTTGTTTCGCATGTCAACATCTCCATGCTCACTGCGCAAAGCAAGTACCCGAGCTCGAAGTCAGGCCAGGATAACAACCATTCCTGCATCCTGGGATGTTTGCGAGCCTTCGATCCCGACAATTCCAATCATGTCCAGATACGAAGGCTGCTCGGGTTCCTGCCTCCTTATTCCACTTCCCTTGCGCTCACTGCTCTGCAGGGAATCGAACTTTGAGTTCCTCTCGTCCAGCGCTGCCGGCAAGGGGGAGGAAGCGCAGGAGACAGCCTGCCTGATTGCAGGTTGCATCCTGGCTGTGCAAGGGATGCGCGAGGTCATGGAGTCCATGAGCCGAGTGATGGATGGGAGGGGGATGTGTCATGCCACGGCCTCCCTCCTCACGGACAAGCAGCAGGATCGAATGCTCTACTGCGCGCGAGGGTCAGTGTTCGATGGTCAGATCCGAGAGCAGGTGATTCCGTTCCTGTTGTGGAGGGCAAGTGACGGGACGCAGGGGATGGGGACTGATGCGGCCAAGTACAAGGTACATCGCATACTCCATGTAAGTGACTCCCAAAGGTCGACCTGTCCCTAACGGAGAGGTCCATGATCGCAGCGGGACGGAAACAACCGTTTCTTCATTAAGTACGGGGACATCAAGTTCTACGACATCTACTTCATGCCGTATCCTCTCCGGGAGGGAGAGGATGAGGCGGCGAAGGAGGACGAGATTGACGAAGCGGTAGCGCTCTCTCCCGAGGACGAGGCAGAGGGGAGTCAGAACATGCTCGTTGCCCTCTGGTGCAAGGTGAAGCAGGTTGCTTGGATTGCTGTAGCCCTGTTAACCCCCCTTCTCAGATGAGAGTCATCCCTCCCACGGTGCTGGCAGTCGGAATGCTTCTACTGGGTACGTCTCGAGGGGAGGAGAGGTTGGAAGGGTTTCACGAGCTTGCATGCCAGGGTTCTCGCAGTCAGGACAGAAGGACGTGTTTCAACAGACTTTTGACCCGCTGCTGTCAAAGGGCCGGGAGGTCAAGAAGTGGATTCAACGGACGCTAGAAAAGCACCGAAAGAGTGAGGCAGTAAAAGGGGCGAAGAGGTAGAGATGTGCCAGAGCCATGGCTCGTGGTTTTGACAGCTCGAAGTTCATACGAACATGCTTCGTCTTTCGTTGTTTGTTGTTGTTGTTGTTTGTTGTTGATGATTGTATTGTTCTTGCTGCTGCTGCTGCTGCTGTTGCCGATGTTCTTGTTTTGATTTTCATCAGTATCACACAGAGAGAAAGAGGATGATATCCTCCTCCTCACGATCTATCATGAGTTCTTCAACGACTGCACTAGAGATGACCAGTTGAGCGCCCATCTCTTCTCTTCTCTTGTCACAGAGCTGTACTCCCGCAGAATCTTCTCCACCTGCCATCCTCCTTACCACAGGAAGCAACGAGGCGATCCCCCCCTCCTCCCTCCCCCCATGGACCCTCTCCTGATCGACTCCCTACACCTTCCCAGTCTGCTCCCTCCGGTCTCCATCCTCCCTCGCTCCAGTTTACCATTCTACCTCCTAACTCCCTTCCACATCATCGCCTCCTCGCCATCTCCTGTTTATCCACCTCTTACCCTCTAACCCGCTCTCCTCTCCTCCCAGTCATGCTCCAACTCCTGTCCCCTTCTCATCTCCTCGTCCTCCTCTACCTCACCTCCTCCTCCCTCCTCTCTCCTCCCTCTTCACCTGGGTGATGAAGTAGAGACGGAACTGCGTGTAGTTCCGATCCCTCATCTTCAAGGCAACGGCATGATTCATGGAGTCGTTTGCCTGCAGCTCCTCCCCGGGCTCCGTGCGGATCTTCGACAGGAGCTCTGCAGCCCCACGAGGTAAGGAGACGCCAAGGAGCAGAGGGAGAGCAGGGCAAGGGCAAGGGAGGGGGTAAGGAAGGCGACAAGAAGGGAAAGGGGGTGGGGAAGGCGGACGCGGAGGACGATGTTGTTGATGAAATGACGAAGGAGGGTGTCGGGAGAGCGGGAGGAGGTGATTGTGGAGGAGATGGAGGGGAGGGGAGGAGGAAGAGTCACCTTTCGATGTGATGGAAGAGTCTCTCTCTATAGCATGCACCAGCTGTAGGACAGCGTTGGCTCCGAACTCCCCCACTTGGATCCCCTTCCAGGACTTGACAGGAAATGCCTTCCCCTCCGGCAGCTCCCTGCCCGCCGTCCCCTCCTTGATCTTCGCGTGCTCCCGCATATTGCTCAGGAGGCTCTTGCGGACCGCTATGACGTCCTCGTCCGTCGGCACAAGGTCTGCGGGCTGAACGATGGTGTCGTAGAGGAGGAGGAGGGCTCGGGTTGCATGCACGATCTCGCAGAAGAAGCTCCAGCTCTCGTCCGACTCGATCTTGATGCTCTTGAACATGCTCTCTTCCGTGACCTCCATCGCCCGCCGATGCCTCTCCTCCTCAACCGCGCACAGCGCGTCGAGCTCCGTCCTGGCGTTGGTGTTCCCAAGGGAGGGCTTCAGCTTCACGCTGTTCTCCTCCCTCAGCTCCGTCCATCTCTCTTTCTCCTCCGCGAATCTCGCCTCCACCGACTTCCGCAGCATCCTCGACCTCCTCCTTGCACGTTCTGCGATGTTCTGGAAGAAGGCGTTGGGCACCTTCCCCATGGCCGTTGAGATCCTCGCCACTATCGACCTCAAGCTTCGTACCTGCCAACAGACTCAACAGGTCCAACAGGTCCAACGGGACCTCCCTCGCCTCCCTTGCTCCTTCCTTGCCTCATCTCTTACCTTCTCTCCCCTCTCCCCTGCACTCTCCTCCCCTCTTCCTCCTCTCCTCCCTCCCTTGGTCTTTCTCTGTATTTCCCTCCCCTGCTTCTTGCCCCCTCCCTCCTACTCTCCCTCTTCCAGACCTTCTTCTGCATGTTTAGCATGGCGCTCTCCTTGAGCTCCGTCAGCCTCGCCTCGTTCTTGGCCGTGAAGTCCTCAGGCTTGTCGGGTATGTATCGCTCGCTCGTCGTCGCGGCAGCCCCGGCCTTCCTCGTGATCTCTCTGTCCCCGAGCTCCTCGAAGTAGCTGGACACGAGCTGCTGAAGGACCTCCCGCTGCCTCTCCTGTATCTTCTCGATCGCCTCCTTGAACGTCCCCTCCAATTCCTCCACTGCCTCCCGCGACTTCAGCACCTCCGCGTACCTCTCAGCTGGGCTCTCCTCCTTCGGAACCTCCTCCTCTGCCTTCTCCTCCTCCCCGCCCTCCGCTTCCTCCTTCTCGGGCCAGAGGATCGGCTTCAGCTTCTGCAGGTACTCCGACTCCTCCATCAGCTCCTTCAGCTCCTCAGGCACGTCGGGCTGGGGCAGCTGCTGTGAAGGAACGAGCTCTACCTCCTCCAGCTGGATATTCGACTGCAGGCACTCTGTGTACCTCACCATCTGCAGCGTCCGCCAGCGAATCGACTCGAGGCAGACGAGGAGGCGGAGGGAGAGGGGACTTTGCTGGTACTTCTCCTCCTCCTCCTCGTCCTCCAGCCTGATAGATTTGTAGCTCTCGGACAGGGAGAGCGGAGCCCCAGCACACAGCCCCTCCAGCTCCACCAGCTTCCCCTCCACCGCCTCCATCCTGGCCTCGCACCGCTGTACCTCTTGCTGCTGCATGAGGGAACAAGTCCTGATCTCCTTGTCCACGCTCTCCAGCAACCTGATGTCCGTCTCCACGTGCGCTATCGACCCCTGGAACTTCTCCAGCTCCTCCTCAGCAGCCTTCTTGTGCCCCTCCAGCAGCTGCTCCCCGTACTTGATCCACTCCAGCTGCCGCTCAGCAGCATCCGCGTCCAGCTCGTCCAGGTACAGGCGGTACGCTGCGACCTCTTCTGGGTTGTAGAGCCCTCCCTTGCCCGCTGGGCCCCCGAGCTCCTCGAAGACAAGGCAGCTGAGAAAAATGCTCGTCAGATCGCCCTCCCTCTCTCCCTCCACCTCCACCTCCCGTCTTCCTCCCCCTGCTCCTCCCCCACCTGTCCAAGAACTGCTTGTTCATCTTCTTCAGCCCCTGCAGAGCCTCTCCGGCAAACCCCCGCAGCCTCTCCAACCTCTCCCCCGCCGCCTCCAGGAAGCTCGAGTACTCCAGCTTCGCCAGCCGCTGGTAGTTGGCGAGCTGGGAGGTGTTAGTAGCCTGCGACAGGCTCTCCACCCTGTTCCTCTGCGCCTCCCGATGCTCCAGCAGCGCGTTCTCAGCTTCTGCGATCATCGACGAGAACTGAGTCTGCAGCAGAGGAAACGTGTCAGTCCCCTGCCCCTCCACGAGCTGCGAAAGAGCTGGCTTGCCTGCTGGGCGGCAGCTCGCATCGAGAGCGCGCCGATGTGCCGGTCCTTCCTGGCTTCGTGCTGCATCAGCTGAGTGTCTCTGACCTCGTACACGTCCATTTCCGCCTGCCCGGGTCTGGGGGCCCAACGGCGGAGCCGCTCGTCGAGCTCGACCGTCAAGTTCTCCTGCTCCGACTTGACCGTCTCGTCCGTCACTTTCAACGCCTGCAACGAGGGGAAGAGGAGGGGAAGGGAGCGGGGGGGGAGGGGGGGAGGAGGAGGTGAGGTGAAGGGAGAGTTGACAAGGGACAGGAGGCCAGCACGTGGGGGAAACAGAGGACGGGGTGGGCAAAGGAAGGGAGAGCAAGAGGAGGACGAGGCGGACGAGGAGGCAGGAGGGAGGAGGGAGGAGGGAGGAGGGAGGAGGGAGGAGGGAGGAAGTGTCAGAGGAGCTGGCAACAGCAAGGAGCCTGTCTTACTTCGTTGTCGTGCCTGCTCTTGTACTCCAGCAGGCCCCTCCTCTGCGTCCTCCTCACCGCAACGATGGAGGCGACGGGAATCTCGAGGACCTCGAGCAGAGGCTCGTTCCCCCACGGAGAGAAGGGGTTGAGAGGAGACTCCATGGCGTTCGCGATGAACTGCAGCAGGAGGAGGATCAGAAACCTGCTCTCCTCTCCTCTCCTTCTCTCTCCTCTCCTCTCCTCTCCTTCTCTCTCCTCTCTTCTCCTCTCCTCTCCTCTCCCCCCTTCTCTGCAATCAGATTCGTTTTTTCCTCACCTTGGGCTTCTTCTCGCCTCCTTCGCCCTCCTCCTCCTCCTCCTCCTCCTCGGGCTTGGGAGCCTCTGGCTCAGGGTCTTCTGCCTCTGCCTCCCTCTCCTGCTGCGCTCGCTCCTCCGCCAGCCTTGCCTCCTCCTCAATCTCCTGCGGCAGCTTGCGCGGGATCTCAAGGATTCCAACGCCATGGTGAGCATGCGTGGGGACGGTACGGTCTTGCACGAAGATCCTCCTGCTCGACTCGAGTGTGACGTACTCAAACTCTTCTCCTACTGCCGCCTGCGGGGAGTGAGCGGGAGGGCAGGAGGAGGAAGCCGAGGGAGGATGTGCAGGGGAGGGAGAAACATGCAGGGCAGCAGGAGACGAAGGACGAGAGGAGAAGGGGAGGAGATGCAGAAGGGGGGAGAGGAGGGAAAGAAGGACAGGAGATGCTGTGAGGAGGGGAGAAGGGTTTTGACGCAGCAGGTGAGAGGGGATGTACCTCGTCATCGTCGAGGAGGAAGGATTCGTCGTCTTCTCCCTCCTTTTCGCCCTCCTCCTTCTCCTCCTCCTTCTCCTCCTCCTTCTCAACCACCTCGTTGGACAGGGCCAGTCGCGTCAAGATCAGCCCGTCGATCTCCTCGAGCTGACTTCTCATCTTCTCCTCGAAGTTTCTCGTCTCTTCCATCCCTGCCTCGTAGTACCGCCGATACTCCCTGCACGACCAGGCGTGAGGGACGTCGAGGAGGAAAAAGTCGATTCAGCTAGCGAGCGAAGGAGGCAGAGGATGGGGAAAGATTGTGACGCAGCAGGAAGGAGTCGGGGAGACGAATTTTAGGTGGAGGAGGAGGGGGGAGGGGGAGGGGGAGGATGGAGAGGGAGGAGGAGGGGGAGGGGGAGGAGGAGGAGGAAGGGGACCAGAGCAACATAGAGGGGCAGTGAAGCGAGGAGGAGAACAGGAGGGGGAAAGAGACAAAATTGGGTTGAGGAGGATATCAGGGGAGCAGCAAGGAACTCCCTCTGACTATCAACATTTCAAAGCACGCAGCACAAGTTACAAAAGGCAGGTCCAACCCGTCGAGCCCC